ACCATCTTAATTTAATTTAATCATACTTGGATTATTTACTAAATTCAAAATTTACATTTATTATTTAATGTTTTCTTGTAAATCCTTATCAATTTAATCTAATTATTAATCTTAATTTTGATCACCTTATTTATTTTATATGATACTACTTATAAAATTACTTGACTCTTAATCTTCTCTTTAATCTAAAGCTGAAAAGTATTGTTATTTATTTTTATTTTATTTTTTTGAAATAGTATTATTCATTTATTATAAGGAGATATCCTACTTTTCATCAATTAATCTTGAAGCACTATCCTTTGGACTTGCTAAAGCAATTGAAATATTAGGATAAATAACTTAAGAATTAGAATTATTGATATTTTAATTAATTCTTAATCTCTATCCAAAATGATTTAAATCTTTTTCATAATTTTCTAATATTTCTAAAGCTTTTGGAGGACTTAAACAAAAACTTTCTTAATCTTCTATTATTTCAAAATTATTATCCATATCTGTTAATTAAGCAAGATATTCTAAATTATTATTAGTACTTAAAGGTACTTCAGTTTAAAAAGGTGTTGAGAATTCTGTTTAAATGAATTTTTTAGTATCTCTTATTTCTACAATTAAATAAGAAAATAATTCTTATTTGACATTTCTTAAATGAAAAACAACATCTGCTGTTAATTAAGTTGTATTATCATTTTAATCCCAATTCATAGTTTATTTCTTTTCAAATATTAGAGGATTTGGAATTATCATTTAGATTTGAGTATCACTTTAATCATAATTAGTTTACTTATCTTCAAAATTAATTTGATCATATTAATCCCTTTGAATAATAGAAGCTTTGGATAAGAATGATTCATAAATATTATGAAATCTTGGAAATACTTTGTTGATTTATTATTTAAATAATAGATCAATTAAATTTTAATTGTATTTCTATTCATAACCTAATTTTTATGCTAGATTTTTTGTCATACATTATATTTTATTATTATCACAACATAAAATATAAGCAGGTGATACTTAAGTATCTTAAAGAAATGTAACAAAAGTTAGATCTTCAAAATTTGATAAGTTTATATCAAAAAAGAAATCTATAGGTTTTATACATTTATGTGTTGTTCTACAAAAACTTAAATTTATTTATTTATAAAATTTGGATTCTCCACTCTATAGAAAATTTTAAATTAATTTTTAATGAATCAATTCAAATCCTTATGGTAATATAGCTTCAATAAAGTTCAATTGCTTAAATTATTCTTGTGTATATCCAAAAAATTAATGAATTAAATTTGAAGTAGATTAAATTTATAAATAATGAGATTTTTTATCAAAACCAAATATTATATAATCTAATTTGCTAGAAAATAAATCAATAGATATTTATGATTACATCTTAAGTAATTTTTCATCTGATATAGATGCTACAGTTGTTAATTTATAAGCTGAAAAATAATTATTCATTAATTCTGCTTATAAAAATGTATTTAAAGCTTACATTTTTCTGCTTGGGAATTAATCATATAATTTCAATAGTTCATTTTCTATTTTTTTAAATTTAATAAGTAAATTTTTAGAATTTTAAAATATAGATCCAGTATTTAATAATATATTATTAAAATATTGTCTTTTTCTATTTAATGATGTAATTATCTTTTCTTTCAATCTTTTGTTTGCTGTTTCTGACATTAAAAATAAATTTACAGCATGTTCAAGATTTTCCTACATAATACTTTATTTCCTCAAACCGTTACTCATAGACTTTTTTATGGAATCTTAAAGCATTCTCAATTTAATTTAATTAATAAAGCTTAAATTCATAATTTTTACTCTAGTAAATTCATCATTTTCTAAATCATTCCTCTATCTTTATTGAGAATGGCTTTTCTAATCTAAACTATGACTGGATTCAACTCTATTACTTTCACTTCTTTAATTGTTATTTAATCTTGAACTAAAGAGTATTAAATATAATACCTAATTTAACTTTCATGAATGACCTAAACATTTGATTATTAAAAAGCTTTTGTATTAAAACCCAAATAATTAATATAGGATAAATAACGTAAAAACATACTTTAACGAATAGTTTTATCTTTAATTTAATTAATCTCTTCTCCAAATAATTAAATTTATTCCTTTAAAAATAATGTAATAATTTATTCAAAACTAAAATTGTTTGTTTAACAACAACATAGATTCGATTAACAAGCTTCTTTGTGAATCAATTAAAAATTATATATAAATGCCATATATTGCTTATTTTCTATAAAAGAGTTGTAAATTACTCCAAAATTTAAGAAAATTTCAGCAATTTTATATTATTATTAATAAGCATTCAAAGTATTTTTTCTATTTAATAAAATTCTTTCATGAAATTCTTAAAATGATGTCAATATAATTTGAATTAGTAATGGATATGAAACAATAAATAAAATGGAATCTTTATTATCAAAATTATTTTATTGAATTTACAAAATTAATAATATTATTAAAATAGTTAATTGTGCAGTTAGACCAATTAATTCAATATAGGCTTTTTTAAATAATGAAATGAAATACAATAATTATGACTAAACACAAAATATAAGTTTTAATGCTAACAAAGTAAAGATTAAATAAAACTTAATTTTATTATCTGCATTTAATTAATTTATTAAAATCACTAGTAATATTGACATCTATTACCAATATAAACTGAAACTTTATTGTAATACACTAAAGTTTTGTTTAGTTATTTAATTCAGTTCAAGATTACATATCATTTAGGCAATCATATTCAATATTACAATAATCAATGTAATTATAGCAAAAATTAGATTTCCTATATTGATATTATTCAATTTTGAATTATATGATATTGAAGCTACACTGAGTTCTATAAAATTCACAAAAATAAAATGAAAGTGTAATGCTTATATATAAGTCAATATTGTCATTAAAATAATAAAAAGTCTATTTTATTAATAAAATGTCTCTAGTAGTTTTTAGTATTTTGATTTTCCTTATTTGTGATTAATAAATAGTTTAAGTACTAATGAAAAATAAATAAGATTAATTGCTAATGGTATAAGGTATGAATATCTATAAAAGTGGTCATTTAGAATTTTGTAAGGTCGAGTGAATTTAGATATGATGATTAGGCACTTCATGAAACTAAAGGATCCATTATCAGTTAAATAATAATTTTCAAAGAGAAAACTAATTTCTTAAAGGTATGACATAATTATAGTAATTGAAAATAAAAGTGGAGGTATTTTAATGATATCATCTTCATATAAGATTCTAAATTAGAGAGAAAACTCCATGATTTGCATCAGTATTTTCTTTTTAAATTTTGGTATGTTTGATATATTTTTTTCCTTCATAAATCAACAATTTCAAACTTAAATAATTTAGTTTTAATTGATAAATCAATAAAATTAATTAATATATATATATATTATACAATTTTGGTAATCATAGTTATTTCAATATTCATTGATAATAGAATTATGGCATTCTATGAAATCCATATTCATTTAATGCCCTCGACAATTTAGTCTGACAAATTCTTCATAATCTTATTAATTATTTATTTATAATTGAATTTATTAACTATTTTATTGATCTTAGTCTTTATCATCTTCTTTTTTTATATGTTAATGCATATCATAATATGGATTCCATTATTCATAAGGTATATGATGATGAAGTAAATGTTTATCATACATCATCATTAATTATTCTTAATCAAAATGATGTTATTGAATATTGACATCCTCTATTATATTAATAAATTATATTTTACCTGCCTTTGGAATATCACAAGATGGATTCTTCTTCTTTCTTCCAGCTCTACTTCTTTCACTTCTAGGTAAACGCTTTCCATTTTCTCCCCTCAAAGCATAAGGATTAAATTTTTAATGATGACTTCTGCATTGACTAGGAGTTCTTGTTCCAATAAGTTCACTCATTTATTTGAATATTTTAGAGGTTTTTTTCATCATAGAAGAAGTCATAATACTTTCATATTATTAGAGAAAGCCTATGTAAGTTGTATGTTCTTCAGTAGACCAATGTCCAGTGTTAATGTGTTCTTTTTTTGGTTTCTTAGTCAATTGATTTTATCCTTTTTATTTTTAGGTTTATTAGGATCCTTCTTAAGATCCTTAAGGTTCTTAATTTGAAATGATGTCAGATTATAATTTAGGCATTGGAGCTCCTTATAAACAATTAAAAATAGAATAAGGAGTAAGTTATTTGGGACTATGTATTAGTAATACTATATAGTACATTTGATCTTTTTAAATTTGAGAAGGAGGAGCAGATTCTTCGATCTGTTGTTTTGCGAATTCAAGAGTTTTTGGAAGTAATCCTAGAGAATCAGTATTTCTTAATATAATGTTTGAATGTTTACTTAATCTTCTTATTTTTTTTATATTTATGTTATTGTATGACTTCATTATCAGGAAAGCAATCAATAGAGTATCCAGGAAATGAATGAGGATAAGAGAACTAGGACAGATAAGCATATTCATTATGATTCTAATATGGAATGTATTCTTTAGAAATTTCTAAATTCTTTACTTTGTATATCTGAATCTAGTTGATATGCAAATTATTGGTCACCCTGGAAGAAATATGGTTACATAATAAAAACAATTAAATTTTTTTATATTCCTTAATTAGTTTATATAATCAACATTTAAATATATCATACAAATAATGAACTATATTTGAAGTAGTTTGAATACATAATTAATTCATATACTTTTTGTATTATATAAAAATGTTAAATGAGTGAAATAAAAATTTTAATATTTTTAGATAATCTTGATAGTATTAAGTTTGAATACTTTAAATTAGAAATTATATATGATAATAAGAGTATAAATAGATAATATTGTAAAAGAGGCTCAAATTAATAATTCTTAATTAGAAATGAAGAAATAAATTATTAAATTTGCGTATTTATATTTTTCTTGAATTTCATAAAATTTAAGTAATATTTATATCAAACAATTAAATATGCAAACAAAAGAATATGAAGCAGAGGATGATTTGTTAGGATCTATTCTAAGAAGTAATATTTTAGTTAACTTAGATGATGATTACGAAGAAGTTTTTTCTAATAACAGTAGTCCTTTATGTAATTAAGGGTTTAAAAGTGATAGCATTATTGAGAATGTAAGTTTTGAATCCTTATAAAATAGGTTTCTACTTCAGAAAAACATTATTTTGATAGTTTTAACAGATCGTTTGAGCAGATGTCTTTAGGATCTGATTAAGCTTAAAGTCCAATGTCTAATAAAGCTGTCTATTCTTAGTATCCTTAAAATCATTAAAAATTTTCAAGATAAGATGATAGATAGAGTGTATCAATAAGTTTTGATGGTCATTCATTTTCAACATAAGAAAGTTCTATCAATTACAGAAAAAATGGAAATGAACATTTTGGATACTTAAATAAACATCATAATAGATAGGTTGACTATTAAGTCCCATATTCTCCAGGAGTATTAAGACCTAATGGAATTTATTAACCTGGATTTAATTATTAATAACCATTGAATGGATTAGGTTTTACTGGATATTAATAGGAAAGATAACCTTTACATGATATAAATGATGATATCTAATTGACAAATGATCTAGTAAGATTTTATGTTTAATTTAAATAGGACAATATGTGTGGTAATTAAATGTTATCAAGAAAAGTTTAAAAGATAATTGAACATGGAAGACCAGATCAAAGAGAATTGATTTTTAATAAACTTGAGAGATCTTGTGTTTAATTTTCAAAAGATGTATTTGGTAATTATGTGATGTAAAAGATATTTGAAAAAGGTATTAATATATATATTCTTTAATATTAGGTACTCCAATTCAATAATTAAGATTATTTAATAAAATTAGACCTCATGCTTATGAATTATCTAAAAATAATTTTGGATGTAGAGTTATTTAAAAGATTATTGAAATCATATCTAATAATGAGAATTTATAAGACTAATTTATTGATTCAATTAGACTTTAAGTTAAATCATTACTTTATGATTCAAGTGGTAATTATGTGATTCTCAAATGTTTGGAAGTATTGAAAAAAGAAAAGATAGAGTTTTTCTTATAACCAATTGAAGATTCAACTTTATTTTTATGTTCATCTTAATATGGATGTAAAATATTGTTGAAAGCTCTTGAATTGTATTCTCCAATTCAAACTGATAAGATAATGACTACATGTTTATAACATCAATAAAATCTATGTTAATAAGAATTCGGAAATCACATCTTACAATTTGCCATTAAAAATACACATTATTAACCATTTGTTGTCAACTTTGTACTTTAACACTTTGAGATATTATGTATGAATAAATATGCAAGTAATACTGTTGAAAAGGTTGTGGAAGCCTCTACAAATGAAGTAAAATAGCGTATCATCTCTATACTTATTTCTTTTTCCTAAATCAATGGATTGTATTATAATATATTTATTTATATAGAGTAACATTTGTGAATTTATCTATCAATCCATTTGGAAATTATGTTATCAAGAAAATGATCATTATGTCAAATCAGAATATTTTGTAACCTTTGATAGACATTTTGAGATAAGATTAATATCTGATCACAGCAATAAGATCCTCTGATTTTGGCTAAAGAATATATTAGCTAATCGAAAAGACCTTATTAATGTACAAATCATGAATATAATTGAGATTATTATGACAATATAAATATGAATAAAAAATTAGACATTATTTATTAATAATATTTATTAACGTATGCAATTCACTCCCGACACTAGAAATGTGGGAGGACGATAGATCATCATATCATAATTATGGGGACATCGATTATGTTTACAATAAATCAAAGATAGACAATTCAATTTAGATCTTAGAAATTAATTTGACAAAAAGAATGAAAATTCAAAAATACCTTATATACATGATTTTCATATGGAAATACATAAAAAGAAGTTATAAACTATTAAAGAATGTTTAACAGATAGAAATAAAAAAGAACCATCATATTTTTTCAGAAGATTACCATCTCCAACTAATATAAGTTCTCTTCAAAATAAATTGAATAATATCAAATCAAAGTCAACATAAGAAAAGATGCTTTATACAAAACTTCTACCTCCACCAAATATAGAATTAAGTAAATTTATACCAGAAAGCACAAAAACTAAAGTAGATTGGGATACATGTATTAAAACTTTATAAGGACCTTAATATCCTATTAAAAAATGGATTCGGCAATTAGCAATATAAAATCGTATTTTTGATGAAACTGATTTTGCCATTTTAATAAGAATATTAGTATAAGCATATTAAATAAAATAAACAACTTTAATAAACATAGTCTCTGAATTAATTGAGGAATTTGAAAAGTGATTTAAATTTGAATTGTTATTATTACTTTATATCTTATAAACTATTACTATTCATTCTAAAATTATTTATATTTATATTTAATATAGTCTAAAATTATTATAGACAGTTGAATCTTTACAATTTAATAATATATTTATTCAGATGATCTTAATTTTATGTATCATTTTTATTCTAAGATTATAACTCTAATTATAAACAAATTGTATTAATAAGAAAGTCTTTATTTGTATTATAAAATTCTTAGATAAATTAAAAAAAGTTTCTTAATAAAAATTATTTAAATTATTACACATACCATCAAAAAAGGTAAAACAAAAAAATTTACTATAAATAAAGTAATTATTAATAGAATCAGATTGAATAAAGTCTAAAAATTTAGAATTTATTCTTTATTTTATGTTTAATAAAAAACCTGTGAATATTGATCAACAATTATATTTGATCAAGAATATAAATGTTAAATCATTAACTTTATTTACATAATCATATTTAAACAATATTAATTATAATAAAATTCTATTATTTTCTAAATATCATACTGAGGTTTAATTACTGAAGCCAATTTTTTAAATTATTAATAGATTTTATGTTTTGTTTTCCACTTTAATAAATAATTTTTCACTTAAAAAAACAGAATTTTATTGAAATCTCTAAATGGATTCTTCAATTACTAATATAATGGTTGATAGTGAGGAAAATGATGTTTTGTGTATAAAATATGGGGAACTTCTTACTTGGATCCCAAAAACTAAAGAAGATGTTAGATTGAAAAACCAATCCCAGATCTTTTAGAAATAATTAAGTTTTGTTGGTTCTTTTGCTACTACAAAGGAATTGACTAAAACTTTATTGCATACAAGCACATTGATTAGTAAAGAAGCATATGTCAGATCACTGAACTCAATGGAAGCATTCTATGAAAAATAAAAAAATGAGTCAGCAAATATTCAAATTAAGAGTCTTTCATCAATAAAACACTAATTTGAAGATTTATCAGACTATACTTTCAAATTATAGGATGGTATCAAAAAAGTGAGATTTAGATTAAATTCAGATTATCAAGCATGACATCTATATTTGTGAATAGTTTTTGTTTAATATCTATTTTGTTTATATATTTTATATTATCTTATGATATTTGTCTAATGATTTGTATTTTATCTATAAAATAAATGTGTGATTAATAAAATTGAAGTAATTTATTAAATTTATTAGAAATAGAATAAAGATTTATTGAACTGTAATTTTAAATTAATTAATATTTGAGAATTAGAATAAAAAGTTAGAGTTAATTTTATGTAAATCAATTTTTGATAGTTTTAAGTAATACAATATTAAATAAAATACTATCTTGAATTAGTATTTTTTTATTTTAATTACTGGGTATTTTAGTTACAAAAATTAAAATATATATATAATTATCATTAATGATTATATGCAATTTATGATTATTATATAAAACTACTCAACAATTTTAATTAATTAAATATAGTTTTTGAGTATTTAAGTATCCTTATACACTTAAGAATTATTTTTGGTTATTTTATTATTTGTACAATATGAATAAGTTAATATATTCTTAGTTCTTCATTTTTAATAAATACAAAAAACTGAAATTCAATTAAAATTATATCTTTTTAAATCTAATTTAATACATATCTAATAATCTAAGTTTTTTTTATATTACTTATTTCTTAATAATATAAATAGATAGATTGTCTATATTTTATAAAAAAAGGAAAATGTTTTATGAAATGATTAACACAATCTTACATTCTAAATAATTATCGGAGTTTATGAGACCAAATACTAATATAAATAAGGATGATTCAAAGATATAATATAATTTTATAAGCATTTTGATTAAAAAAAACAATTTATATTATGAGTAAATTATTATAAGGAAGAGATAAGTATGTAATTTTATTAATTTAAAATATTTTAAATAATTATTACATTTAATTTAATTTCGTAAGGATAAATTTTAGAATGCAAAAATATTTATTGGATAATCTGCCACTATCTTTGCAAGAGAGAAACTTACTATATGCTAATGGATAATAAGTATATGATTAAGTCATTAGGGATGGAGGTTTTGTGAAAGTATGTTATATAATTTAATAAATAGGTTTATTGTCAAAGAGAATTGCCTGCTTATTTAAAAGAGGATGATTGGGTTAGCTTTTATTAAAGTAAAGTAATTGTATATGAATATAAATCAATGGTTGATGGTTCTTGTATTGGAAAACCTTATTATTATAATTATAGTGAAATGTTAAAAATCTATGAAGAGAAATCTTTGTCTTGGTTAAAACATCAAATAAGTATTCTTACAATAGATCTAAAAGCTTTAGAAATGATAAATGTATTTTTCAATTTCGAAGCTCTTAAATAAAATCATGGAAATTAAAACACTGATATTAGAGTTTAATAGCCTGGATATGATTCATTTTTACCATGCAAAATAAATTAATAATTAGAAGGAATGAAGATTATGGATTATATAGATTATCTTAATGATCCATCAAAATTTATAAGAAAAGAAGGACTTTAAGCAGATTAAAGATTATTTGCTGTAAATGTGAATATGTAAGGTTGGGATAAGGAAATAAATCATTTGAAATAATTTTTACCTAAATGTTTAAGACCATAAGGTGATAATGATGGATTAAGTTATTTAAGATAGGAAATTGATGGTGTCAATATACCTTAAATATATATTAAGACAGATGGTGTATGGACTGGTGGACATTAAGAAAATTTAAGTGTTAATGCTATTAATATTAATCATGGTCCTGCAGATTGTGTTTGGATTACAGTAGATAATGAACATGTATAGAGATTAAGATAAAAAGTTATGGAATTATATGATACAGATATATTTAAAAATGAAGGATTATGGTTTAAAGAACCAGAATTCTTTTTAAAAAATGGAATACCATTTAGATACACTTTATAAAAGAAAGGTGATGTTGTAATATTAGGAGCTGGTTGTTTGCATTGGGTAAAATCTTTAGGATAAACAATAAATACAGCTTGGAATTAGGTTGCTTTAGATGATATGACTCTGGAAGCCATGAGTGAAAGACATAAATTAAATAAAGAAATTAATTATAGAACGGTTATTCCATATAAAAATTTAATGTTAGATTTATATATTCATGAAAAATCTTTATCTTAAACTACAATAGAAAGAATTTAATTAGAACTTTAAAATTTTTTTGATTAAGAAAATAGAAAATTACATATTATAGATCCACCATCATCATAATTAGTTGAATGTTGTAAAGAAGTTTAATTATGTTCAAAATGTGAACATGAAATATTCTTATATTTTTATCATGATAATGAAGAATATTTATGTTTAGATTGTGTTTAAAATAAATAAAATCATAAAAGTTTACCAATTTCAATGAAATATAGATATCATTGTTTTTATTTTTTATTACAATCATAACCAACAAATTGTAATCAAGAATTTTGTTGTCCTTATACAGGAAAAACTAAATGTTCAATTTAATAAGAATTAAAACCAGCATAATTTAAACATAAAGGATAACCAAAATTAAATTCTATGTTACATGGTACAGATAAAATGAAGAAAAAGAAATTTGATAGAATTGATTATGAATTTGATGCAAAAACATCAATTTATAAAGATAAATAAAAAACAAGAGGTAGAAAATAATCTATTGATAAATAATAATCAACAATAAAACGAATTAGAAATTATTGATATTATAAATACAATTTATATATATATATTTTTTTTTCAATTAAATTATCTTATTAATTCATTATTAATTATTTATTTACTTACAATATTCATTTCTTTCTTTTTTTCTATTATTTTATATTAAATCAAATACTTATTATTCATTTTTAATTTATTATCAGTTTTTTTGTATCTCATCAAATATTTTATTTAGTATGTATTATCTAGAAAATAAACCGAATTTTATTATCATAGATTTCCATCCATTTATGTAATTTTTATAATGTGATTGTTATTTTGAAAATAAAATAAAACACAATAAAAATGATTGATCTATTATCAAGTCCATCTCCAATTCCATAAAACTCTATTACAAAAGATTAACTCTTATGTAATTAGAGATAATAACGTTTCTTATTTACATAAAGCCATTGTAAAAAAATTGACTTTGATAACAGTCATACTACGTAACATTTGAAATAATCTTGAAGGAAATCTATTTTTCCTATCTCTTCATAAGAAGAAATAAGGATTCCAAGTGCAAAAATTGATATTAAAGAATTCTAAGATCCATTACTTTTAAGCTCATATACTTAATCTTATATTGACAAAAATCAATTTTCACTTGCTTGTGGATAGTAAAAGAATTAAGTCACATTAAACTTATTGATTGCTGGATAATCTGGAACAGGAAAATCAACTTTTGTAGATGCTTTACTAAATAAAGTAATAATCCTAAAAAATTCAATATATAGAAACCAATTTCAAGATAATATGAGGGGAATACATCTGAAACTAACAAAGTATAAGAATCAATGGGCATCATTGAATACGATAACCAAATTGTTTATTTAAACATATTTGATGCAAAAGGTTTTTAAAAAAATAACTAAAAAGAATGGTTTAAGGATATTAGACATTTAATAGATTAAAAGGTATTTTGAGTTCCTTATTTAAGTTCAAAACATAAATCAGAAGAAATAAGTATGCTTATCTTAACAAAACTTTATATTCTTAAATGTCTAATTTACTAAATGACGAAAGAGTAAACAATTTTTACATTATTCTATAGATTCACTTATGTTTTTACTTTCTAAGTGGACCAACATACTTTAATGAAGATATACAATATTTACAAAAGTTATCCAACTTAGTAAATGTTATTCCAATTTTGGCTAGAGGTGATTAATATACAAAATCTGAAGTTCTTGAATTAAAATAAAGATATAATAGAATCTTTAAAGAATTTAAAATTGATCTCTATGATTGTCTCAAAATTAATGATGAATCATTTAAATAATAACTCAAATATGGAGAATTTGGATAGTGTTCTCCTTTCATGATTATTGCTTCTACATATGAATATTATAATGAATAAGGAAAAAAGATTTAAGGAAGACAATATCCTTGGGGATAATGTGATCTATGGAATCCTTAACATTCAGATTTCTTGTTACTTTACAAATCATTAATTGGATATTATATATATGATTTAATTAAGCTTACTGATTTTTATCAACATAGCTTTATTAAAAGAAAACAAGAAATACAAAAGAAAAATAAAAGTAGAATGGGTTTTTTAAACTAAATATTAGTTCATATCAATTAAATATTATATTTGATTGATTGATACTTTTATAATTTTGTATTATTTAATATACTATTAACACATTTTAATTGTTATTATAATCTATAAACTCATAATAATATAATTTACTCTCTAATATACGATGTCGGACTAATCTTAGATGAAATATTTAATGCTTATTTTTCATATTCTAATTTATTAAACATTTAAATTACAATCTGCCTCATATTGTCTATTCTCCTATTTTAACAAAAGACTATATTATGTTAAACCCATCATTTATAAAAAAGATAGTCTAGGTTGTTAAGAATTCAAAAAATCAAGTAAAACTGTCTCAGCCTAATTAATCTTATTGTCAATCATTGAAATTTTGGCATATTACAATAATGATCTTCCAAAATTCATAATATTTAAATTTGGATTTTATGTCTTATTCCTAAAAACAACTTTAATCCAAGCTGTGGCTTTCTATTAAAATCAAATGATAAATTATTACATCTGGACATTAGTGATTAATTAATAAATCTATTAAATTAAATATTACTGAATAAGAATTTGGATTTACTATCTATGTTCCATTTATTATAGCATTTATTTCTTTTTTATCAATGTATGACTATTTTTAATTAAATAATTACTTCAGTTTATTCGATTAATTTATATAAATAATATAACTCTTTCTTATTCTCCTCTACTGAAGTCAATTCAAATGATATAATAGCATCTAATAGATTCTTAATATTCTATTAACAAAAGGCATCAAAATCTCCTTTTAATTTCTATATTTCCCCTTCCAAATTAAGTTCAGATAAAATTACTTAATTATTTAAACACATCCCTTTAATTATTAATTATATATATACCTGCTAAACTACCTTTTGCTCCTGAATCCTATGCACCTGTCAACAATATTTATGAATTTTCATAATTTTTATTAAGCAATTCTAAAGTCTAAAGGTATTTTTAATATTTACTCCTGCATATGTGTAAAATTCCTTTTAAAATCCAAGTGGTATGATTTCATCAACTTTTTCTTATAAAAATGATAACATAGCTTAGCCTCTCTTTGGATCAAATTCAATATAAGATCTAAACAACTCTTTTAACGATTCTGAATTATCTTCATTATAAATAGAATTCATAGACAAATAAGTAAAAAATTGTTCTTCCTATATCGATATTAAATCTTTATAATTTTTTGTTTGCTTATATAATTGAACAAATAAATCCAAAACTTCTTAAGATGCATTTGGGTCCTATAAGTTTTCTACTTATTATTTTAATTAAAATAAATATTCTTGAGCCTAAGCATATTCATTCTAAAATAAAGCTTAAATAGCTGATGAATAAACAGGTAATTACTGTAATTCTTAATTATTATAAAAGGGTACATGAATTCATTCCAATCTTATATGAAACTCTTAGAATCGATTTAAGCATAAATTATATTAGTATAATTTATGTTTTTTAAATAATTTGCAATTTAAAATATCCAAAATCATTTATTAGTAAAATATATTATCAATATCTTTATATGCTTATAATAGTATAGGAATAAGAATCATATAATTAATATTACTAAAATACATATACACAATTAAGAATTGATTTAAATCTTATATAGTTATTGTCAAAATTATAGAGATAAATTACTCTGATTACTTATATATGGCTTATCTATTATTGTTTGAGTTTCAAAAAAAAGAAGAGTGTTAAGATTGAATAAGTATATTAAAAAATAAAAATTTGTTGATTGTTAAAATAAGAACTTTAGTGATAAATACTATGAATCTAAAGATGAATTTCAACAGTGAAATAAAGTGTTTTAAGGGTTATAATGTATAATTTGATGTTGAATAATCTTGATGAATATTATTGATTTTAGATGTTAAAGTTATTGTTAAGTATAATATATTGAATTTAAGTTGTATTTTATCTAAACAGAAAGATAAGAATATAAAGAAAATAATCATATTGGTTTTGAATCTGATAATTTTTGCTTTTCTTTACTACAATTTCTTCTAATAATGATTGGATTTTTGATAAGAACAAATTTTTAGTCCATACCTAAACAATCTGATTATATCATTTGTTCTATTTAATCTATATCTTCTATTTTTCTTGGTTTCGCTTTTCTTATAGAGCAGCCCATTTATTATATTGGATAAAAGTTGAAAATGAATTATTAAAAATAATATAATAAATATTCGTATTTTTGAAGAGATTTGAAATTGAAAACAAATTGAGGTTATTTTTGATTTATGAGGATTGTTTAATTTGTTATTATTATTTATTATTTTGCAATAATATAAATATAACTTTAATTATAAATGAATGAAGATCAAATTAAGTTAGAATAACAGATCTTTGGCCCTTAAATTACTCAAATTCCTGATTTAACTTAATATTAGAAACAACAGTTGGAATCTTAAGAATCTATGAGATCAATAGAAAGTCCTCATATTTAAACTAATCGTTATTTTGTAAGTAAACAAAGGTTATAGAGATTAACAAGAATAATAAATACATCCTAAAATAATTAGCCTAAGTTAGAGTAAAAGATACCTCCTAAAATAGATGAAAATGAGGCATTTATGAGACTTGTAAGAAAAAATAGATTAATATAAAAATTCAAATAAAATTTGTTTTTGAACTCATATATACTTTCTAATGCTTTAAAAACAAAAATCTTATCTTAAGAAAAATATATTTAACCTCAAATATTTAGATTTTTATAGAGTATTTATTATGATATAAATAGATAGAATATGGTTAATCTAAATTAAAATCAGCAATATTATTACCCCAAAACCCTTTTTTGTATTTTTGGGATTTAATAACATTATTATCAAGTATTCTAGCTTTATGGATTTGTCCATTTCTATTAAGCTTTTCATTTGATGAATACTCATTTCCAAAAATAATAATAGGACTTATAACACATTTGATAATTGATAATATTTTGGCAATAAATAGAGCTTATATAGAATAAGGAGAAGTAATAGTTGATAGAAAGTAAATTATATTGTAATATTTGAACAATCAAGCAGTCTTAGAGATTGTGTCATTAATGTTATGGATTGGTATTTATCCTAATATTTTGAAGGAGTTCAGTTCATCAAAATAAATATTATTGATTTTATAAAATATAATAGTACTTATAAAGTTAAAGAGAACTAATACTAAAATGGAGAATATTTATTTAAAACATACATTAAGTAATGCAGCTGATTTATTAACTCTAATTTTATCAATATATTTCTTTGCCCATTTTATGGCTTGTTTATTTCATTATATAGGTGTAATTACTGAAGAATATGAATTAACTTGGTTAATTTAAAGATAAATAAGACATGAATAAGTATGGATTAGATATAATACATCATTTTATTGGGCAACTATGACAATAACTACTGTTGGATATGGTGATATAACTCCTGAAAATTAAGGAGAAATGTTATTTGTTAATTTAATGATGTTGCTTTCTAGTTTTTTATTTGCTTATTCTATGAATTCAATAGGGATTATACTTAGAAATCTATATGAATAAAATAAGAATTAAAAGTAAGTATTTAAATTTATACAAAATTTAGAAGGTCAATATTGCAATTGAATAATTACATGAATCATAATTAGGTTGATCTTTCATTACAGATTAGAATTCGAAATTATTTGAAACATAAAATGGCTAATATGAATTATGAAAAGATTGAATTTATAAATAAAACTATTTCTGAATTACCAAAAGGTTTAAGATTTGAATTGAACTAAAATATATCTGAAAAAATACTCAAATCTATTAAATTATTTTCAGATCAATTTTCTAAAATTACCCAACAAGCATTGACATAGAAAATGAATCGATTATTGTTTTAACCAGAAGAATATATTTATCATTAATATGAAATTGATGATTAATCCTTGTAATACTTATTAAATATTTAGAGATATTTCGTAAAAGAAGGAATTATTGATATTTGCGAAGAACAAAGCTAATAAGTTATATAAACATTGACAAAAGGATAGACATTTGGAGAATATTAATTTTTTACAGGATTTCCTACTAAAACTTGTGCTTTTAGTAGAACCCAAAGTGAAGTAGTATAGATTCATAGATCTAATTTTTTAAAATTAATAAAAGATGAAAAAAAAGATATGGAAAGATTTAATCATATTAAAGATAAGATTCTTTTGTATTCAAATTATAATTCTATATTACTTAATTGTAATCAATGTAATAGAAGTTCACATCTTAATATTAATTGTCCATTACTCACATATCAACCTGATCTTGAAGGAATGATAAAGAAATAATCTATCAATAAGAATCCATAAAAGAGAATGGGTTATCATAGAAAAGGTGATAAAATAAATACAAGAAGAATGTTAGCTACAATTTAAGATTCTCTTAATAAATTTTAATCTGAATGCTAAATCAATTCAGAAGATGAATAATCTAGATATATGTCTCCTGATTATAATAGTCGTATAAATTATAGGAAAAAATCAATTAAGAAACCTCATTAAATGATTTCAATTTCAAATACTGTAATATCAGAAAAAGATATGCTCCCATCTGATAAACATATTTAAATTTTACCATCTAAAGAAAATTTTGAAAGAAAAAAAACTACTCCTTCCAAATTTCTAATTTAAGGTGAAGAATCTTATTATAAAGAATAAAATAAAGATATGCTTTAAGAATTTGAAACTAAATTACAATTCCATCACATCAATATAGATTAGATCAAAATTTATCAAGATTATATGTAACACAATAATTTTCATAATGTAATTAAAAGTCTTGAATTTATAAATAACACAAAATAATATAGAAATAGATACAAAGAAACTGGAAAATACACTTTTAATTATTTAGTAAAACAATAATCCTTACATTTAAGGAAATGGTATGAACATAAATTAAAATGATTTTCTTTTTTATAAATATTATGAACATTATAATTCTTTACTATTTTTAAGTAAAGTATTCTATGAATTCTAAAAAATAAAATAGAATTATTAAATTAAATAATATGAGTTTCCCACACTAAAAATTACCATCATTTGACATTATAAGAGTTGCTGGTTCAGGAAGTTTTGGTAAATATTTTAAATAATTAGGTTATGTTTTTGAGGCTTATGATCATAATAGAAAATAAAAAGTTGCTTTAAAGAGAATTGAAAAGGTTGGAAATCAACTTAGTAGAGAATATGAAATTTTATTTGAAGTCAAGGAATGTGAACATATAGTTAAAATACTTGTATGAATATCATTTAAACCAAGGATTTTTTCTATTCTAGAACTGATTCAGGAAAATTAATTCAAAACATTGTATTCGAATATATGGATGATAATCTTGAAAATAGAATTTAAATATTTATCAAATAAGGAAAGACATTTTCAGAATTGACCATAAAATCTTATATATATTAGATTCTAAAAGGATTACAATTCATTCATAAAAAAGGAATTGCCCATCGCGATTTGAAACCGTAAAAGTATTATTAAAATCAATAGTGAGAATGTTCTGATAAATAATAATGAAGTAGTTAAATTATGTGATTTTGGAAGTTCTAAATTAATTAATTCTCAAGGTCAAAACACTCCATATATAGTTTCTCGTTATTATCGTGCCCCAGAATTAATATTATGTTTAACTAAATATGGAGTTTCAGTAGATATTTGGGCATTAGGTTGTATAATGGGAGAATTAGTAATAAAAGAGGCGCTTTTTAAAGGGAAAAGTGAAGGAGATCAATTATTTGCAATATTAAAGGTGATGGGTAGTTTTAATTCAAATGATATGGAATACTTTATAAACAAAGTTCCTTTTGATAATAAAATTATATTTAAAGAACTCTCTAGATATAAAAAATAAAATCTCAGAGATAAATTTAGTTAAATTAAAGATTTAGATAATTATTTAGATTTATTAAAGTATTATATGGATATGATTTCTAGTTAAATGTTGTAATATAATCCTGAAGAGAGAATTAGTGCTAAAGATGCTCTGAAGCATCCCTTTTTCAAAGATGTGGCAAATGAATGATAATATATTTACAATAAAATATTTACTAATGTATTTAATGTAATTCATTTATCTTAAGCTTCTCTGCAACTAACAATCTTCTCTTCTCCCATAGCTGAAAGGACAGCAATCAACAAATCCCTGAATATAAATATGAATATATACTTTCCAGCTTCAAACTATTCTCTAATTTCTTTAACCAAGTTGAAATCATCTTCAGTTTCAGGTAATTTAAGATCTTCTTTTGTTGATCCATCTTCATTCATAAGAATGACAAAGCCATCACCTTGAATATCCATCAAAGTATATTCCTTTTTAGTAACAAATGGAACATCAATATTGTGAGATGTTGGTGCTGAATCTTCATAAGTTTTGTTTGTGAAGATATCTTTTCCAACAATGGATGCCTAAATATGTAAATAATAAAATTACTTTAGCATGACCATGCTTTCCTGCTTTAGATGTTGAAACATCAGTAATCTTGCAAGGATGTCCTTTAAGCATGACGTATCCTCCTTTCTTTAATGATCCTGCACTTTCTGTGTAGGTATGGGATGATCCGGCATTTCCTTGTTCGAATTGATTTTCGTCGTCAGACATTTAATTATTTAAAAATTTTATTTTAAATTGGGGATTTGAGAAATATTATATATTACAATATATCAGAATAAAAATTCTTTTAAATAATTAAGAATAAGTTGATCCAAAATTAATTATTTACATTCATTTAGCTTAGCGTATTATTAATCGATTCATTAATAATTCTTTCCAACATTCAAATTCTAAATTGTCTATATGAGATATTTCTTCATGATTTCTTTAATCTTTATAGCTTGTATATGGATGTTTCCAATCCAAATTATTTGTTGTCATTATATCCAATTAAGTTCTAATATTTAAATTATTTTTACTTGTAATCTATAATTGATATTTCATCTGATTATATATAATTTGAACTCTTTTGATTAATTAGATCAATCCATTAATTCCGCTTATTGTGCTACAACAAAGATCTATACGAAGTTTATTAGGATTGTTAATGTATAACTGATTACTATTGCTTCATTAAGTATGATTACTATTCAGTTTTTCTAATGGTAAAGTCAGCAGGAGTATGTAAAGAAGTGCTTGGTGTTTTTTTAATGTGTTGTTTTACATAGTTCTTTGCAGATTTATGAACCAATTCAGTTAAAACATTTTTCAATGATACATTTTATGCCATCATTATAGTTGTATTCTCATATGAGGATTTTAATTTATTATCACTTATCATATTTTTCACATCTTTCTTTGATTTTGGACAATAAAATTTCTTTTATTAAGTATCACATTTATCATAGGTGTAATTGATTGTTTATTTATTAAATGAAGAAGTTCTCTTTTTATCAATTCCTTTATTCATCTCTCTTAACTATTTTCTTATATTATTATTCATTTTAAATATTCAATATATACACACAAAAAAGAAAAAAAAATTATTTAACTATAATCATTTATAAGACTGAGCACATATATATTAATATAACAATTTGTAAAGTCACTATTTCTAAATTCAAAAACTTTTCTTAATTTTATTTACTAGATAAATATTCATATATCTAATCTATTTCAATTCTAGAGATTAAGTTTCAATAACTTATTTAATGCACTTTAATTATAGCTTTTAAAATTTACTAAATTTTAGTAATAAAACTAATAAAATAAATAATTATAGGTATAAAATTGATTAAGTTTGGTTTTATTTTTAGAAAAAGCGTTGAATTCAATCCCTTTGCTTACTTTTTCCAACTTAATTTAAGAACATATTATTAATTAAATAGCAAACAATTTTTAAACTATTCTTAATGTCTTTTTTATGAATATTTATATATACTAGTTAGTTATCCTAAAATACAACTATAACTGTGTTATATGCTTGTATTATTATTTAAATTTTATTGATAATTCATTTAATTAGTCTTAAAGTATTTAACTTATTTAATTGATATTGATTAGTGAATATAAAAGTAGATAATAAATGTAGAATCATTTATTCTTTGCTTAAGTAAGTAAATATTATTATAAACTGACTTTAATGCAATTTGAAAATAAGGTTGTTTTACTATATTGATTCTATATGAAATAGGAAACATCAAATGAAGTCCTGTTACATTAGTCACCAAGCAGGACTAAAGGGTGATTCTTCAAGTACATAATTCATCATTGTTACTCCTGGAGTACCCATCATTCTAGCTATTTCTATTTCATGGTTTAGCAGCATAACATCCATCGGTGCTGTGTCATATAAAGGCTTGGTTAATTGCACAAATAATGAATATTCTTGTAGTTCTGGGGTATATTCATTATTCATTTATATTAATTCATCGTTCTACTCTAGTCTTAATTATGGCCAACCATACCAAATTTGTTCTTGCCTCTAAGTGATGTTTGAGCTTCGGTACTAATTATTGTTAAAATCAGAATCAAGATGACCAACTTCATGGTAATTTAATTAATAACTAATATAAATCCGTTTTTTTTATTCATTTTTCATTTCAATCATTCAAGTCTTATTACTAGAAGCATCATAATTTTAAGGACTTTTATCATTTTTATATTTGAATCAATCATTATACTATATAAGGAGATGTTGAGTAAATTTTTTCTTTAATAGAATAGTATAATAGATAAAATATCAAAACTTTCTTTCTTTATAGGTAATACTAATTTCAATCTTGAGGAAAATCATTAATTTTCTCTTTCATTAATCATTTTCAATTGATTATATTATTAATTATAAAGATACTTAATTAGCAAGATTACCTTTATTGAAAATTCTATTTTTATTCTATCAAAAAATTTATTTATCAATAACTTAAAAGAAAGATGTGCTCTTTGAAGTTAATTTACTTGAAATTTAATATTATAATTAATTTTATTTTGAATTAAAGCATCTCTATTTTATGAATAAATAAGTATCTTACTACTTATATTCCAATATTTAATTTCTTATACAAATTTATCCAAATATATGCCAATCTTAAATCATCTATGTCGAAATTTTTTAATCTAATGGGTATTTTAACAATGTAATATTAAATAAATACTATTAGGATTTCTGATAAGTTTAGAATTTTTGGATAGAAATTAAAAAAATATGACAAACATATTTAAATGTCTATATAAGAAGAAATTGAATTTCAATAAAGAGATCAAAAGTATGTCTATCCTATGAAAAAAATGAATTAAAAGAATCATATGATTTTAGAGTTCAACTTTATATTAAAAAACGTCTATAGTAATTTATTTGTATAATAATTTTAAACAACAGAGAAAAATCCAATTATACTTATTGCTTTATGTTTATTTGAGAGTTTCAATAAATTGTTGTATTAATAACATTATTATAATAATAATTGAATATTCATTCTATAACAATATAAGTTTAATTTAAAATATAGAAATTATCATTTGATTGTTAAGTTTATAATTTTAATATTTAATGCTAATTTATAACTAAAAAATGTTTATAATTATCACTTAATAAAATTTTATTAAATCAATTCTAAATTCCAAGCTTTTCATTCAAAACTAAAATTAAATATAATTAGTACCTTTTTTTCTCAATTTAGTTGGTACTTTTTTTTCCTCTAATGTTTTTCTAAATCGTTAATCTAATTAATTTTTATCATTGCTCACATCTAAATATAAAATTAATGATTCAAAAGTTGATTCATTTGATTATTGGAAAAATAGTTAATATTCTTTCAAAACTTTAGATGACTCAAGATAATTAGATTTAGATTTATTTCTTAAAGGAGTATCAGCCACTATGGATTCTGCCCTTGGTGAATGGCTTTATGGTTCTTAATCAATAATTTGTTCAGCTTCAACTATCTATTTAATTTATTTGATATCAAGTTTTCCTTTTTATGATTTTACATTCAAAGCAACTTTATTAAATATAGTACTTCCTTTAATAGAAATTCTATGTAAAGCCTATAAAAAATCATCATAATTCATTCCTGGTGGTATCCCATCAATAACTTCTTTGGATTTAGTTAAATATCTAAAAAGTTAAAGAACATCATCTTTAGATACAATTTCTGGACATAAATTAAACCTATCTGTAAACCAAGCAAACGTTTTGAAACTAATTTATTCTCTTGAAGATGGTTGACCAATTGGTAGAAATGTTTCTTTGATTAAAAATTAGAATAAACAATTTAATCCAAACTAATATTTCTCTATTATTTTCTAGTATGATGTTGATTTAAATTTATTCTCTATCTCTTTTTCTAGAGTCTTTTATTCTTAGATTCTTGATTAATTTTGTGTTAATATTTTTGATCTTGCTTATTATAATTATTATTATTATTTTTTTAATTGATCTTATTTTTCTTTTTCTGATTACTATTATTTATTTTATCCTTATGATATTATTTCTTTTAATTTTTTTATTTATTTTTAATTAAATTCTTAAAAATTGTGCTTTTTCATTTGAANTATAAGTTTAATTTAAAATATAGAAATTATCATTTGATTGTTAAGTTTATAATTTTAATATTTAATGCTAATTTATAACTAAAAAATGTTTATAATTATCACTTAATAAAATTTTATTAAATCAATTCTAAATTCCAAGCTTTTCATTCAAAACTAAAATTAAATATAATTAGTACCTTTTTTTCTCAATTTAGTTGGTACTTTTTTTTCCTCTAATGTTTTTCTAAATCGTTAATCTAATTAATTTTTATCATTGCTCACATCTAAATATAAAATTAATGATTCAAAAGTTGATTCATTTGATTATTGGAAAAATAGTTAATATTCTTTCAAAACTTTAGATGACTCAAGATAATTAGATTTAGATTTATTTCTTAAAGGAGTATCAGCCACTATGGATTCTGCCCTTGGTGAATGGCTTTATGGTTCTTAATCAATAATTTGTTCAGCTTCAACTATCTATTTAATTTATTTGATATCAAGTTTTCCTTTTTATGATTTTACATTCAAAGCAACTTTATTAAATATAGTACTTCCTTTAATAGAAATTCTATGTAAAGCCTATAAAAAATCATCATAATTCATTCCTGGTGGTATCCCATCAATAACTTCTTTGGATTTAGTTAAATATCTAAAAAGTTAAAGAACATCATCTTTAGATACAATTTCTGGACATAAATTAAACCTATCTGTAAACCAAGCAAACGTTTTGAAACTAATTTATTCTCTTGAAGATGGTTGACCAATTGGTAGAAATGTTTCTTTGATTAAAAATTAGAATAAACAATTTAATCCAAACTAATATTTCTCTATTATTTTCTAGTATGATGTTGATTTAAATTTATTCTCTATCTCTTTTTCTAGAGTCTTTTATTCTTAGATTCTTGATTAATTTTGTGTTAATATTTTTGATCTTGCTTATTATAATTATTATTATTATTTTTTTAATTGATCTTATTTTTCTTTTTCTGATTACTATTATTTATTTTATCCTTATGATATTATTTCTTTTAATTTTTTTATTTATTTTTAATTAAATTCTTAAAAATTGTGCTTTTTCATTTGAATTTCTTTTTCCTATTTATCTTTTTCTTCTAACATTCTCTTCAATTATTCTTCTTTTTCTTTATCATTTTTTTCTTTAATCTATTTATAATATATTAATTTATTACTTTTTATTTTTATTCTGTTTAGTAACTCATACGTTTATCTAATTATTCTTTTTTCAAATGATTTTCAGTTTTGTTTTTTTCATATCTTTCTTTTTCTACTGATTACTATAGTTATTTCTATCTTTCTTTTTCCTCTTTCAATTTATCTTTAATATCTTTTTCTCTTAATTTTCTTAACTATTCTCTCTTTTATTCTAATTATTCCAATTCTAATAATTATTATTTTTTATCTTCTTAAACTCTATTAATAATTTAATTTTATCTTGTAGCCTATTATCTATTGTGTTCAATTGCAAATAACATATCATCAAGTAAATTAGCAACATGTTCAGCAATAAATTTATCTTTCAGATTGCATTTAGCTATAGCTAATTTCATATTCAATGACCATTCTCTTTTAGGTTCAATTTCAAGTACTTTTTTCTTTTGTAAACTTGTATTTGCTTCCTTTGATTTTTTATGTTTAATTTTGAATTATTCATCTGCAGGTTCTTGTTGTAATTTAGATTAAATATAACCAAAAGCATCAGGTTTTGCTTTAAAGACCATTACTCTCTTTGAAATTGGTTCAATAATATTAACTCTATTTAACTCAAAATTTAATTTACCCCAATGCCTCAATCAATAAATCATTAAGAATTTAATATGGTATTTGAACATTATCATCTAAAAAAGGGATTTCATAAGAAAATTGAATTTCAAAAGTTGTAACTTTTTTATAACCCTAAGGTAATTCATAATTTGGATCTAAGAGCAATTATTAATTGTATTCTTTAATTATCTAAATACATAAAGATATATACATCATTCTCCATAAAGTATTAAGATTCTGGATCATCAAACAAAGCTGTACTTTATCCTTTAGAAGCTGTTACATTTCTTAAATGGTTAATAAATTTAATTAAACATTAAAAAGCTTATGTATCTGACAATTTATTTTTAGACAGAATAATGGATAATTAAATTACAAATTAATTAAACCCTATTTAATCAAATTCTTTAAATTCTGTTTTGTTATGCAGAATTTGAGTTCCTACCTACCTTGCTAAAGCCTAAACATTTTCAATTGATATAGCAATTTCATAATCATGAACAAATTTACTTATTTCTGCAATATTTATACTTTCAGTCCTTTAAAGATATTAATCAAAAGAATTAGGTTATTTCATTCCTTATAAACAAGTATTAGCATATTTTGTAAAAATATATCTAAAGACTTTACTATATTTTCTTAATATCTATTCTACCATTAATTTTTCTATTTCCTCCTCTAAATTTAAATCTAATAAATCAAATGTAACTAATCCATGCTTCTTTTCTTTTGCTAACTCAGTTTATCTGCTACCATCAGGAAATATCAATTTCACAGCAACATCTTTTTGATTTAATGATGCTATTCCTTATTCAATTTGTCTTTTCTCTAATTATTTTCTTAATTTCTCTTTTTTCTATTTTAATTATTCTTCTTAAGTAAATTTTGATAATTCTTTCTCCAATTATTTTTCTTAAAATTACTTTTTAATAGTTGATATATCATTTATAACTTTAGGATCAGTTTCTTTAGGCATTCTTAATCTTGCTAAATGATATTGTTCTTCCTTTGTAAGTTTGATTTTGGAGAATTTCTTTAAATTCCCTTAAACTTATTGGACTTCTTTAACTGATGAATCTGAATATGCTTATTTATTAGTTTAAGCTTCCTAATATTCCAATTCCACTTATTGCATAATTTCATTTATATCACCAAGTAACTAAAGAAGTATTTATAATCCTTTATTTTATTTGGATAATAATTTAAATTATAAATTAGTATGACCTGCCATCATTTTTATCACTTAATTAATATTTTCATTATGAATTTGTATTATACTTTTTAAAACTTCAATTATTTATGCTTTTCTTTATTTATCTACAATTTATTGATTAGGTTTTTTTTTTTCAGATTTTTTATGAACTGAAAAGTACACAGCAAGACTTATTTTAACAAATTTTTAAACAAATTCTTAAGTACTAGGTGAATTTTAAGAATTTGTAACCATTTAAAGAAATATCTAAGATGCTATTCTATAATGCAAAGTATCATAAATAGCTATTTTTGATAATAAATCCATCAATTATATTTATGATTTAGTAGTTAAATTTTGATTATTAGCTACATTGGCAATGAAATTAAAAACAACCAAACTTGGATATGTTTTCTCTTGTAAATTTATTATAAATGGATCAAGAACTATTGATAATGGGATTGAAGGGATAGTTTAGAAAACTATTAAAAGATTTTATAGTATAAAATGTACTAAATTTTCGTTTGTTAATTCTACTAGTTAAATGGCAATTCTATATATAAAATAAACTTTTACATTTTATACAAAATTGGAGCTTCTGGAATTTTATTTTTTCCAAAATATTCTAAAGCAGAAAACAAAAACTATATAGAAAATAAAGCCACACATTCTCTAGGATCTTATGTGGCTGTTTTAAAAACATTATGTACTCGTTCTTAATGCTATTAATATTAATTTTTTAGCCAAATGTTATGAATAAGTCTTAAAATAGAAATTTTCTCATCTGATTTTAAAGTATTTGTACTTTCAAGAATTTCCAAACCTTATTCTAACCATTGTTGCATTATACCCATAGATTAAATTTCTAAAATATACTCAGGTGTGAGTGAATTAAAAAGTTTTTCAACATTAATTAACATTTCAATATTATTTGCACTGTGCTATTTAAGAATTGAAGTGAAAAGATCAACTAAATGGAATTTACAAAATAATATCATTAAATCTACTAAAGAATCTACTAATTATGGATGTCTTTTAATTGATAAAAGTGTTGTTTAAAAACAAGATTCAACATACCATTAATATATATCCTCTTTATATGATATTTTATTATTATAAGCTTATATAACAAAATTTCCAAGAGTTTTAATAGTTTCAATACACACTTCAGGTGATTTAGATACCAATCCTGGTTTTAATAGATTTAATGAAAAACCTAAGGCTTTATCTTTTTCTATTGCTATTAGATTTTATAGATGTTCAACTGATAAAAAGACATCCTTATAAATTGAGATTATTGGTTCATATACCCTTTGAACACCTTTTGTAACTATTTAGGCCCAAAATTTAAAATTTTCAGCATATAATGATATAACCTATTTGTATTACAGATTCAACCATTTTGATAATAATTATGTAAAGTATTCTAAAGTATTTGAATCAGATATTTAAACTTACTCTTATGTTTAGCTAAGATTTAAATGATTATATCCTTAAGATTATGGTTATTATTCAGATAAAATTCTATTTCTGACGTTTGGAGATGCTTTAGGCTTACTCAATCTGGCTTATTGCATCTTTAAATAAAAGTCAAACAATTAATTAAGTGTGTCTTCAATTATCTACACATCTCCCATTAATATTAATTTTTTAATATCATTGTTTATATCATTTGGTATTTACAATTAATTTATTGCACTTATGATGATATTCCAATTATACAACTTTGTAGATGCTGTAGTTAATTATTTAAGTTAATCTAATTGAGCAATAGGAGTCAGAGTTCTTATTAAATTAATGATAAATACCTTTATGAAATCTCTTATTTTAAATTATAAATTGATTTAACTAACTTGCCTACTGCAATTCCATTTTCAATTAAATTTTATTAAGCTTCTGTTAAAATAATGGGATTTTTATTGGCTTGCTTAATTGTTTCAAACACCTTTAAAGTTGATAAGTGATTATAAAGTGCATATGATAATTTCATAGTTATATTATTATTAATATATATACAAAAACTTTGAAATAATTAATTTATCAGTTTATATACTTCTATATTTGAATAAAAAATGAGATATAGCCTCATAAAAGATAAAATTATTATTGATATGCTTTGTGTTAGATTTGTATTTTTAAATAATTCTTATTTTAAAATAATAGTTTAAATAAATGATTAATTATATTAAAAACTCATATTAGTAAAATAAAAGAATTCAACATGTTATTTTTCGAGGCTGTTTATGATCATCATCAAATTGTTCTATTGTAGTTTGGCTCTTAGATTTTATACTTGAGTTCTTGAGATATCATTTAATTATTACCTCTAAGGTGGTTTAAGAGGTTCCCTTAGATCGACAGCCAATTTCATTACCATCAAGTTAGCTTTTGGCTATGAAAAATACCATAATATCACTTTCAACTATTGTTTGATATCTATTATAGAATTGATTTGAGACTTGAAAATGCGATTAAGATAATCTTCTAACTGCGATTTTCTATCTCGTAAATCAGCAGCATCAGAAATATTAACTAATTTTTTTTCAGGGAAATTAGGTAATGGAAAATCAAGATGAATGTTTTTTATTTGTCTATGATAATCTCTTAAGTCTTGAAATCGTTAAGTAAATCTCCAACTTTTGTTTGTAATAGTATCTGTTGCTTAAATTGTATAAAGGGCTGAATCATCAAATATGAGATGATCTTCGAACTTAAAAATATATTACTATCTAGAAATATTAAGTGTTAATACTTGCTTTGTTATTCAATTTTTTTTTGGGGTAAAGAGAATATTGAATCCCCATGTTTTGCTAAATAGGATTCTTTAAGTTATTGAATTTCTTGCCATCTTCTATCAACAGGCGTATCATTTTGTTTCTGTGCACTCAATTTAGGCTCTTTAGGAAGCATTTCTTCAATTACTCCAAGACAATGTAATTCTGGGCAAGCTAGTATTTCATTCAGATATTATTATAATTCTCCTCTCTTTAAATAAAATCAAAGTTTACTCTTTTAATTATGCTTTCTTCACTCTAATTTGTATGAAACAAGAACTTCTTCTTAGGAAAATGAATCACAGGGATTTTTATTTTAAATATTTAAATCCATTCCAATATTTTTTAATGCATGGATTCTAATTCGGAATATCTTTTTTTCAGCTCTTTAGGTTCTCCTCCTTCCAAATTACATATACTAATTGTATAGTATACTTTTTTATCAATTGTCTCATGTTTAGGTATTTTTACAGAATATCTTTGAGCTGATTGCTTCATTTAATTAATTATAAATCCAATTTTAAATATATATTCAACCAATCATAGCAACGTAATCTATTCTGCAATCCCTTGATTTTTCAAGATTGTATGAATTTAACATTCTCTTTTCTAAATAATCCCATTTATAAAGTTAAAAATCCAACTTTATTATATTTAATTTATATAAATTATTAATAGTACAAATTTATTTTGAAGAAAATAGTATAAGGTTTTACAGATATTATTAATTTCATAATGATAAGTATAATACAAAAAGAGCCATTTAATTCACATTTGCCAATTTATAAATTAAGATCTAATTACAAAATGGTTAAATAAATCTAAAATACATTTTAAAATTCATATAGAAATTTTCTTTAAATTAAATACACTAAAGACTTACCTTTTATAAATAATATATTTACTATAAGTATTATTATTATTTTTACAGATTGTTAAATATTGGTTAAGGATTTTTCAACTTTAAAAGTTTGATTAGTTTTGTTTAATAACAATTATTGTATATAATGAGAAATTTATTTAATCTAAATATTATTTAAGAGAAATTAGGTTAAGTATTATTAATTCAAAAAAAAATTATAGTAAAATATAATAAATGGGGAATGCTTGTAGATGTCATTAATAACCTGATAATTTCAATGAAGACCAAGAATCTAATAATCCAGAAGTATATCAAGCACACACTGATAAACCAGAGGATGATAAATGTGAATAATAATCGATTTCAAAATGGAGAAATATTTAAGAAGGTTTGATTTATAATCTAAAATAAGATGATAACCTTCCTCTTCCAGAGTTTAGAGAAGAAATAGCAAAATCAAATAATGGAAGCCGAATTCAATTACCTCCTGTCACAATGAAATCAGGGAATATGTAGAGATTATGAACTAGCTTAGTTATGAGGGAGAATGGCTGAATTAAAAAAAAGATGGCAAAGGGAAATTCACTTGGAAAGATGGCAGTTACTTCGAAGGAGATTTTGTTTAAGACAAAGCTTAAGGGACAGGGAAATTAGTACATGTTAATGGTGATTCATATGAGGGAGAATGGTAAAATGATATGGCTCAAGGTCATGGAGTTTTCATTCATTTTAGAGGAGTTAAATATGCAGGATAATGGAAATACGATCTTTAGGATGGAGAAGGACAAGAAACATGGCCTGATGGTACTGAATATAAAGGAACTTACAAAGAGGGGAAAAGACATGGACAAGGATATATGTAATTTTAGGATGGTTCTAAATATGAAGGGAATTTTGAGAATAATGAAATTTGTGGATATGGTTGTTATACATGGAAAGATGGCAAACAATATAAGGGATAATGGTTGAATAATAAGATGCATGGTATTTTTAATTATTGAATATATTAAAGGTTAGGGAGAATGTATTTGGAAGGATGGAAAGAGTTATAAAGGAGAATATGCAGATGATAAAAAAAATGGGTATGGAGTATTTACTTGGGCCAGTGGGAAAAGATATGAAGGATATTGGTAAGATGGTAAATAACATGGAGATGGAATTATTATAAATGCTGAGGGAGTTAGAAGAGAAGGATTATGGGAATATGGTAAACCAAAGAATTTAGATTGATTTTATTTGTATCTACAACACTGTTAAATTTAAGAGATTAAATATATAATAATCTATATAAAATAAAATTCAAAATGGAGGAAGTTGATGGGAATTATATTGAATGTTTAAGTTAAGGAGGCTCTTCTCCTTATAAACCTATGGATAATCTATTTCAAATCTACTCTGATAAAGTTAGCAAAAAATCTGAATAATAAAGAAGGTTCTTTAGTGGATAAAAACAAGCTACCGAACCAATTGAATAATTGAGTAATAATGGTTATTCGAATTCTGAGAGCAAACAAAAAACATAAAACAAAGAAGCCGTTCAAATTTAGCTTATTTCATTTTATGAATAAAACCTTCAAAACTTAAAGTAGATGGTTATAGATAAAGATGAAGATATCAAAATTAGAGATGAGAAGATTCTTGAACAATCAATTCTTATCAATCTCATTAATACTTAATATAATAAGATTCAAAACCTTTTATAATAAGAAAGGGATGAAATTCTTGTAAAATATATGTAAGCAATGGATGAAATACAAAATCTAAGTTAAAAGTATTAATAACAATAGCAATAATAATAATAGTAACTTATGTCTATGTAATAAAAAATCTAGCAATAATTACAATAATAAATAACATAGCATTTGCAAAATTTTCAGGTTCCTATGGATTATGACTCTAAATTAATAGAACTTCATGAAGCCAAATAACAAGTTAATCATTATAAGAATTAATGCATTAATCTAGAAGTCAAAGTCAAAGAAGCAGAAGTAAAATTAGAAGATTCGAATTTAAGATTGAATGAAGCTTATATCAGAATTGATCTATTAGAAAAAGAAGCCAGAAATGTCTCATAATAAAATGTATATCTATTTATTTAATATATAGATTATGCTTGATTAACAATTTAAATCATTATTATAACAATTTGAATAGTATTAATAAATATAGAAAAAACAAAGTTAATAATTTTAATTCCGTGAAGCTACAAGTATGATGAGTAGTGTTTATAGTAATTAATCAACTAGTGAATAATAAATTCTTCAAAATGTAAATTAGAATGGTTCAAAGCATGAGTAACTCTAAGAAAATGATAATCTAATAAATGCTTACACTTAATTTAAAAAATAGAATAGTCTTAAATAATTCAATTAGATGTTAGTTTAATCTTAAATCAAATAATAAAATGGTAAATAAGACACTTAACTAATATCATATAATTAAGGAGGAATTTTAAATTTTCCATCTGATTTTCGCACTTAATAATAGAAAGATTTAGAATTATAATTAACTAATTAGTTGAATGAGTTGACTATAAAAAAATAAACATTAGAAAGTGAATTAAATAAAAAGATTAATGTATCAAAAAGTGCTTTAGAAAGAAGAAAAAGAGAATAAATTGAGCATGAATTAGATTAAATTTAAGATTAAATAAATAAAGTAAAACTAAAATTAAGAGAGAATAAATTTATTTGATATTTATACTTGTTTAGAATATAAAATAAATTAGTGTTTAGATATATATTATTGAAATAAAAAATAATTAAAATTAAACAATCAAAATAAATATTCAAAATATATATTGTTCATATTATAAAATTCAAAATATCATTTTTTTTATTATTACTGCAACTTTTATTGTTATTTTTGTTAAGCTTTCTCTAATAATCCTTCAAGTTGACCTTTTCGTTAAGCCATCTTAAAAAGTTCAAGAATGAATGGAATATAATTATGTTTCCTTCTTGAATTTTCTTCCTAATTTAGATAATATGAATATAAATACTTTGAATTTTTAAAACTTAGCATTTTCTTCACTCAAAGTAATTTAAGCTTCTTAAATTCTAGTGTTGGCAAGATTTAATCTATTTAATAATTCTTCTTTTGATTCTTGTAGTAATTCTTATTCAATATTCTTTTATATAGTATTCAAATTTACTTGTTAATTTGATAGTTAAATTAATTATTGCTTCTATTCTTCATTTAAATCAGCTCCTATAAACTCTAAGGTTTTGAGAGTCAATAATATTTCATTTTATGATTATGAAATAATTTAATTAGCCTAAATCAATAATAGATTATACTCTAAATTTTCTACATTAGTTAACAGCTAATAAAGTAAAGGCAGTTTCTTTTTCTTAGTAATGTTAAATCCTTTTTAAGATAGCTTCTTTTGCTTTAACAATCCAATCATCTTGATATTCACCAATCAAAATTGGTCCTTCTTAAAGGCCATCTAATTCATACACTTTTCCTTTGAAGGGAATATAAGAAACAAAATGAAAGATATCATCACCTTCCTAAAATAAAAATTAAGATAATTACTTTAGCCTTCTTCTTTTCATTAGAGAAAATGAAGGGTTCAGGACGAGCAAAGCTATTATGAGCAGTTTTAATCACTTCAACAGCTCCTAAACAATTTCCCCTTTCTTTAGGATCTAGAGCAATAGCAAATTCCTAAATTATTTAATAGTATATTACTTTATAATTTTTAAGCGCTTCTCCAATTTCAATTTAAGGGCAATTAAGTAAAATTGAAATGATGGCTTAAGTTGCACATGCATTCTATATTACTTAATTGGCAAAGAAGAGATCCTAGTCATAAATTTTGAGACATTCTCTTTTTTCACCTTTACTTGTCCATCTGAATAAGAATATGAATCCATAAATGGGTTGCATTTATGCCATCTATTATTCATCATTTAGATCATAAATCTCTTCAACTTGAACTCCTTAAACTCCAATTGTATTAATGAGCTCAGTGAATACTCCAGGGTCAGACTCTATTGTACACCACTCTTGCATAAATAATTATATATATTTTAATTAATTGGACAGATAAACAATTAGTAATACCTATTCAAAAATAAGAAGTAAAGGATCTCAATCAATAGGTAAAAGGTTGAAAAAGAATTATCCTTTTAAATTTAGTAGAAGCTTCATACAAAATGACTATCACCATTTTAATTGTTTGCTTTGGTGTATTTCATTAGTAGATGGATTGAATAGTACCTTACTCAGAGAATTAAGATATATAAGAGTGTAATAAATTTTGGCTATAAATCAGAGTCTAATATGTAGTTCATTTATTGTATATTGCTTTTTATTTATAATGTTAGAGATTTTAAAAATGACAATAACAATTAGAAATTTTGAGTTTATGAAAATGATATCATTAATCTAAATTAGGAAAAAAATTATTTTAGCTTTGTAACTATCAATTATTATTATTGTTTGCAAACTTAGCTAAACATCATGTTTGTATTTCTATAAAAATTTACTTTAGATTTAGTAATGTAGATTTTTTCTATTCTACTTATAATATCATTCGCTCAATTAATTGATATTTAATATTTTATTGGCAAATAATCTGCTTTAATTTTATGAAGATTATATATTTGGGTAAAGATTATTTTAATATTTTGTATTTGGACATTATTTTATTAATTTGTACTAGATTTATTCAAACTAATTTCAATGTTTTTCTAAATTCTTGGTCTAAATTTTAGGGATCTATTTGATCAATATTTAACGCTTAAATTCCCATTTTTAAGAATTTAATAATTTATATGTCTAATATTTTCATATATTAGAATAATTATTAGAGCTTTGTTTAAAATTTATATTATTATTTAAATAAAGGTTAACAAAACAATAATGATATTATTAAATATAATTCTATTATTTATTATCTTGTTTAGAATGAAAATTCTGCATAATAAAAATAGATCTTTACTTTATTTACCCTAAGAATGCCTTGAAAATTTATTAATTCATTAATATAATTAAAATTAAGATTAATTTATTATTAATTTAATATCTATAAATGATGCTAATTCTAAATATTTTTCTTTCAAATAATAATTATAAATTAATGGTTATCGTTTCAATACTAATTTTAAAAAATCTAATCTAATTCAAATATGAAAAATATAAAGTAATATAAACATAATTTTCAAGAATCTAACTATTCTTTATTATATTACTAAACACAAAAGATTATTTGACTGACACTATTAAATAATTTTTTGTGTTAATAAGAATAAAAAATGGACTAGATGAATAAATATACATTAGAATTTCGAGCATCAGATATTGAAATAAAGTATTAAAAACAATCAATCTACAAATTACTCAAGCCTCTCCATCATGGTCTCATTTTAATGTCACTATTATTGAATACAATTTAGATAATTACTGTAACAACTAGAGAATCCTATTCAATACCATTTATCAATATCACTTTTATAGGATTATCTATATTTAGTTTTGTTATTATTTATAAAAAAGAGTCATTAACATAGAAAATGATGACTATTGAAAATGCTTATATCTTATTATTATAGTTGAACTTTACTGCAAATAATATACATGGTTAAGAATACTTTTTATATGGAAGTAGCTTTTCTTTGATTCAGGCAGTAACATATTTTGCTACAGATTTTTATTTAAGTTGTCCTTCAGTTATATTTCATTTGATATTTCGATTAGTTGCGACTACTTTGTCTGCAGATAAATTTGATTTAGTAGGATTGGGTCTAACGATAACTACAGCAATATTTTTAATTAGTGTGTTATATATATGTAATAAGGCATAAAGGTTATAATTCTTAATGAATTATAAAGAAGATACAATTAACTATCAATTACAAACTTTAATCAATAAACCTTTTACAAAGATTATATATAATGAAAAGAAATTATAAATAGATGTACTTTAGGTCAATTAGGTAAATTAATTTTTTGGATATAACTAAGATTTATGTTTTGGATGTAATATTAGAAATTTTATAAGAAATTGTAAGATTGCTGATAGAGCATTAGAGAAATGGATAATAAATGATTAAACAAATCTAAAGGAAAATTGGATTGCAATGGTTTAAAGAACAAAAATAAAGATTAGGCTTTGTTAATTTAATACTGATAATAGTTTGATATTAATTTTAGAGAATTCAAAATTGGATACAAAATAAAAATAAGTTCCTTAGTTTGTGACAAATCAATTAGTTGAATAATTTTTGAATAGTAAGAAAACTCTTTTTAATTTATAATTTAAATTTGGGGTCATGTCAATTTTAATGTTAGGTCAATATAAAATAAAGACAATAAATATAGTAAAGGTATTGAAAAAATTATTGAATACATATGTATTTTAAGGGAAAGTAAATTTAAATTTAAATGGTTATAAGATGATAAAATTGAAGACTTATGCATAATTTTTGTATATTTTCTTAATTTAAGTTTTTAATATCATTTAAGATATGGAATACTCTTAAAATATATTTAATGAAATAAGTATTAATAGTTTTGATAATTATCTTGTTTTTCAATTGAAACTATCAAATAAACTTTAATTTGTATAATTATACTAAAAGAATTTTTTTATTAAATATACTGAATAACATTTATTAATTACACCATTAACATAAGATTTAGTATTTTATTTTAATAAATTAATTCCATTTGATGAAACAAATGCTTCAATATGATATTTAAAACTTGATAATTTAATTTATATTAATAATTATTTCAATATCATTCAAGTAAATATAACATTTACTTGTTTAAGAAGATAGAGTTATTTCTAATAAATTAACAAAAATTAATTTTTGTTTGAGTTTGTAATTAGGAAATTAAATTTTTGTTTATATATAATATATTTAATATATGAATAATCAACCTGTGTATATGTCTGTTGAGTAAATAAATGCTTTGTTTTAGAGAGATTCAACTTATGAAATTAGAGATGATCGTATTAATTCGTTTTAAAATGATATTAAGAAAAATGAAGTAATGAAATTAAGTATGTTAAGATTTGGAAGTCTGAAGGTGCTGAATGTGAAGAAAATAGGCCTACTAATTAAAGTGAGAGTATGATGATGAGTAAGAATTATTTTAGTTTAAGTTTTTAAGTAACTAGAGAGGAGTATTAGAGTTTGTAATAAGAATATGAGAGACGTAAAGATATGGAGGAGAAATATAAGGAGGATATAAATAAATTAATGAAAGAACTTAAATAGAAGAGTGGAGAACTGGAGAGTGTAAAGAGAGATTAAGATTTATTATTTGAATAGAATTAAAGAAGAGAATGTATTGAATTTATATTAAATGGAAAGAAATACTCTAGAATTTGAGATAATAAATTTAAGAAGCAAATAATCGAGAACAGAAGGCTGTTATTGAATTGGCTGAGATGTAGGAGTAACATTTGTAGATGAAATAGTAATTGGAAATAGTTTAGCAGAAGTATAACTATTTGTAGAAACAACACAAATTTGAAATAGATAGAAAAGAAAAATAAATTGATTAATTCAAGAGTTAAATAATATCTTTGAATGAAGATAATGAAAAACTTAAGAATGAACATTAGGCTGGGATTCTCTATCTCGATTCTTAGAGGGTGTCATAGGAAAAGATTTAAAATTAATGGACATAATTTAATTCGAGTGCTTATAAGAGTAGTATTTAATTCCAGAAGGAAAAACCAATTACTTAAATTTAGTTTAAGAGTAATTATGATTCCAAACTAATTTTCGGAAAAAAGTCTCAAAATTCATTAAAATAACAACAATCCTAATCCGATTTGTAGTTGAAAGGATAATGAGTTTAATATTATATTATATATATTAAGATATAAATGCCTCCTAAAAAAGAATAACAAGAAGAGAAAAAGAATAAATTAGGAAGACCTAGTAATACTCTTAAGATGGGTATAGTTGGTATGGCAAATGTGGGTAAGGAATACATTTCATAAAAAAAATAGGAAAATCAACCACATTTAATACTTTGTGTAAATTAAATGTTCCAGCAGAAAATTATCCATTCTGTACAATTGATCCAAATAATGCTAAAGTTCCTGTTCCAGATGATAGATTTATAAAATTATGTCAAATGCATAAGCCAAAAAGTGAGATTTAAGCTGTATTGAGCATAGTTGATATAGCTGGGTATTGATATAATAAAAATATTAAATAAGTTTAGTACCAGGAGCACATAAGGGAGAAGGATTAGGAAATGCTTTCTTATCACATATAAAAGAATGTGATGGAATTTATCATGTTGTAAGAGCATTTGAAGATGAAAATGTTTGTCATACTGAATTATCAGTTGATCCAATTAGGTAGATTAGATAATTATATTGAATAGAGATATGGATATAATTTCTACTGAATTGTTATTAAAAGATTTAGAATTCTGTAATAATAGATTAGCTGAAACAGAACACGTAATTAAGAGAAATAACAATAAAGATGCTAGAGAAGAAAAAGAAGTTTTGGATAAAGTGAAATAATTATTGGATAATAAGAAGTGGGTCAGAACAGGAGATTGGAATTTTAAAGAAGTTGAAATATTGAATAAATATTATTTCATTACAGCAAAGAATGTTGTATATTTGGTGAATTTAAGTTAACAAGATTTTATGACAAGAAAGAATAAATGGTTGAAAGGTATTAAAGATTGGGTTGATGCTAATTGTCCAGGAGATATTATTCCATATAGTGCAGATTTAGAAAAGGCTATTTTTGAAGAGTATTTCACTTTTATAATAAATCAAGATCTCAAGCTGGTACTATAACTTAAGAAAGATAAAAATTATCAATGTTACCAAGAATCATCAAAACTGGCTATAAAGCTTTAGATTTGATTTATTTTTTCACTGCTGGTGAAGATGAAGTCAGATGTTGGACTATTAGAGCAGGAACTAAAGCACCTTAAGCTGCTGGAGTAATCCATACAGATTTTGAAAAAGGATTCATTTGTGCTGAAGTTATGAAGTATGAAGATTTTGTAAATTTGGGATCTATCACAGCAGTTAAAGCTGAAGGTAAGTATAGACAATGGGGTAAAGAATATGTTGTAGAAGATGGAGATATTTGTTTCTTTAAATTTAATGTTGGAGGCGGAGGCAAAAAATGAGTGTTAAAATATACATATAGTAAATTAAAATAGATAAATTGATATTATATATATTTAAATGTTGTGTATCAAATCTTTTATTAATCTTAATCTTTTGATTCAACAGTTGAAATGTTTCCTATTTCTAAATGATATTAATCTAGTTTAACATCATCCAAAACAAATGAATGATTAACTTAATCACATGTAATGAAATCTTATCGGGATTGAAAGTATTTAAATGGAAAAGAATATTCTATCTTAGTAACGAACCCCTTAAATTATCATCTTTAATGGTTACCTTAGATAATTTCATCATAAAACCATCAAATAATTGATATTCTATAAATGCAAAAAAAGCTGCTGCTATTAGATCTAATCTAGGGAATTCAATTATGTTCATAATTAAAAAGAATGTTGGAGGATAATATTTTGATTGAAGAGAAAATGGAAAGCATAAGAATTTTTATGGTTCATCATAATGGTTAAGTGCTCTTATATAATAAGACAAACTATACTTATTCATCATGTAAATAAAAGTGATATTCCAAAAGCCAAAAGACTAAGTATCTAAAATTTCCAAAGTTAAATATGAAAGTGAAAAACATAATATAACATAAATAATCTATTTATGAATTTTTAAATACTTGTATGATCAGATTCTTAAAGAATATATCACAAAAAAATGGTATTGTACCATAACTTTTTTCAACTTCAATAGCACAAAACAAAAATCCAAGTAAACTTATTGTAAGATTATATATATCGCCTATTTTTAGAAGATTATTAGCATACCATGAAAGAATTATGGAATAAGTAATCTCCATAATTCGAATTGATATATAGTTTTATTAGGAATGTCTACAAATACATTGAATAATTAATCATTTGTTAGTAAATCAAGGATGCAGCAAATTGTGCTCATTATCAGAACAAATTTGGTTCCAAAAGTGATGCTTTACCATATAGCAATAATTTTATCTATAATTAACATTAATAATTTTATAATTTAATATTCATTGTTAATGTAGATGCTAAAAGCATTATTTTTGTTCAATTTCCCATTTAATCAAGTGAATATAATTATAATCTTTGAGATTCAAAATTGTTATAGTTATCAAATATAATGAAAAAAGAACTTAAAAATTACTTATGATTTTTCCAAAAAAATAATAATAAGGTTTATAATTAAATGAGTGAACTTCTAGAATAATAAAAGATAATATAAAATAATTTACATTAAATATTACTTATTGTAATCTATTGATAATATTCTTAATCAATTATTGGTCAACATAAAATAGATTTATTGGAAAAAAACTAAAACCTTATTAAATATAAACTCAATTGATAAATAATATAAAATCTAATTAACCTTTTTAAAGTTAATATAAATCCTTACATCAAAACTACCTTTAATATTCTAAATTAGATTATATATGTATATACAATATATAAATAATCTAATATTATTTTTTTTATTTAATTTTTATAATAAAATTTAATAAATAACTTAAATAAATTAGTGTTAATTAATCAAAAGTCAGCATCCATAGTAAATACTTTATCTTATTTTTTACTCATAACTCCAGCCTTTTGATAGTCTCCAACTCTTCTTTCGAAGAAATTAGTTTTACCTTATAGGGATATCATATCCATCCATTCAAAAGGATTCTTTGAATTGTAAATTTTAGGAGCTCCCAAAGCAAATATCAATCTATCTGCTACAAATTCAATATATTATTTCATTAAATTAGAATTCATTCCAATTAATTCAACTGATAAAGCTTCACTAATGAATTCTTTTTCAATTTCTACAGCTGATGAAATGATTTCATGAATTCTTTAATTACTCAATTTATTGACTAAATGTTTGTAAAGAAGACAAGCAAAGTCTGTATGGAGACCTTCATCTCTTGAAATTAATTCATTTGAAAAAGTAAGTCCAGGCATCAATGATCTTTTTTTGATCCAAAATATAGCACAAAATGAACCAGAAAAGAAAATACCTTCAACAGCAGCAAAGGCAATTAATCTTTCAGCAAATGAATCATTATTATTAATCCATTTCATTGCCCACATTGCTTTCTTTTGAATTACAGGTACATTATCTATAGCATGAAGAAGATAGTTCTTTTCATTCTCATCAGTTATATAAGTATCAATCAAAAGTGAATAGGTTTCTGAATGAATGTTCTCCATAGCTATTTAAAATCCATAGAAGCATCTAGCTTCAGGAACTTGTACTTCTGTACAGAACTATTAAGCTAAGTTCTCATTCACAATACCATCACTTGCTGCAAAGAAGGCAAGTACATACTTAATAAAGTGTTTTTCATCTGCAGTGAGTTTTTCCCAATCTTTAAGATCCTAAAATTTTATTAATTAAATGTCTTACCTAATATAAATCTATTTCTTCAGCTGTCCAGAAACTTGCTTTATGTTATTTATACATATTCCAAATATCATTATATTTGATTGGAAATAGTACAAATCTATTTGGATTTTATTTCAAAAGAGGTTCATCACATTCATTCTATTAAACAACTGTTTAACTTGTCTACACAATTGATAAAGGATTGAATGTTTGAGTCTTAGTGTTGCCGCTAAATTCTTTATTTTAAATGAGCATTTTTTGTGTTTGAAATTTAAATTATTATTTTATAATAAACTTGAATTTTTGGTTTAAAATGATAAACTTTGTTCTAATATTCATAATTTAAAAAACGGCGGTTCTCTCTTTCTTTTATAATAAATTCAATAACTCAATAACACTATTCCAATTGTATAAATACAAGTTCACACACCCTATCAAAGTATACAATAATCCCTAAAGAAATCATACATAATTTAATACAATAACATAATCCCTTATTGCCATTTCTAATATATTTGTCTTAGGCTTATCATTAACATAAAAATGTCTTAAGCCTTTCTTTCATCATTTTAATCAATAAGTCTTTCAACTTTAAGAATATTTCATCTTTTTTTTTTAAATCCTATAGACTTTATAACTAAAACATAGATATTTAAATATGGAGAATCTATGTATTTGCTAACCTTTACATAATTATTATAATTAGCTTATTTATTCTCTCTATCTTAAATTAATCCTCTCAAAGAATATATATGATATTATTCTTTAGTCTCTCATTTAATATTTTTGACTATACTTTTTTTAAACCATTTTGTTTATATCACTTCTATTCATTTTGTATATCTTATTCATATAGTTTAAATAAGATAATATGTAAGAATAATTAGACAATTTGATATAAGTAAAAGTCATCAAAATAGAAACCTATTAAATTACAAATATTTGATTTGAATAAAATGATATTATACTGCTAATTGTGTTTTTGCAAATTATTTATATAAATCTTGATATTATATTAACTATTTTATTATATTAACTAAGAAAACCTTTAAAATTATAATATAATTAAATTTTTCATTATTTTTAGTAAATTTTCATTCTCTTCGTAATGGTTATACATTTCCCAATATGGAAAGAAACCCTTACTATATAGATCGATTTCATGGTAAAATCTTAAATATTTATAACATTTATTACATTTCACCCCAGCATTGATAAAACTTTCCATATTCACTTTCCCATTCAATCTATTAAATAATTATTTAATAAGATTCTACTATTACTTCTTCTCTATCCAAGTATCATTTAAAGTCTACCCTAATTCTTCTAAATTAATCCATCCATCTTTATCATGCCAACTTCAACAAAGAATATAAATCTAATCATTAGGAATTGATATTTTAGCATTTTCTATTCATTAAAACTAATTAATTCTATTTGTAAATCGATAATGCACTAAATAGGTAAACAGATCTTTTGCTCTTACTCCTTGGATTTCTAATTTCTTCACTATTTGAATTGATCAGTCATCAAATTAGTTGATTATTCCAAATTTTAAATTTCCTCAAATAGCCCACACTCATTTAAGTGATATCTTGGCATTTTTGTATTAAAAAAAATAAAATATAACTAATTTTTAATCTTGTTTTATTTCTTTTATTTCTTCTAACATTTTTAAATCATCATTTTCTTTTTAATCACTATTTTCTCTTATTATGGTTTTTTGAGATTCCATTGTTGTATACTATTCATCACTCAATCTCTTTCTTAAAATCTAAATTAAATTTGTTAGGTGATCATATTGAAGGATTTGGACTTAATGAAATGTCAATAAATATCTTTCTTTTGATTTAACCTTTCTTAAAACAATTGGTTCCTCTTACATTTTATCAGGGTCTTTTATGTTTAGCTATTAATCCAATTAATTTAACATTTTATTCTTTGACCATTTATGTTAATTATAAACGGTTATCTTTCACTATTTCTTCAATACACAAAAATTACTAATACTTGTGTATTTCTTGATTAATTATATGGTTTTCAATTATTCATTCTTTTTAGATTTATTATATACTTTGAACATTTATAAGATATGATTAATATATAAAAAAAAAATAACTAAAAAGTAAAAAAATTTCAAAAAATTCCAAATTATTCCTACTTCTTGGCAATTAATTATAATTCCTTAAGAAATGTCATGTTTTGCATAGTGAGTTCATCATTCTATTATTCAATAATTTCATTTTATTTTTCTATTTTTTCCTTTGCTTATCGATACTTCTCCTTGACTTACTCTAACTAAAAAATAATATATATATTATGTATTACCTTTTCTATATTTTATTTTAATTAATCTTTTAATGATTCTATTTATTTTTAATTATCACTTTGACTCTTGGTTTAGACTTTTTCTTTATTATTTTAGTCTTATTCTAATTATTTAATTAAAATCTTTAATTTAGCATTTTCAGTTTCAAATCTATTACATTAATCTTTTAATTGTGATAATTAAGTTTGATATTGAATGATCTAAGATTTTTATTAAGATATTTCTTATTCTATAGTTTTTAACTTATTATTGGTAAATTGCAATTCATAAGTTAATTTATCATTTTTTCTTTTATATTCATTTACTTATTCATCTAATTATGTAATAGTTGTATTTTATTAAACATATTCTGGAATTTCATTAAATTAAGTGTTTGTTGATCTTTCAATTTTGTTAAAATGTGAAAATTAAACTTTTTCTTCTAATTATTTAACTTTCTTAAATGTTTATTAATATTTATTTTCTAATATAGAATTTTGAATTTTATAATTTTCAATTTCATTATTCAATTTTTCATTTTAAACTTGAAATTAATTAACTTATTATGTAGATTCTTTAAATTTTATAATTTCTTATTTTGATGATTCATATTATTCTTCTAAGTATTGATTTTCATTTTAAAGTTAAATAATTTATTTTTTTAATTTATTAAGTTGATCTGTATAATTTGATTTTTCATTTTATAATTGATTAATTTAATCTTGGAGTTAAGAATTTTTAATTTTTTATTGATCAAGATCTTTGAGACTCTTTTCATATAATTCTTTAGTTAATTGAACTTCATAATTGGAGATTTATTAATTTGAAGATTTCTTTTGACTAAGAATTCTATGATGATTGAAATTCTCTTTTTCAAAACCGAATGATTCTGCTAGAGTTTTTTGATGAAATGATTCACTGATACGACTATCACTAAGATCAGTTTCACCTAGATTAACAACTTAATAAGTAAAATGAATTTTTGCATTTGGATCTGGACTTCTTTCTAAATTAAGTTCACATTGTCCTTCAATAGGCATAGTTTCATTAATATTAAAATTGACAACTCCAGCTAGTTTTGATTATCCATCAACATTCAAAAGAGCAATAAGATGAGTCTTTTTTTAAGTGTTTTCACCAACATTAAAATCAAATGTGAGTACCTCATTAACAATAAAAATATTTCTAGTTTTTTCTTTGGTTCTAGTCAAACATTTATTAAGTCCACGTTTCCACATTACTTATAAAGTACAGGGAAATTTAACAGAAAGTTCTACTTTGCTTATATTGAGAGTAACTTAATAGCGGAAAGCCTTCATTTAAAATTGAGAATCAGTTAATTAAATAATGTATCAATAGGGAAACAACTATGATTTTAAGATAATATTAGGTAGAGTGAAAGAGAAGAATATGAGTTTGAGATTATGTTACAGTTAAACAAAGAGTGAAGATTATGAGATAGTAGTCAAATTGAAAGTAAAGAGTAACATTGATGTAAAAACTGCCGATAGTGAATTTAAAGAGAGGTGTAAAAGTACTTACACTATTCTAACATCGTTTGTGTAATAAAGAATCTAGACGATGTTAGGAAATAAATTCGAGATTTTTTGAAGCCCACGTTTACACTCAATTATCATGTAGATGAACATTATGCATACATAACTTTTACATATTCTAATCAAGTGGAATTGTAAGAGTTTATGGAAATCTGTTAATTTATACGAGAGACAATGGAGAGATCATAAGAAAAGGAGTAGGTTGAATTATTAATTGAAAGTGATTTATCATTTGATAAATTAAGTGAGAGTATATCTAATGCTGTTTATTAAATGAACATAGAGATATAAGGTAAAGCAGAATTTTAAAAGGATACTGTCAAGTTGTTAGAAAACCTTAAGATGTGTAAATAAGAGAATTTACCTTTCTTTTTGTAATAAAAATATTTAAGTCAAATATTAATATATCTATAATTATTATAGAAGGCTCATGCAGAAGTAGAGATAGATAAAATTCAATATGATTTGGGATTTGCTTAACCAAGTATTGAATTACCTTTCAAATTTGCAATCTATGGAAAATTGTAAAGATTTGCTGAATAATATTTGGATTAAGGAATTGAATTAATAATTAAAGGACCTGGTTTGAGTGTTGAGATAAATTATAATTATAAAGGAAGTTTGTTCAAATTGATTGACAATATTTTAATTATTAAATAATGAAATGCAACACAATATTATAATAATATAAAGAAAATGAATGTTTTGGAACAATCATTAAAATAAATATAAGAATTGTATTTCAAAGGTCAATATAGAAAAGCATATGAATAACTATAGAAATTAGGAAGTGATTTGGAAACTTATGATTCAACATTTTAAGTATTTCAAAGACAAGGATGTAAAATAGAATTATTGGCTGCTTTTTATACAGAATATGGTAGTGTTGCTTTGAAATTAAGTTTATTGGATATCTCGAAAGAATGTGTGCAATGTGCATTATATCATTTAAAAGATTTTACAAATATGAATTTATTTATAATGAATATCCTAACATATTAGAGAATCAATTTTTGGTTATCTCGGTATATAATTTCCTTTTATATAGATTAGATATAATGATTCCATTTATTTATTAAAGAGACTCATGAATATTGTACCTAATTCTCTCATTCATTATAAGATTGAAATCTTTATTAATATTGCAAATTCCTAAAGAGCTTGGTGTATTTATGATGAAGCAGAAAATTATATCAACTAAGCTGAATAATTAGCTAATCTACTGAGTTAATCTCATTAGAATGATTTACTCAAAACCAACATTTTATTTCTTAAAGCTAGACTTTATATGGATACAGATAGAAGTAAATATGGATTGGATTTTGCATTAGAGTATGTAAATAAAATGTTAATCAGTTGTTAGTTGTTTATAATAAAGAGAAATGTTATTACCACCTGATCATCCTGATATTGCTATAGCTATGGAACTTGTTGCCAAAATCAATTTTATTTAGAATATAGTACAAGAAGCATAAAAGTATCATGATTAGGCATATATGATAAAGATCAAGGTCTTTGGATTACATAATTTTGAAACCATTGATTCTATTAATGAAAAGGGACGTCTTTTGCTTTCTTGTAAAAAGGTATCTTTATAATTAATAAATAGGAATAATAAGCCATGCATTATTTTTAATTGATTGGAGAAATAAGTTAAGTATTATTAGGCCCTTATAATCAATATTAAGCACTTTCTTATAATAATTTAGGTTGTGCTTTATTTAATATTGGTAAATATGAATCTTCTATACAATATCATTCTAAAGCATTATTGATCTATGAGAAATTGTGTGGTTAACAACATGCTAAATTAGTATTCTCATTAAATTAAATGGCAAATGCTAATAAATTACTTAATAGACCAAAAGCAGCATTTATTATATGGAAGCGTTGTCAAACTATTTTAGAGAAAAATCCTTAAATAAATTCTAAATAGTTATCTTCTATAAAGTCTAGTTTATAAGGATTGTCTATACAAGAAGAAGATTGATTATTATAATATATATATTAAATATGAAAATTAATATATTATTATATTTTTGACAATAATATATAAATAAATTGATGTAAAAATCAGGTTAACCTTACATTGACAATTCATTATCGAAAAAAGATGCTCCTGTTTAATATGAACCATAATCTAAATTTACTCCTTTATAATTAATACCACCAATAAATGATAATTTTAAACATTTAAAAAGCATGAAATCATCTAGATCATAGAATAACAGTAAAATCAAAGTCAAGAAGGTTAAATAAAAATTTCCATCTTTAATGGAATTTGATGAAATGCAGACTTAAGATGATGAACTTGAATTTAATGCATACAATATAAAACCATTTGATTCAGTAGCTCCTCAAACTTTCAGGAATATCTATAAGAAAATTGACACTATTTTATAAAAAAAGACTCTCTATCAGAACTAAAAAATGTCTCTTTTTAGCAGTGTAGCAGAATCTTCAAAAATAGAAGTAATTAATTGATTTAATAAGTATTTTAATAGAAATTAATGCCAAGAACTCTTGGATTGATTCGTCCAAATACAAACAACAATAAAATACTTGATGCATCCAATTTTTGTATGGGAGATAAATATGCAAAAGTATTATGTTCAGGAGTAAAATTAACTCTAGATTATTATGAATAATTGAATTTAAAAAATAATAATCTTACCAGCAGATCCAGTGAATGTCTTAATTAATTAATACCTACAAAATTAAAGGGTCTTAATTTATAAGGAAATAGTTTAGGTTAAGGAGGATAAGAATTTGTAAAAGCTCTAAACACAAGATATGGTCAATTACAGTATCTAAATTTAGAGAATAATAAGTTTAATGATGATGGTTGTCGATAATTATTTAAAATGTTGTAAGAAAATACTATCATGTAGAAACTCAATCTCTCACATAATTTAATTACTGATAAATCTATGCCAGAATTTAATATGTTATTATAAAAGAATGCTACTCTTAGTGAAATTTATTTACATTGGAATCGAATTCATTAAATTGGAGGTATATTATTATAAATAATGATTGAGGCTAATATATTATAGCAGCACTTTTTATTAATTACAATGTCAAAGTCTTAGATTTATCATTCAATTCTCTTGGTATCAGATATAAAGATGATGCTCAATCTCCATAAAAGAATAGATAACCTTATCAAACTTGGCCAGATTATTTCTCTTCCAAGAATTGTAATCTTATACATTTAGATCTCTCTAATAATCAATTTAATTAATCTTAATCAGAAGCTATTGCTAAAGCACTTGAAGATAATCATAATATATTTGGATTTCATTTTTCAGGCAATATTCATAGTTCTATTGATCATCTAGGTTTTTTAAATATTACCAAATCAACAGTTGAATAAAAAGATGTTATCTTAAAAAAAAATGAAGAATATTAATCTGAAATTATTGGAGCACTTCAAATACCTAGAATAGATGGTTTAAAATAAATATAGAGATAATCTTAATTCTATAATGAAGTTTGTTGGATATGTGATGGATGGGTTGAATGTACATTTCTCTGGTAACCTAATCATTTGGATATTAAAAGAGAACCATTATTCATTCATTTGAGTCATGAAAGATATGCTCCCATTAAATTAGAACTAATGGATGATGAATAAAGAGAAAGATCCCCAATGTCTCGAAAATCTAATTCTTATAAAATATGGTATGTATAAAGAATGGTACCATCAAAATAGCCAATTCGTTTCTTCTTTTCAAGTCCATTATTAAAATAAGCTTAAGTAAGCAGTTCATATGACATTGTTGATTGGCCTAAGTCTGAATAAAATAAGAAAGTTTTATTTTATATGATTAATGAGAAACCCTTAACTTTTCGAAGACCTAGATAATGCAATTAAATAATTCTACCTTCAAAATAATAATTTGATGAATTACATTATGAACCTAGTGTACATTGTAAACCAAGAATAAAAGACTATGGTGGAATATTAGATCTTATTATTGATGATACAATTGATGAAAATATTGATTAAACTGATAATTTCTTTAAAGAATGTCATAGAGATTCAGATTAAGAATTCTCAGATTGTTTTGAATGGGATTGGAATAATTCTCAATTAACCAAATTAATAAAAGAATAAGATCAACTTATTTAAGTTAAATAATATTTACATAGAATATATAGAGATTTAGTATCTGCTTATAGACATTATAGTGCTTATTCACCTAGTGGTGATATTTGGAGCATTTCCTTAAATGTTTTTACTGATATTTTTTAATCTTCTTTCGTTGATAATAAATCATACCTTCTTAAAGATTTGGATATATCATTTAGATAAACAACATCCAAATATATTAATTAAACTAGAACATCTACTTCTCATGCATTATTAAGACATCAATTTATTGAAATATTAGTTAGAATGTCAATGGATAAATATTGTAAATAACCTATTTTGATGACTCCATTAGAAGCTTTATAAAGGGTTTATGAAGTGGATGGATTATAGAAGAAAATAGAGAGTGTTCAAGAATCATAAACTTGGAGAGATGTATACTATTGGAGTATGGAATGTAATAGAGTGATCTAAAATAATTAATCAGTTTTAAGATAGTTGTATCAAGAATGTGTTTAGATGAGATAATTAAACTATTTCACAAATAAGATATTTGCATCTCCTTAATCCTTTAAAGAATTATTTAATAGAGCTGGATTAATAAATGATGTAAATGCCGAGAGAAATGTATTGATTGCATTTGCATTAAGTGTACCTCTTGTATTAGATGAAATCAATTAAGATAGATAGATTTAAATGAGTTATCAAGAATTCGTTGAAGCATTAGCTCGAGTGGCTGAAAAATATGGATAGAATAAAGCAGTGATTAGTTCAGAATAATTAGCATTGAAATTATAACATATTATAGGTTAATTATAAGAGTATTATCAAATTGTAGATGAAAATAAAGTATAATCTAATTAAATCATAATATTTAGATAATCATTCCATAGATGAGACAATCCAAAAAGTAAACCAATTTCCTCTAAGAAAATGTTACTAAATTATTATATGAGATAGATGGTTCACCTATTAATGCTCCATAAATCTATGAATATGATTTTGTAGAATGATTAAAACATAATATATAATAATTTAATATATATATATATATATTGTACATTTAAACTAATCAACCTAATTTTACTTTCTTTTTATAATTAATATAAGCTTAATCTTTAGATCTACCTAATGTTACTACATCTCCTGTTTAAATATCCTTTTAAATTTCTTCTTAGTCTATTTATCCATCTATTTAATAGTTCACTTTTCCTCTTTTTTATTAGATTACTGTTTATTTTTATGGTTATTTAGGTTTAGTCTTCTATTGTTATTCATCATCTAAAACCATTTTAATGAAGTTTCTCATCTTCCTCATTGCTTTATTAAAAAGAGGTAATGATTAATTAACAGCATTATCTAATTACTCACTTGCTAATTCAATGTTCTTATATTGTAATCCCATAGCTAATAATAAGGCTGCTTATGTTCTACTCATTCTTATGGCTTTCCCACATTTTTAAGCAAAGAAAATTCTTATTAAATAGTATAATATAATTACTTGCAAATTGATGGTAATATATCTAATATTAAATAAAAGTCAGACATACTTTTACAATAATTATCAAGTCTAGCATAATCACTTAGACTTAATTATTATCTAAGTTCTTCTTTTGTTATAATATTGTCATCTTTTGCAATCTCAATATCCTCATCAATATTTGATGTTGTAACATTTGCTTTTAGAATATCAATACAAAGATAAGGTTCTAATTCTTTAAATTCATATCCTAATAAATTAATAAATCTATTTCTGAAATCATTACTATAAGCCTTGCATAAATTGTCAATTCCAGATCTCTCTTCCTTTACAGATCTCAATACTATACAAGTATACTCTCCTGTTGTATCATTCTTTCTCAAACTCAAATAAGCAGGAGAAAATTCATTTTTACTCCAAAATTTATAAAGTTCTTAAGTTAAACCAAAGGAAACACCTAAATAATCAATTTAAGGTGGATAAACTTCACTTAATTTTTTTAAAAGAGGAGGTAACTTTTTCTTTGGTTAAATCAATTAATCTTTATCATCATCTGCAGTTGCTTATTCTCTAAAATCTATATGTATCATTTAAGCAGAAGGATCTAAAATTTCTCCTTTACAAAATCTATTTAATAATTCCATTGTCTTGCTTCCATAACCCATTTTTTATGCATTTGGATGTGTTGCTATTCTAATTACTCTTACACCTGAATATTAAGGGAATTAATTATCCAAATAATACTTACTTAAAGTCCATGGTATTAAGTCTCCTGATGGTTTCTATTGATTTGTAACTTAATCAACTAAATCTTTTGGTATTGCTCCTTCAAAACATACTTATACAGCACATAAAATGTCTGGCATTGTTTTATCAGTAGGTAATGGACCCAATAATACAAATACTGCATGAGCTGGTGCATCTGATAATAATTATAAATCATTAGGTGAATTCTTATAATGTGATGATATAAACAAGGACATTAAATTAAATAGAAATTTCTCACTTGTTTTTTATGATGAAAATAAAGTATCTCTATTACATAGATACAATTCACAATCATTTGGATGTGGTAATCCTTTTTATAATTTAGGTGCTTCACTTGCATCTAATAATAATAATTCATAAAGCCATTTCTCAACTATATCTTTATTACTATATCTAATTGGATCATTCATTTATAATTCTTTCAATAATCGTGCTTAACCAGTTGGCTTATTTTCTCTTAATTTTTATAGTAACTTCAAAGACAATGATCTACCAGTTCCCTCATATCCATTGATAGTACTAGATAACACTAAAGTATGACTTCCAAACATAGACTTTACAAATTATATTGGAATTGCTGCTGCTTCATCACAAAATACCAAATCTGCATTATTAGCTACTTTAACAAAGTCTTATGGTTGTATATACTAAACAAATTGTCTATGTGTTTTGTGTGCATTAATTCGAATGACTGCATTATTAAAATCAGGGTTTGTTGATTAAATTACATCAAAATGTTGATTTTATCTAAAATCTAAAACCTCTAAACTCTATACTAAAAATTCAAAGAAAGTAACTAAGTTTTCTGGAGAAGGAGCTGTTACAAATATATTACTAAACCCTAATTTGAGAGCAGCAGCAGCAGCCATACCAATTGCTGCAGATTTTCCTCTACCTCTAGCAGCACTTATTGATATTGTGTATCTAAAAACTTTTTCTTATAAAGAATCAATGAGTCCTAAGATAATTTTGGCTTAATCTAAAGTTTTACAATTTTTAATCAATTTTTAAGCAATTTCATTAGGTACTGTTTAAGCAAATTCAGCAACTTAATTATTATTTATAGGAGTTCCTTGATCAATTTTTTCTAAAGCAATTGAGGAGACTGGTAGAAGATTTAATTCATCATCTACAAAAAGGCATCTGGAACATCTACTTAAACTTATAATGAATCGTTCATTAAATCTAGGCTAGATTTCTTTAAAACTAGGAGTTCTCAATCTGGAATGAATATCCATAGTTAGAGAATATAATTGTTTAAGTGAAGACATAGTTTTAACGAGAAAAAGAATAATTCCTCCACCTGCAATAGTTTCAACTGTTCTGCATAGTATATTTGGAGTTAATGCTTCAAAATCTTATAAAATTAACATATTATATGTATTTCCCAAAATCTTTTATGTTTCTGCATAATAACAATATCTGATTTCATTAGATGAGAGAAATAAATTGAAAGGTTCATTGAATTGAGTCTCTTCCTTCATTTATTAGTTCTTAATTTCAGATTCTCTTTTCTTTTTATGAGTTGTGAATCCCAAATCCTTAAGGTTTATTAGCAATTATTTACTTTCTTATAACACCACAATACTTTTGGCTTTTAAATCATACTCAATTTGCTTAGTAATTAATGAATTGTTGCAACTTAATATTTACCTCTATCTCCAATCATTACAAATATTGAACGAATGTGTTCATTAATGCCAGATTGAACAAGTGCTTATATTTATGAATCAAGTTTTTTTTTCATTAATCACAAATTAAAATATATATATATATATATATTTATTTATCATTCTTTCAACTAATCACATTTTTATCTATATATGGTTTCTGCTTTCTATCCTAGATCTGGTTTAAGAGTTGAAATTTTCTAGCTGAAAGACTGCCAAGATGATTATTTTTCTTGAGCATATTTAGTAATTTTAGATAATTTAAATGTTTGTTTCATAGCTTTAATTTTCTTCTTTTTAGCTTATCTCTATTATTCATTATCAGTTGGTAAATATTTTAGATTTTCTGGTACTTGAAATTCATCCATTTCTTCAAAATTCATTTTTTTAGAATCATTCAATTATTTTTTAGCTTCTCTTAAATAAATCAAAGGCACAATTTCTCTATTTGAATTTTTCTTAAATCTTATATGATATCCTTCTTCTGTTACTTTTTCAATTGTTCCCAAATAATAACGACCATCTGATGAGTATATTGCTTCACATTATTATCCTACTGTAAATAATTTACTATCTGGAATAGGTTAAACTTTAATAAAAATCGCATGCATTTTCACAACTTCTTAATAACCTATAAATTAGATATCAGCTTCTTATTCTTCTGTATCAATTTAAATAAGCTTTGCATTATACCATTTTCTATCCTATTCATGATATGCCTTAGCTAATTTATCAATATCTTCACCATTAAGTCTATTTACACTAAATAAATTGTCTTATGTTTTTTATAATGATGCTATTTCCTTTTCTTATGCTTCCTTAGCTAATAACAATTCATCCTTGATATTTTTTAATTCTGCTATTGTTGAACTCTCTTCCTCATGAGAAAGTAAAAGATTCACTTTAAACATATGATTTTTCAACATAATCAAAGTTTTATATGCATCCATCACTTTACTCTAATCCAATTATTAAACAGGAGGTTAGTAATTCTCTGGTGGATCATAATAATCAAATGAATCTATCTTTTATTTTTTATATGCTTCAGACATTTTATTAAATTATATAATAAATCAAAAATGTTAAATGAATTTCTTTCAAAACAATTATATTTATTGAAAATTTAAAAATCATTAATATTTATTAATATATATTAGTAATCTAAGAAAGAATATATTATATAAATTTAACTAAAAGATAGTTGTAATTTAAAAGAATGAAGATTTTGTCAATTAATTGTTATTTATATAATTTTGAATAATAGTGAATTATTCTTTATATATATATATTTTTCATTAATCAAAACAATTTCAGTTATTATTAATTCTTTGTTTCTTTCTATATCCTCTAGTAAAGCTGCTATTTAAATTTTAGGCCTAAGTGTTACTATTTTAAATGGAATCAAGAGTAAATAGATCTAAATATATGTTTTATTAATTACTTTAATCTTATTTCTTATTAGTATCTTGAAAAAATGATAGTACATCCTATTTAGTATATATATGATTGTTTGTAATTTCTTCTTAACAACAGTTTGGATTGGAATTTGCCATAGAGGAATTTGATTAAAATAGATTAATGCTTGATATTTGAAATGAAGATTACTGCATTTATGGATAAGGATTCTATTACTAAATAGGTGACTAGAAACCAACCCATGGAATACTTGATTAAGATTACTAAAAGGCAACAGGTTCACGGTATTATTTCTATTCATATGTTGGATAATAGTAATTTTAAATAGGTTATTAATAATTGTTTTGTTAATTTAAATGAAATTAATTTGATAGTGGTATTTGATCGATGATTTCCATTTGCTTATAAATTAAGCATTAATCATTCTTTTAAGTGAGATACTATTAAGTATATAGATTTTATGATTAAGCTTAATAACCTTAATTTTCAACAAGAACATTAAAATTAAAAAGTTAATTATTGTTTTACATTTAAAATATATCTAATGGATTTTGAACTTTAATAATTTACTATTATTGTTAAGGATTTTAAGAATTTCCTGTTAAAAGGCCTTACAAAAAATATTAACTTACTTAATCTGAGCTAATATGAGAACTAGTATCTAAAAATGGATTATTTTATCCTAAAGTTTAATTAGTCTTCATAATAAATTCTTTTTGTTTATCATTTTCTTAAATAATATTTGAATTTTTGGTTGTGCTTTCACAATTCATAGACAATAATGTATTTTAAGATAAAGGACTATCAAGTTTTTCATCTAATTATTTTTAAAACAATTCCTTTGGATATATTTATTCATTTTNTAAAAGATAGTTGTAATTTAAAAGAATGAAGATTTTGTCAATTAATTGTTATTTATATAATTTTGAATAATAGTGAATTATTCTTTATATATATATATTTTTCATTAATCAAAACAATTTCAGTTATTATTAATTCTTTGTTTCTTTCTATATCCTCTAGTAAAGCTGCTATTTAAATTTTAGGCCTAAGTGTTACTATTTTAAATGGAATCAAGAGTAAATAGATCTAAATATATGTTTTATTAATTACTTTAATCTTATTTCTTATTAGTATCTTGAAAAAATGATAGTACATCCTATTTAGTATATATATGATTGTTTGTAATTTCTTCTTAACAACAGTTTGGATTGGAATTTGCCATAGAGGAATTTGATTAAAATAGATTAATGCTTGATATTTGAAATGAAGATTACTGCATTTATGGATAAGGATTCTATTACTAAATAGGTGACTAGAAACCAACCCATGGAATACTTGATTAAGATTACTAAAAGGCAACAGGTTCACGGTATTATTTCTATTCATATGTTGGATAATAGTAATTTTAAATAGGTTATTAATAATTGTTTTGTTAATTTAAATGAAATTAATTTGATAGTGGTATTTGATCGATGATTTCCATTTGCTTATAAATTAAGCATTAATCATTCTTTTAAGTGAGATACTATTAAGTATATAGATTTTATGATTAAGCTTAATAACCTTAATTTTCAACAAGAACATTAAAATTAAAAAGTTAATTATTGTTTTACATTTAAAATATATCTAATGGATTTTGAACTTTAATAATTTACTATTATTGTTAAGGATTTTAAGAATTTCCTGTTAAAAGGCCTTACAAAAAATATTAACTTACTTAATCTGAGCTAATATGAGAACTAGTATCTAAAAATGGATTATTTTATCCTAAAGTTTAATTAGTCTTCATAATAAATTCTTTTTGTTTATCATTTTCTTAAATAATATTTGAATTTTTGGTTGTGCTTTCACAATTCATAGACAATAATGTATTTTAAGATAAAGGACTATCAAGTTTTTCATCTAATTATTTTTAAAACAATTCCTTTGGATATATTTATTCATTTTATAGTTATTATTAAATTTAATCCTTATTTTATTCTAATTCTTTTATATTTTAATTATTTTCTAATTTCTATATTGAATGAGAAAAGAATACATTTTAATTATGATTATCACAGGAATCCTCTTTTTTTGTAATAACTTAATTTATTTGACTATTTAATTCTTCTTATTTAACTTGAAATTTCAATTCTTCTTATTTAACTTAATTATCAGATTCCAATTTTTCTATTTAATTCTTTTTTTCATTTTAGGTTTAAAGATTACATTAAATCTACAGATTTATAATTTCTGATTCTAATCTCAAATTTCTTTATTTTTAAATTTACTACTTTAGTTATTCTGAATTATCTGAAGAAATTTAATTTTAATCCATAATTTTGAGTTCATCTTAACATTTATTTTGTTTTAATTCTTAATTTACATTAATATTATCTTTTTCTGTAAAATTAGGATTAAAATAAGAATAAAGCTTATTTTAAATTTTAAAAGAGTCATTGATAGATTATTTCTCTTCTAAAATTGAGGAATCAGTTTCTTAAGAGAAGGAAATATGTTCCATATTGAATATGGCCTCTTAAGTTTCTCCTTTTGTATTAGTGCCAGTAGAACTTGAAAAATATTAATTTTCTTAAATAAATTATTTGAAGTTAACGATGTTGCAAGAATGTCTATTTTGAGTTTTAGAAATCCTGTTTTTTTAATCACTCAATTATTGACAACCAATTTGTTAATTTTATTTAATGTTTTCAAAAGATTAAATTTCAAATTAATTTATTTGAGACATTTTTCCTTTAGTCTATTCCTCTTACTAGTAATAAGGACTTACTATTTCGATGGTGTTGTCTATGCACTTAATTTTTTTAATTGAATTATTGGACAAGAAACCTGAAGAATTTTCTTATGTTAATTCAACATTTAAATTCTTGGATTTTTAATTAAACTCAAAGTCTCTTTTTTATGTGTTGACTATTGAAAATAAAAACAAAAATTACCTTCCATTTTTCTAGATTTTTCAATTTTAGCATGATTTTTTTTAAACTTCATTTGTTTCTTGGTTTTAGTAAGATAAGGTTCTTAATGTTTTAGTTAGATCTATTTATTGTTAATGGCTTCATCAGATATTTAATTTTGATTTTGGTTAAGTTCCTTTAAATATAAATCAAAGGGATATAATGACTTACGTTTTGAAATTGGAATATGGTCCTTGTTAGGTATAATGTGATCTACAATTACAAGATTATTTTAAAATTAATAGGATAGTTCTTTATCTAAATTTTGTTCATTATAGCATTATATCCGTTAAATTGTACTTGATGGGTTAATAGAAGGTTGAAATAGATCTTAAATCTTATTTTTAATCTTTGTTATTATGCCTGGCATAGAGTTTTTGGAAGAACCAAAAGGACTAAAGGGAGAGTAAGTAGATAGCTTATTCTCGAAAAGAATTTTATGCATAATTTAATTAATATATTATAATATTTAGATAATCTAGATGACAAATAATAATATGTTTTAAGAGAATCAAAATGTATGATACCAAATAATTATAACTAATCACAATTAAATATTCCATTTTTTTCTGCCACACTAATCCCTATTCTAAATGTTTAATTATTAAACTTACTTAAAAAAGTATTTCATCCATTTAAGATCTTATTGAAGGATTACATTTTATTCCAGTTTTATATTAATTTGGTAATCCATTACCTGTTATTGGATTTCTTTAGATTTGATTATTAATTAAGGTGTAGATCATATTTTCTTTATTAGAATAATCGAAAATCTTATTAGCTGCTTCATTTTCTTTCATTCTAGTTAAGGATATAGAGACTTAAGGTCTCTTATAAAATCCAGATTAACTTGTTTTTTTATGAAAATTAATAAATGAACTATCTCTTTCGATATGTGGAGGTTTAATAAAATCTACTGAATGAGTTAATAAATCTTTTTTGCTTTGATTTCTAGATGGAGATGGTCTTCTTCTATATCTATGATTTAATTATTTAAATTCTTACTTATAAATTTCATCTCTTTTTGGCATCATATCTTAAAAAGAAGATTCATATTTGCATTAATTGATTTTAATTTAACTCTTATTTTACTTTGTTAATCCTAATTCTGCACTTGTAGCCTATTAAGCAATAATTATTTTAGTATTACATTTTTATTGATATGACATCTTTCAGGTTGTTTGACGTATAATTAACATTAATTAAGTTTAAATTAAGCAGAAGCTTATGAAAAATGTCCTTAAGGGAAATGCTTTTTTGATAATATGTTTTTCATCTCAACGAACTTTTTATTATTATTTTTGCTTATATAATAAGTGATTTATTCATAAGACTTAAATTGACAATTATTATAATTTATTTAATGTTACCTAGGATATCTTAAAGTTAATAACTTCATTCAATACATCATTCTGAAGAAATAACATTAAATGAAGTAAAAAGAAGAAAAAAAGAACTAGAATTATAGGCATAAAGTGTGGAGAATAGAATAAGGTAACTTAGAAATGAAGAAGGCAAATTAATTAAAAGAATATAATTAACAGAATAATTAACATCTGAAGTTTATCAATAAAAAGTAGCAGCACATCTCAAAGTAATAAAATAATTCATATTTATTATAGAAGCAATAAAAAATACAAAAAAATACATTTTATTATAGAAATTAATAGAATGATTCCAAAGAATTAATAGAATAATCTAATGGAAATGAAAGAAATAAAGAACTATATATAAAAACAACAATAGAACGAAATTAATTGAGGAAAGTTAAATAAGAATTTATATAATATAAGCATGATGAAGCATAAAATTATAGAAAATTATTATAAAATGAATAATTTAGGTTTATTGAAGAATAAAGAAAATTGTAAGAAAATTAAAAATTAAAAGCAGCTTTAAGAAAATAAGAGTAAAATTTATCTGAACTTTTAATTAGAGAAAAATTAAATGAAAAAAAAATCAAAATAAAGTAAGAACAAGATAAATTAAAAATAAAAACAATATAAGAAAATGAAGAAAAAGAAAAACATATCAAATAATTAGAAATAGAAGAATTATAGATTGTATAAAAGTTATAAGCAACATAATAAAGAGAAAAGGATGTAAAAGGAAAATTAATTGCTGCTACTAAATTATAGCCAGAATAATTTGCTAAAACTTTTCACTCTTTAAATAATACATCTTTAATTGCAGAATAATCAAACATATAAAATAATGTAAATATATATTTTATATTAGAAATAAGAAGATAATTTATAAGAAAATTAATAAAGTCAAAGTAATAATATAAAAAATGAAGAATAACATGATGAAGGCCAGTAAGGTACACAAACTGAAGAATGAATACATTCAATTTATATTATATATATTAAAGATAAATTTATCATTTGTTAATTCTCAAATAATTTGTTAGATTTTATAGTTTATATTTGAGTTAATCAATATTAAACAAGCTTAATTAATATGTTTAAGAAAAACTAATTTAATTTACAACTTCTTGCTAGACTATTAGAGTTTGAAAACAAAGCTTATATACTACCTGAACATTTAGTAAATATTTTATTGTTGTAACACTCAATGATTAATATCTCATATCTCTATTAAAGGAATTTAAAATCATGGATCTACATATTGGTGCTATTTGCAAGGCCTTAATTAATAATAAATATCGAATATTTGGACTTTTTAATGTTAGCTTATATTATTCTATGGTTTGTATTTTTATTTAATCAAAATTTTTATGGGGCTTCTCTAACTAGTTTATTTAATACATTATTGAAAACAGCAATTTTCAATTTTGTACTTGAGTAAATGAAGGATAATTTAGGAATTTCTGTTGGATTATTTATAAGCATATAATAATTTTTTGATCTTTTACTTATATAAGGAACACTTACTGTAAATACCATTAATTTTTAAGTCCCTTATTCAAATTACTTAAATATCATAGATTTTATATTAAATATTCTGCTGATTTATTTTTAGTTATTTAAATTTGATTAATTAGTGATATAAATATTAGCTCTAATTAAATCATGCTTTTAGTTTATTTTAGTTATTTTCTATAATAATTATAGAAATAGTTTAATTAGAAAAATTGTGGCGTTTTCTCATTTGGCAACAATTGTATTTGGAATAATTGATTTTGTTAATTATTAACATTCATATACATTAGTAATATTGCCGTTATTGTTAAAAATTATACTGTAAAAGTAATTCTCTAATCATAATGTTAATGATCCTATTTTAAAGGCTTCTATATTACTATAAGAAGGAAAGGTTTTTGAATGTTTTATAGTTTTAAATAACTTAAAGGATTTAGGGATTATGAGAAGAGCTAAATCAAATCAATAAATGAAATTATGTGTCGCTTAAATAATTGTTAAAATATCAAAACCTAACTAAGCATTAAAGGGAGTATGTTAATAATTGATGAAAAATGATGAACAAAATATCTTACTCTCAAATTAATTGAATAGTTTGATTGAAAACAAATTGTCTTTACTTCAAAATTTTAAAGATTTAAATTTCAAATAATTATTGAATTATAGCAATAAAGTTAATTCTATTAATAACTAATTAGAAAAATTGCATAATTAATAAAATAGTATGATGATATAATCCTTATAAATATTTTTTTATTCTGAAATTTTGAATGATTTACTAAAAGGTTAATAAATTTAAAGTAGTTTTTCAACATCTTAAGAAACTTAAATTAAATTTAATGATTCAATATTATAAAAGTTAATCTATTTAGTTGCTAACTATTAAAATAATAAATTAATAGTTAAATCAATATCAAGTAATGCACCAAAAACCTTTTGCAATAAAACTCTTGAAGAATTAGTTCCATAAGGAGTTAGAGAATGGCATTCATTACTAGTAGATAAATTTGTTACTGATGGTGAATCCAAATATGTTAGAAATCTAAATAACAATTACATAGCAAATGAAAATTTCATAGAAAATGTTTAATTTGCTATTGATATCTTTTATACTGATTAAGTTGATTTTATTTGTTTATTTTAACCAACACTTTTGTAAACTAAAACAGTAATAATAAATCAAGATTATTAAATTACTTCAATGAGTTCAGATTTTAGTGATTTTGTGAATTTAAGCAAATATTTTAAAATAGGTTAATAGATTGATAAATTTATACCTTCTGTAACTTAAATTAGAGAAAGTTGTTATTTAGAAAATATGATAGTTATGTAGTCTGATCAAATTCAAAGTTCTAAAAATTTTACTGATAAAAGAGCTGAAATGAATTATTATTGTGATGTCAATATAACAGTTAAAATAGATAATTAGAAAATGTTGTATATGATTATATAATTTGAGAATTTTAAGAAATAATTAATTAAAAAAAATGAAGATTAAATTGTAGAATAATAATAAATTGTTTAAAAGAAGACATATGAAATAATTCCTTTTGAATTAGAAAATAATGCGATTTAAGATCCATATGAATTTTCAGAAGATCAATAAGATATAAATTATATATAGAATTATTTGTATATAGATGAAAAAACTGTAGCTTAATAATAAATTTTTACTCCTAGAGATGAGGAAGTATCTCTTGTTAGATTTTAAAGAGTTGCAAAAAGATTTAAATCTCAATTTAAGAAATCTCAATTTTAAGAAGAATAATAAGCTTAATTTTATGATGTGCAATCTTAAGTTTCTTCATTAAAATAATTTAGAAATTCAAAATTTTATCGTAAATATGAACTTTATAATAAATTTTTATAATATGTTCCTTATTACAGATTACATAAATTGATAATTGCAATAATGTTTTTGTTATGCTTATATCAAATAATATTCATGATTATTGTATTTAAATATTATTAATTTAGTAATTAACAAGCATGAGTCTAGTTACATTATCAGAAGATATTAATTTATTAGAAATTAAGAATTTAATATTTTAACCAATAGAATTGTTTTTAGTAACTAGATGGACATTATTTAATTATAAAAATTAATTGAATGAGAAATTAATTACATTAGAAGAGTATACAAATAGAACAGGTTTTGCTTTATCCAATTTAGATTTAGGTTATGATTAATTAAATAAAAATATATAATCAGTACTATTTAAAAAAGAATTATAGGCATTATTGGAAGCTAAATATTTTAATGCTTATTAATACTTAGATACATACAAGAATGAATAATATAATATGACTTTGAGAACAGCCATATAAGTATTATTAAATTTTTAATATACACTTAAAATGAATTATAAAATTGAAAAAACTGTTGCTATAGATACTCCATAAGTTTTTTATAGTTATAAGAATTATAAAGTATTAAATGATATTGCATAATAACTTAATCTTGATGTAGTATAAGAAACACTTACAAAAGCAAATTTAATTTAAAGGAATATTGAAACAATTTTAGCTCTTGATTAATCTTTACTTTTATTCTTTTTACTCATAATTTTGATTTTGCAGTAAATCATTGATAGAAGATTAAAATAATGTATTAATCTCAAATAATATGTTGATGAAAGAGAATTAGAACTTGAAATTAAGAAATATTAATAATGTTTAAATTAAATGAGGTTAGATAATTCTTACAAATTTTAATATAGATTAAATTTGGAATTAAAGGAATAATAATTTTAATAAGTTTAAAGTAATGAAATTTAAGCAAAAATTAAATTTTAAAAGATATCAAGTAATTTTATTGTTAAATATGGTGTAATTTTATTTGTAATTTACATAATATTTTCTTTTAATCATTTTGTGATGTATTTTTTATAAAATAACTTTCTTTATAAATATCCAGAAACAACATTGTTTTTAGAAGGAATTACAAATTTAGGTGTTGATTTTCCATGTATGTTTGCATAACGTGAAATATTATATGAAAGAAAAAGATTATTTTATTTAACTCAAGAGGATTTTGATAATGTTTATTAAAGAATCATATTAGCTTTAAATAACACTGCTAGATTTGATTCATTTCAAAAAGATTTTTCCAAGTATTTTTTATATTTTATTTAGAATATTGGTAACATAAAAATATTAAGATTATTATGAGCAGTTATAAGTATCAAATCTATGTGACTATATTCCTATTAATTTAAAGTAAAAAAGTGAATTTATTTGTCCATAAATTTTTAATTAAAATATGTTATTAGGTTTAAAGGCAGTCTTAATTTACAGTTATAATTTAATTGCAAAAGAAATAGAAATTAATAAATTTACTAAAAGATTAATTATTGTATATAATGAATTAGATGGTGTTTTTATTTTATCTTAGATCATTAAAGATGTAAATGCACAATTTGTTTAGGATTTAAAAGAATTAACTTATTAATTAGTCTAAATTTTGTATGTAAAATATAATATTTATGTATTAGATTATAAATATTTGCTACATAATCTCAATTTCATTGATTATTTTAATATGGATACCAAAATTAGCCATAAGATTTATTAATAATTCTAAGCAAATAATATAATTTGTTTAGATTATACCAAGTTATTCTCTATTCACAAATGATTAGTTTGAAAGAATTTTGAGAAGCTTTTTGAATTAAAAATGATATTATGAATTATTGCATTAGCCATTGACTTATTTTAAGAATTTCAATTATTCTCCTATCTTTTTTATTATAAAAATTATAATAGATAACAAACTAACATTAATCTGATTAATGCGTATGTTTTATTTAAATAATATTTAAAAATTTGATCCAGAGTTTTAATGAGGATATTTTTACCTCTTATGCCAATCATTTTTTTCTTATAAATTTAATAAACATATGATCCTAATCAATGCATTAATATCAAAAATATTAACAAAGTACTTAGAGTACGACGATAAAGCTTATAAATTGCCAGAAAGCTTAACTAACACTCTTTTAATTTTATCCTCTTTATTGAACTTGTCTTACATATATTATGAGAATAATTCTTCTTGGTTGTACATTATAGCATTAATGGCAAGACCTTCCATTATAATTCAAATACCTTATTTTTTTATTTTTGGGATTTTATTCCTGCTATTACATTCTTTGTATATAATTAAACCAGGTCTAATTGGAAGCAATATAATGAGTTTAATAAACTCTTTAATGAAAGTGGGATTAATGAATTTTGTGATTGAATAATTTGATGATATTTAAGGATAAATCATTGGAGGACTTATATTATTCTTTTAAGTATTTGAAATTATGTTTGTTTAAGGGACACTTAATATAGAAACAAAAAACTTTTAAAGAACAGAAATAACAATATTTTATGTAATTTAGTAAATTTTAAACATTTTGCTTATGATTTTTTATAAATTACAATATCACCTTAGAATTATTCAAATTATAGCAATAATAAATTCTGCAATATCAGGGTTAGATCTAATATTGATTAAAAATTAAAGGAACTCTTTTATTAGATTATTAATGATCTCAATTTAATTGATAACACTTTACGTTGGAATAATTTAATTTATTTAATATGAGAATTCGTTTTCAATTATAATTATTCCTTTTTTATTGAAAATAGTGACTTCAGTCAAATTATCTGATTATATTTTCTGCGAGGATTAGATTATTAATGCATCAATTTTATTATAATAAAGGAAATTTTATGAGTGTTTTTTAATTTTAAATAAAGTTAAGGATGATTAATTTGTGAGGTAGGTAAAACGAAATGTTCTATTAAAGAAATGTGTTGATTAAATTAATTTTGATTTTCAACTAAAAACATAAACTCAATAATTATTTGGAGTGGCACATAAACTTATTTAAAATGATATAAAAAATATAAAAATACTGAATGGTATTAAAAAACAGTTATATCGAAAAATAAATTTATTGTAAAATTGGAAAAACAATGAATTTTCTTAAATTTACATTTATATAAAGTCATTACTTAAATTAAAATAAGAAATTGATAATTACTATTTAAAAGAACCAAATGGAATGGTTTAAGCATTAATTTGTTTCTTTTATGCAGAAATTTTAAATGATTTACTTGAAGCAAATGATATGATAATTCATGCTAAGAAAAGCATAGAATTATGTTATAATGATTATGTAACCAATAGACATATGTTTTACATTGTTACAAAATATGAAAATTAACAATTACATATGAGTAAAATTTCAAGTAATGCACCTTCTTATGTTTGTAATAAATAATTGCAAGAGTTAATTCCTAATGGTATCAAAGAATGGCATGATAAAATAGTTAATGAATTTATCAAAAAAGGAAAAAGTAAATTTATTAGATAATAAAATGAAAATTATATTAATCATGGTTAATTTATTGATTCTGTTGATTTTGCAATAGATATTACATATTCTGATGAACTTAATTTTATATGTCTTATAACTCCGATTCCATAGTAATAAATGACAATAATAGTAAATGAGAGATACCAAATAACAAACATAACTAATAAAGTTAGTTAAACTAATAAATATTAAGATTTTTTTTAAAAAGGAATGTAGATTAATTAAATATTCACTGATTTGTAAGATATTAAAAATAGTTGCTACCTAGAAAATGTATAAATAAATTCATCCAAATTATAATCATCATTAGTTGATTTATAAGAGGATATTTCTTATTATTGTAGTTTAAATATTAATTTAAGAATACTTGAAAATAAAATGATATACATGATTATACAATTGGAGAATTTATCTATAATTTCTTAAAATATTTTGAGTTCTACTAAAAAAGAAACAAAAACACATTAATCAAAATCTAGTTATGGTCTTAGTATAGCTCAAGAAGGTGATCTTATATGTCCTGCTAATATTTTAATTGATGAAGGAGCAGGTAAAAAATAACTGACTCAAATACTTATTCATGAGCTTATTCAAAATGAAATTTAATTTGATACTTTGCAACCATAAATTATTTCACCTAGAGCTGAACCAGATCAAAATCTATTAATTAAAAGAGATTCAAAGAATAGTAAGAAATTATCAATTAAATCAATACCATTAATAGAGAATAATTAAAAAGATAAAAAGTTTATTGATTAATAAAAGAATGAATTATTTGATAGAGAAGATTAATCCTAAGTATCCTCTATAAGAATGTTGAGAAATTCAAAATTTTATAGAAAATATGATCTTTTCAATAAATTTAATAAGCATACTCCATTGAAAAGATATCATTAATTAATAATCTTACTTTTTCTTTTATGTTTGATTTTATAAGGATCTTTTATCATTATTGTAATATTTAACATAATATTAGCATTTGACTAGTCTGAATTTAGTAGCATTCGCAGTTGATATAAATTTACTGGAAATCAAAAATCTATTTTTTTAACCATTGGATATGTTTCTAGTAACAAGATGGAATTTATGGACTTATAATTTTTAAAAAACTAATGGGATTATTTCTCCAGAAGAATATAATTCAGTATCAAAATTTGCTACTTCCAATTTAGCATTAGGTTTTGATTCTCTAAATTCTAATTTAAAATCTGTCCTTAATAGATAAGAATTGTAAAATTTACTCTAAAGTAAATATATAGAATCTTATTCTTATTTGGATACTTTTAAATCTGAATAATATAATATGACACTAAGAACTGCCATTTAAGTTTTATTAAACTTTTAATACATTTTAAAGATGAATTATATATATGAAAAAACGGTCAAAGCAGATAGCCCTTAAATATTTTATAGTTTTAAGAATTATCCAATAATGAGAGATATTATGAATTAATTAAATCAGGATATATTGACATAAACATTGAATCGAGGTGAAAATTTCGAAGATTAACTTAAAACACTATTTTTATTAGAGTAAATATTTCTAATTTTCATAATTATAATAAATTGTTATGTTAAATTCTTCATAAATAAAAGACTGATGCTATTTTTATAGTTGAGTCAATATTCAGATAATGATGCAATTTAAAATGAGATTTAAAAGAGTAAATTATTACTGGATTAATTATTGGGTGATAATTCATATATATTTAATTATAATCTATAATTGGATGAAAAGGAAGAATAGTTTTTGAAGGATAAAGGGGATAAAGGATAAAGAACTTTTAAATATTAAAGAAAGAAAAAAATACCTATATATAGATTTCTATTTGCATCAGTATTTTTTTATGCAATCATTACTTTAAATAGTTTAATTAATTTTATTGAGTTTTAAGGATATCTATAAAATTATCCTTAAACATCTCAATATAAAAAATAGCTTGGTGATTTAGGTGGTGATATACCATTGATGTTTGCACAAAGGGAAGTATTATATGGTAGAAAAAACTACATGTATTTAGATGCAGCATATTTCGATAAAATGTGGTTTTACATAAAAGAATCATTGACTAATACTATGAAATATACCTCTCAAGATTTTGATTTTTCTAAGTAATTATATTTTATATAAAAGAATGCTTGTGACTGATTCATTTGTTTAATTTTATGATAGTATTTAGGATGGTGATCTTTGTACCTTTTTACCTGAATATCTAAAAGAGAAATCCAAGGATTTATGTCCAACTATTATGAATTAGAATATGAAACATGGATTGAAGGCTATGTTAATTTATATTTAGAATTTAATTGAAGTGGATATGGCTATAAATAATTTTACTTATAGGGCAGTTCCAACATAGAATGAATTAGAAGGAGCATTTATGATCTCAGAATTAATTAATGTAATAAATTCGTATTTCTATAATGATCTTATTGGATTAACTACTGATTTAGTTAATTAATAAAAAGTAATAAAATTATTAATAATTAATAGATATTTAACATCTTGTATTTACTACTTCTAACCTTTATTATGATAATAATAATAACATTCTTTAGAAACTAAGTATATGAGAATAGTCAAATTATTATTCATTTTGTTTACTTAGTCCCATCTTAAACTTTATTTGCAGATGATACATTTGAAAGATCTATGAGAACACTTATTAATTTATGAATATAATTTTTATAGTAAAATTTGATATAGAATATCTCCTATCATCATTTTACAAAATCTTTCTTATTTTTCATTCTATTTCATGCATTCTATTTAAATATTCTCTGATTGCTTTATTTCTCTTAATTAAACTTAATGGAATATTGGCTAATAATAGAGTTGTTTTCTTAATCTAAATGGAATATAAAATGAAAATTTACTTCATTATTTATTTTAGTAGCAGTAGGCCACCAAAAGAAAAGATAAATTAAGACTAAAACAACTAAAAATACTATAAAAATGGCTACAGAAGTAGTTGTATTTGTATCAACATCTTTTTGTACACATTACAAAAATAAATCAGTAGTAAACGAAAAGATTTATCTAAGATAAAGATCTTAAAGTGTATCTAAAATTATATCAATCTATTATTACTAATTTCATGTGTTTATCTATTCGTATATAATAGAGATAATGCTTTATTATAAGTTGAATTGGATGTAAAATTATATAGAGTATCTGAGATAATATAAGAGGGATCTTTCATGATATTATGATACTCTTATAATTGTGATCTAATATCTTCAAAATATCTTGAGAGTGCTAATGATAAAGATTAATCAATGATTCCCTCTATGAATGATTAACAAATATTAATATCAATATCAATTATTTAAAATAAGTATTAACATGCACCAGATTTCATTAAAGAATCAAAATGAGTACTATATGTAGGATTATGATATTATATATTTGAAGAATGTTCTTTTTAGATTTTAGTATTGAGATCATATAATTCTTTTACGAAAGTGGAAGAAATGAGATAAGATGAATTGCCTTAAACTTCAAAATTGGGATCTATAATCATCTACCTAATTACATTATTAGAAAATGTTATATTAGGAACTAATTAACTTGTTGCTTCTATTTCATCAACTAATGATCTAAATGCATTTTATAAATAATCTCCAATTAAAAAATGAGTTAGAAAATATCCTAATAACATTACCATTGAAATAGCAAATTAAAGATAAAAATTACGCTTATTTTTTAAATCATATTTATATTTCTTTCTTTTTTTATGTCTCTCCAAATATTCTTCATCTTCATCTTAAACTTCATCATCATCCATAAATCCTTCATTATCTCTATGTATTTCATCATCTTCTTCACCTACTTAAAGTGAATTAAAATAACCCTCACAAATATTCACCAATTTTTTTACCTTATTAATTTAAATCTATAAAAATAATTTCATAATAATCTCTTAATTCTAACTAACCAAACTAAACATGCATGTAATCAATGGTACTGATACTACAGCAAAAGTACATGCAACAATAAATAAAGTAATGATAATAGATGATTCATTCAGTTTTTCTTTTAATTGAGATCCATATATATTTGCACTCTATACTACAGCATCAAAATAATTATTCAATAAATTATAACTTATAAAAAATTGAGATTCTGGATTATATTCTTATAGCAATTCTAATGCTTTAGATAATATTTAAGCAGTTGCTTAATTTAAATCCACCAATTATGTTGATAGAGTTCCACTTTAATCTCTACCAGTCATCTTTACAGAATTTGTTCTTATTAAATCAATTTAATATCCTTCAACAACTGCTGATTGTAAAATAAATTATAATTCTTAAAAATTTGAAATACTCTAATTTAAACCTTATCTTTATTCAGCTATTCTTTTTGTTTAATCAACAAATGGATTTAATTGATTCAATAATTATAATTCGACTGTTTACCATAAAATTCTTTAACCCAAAGCAACTCTTTAATTACTATTAATAACATTCATATATCCATCATATACTTAAAGGAACAATTATTATGATAATATATAATTTAATAGACCTAAAACTCCCAAAAATATGATAAGAAGTGCAGCATTCCATCTAAAACATGTTAAACTTGATTAATTAGCACTTCTGCTCTCCTTTAAGAATTGAACAAAAGTCTTCTTTGATTTATAAACATTTGTATTTCCATTCTCTTATTCTTAATCTTCTTCTTATTTTGATGGCATTTAACCTACTATTTTTGATTATCCATCTTCTTCTTCTTCAAAGTCCATATTCTTATATTCATCTGAATCAAATAATTATCCTCCTATCAAAATCATTGTTTTTATTCCCAAAGATAAATCATTATTTTTATCTTCTACTTTTGATGATGGAGTCTTGTCATCATCATTTTTTTAAGAAAATTCATAAGTTTCATCTTATTTTGAAATTGAAATAGCTGACATCTAAAAATTTTAATCAGAAATATACTCTCCAACAAATTTATATATAAATTGATCAGGAAGTTTAACATTGTTATCTTTTCTATATTGTTTTTTTTATTGTTCAATTCTTTCTTTCATTCCTGGTATTTCTTTTGAATCAAATTAAAATAAAAATTTTTAATTAGAATTCAATTATTTTCTTGTTGAAGCCAAACCATATTCAGAAGGAGTTTATAATATAGATTTTTCATTTCTTATTTACTCTAATTTAATAATGTAACCAAATAATTGAGCTTATCTTTCATCCTTTTTATGATGTTAAGATTATGGAACATTAAGTGTAAGGTTGGTTTAAACTAAATTTCCTTCTTTATTCTAATTATTAATAAATCTATTCACACATATGATAATTTCACTTACATATACTTAAAATTATTACTATATAAATTAATCTCTACTCTTATATTAAACAGTTGTTTCATAACCTTATTTACTCATAAGTTCTTATTTGAACTCTTCAAATTATGGTATTAGATCAGAAACTTAAGTTTTTTTCTTTGATATATAATTAAGATCAATGTGGAATAGACTAATAAATTATGCACTAATATTTTCAATACACATATCAAAACAATTAACTATCATATAAGCTTAATTTTTAAAATATCTTTCTTGTTTTATTGCAGCAAAGAATTGAGACCCATTTATTAATGAAGGGATATATCTGATATAAATAAAGAATGGAAAAATGTATCCAGATTTATGTTTTCCTATCAATAACCTTTCTTTATTTATTACTCTGCTTTCTTAACTATAAGTGTAGCCTTCTAAAAATTAATCATGATATTGAGCATAAATATTTGGCATAAGAACATTAATTTTTCTATCAAGTAATTCTGATTTAGTATACCCAAACATCTTTGCACAAGATTAATTTAAACCTAGAATTCTACTGAAATTTCCATCTTCTGCTGAAATACTAATTAAAGCAGTTGATTCATTAACAAAATCTTTTAGATTATTTATAATCTTTCCACGATCCATTTCTAAAGTTTATAAATTTTTTAATCTTTCTACAACATCTTCAGCTTCTTCTCTATCATTAAGTACATCTATCAAATATCTTGAATACATCATTAATAATGTTGGTGGTAAATCAAAATTGATTTTCATAATACGTTTCCATTAATCATCTAAAACTTTATCAACATACAACATCCTTAAACCTACTTCATATAATTTTCCAAGATCTGGAGTATCTTCTCTTAATTTAATCCAAAAATCTAAATGCAATTAAGTAGATTTTTCTATTAACATTTTAATTTCTCTTAAATTATTTTCAGCAGTAAATTCATTTACATTTGTCAGATTCCCAGAGTCAAACATTTATTCTTCTATTATTTTCCTTAATCTGAATACTAAAAATTATTAATCTAAATAAGGTTTTTCTTAATCTGCCAATGCTAATTCTTATAATGCTTAAATGGTAGATTACATTTTTTCGAATAAAAATAAAGCATGTGAAATTCTCAATTCTATACAATTAGGATAACGAGTCAAACTTAGAACATATGTCTTTTCAACAATATAAATCAATATCACATATTAGTTTTTCATTTATAGATCCTTTACTCCCTTTTTAAATTTTTCAATTCTCTTATCATTCATATTCTTTGGTGAACAAGGACAATCATCTCTTTTACAAGTTACTTTATGATATTCTACATAACCATCTAATAATGATGCAATACTTTCATCTTTATCATAATATCCAACCAATTTAGTTAAATATTATAACAATTACAAAGATTAATCCAAAGAATCAAATTTATTTGAATCTGACATCATTACTTCATATCTATACTCTTTACGCACTAATATTATGATTAATAATAATGGTGTACATATTACCCATAATTATGGTGCTCCATCATAATCTGTATTTTCTAAAATTAATCCTAATACAACCATCATCATTGTCCATAAGATGATCATATGTTGACCATTTAATAATTTGGCAAAGTATATATTCAAATATATACTAGATTTATTAAATGAATGAAACAATTTAATAGAGAATAATGTTAAGATTATAATAATCAATAATCTTTAATTTTAAACATCTAAAATTGTAAAACATAATACTATCACAACTTTAAAAATTACAAATATTAGATCTTCTCTACCTGTTATTTTGCATTATGGATTATTTATCTAAAATCGAGATTCAAAAAACATTAATGTAACTAGTGTGCTAACAGCAATTAATATAATCACAGCAATAGAACACAATAAAACGTGTAATAAATAATTTCCATTATAACATTATTAATCAGTGTATATTTTATGAATATGAGTAGTATTATCACAATTGAATATAGTTAAAAACAATTATAAAATAGGCATGAATAAAACATAATTTAATACTTCAAAAAATATTTTTAGAATCATTAAAGTACCAGTCATTCTACCTAAACTTGCAGATTTTAAAGCTATAAACAATACAACTATTAATAAGAGCATAATTAATCCCATTACAATATAGTTTACTAAAATATAGGTTTAGAAACTCAAATTTTTCAAATAAGGCTAAATCATAAAATAACTAAAAAATGAATTAAGTGTAGATGTCCATGATTTTACTTTCCAAAGTGAAGAAAACTAAATAATTTATTATTATATATACTTCATCAATGAAAAAGAAATGAAATACTTACAAACTTTCAATTAGTATAAAAATTACATAAATAAAGAATGGGAAATTATCTCCTAAAATTAAATTATGTACTATTTCGAAAAACATTATTTTAAATGAGTGTTAAATCTTATCTATATTAGTTTTATCATCTTCAAACAATGAAGTTCTTTTCATTTTTATTTAATAATTATATATATATATATATATAATACTAAATTTTAATTACTATATTATATTCTAATAATACAATAAACATAATCTAATAATATAATATCAATCTATCCAATCTATCTATTTTATTTCTTTTATTTTATTTTATTCACCTAATTCTTCAAGTTATTTTATTATTTAATCTATACTTGGACGTACACTTTAACATGGATTAATCATTTATTTCATTAAATTTATTACAGATTTATCTATTGAAATATTTTCTATTTTCTTTAATATTTATGTTTAATCCATTCCATAATTCATTATTTGATCTTTTATTTTCTCTCCTTCAAAACTTAATTAGATAATAAATACCTTCAAATAATTATTCTTTTTTAAAGATTTCATAAAATACACAACCTAAAGACCAAATATCCACTTTATTATTTATTATTACTTTATCTTAAATCATTTCAATTGCCTAAAAAGCAGGAGTTCCAATATTCTATATTATTTCTTAATTTTAAGTTCTCACAAATCCCATATCACATAATTTGAATATATTATCAATTAATAAAAAGTTTTCAGGTTTGATGTCACAATGAATCAAACCAAGCGAATGAAATTCTTAAACACAGTAACTAATCTTTAAATTGCAAACAGAATTACCTTTTTACAAAGGTTAATCTTTTCTGAATCCAAAAAGTTTTATTATTATTGAATATATCTATAAAGATCTAACGTACCTAATTCCATTACAATTATATAGTATTATTCATATTCAAAATGATCAAAAAATCTTATTATACGATTATAAGTTTATTTATCTATTAGTTTATTTATTATATCAATTTAATTCTAACTTTTTCTAAAAAGCAATTTAAGAGCAACTAATTTCTCAATTTTCATTTAATATATTTAGACAGCTTCAAAAACATATCCTTCATATCCCTCTCCAATTACCTTTCTGAATTAATATTGTTTTTCAGGGTTATTAATATTTGATATGGTCTTATTAATGAAATATCTAGGAGTAATTCTTTATTGCATTTATTTTATAAATAATTCTAAAAATATAATTACTAAATTAAGCTACATATTTTAAATTAAATATATAATTTATAAATAAACATGTATATAATACAAGACTGATTATTTACTAATGTAAAATGAACTAATATATATTAGTATAAATATGTTAATTTTATATAAAAATCTCTTAATTCCTAATAATAATATTGAATTTGTCTGAGATTTTAATTAAAAAGAAAATAAATCAATAGTTATAATTTATGTGGATTTAAATTATTTGAGATTGTTAATTGAAAGATTTATTTTAATAGATTGTTGATTAATTTGATTTTGTATCACAAAACAGGCAGAATTTTAGGATATTTCTGAAATATTAATTAGTAATTGCTTTAAAAAGATAGTAAAAGGTGTTTTAATTAGTTAAAGATAAAGTTTTTGGAATACTTATTATTAATTATATCCGATTTAAAATAACATGATCTATCAATAAAATATACATAATCTATTTCACAAATCATCACGATGACTTCCTTTAGTATCATCATGGAATTCATAATTTGAATGTTCCTTAATAAAGGTTATCAATCTATCCCTTTGAATTTTATTAACTTTTTGAATAAATTTGGTGTAATTCTTATTTCCTTTATATATTCTAATCTTATAGATATCAGTTGGGTCTGAGAAATCACTGTATTCATTTTGAGTCACATCTGCAATAGCAAATTTGACTTTACTAATTTAGGTGATCAACTTAGCTACTTCAGCAAATTCAGGTAAAAGGGATACACTATAATAAAATATATTAATTACTGTTCAGAGTCATATGAATTATAATAGAAAATAACCCAATCTTCAGATGAATTTATAACTCTTTAATATGAATTACCTGTGAGTATTTCAACATTTTGTGTATAATTTGGATTATCCAATTTTTATGATTTATAATGCTTTTGTGCTTTTCCATTTTTGAAATCAAGAATAAATTAATCAATATTCTGTTTAGTAAATGCTTAATTGAATTTATACTTATAAACTCCATACTTTTGTAAACCAAATAAGGCTGGTGTTCCATTGAAATCACCTATTTATTTTTAGAGTTCTGGGAACAATTGATTAGTGACACTACATTTAATAAATAATAAATGATCTTCATGAGGATGATCAAGACTAATAGATTTAAGTGCATCATGAGCATTTCTATCTTTCATTTATGTTTCATCTACTAATAATATTAGTGTAGATCTGTCTTATTTGAATATCTTCTTTGCAACATCTTCATTATATTCTTAGAGTCTCTAAAATTAATTGGTTTCAATAAAGGCCTTTAAATCAGAAACCTTGATCTATTTAGGTTAATAAACAACAGGAGATTTATCATATTTCTTATAGGCCACTAAGGAATCAGTAGGACCAAAACCTAATTCTTATTATACGTTTTCTAAGAAAGTATGATAAAATTCCAAATTTCCATATGCATGACTATAATCCTTGTATCTTTTGAAACCTCTATCTTCTTAATTTTCAGCCATATAGAGAAACATTAATTGACTTTAAGTTATCTGGTCTTTGATTTATTAAATGGTTTTCAATTCTTTAGTACCTTCATTAAGTTATTCATACATCCACATAATAACACTATCACTAGTTCTGGGTCCTTCAAATTTCTTGTATTTATTGCCATGATCTTAAGATAAGATCACAGAAGGAAATCCATTGACTTCAAATTGTTTTGCAATGTCTTTGTAATTATGACCATCAACTTTGGCAAAGACAAAGCCTTCTTCTTTTAATTATTTAGCTGCTTTTTCAACTTCAGGTTAGAATCTTTCACAATGACCACATTGAGGAGTGTAGAAGAAGATCATGGATATTTCATTCTTTTCAAAGAATTGTTTTGAATTTTTATCAAATACTACATGTAAATCATTTTCTTCTTTTGCTTGAGCATAGAGAATCAAAATAGATAACGCAATTTGGAAATACATAAATTAAAAATGTATACGTATGTTTCTAGAATATTTTAATTATTATGTTACTTAAAACCTGTGTTCTGGCAATCGCTCTTTCATTATCCTTGGCCTAAGAAGATTCAGAATATGAACTAAAGACTAAATCTAAACGTTAAACATATGATGATCCAGTATAATCTATATATTGATTAGTCAGGATCCTTATAAAAATCTTATTTAATGGTTGAAAGATGGTAAAGCAGAAGTGTCTAAAGTATAAATTGAAGTCAAGAGCGAAGGTTATAGAACACTCAAAGCATCTTAATTTATTCGTTAAGGAGAGTGGGTACTCTTTATTCCTCGCACTCATTATCTTTCATTAGAAGAAGTCAAGAAAAGTTGTCTTATCAATAGAAAGATGATTTAACTAAATTACATTCCAAATAATATTTAGACATACTTTGTTAATCATTTATTATAAGAGAATAGAAGGTAAATAGAATATTAGATATAAAATAGATAAAATTCATTTTGGAAACCTTATATTGATGTTTTACCAAAAGATGTAAGTGGATTTCCAACTTATTTTGATGCAGAACAAGATGCATTACTTAAAGGTTCACCAACATTATATACTGTTATGAATTAAAGAAGAATATTTAGAGAGGAATATGATAATTTAAAAGAAGCTGTAAAAGAATTTTAAAGATATGGATATACTTATAATGATTTTATTAAATTTAGAATTCTAACTATATCTCGTAGTTTCCCTGTTTATATAGGTGAAAATGAATAATAATAATTATTGGTTCCTTTGGCTGGTATATTATATTAAATATATATTAGATTTCGTAAATCATGATAATAATGGATTTTTATAATATGGATATTCTCCTGATGCAGATGGATTCTTTATGTAGGCAGTCAGAAATATTTAAAAAGGAGAAGAATTATTTTATAATTATGGTTAATGGTCAAATAAATACTTTTTTATGAATTATGGATTTGCTAGTTTAACAAATCCAATGAATTAATTTGATTTTGATGTTTGTATAGATAGAAATGATAGATTATTTAATATGAAAGTTGATTTAACTGGAGGAAATATTTGTTGGGGAAATCGTTTGGTAAATGAAACTGATCATGACACTTTCAGATAATCTTTGGCTACTGTTAGATTTGCTTAAATATCTAAATTAGATGATTTCTTAAAATTAGAAGAAGATGTTCAAAATTATAATTAATTTTGGCCAGGATGGCATACTACACCAAAAACTATAGAATTAGAAAAAGCTACATTTAAAGCATTTAAAGAATTATTAGTTTCTGAATTAGCTAATTTTGCAAGTACAATAGAGGATGATCAAAGAAGATTAAATGATCCTTCAACTCCTGAATTTAGAAGACATATTATTATGTTGACAATGAGGGAAAAGTAAATTATAAAGAAGAATATAGAAGTTTGTGATATGATGTTATCTGTTATAGATAAAAGTTCAGAAGTATATTATTTATTATAATAAATTTAGGAATTAAAAAATTTGATGAGATATTATAATTTCAGAGAAATAGCAAGATATGTAAATAGTGAAATTATTCCAATGAAATTAGAGGAAGAAGGACTTGCATGATTAAATATAATGTTTAATAAATATTATTCCATACATTATTTTTATATTTAATAAATTTTTCAATTATTAAATGTCATATGGATAAAATTTATAAGTTTTCAATCCCTAAAGATTTAAAAAGATAGAGAAAGAGTTATAATAGAATAAGAAACGATTAGAAGAAAGTATTTACTTTACTTTTGATCTTTTTTAGTGAGATTAGAAGAAGAGTCATAAAATACAAAATTATTAAAAGTATAATAGAAAGAAAGAACTGTTGATTTAGAATATAAGGACAGAAAAAAAAAGATGGAAGAAACTTAAGAATAATTGGCTTTTGAAGCTTAAAAATTTAATGATGAATAAAGAAGAATGAATTAAGATTTGGAAAGTAAAAAAGACTCAGTTGTAATGTTGAATGATAGAAAAAAAAGATAAGATGATGAAAGGTATGCTAAAGAATAAAAGATTACTTTAGCTAAGGAATAAGAAAAGGCATAGGCTTTAAATGAATTAGCAAAATTATAGTAAACAATTATTATATTTTTAGAGAAGAGGTTAATTAATTAGAAATTAGAAGAAAGAATCATTAATAATATGAATAGTTTTTTAAGAAAGTGATATCTAAATCAAAGGAATTAGAAACAGGTTAAAATGATGATGAAAATGCTATAAAAGAATTGATTGATAGATATGAGAGATTAAAGAAAAAAGAAGAGGAATTCAAAAAAGATAGGGAATTAAGAGAAAACTAAAAAGATTAAATTAATCAATAATTTAATGAAGTATTTAACTTATTTATAAAGTTAGTTAAATAGTAAAATATAAGCAGAAACATATGAATTCAATTCTAAATATAATAAATTAAAGCTGTTAATTCAATAAATTAATGATGAGAATATTTCTAAACATAAAGAAATAGAAGGAACTCAAAATTAAAATGAAGCTACTTAAAAAGAATATATTTAAGTAATTCATGGAATTTAGAATATGAAAGACATATTAAAATAGAGAAATAAAATAGTAAAAAGAATACTTTTATCTAGTAAAGATAGTGATAATGTAACAGAATAATAGAGAAATAGGAAGAAAGAAAAAAAAATAGATAATTAAAAGATAGAAAAATATTTGAATTTTATTAAGGATGAATTATAAACTTTATAATAATTTAAATAGGAATTTGATAAATTTTTAGCAAAAGAAAAAGAACGTGATTGATTTATTAATATAAATTATTAAAGGTATAGATATTATTATTTAGTATAATACAAATTAATCAATCATCTTCATCTTTGTTATATTATTATCCATTAAATTATTCTTTTTGAGATAAAATTTATTTTCTAGGAGAAATAAAAGATAGTATTGCATAAGCTATGATCAATAATAGTATTATTGATGTAAAGCCTTAAATTGATGTCATTTAGGATGTGATTTATGGATTAGCTAAAAATTATAATATTATAAGAATTACTTATACTTCCATTTTCATTTTATTATGAATTGATATTGGCAAGGGATTGGTAAATGCGATTGGCATGATTGACTATTGATTCACATAAATCATTGTTGCTCATTTTCAAAAAATAAATTATTAAATTTTCCAGAAAAAAGAAATTGCTTTATATTCTACATAGATGTACACATCATACAATTTAATTAAAAATTAATATTATTATATAAATGAATGTTTTAAATTATAATTTTCTATCGAATCAATAAAATGATGTCATAAAATAATCGATACGTATTAAGTCATACCTAATTTAATCTTAAATGAAAATTGATTACATATATATATATATATATAAACATAATAAAACATTTATTTATAGTAAAAGATATTAATTAACAAAATAGTATGTAATTTCAAAATCATTAATTAATAAAATCTTTATGGAAGAGTAAGTGTACATATCAGAGGAGGGAATGAAACATATTCTTTAAACATTTGATCCTAAAGACCCTCATAAAAATATATTATGGACAACCAATTATAAAATGGAATTACCTTTAAGAATTAGAAAATCTGGATCAGGAAGTGAAATACCAATAACTCTTCCAGAACAATTCAAAATTGATTGCACTTAATTTGCAAAATAGCCTGCTTTAAGTGTAAAAAGGAATAATAAATGGTATAAATAGATAATCTATATATAATCAGGATAACAAGAACATATTAAGAATATTATAATGAATCATTATAATTTGCAAAAGCATTAATAGCTTATGGAATTAGTGAGATGAGTGCAATCAATATAATTGGATTTAATGCTCCTGAATGGTTCATTTCTTTCATGGGTAGTGTACATTCACACAATTTACCAGTTGGTATATATACTACGTATTAGAATCATTAAAATGAAATAGCAATAATCCCGAAGCTTGTTTTTATGTTTCAGAACATTCAGAATGTGAACTTGTAGTAGTAGATACAAGAGAATAATTAAATAAGTATTTATAAATATGGGATAAATTGCCAAAACTCAAAGGTATTGTAATGTATAATGATGAAATACCAAAAGATGGAATTAGTGAATAAAGAAAATAATAAATATTTAAATGGAAAGATTTTCTAGAGTTTGGAAATAAACCAGAATTACTAAATTAAGTAATGGAGAGAGTATCAAAGTTACGTCCTGGAAATTGTGTGACTTTGATTTATACTTCAGGAACAACTGGAAATCCAAAAGGAGTTATGTTATCTCATGATAATTATGTGTTTACTATTACATAATAGAGAAAGAAATATTAATTTCCAGATTCTGAAGTAATGAGAATTGTAAGTTATCTTCCATTAAGTCATGTGGCAGCATAATTAATTGATATTATTGGAAGTTGTAGATGGGGTGCACATATATATTTTGCTAATCCAGATGCTTTATCAGGTTCACTCATTAACACTCTTAAGGAAGTGAGACCAACTATGTTTTTTAGTGTACCAAGAGTATGGGAGAAGATTTATGATTAAATGTAATTAATAGCTAAATCTAATGGGGCAATCAAAACAAAAATTGCTACATGGGCTAAATCTATAGGAAAAGAGGGAACATTTGCTTAAACTCATGGATTGAAACCTCCTCTATGTTTTGGATTGGCTGATAAATTAGTTTATAGTAATGTTAAAAAGGCATTGGGATTAGATTAAGCAAAATATTTAATTTTTGGAGCAGCTCCATTATCACCTGTTATAAGGGAATATTTCTTATCTTTGAATATGTATTTAATTAATGGATATGGAATGAGTGAATGTGGTGGAGTTACAACATTAGCAGAACCATTACATTTTGATAAATTTGATGATTTCTTTATGAGTAGCACTGGTAAAACTATGGAAGGAACTGAATTGAAAATAGATTAACCAGATAAAGATGGAAATGGAGAGATTTGTTATAGAGGGAGACATATTTTTATGGGATATTTTAAGGATGAAGAATCAACTAGAAATACTATTGATAAAGATAGATGGTTACATTCTGGTGATGTAGGTAAATTAGATAATAAAGGAAATTTAACTATAACTGGAAGGATTAAAGAATTAATTATTACTGCAGGTGGTGAAAATGTAGCACCAGTATTGATTGAAAATGAATTCAAAAAGACAATTCCAATAATATCTAATTGTATGGTTATTGGTGATAAAAGAAAATATCTTTCTATTTTATTAACATTAAAACATTAACTTAAACCTGATGGAACGTAATTATTTAATTTTTATCATATTAAATAGACCAACTGATTAATTACATAGTGATGTTATTTAAATCTTTAAGGAACTAGGTTCAAATGCTATGAATTTAGAAGAAGCCAAAAAAGATCCCATTATTTCAAATTATTTATAAAAATTAGTAGATGATGCAAATACTAGGTAATCATTAATGTAAATATATTAGAGTCATTTCTAAAGCCTAATACATTAGAAAATGGACTCTCATTCCTAGTGATTTCAGTGTTGATGGAGGAGAATTAACTCCAACTCTCAAATTAAAAAGAAGAGTAGTTGAACAAAAGTGGATCAATGAAATTGAGAAAATGTACTAAGATGCAAAATTATGAAATTATTAATAAAATATAATAAACATATATAGAAGCATCTAAAATTATTGTGGCTATTAGAAAAGACCATTATCTAAAAAGGGAATCAAATAAAGTCAAAAAAAGATATTATTTGTGAAGTTTATGGAAATACAGTAATTATACATGACCCTAGGTATTCTTTATGTATTATATATATTTTTATAGAGTTAAAGTAGTTTTAACTAAATTAATAGTATAGTTCAATTTTGATGCAGTTATTGATCAATTTTGTAAAATGGAATTTCAAATTAAAAACCAGAATTGATGGTTCTGAAATCAATAACTCTTTAATGGCTCTTAGGCCTTGGATCCTTTAAGAGGTTCCAAATTAACTTAAGTTCCTAAAGACCCTTTTACTTGAAATCGTTAAACTCTTATGATTGGAACAATATCCTCATCTCATAAAGTTGCTCAACATAGTTTAAATATATTAAGATTTGCAGATAGAGTGTATTACATACATAAGTTTTAAAGTTTAAGTTAGTACAAACACCATTATATTCTAATATTGTTGATTAATTGGCTATAGAGTTGATACTTCCAATATAATAAAATATGAATAATCATTTATTTATAGGTCCAGTTCTATTTCACCTCCTAAATTATTTGAATTTGAGAAAAAAGATGATGAAATCAGCTATCATAATTCTAATAAAAAAAATGTCAATTAATTGAAAAGATAAGCATGAAAAATTATTCTAAAAATATTAAAAGAAGAAAGAATTATGGAAACTGTTCAATGATATCACATTGATGATTTAGTAGATTTAATAAAGGAAGAAAAGTAATTATTATATATTTACAACCAACCTTATTCTATTATTGAAGATTATGTTGATGAATTAGATAGAGTAATCTCTTTAAAAAAGTGGTTAAATTAAAAAGTATTTTAATTATTTATATTACTAATAGACTAAGACTAAGACTATAGTAATTTAAATAACACATAATAGATGAATAAGAACTGTCACTCTAATGTCAAACACATTTTTACTAGAAACAACACTAAAAACTGATTAAATAATAAATAATATTAATCAATTTATTATTCTCTATTTTTTAATTTAAAAGTGTATCAAGCATAATTGAATTTTTCATTATTTATTTTAAAACACTCCATCTTTCCAAACGCCAGACTATAAAATACTTATAATTATTTTCTATTTACTTTTTGAATTTATTGATTAATCACCAAAATTCCTTATCCATTCTGAACTCCATAGATCCATTCCCCATCATAATAAGTATTAGTATTCCAATAATACTTTCCTTTTCCATGTTTTTATCCCTAATAATATTCTCCCACATATTTTCTTCCCTTCCAATAAAATACACCTTGGCCATGCATAAGATTCTCTTCCCATTATCCATCATATCTCTAATCTATAAAAACATAATTACATTTTCATCATCCCATATACATAATCCAAATCCACTTTTAACATCTTATTTCCATTCTCCATCATATAATGTCCCATCATTTCTCTTCAATACTCCTTTTCCTTATTTCATTCCATTCTCAAATTATCCAGAATAAGAATCACCATTAAACCTATTTCAATTTAGTCCTTACTCAATTAATTAACCATAACCATGATATAGTCCATTTATGAATTCTCCAGTATAAGTACTCCCATTAGTTTAGAAATGAGACCCTTAACTGAGTTATCCATCAATAAATTAACCTTCAAAAATATCTCCACTAGCCAACCAGAGTTTTCCTTTTCCATTTGGAGCTTTATTTTTCCATTGTCCTTCATATCTAGTACCATCTTCATCTAAAAATGATAATTTAAAGTTACAAGTCCATTCTAAATATCCTTCTCCGGTTGGTAATTTAATTTCACTCTCAATATAGCTATAATTTATGCATGAAGTTATCTATGACTTTAATTAATAATTGGGTAATTAAGATATTCCAATTTCATTTTTGTTAATTAAGTTTTCAACTAGCACACATAAATTTTCATTAGTGGTATTCTAATTCACAATAATTTTTTCAGCCTTATAATTTTTTTTTCCTTAACATAAACCCATTTAGTTGAATACTTATTATTATTATAAAACTTAAAACAGCAACAAATTAATTATTTAATATAGATATTCTATCTAATTAGCAATATCATATTTTTATTAGAAACGCTTGAACTGAAATGAAATCTATATGTTTCTAAATATTTTCAAAAATAAAAATGAAATGACATTAGCATTAATATCAATTATTCATGCCAATAACTAATAATTAGACTAATCATATAATTTATTTAATGGATGAATGAAATAATTAAAGTAATGTAAAAATTAACCAAGTCTTTTGTATAAATTATTATATTATTTTGTCAATTTTCGATCATTAACAATATATTTTAATGAAAATATATTAACAAAATATTGTTAATAAAATAAAAGACTTTGAATATACTAAAGTAAAAAATAGAAAATAATTGTTTGTTTGAATATCCAAATAGTATCAATAACATTTATCATCGATTTGTTGAGGATTCATCTTTTTATATATAAGATGAAGTACTTTCTTTGGCTGAATCAGCATCATTTAGTAGAGAGTCTTTTGGTATTTTGGATTCCTAAAATTATTTAAAATTATTTACTTAGATTTTCCCAAATATCAAATTATAGATACTGATCCTTGCAAAGAACATATAAGTGCTTTATAATGATTTTGGAAGGTTTGGCACTAATTATTAATGAAATGCATAAAAAAATAGGGATGCATAATTAAATCCTTGTAATGCTAGTAAAAGTTGTGGAATGAACCAAAATAATTAAAATACATATAACCATTATCTTATCCATTCTGTTTAATAATCTATAAGTTTCTATATCATATTGATTGTCCATAATGTTAATAAAGTTATTGGTAATATATAGAGATTTAATGAGGAACATGAATCAAACTCATCTGTAAAATTGGTTCTAATCTTTGATTTTAGTTATCTCACCAAACAATGAAATATAATACTAACAATTATCAATATAAATGTAATAGATGATTATAACCAAAATAAACTTTTAGTAAATTTATCATTTGATCTAACTTCTAAATTGCATATATAATAGATAAGTTCATTTTTCCATGTAGTGCCATAATGCTAAAAGTTTGCCCAAAAAAGCATTGGTAAACATATTGCAAATGTAAATATGCCAATAGCAAAATGTATCCAATAAATTTATTTTTTAGTTTATACAAACTTAAGATTTGGATTCAATGTTTATTTAATAATATAGCATGAATACAAAGAAATTAAAGTTGATGCCAAAAAAGATGAATTAATGAAGTACCCTTATAATTTGCAAACTTTCATAATATATATTTAATTATACATGTTCCATTAATGCAACATTAGGTATTATCTGAATCAGATTTGAATTAACAAAATTGATATTCTTCATCAGAATTATTTTATTCATAAAAAATGAATGGTGTTAGTAGTTGTGGTACATAGAAAAATAACATACTAACAATTTAAGTAAAGAATAGGCTAATTATAATTATACATATTTACTTAGCAATGAAATATCTCCATCCTTTTCCTAATATATATACTGTAATGACTCCAACAACTGACAATAAGCTCATAACTATGCAAGTAAACTGAGCAATCAAAATGGGATTATTTCCATAAAAATACATTAAGATTAATAATATGTATAAATAAATAATATTATTTAAAAAGATATTAACTTAATGTAATAAATCATTTGATCGTATTTCATTTATATAGAAGTACAGTTTAGAATTTCATTATGATGCTAGCTCATAAAGTATCTAAGGATAGATTCTAGACTTTTTATATCTATTTGTCTAATAGCACTAACAAATGGCAAAACATAAATTGAATAGATACAGAAGATCCACTATTAGATAATCTATGTATGACTTGTTTACATAATTCTCATATTCTTATTCAAAATATTTATAGCAAGCATCTTTTCTTATATTAAATATTTAAATACGGGATTCCATTATTGATATTAGAAAATAAGTATACTGGATGAGATTTACACCATCCTGAACAATTATACTTCTCTTCTAAAAATGCAATATAAGATTATGATGCCCCATCTACTCTAATCCATTTTTTGCATTTCTAATATTAGGTTATATCACTAATTTATTAATTTGTTGTATAATGTATTCTATTATTCTCTAAATAATCTGAATTCCAATCTTAGATTTTTTCAATGTAACATATACAGTCATGTTTACAAAACTAACTTTCTGCCCATAAAATTTACTCTTTTGTTTTTTCTGCAGCTGGTAATTAGGAGGTCTTACAATCAAATTTATTACTTAACAATTAATCTTTTAAAATAGTTAATGAGATTGTAATATAGGCTGTCAAAACTCCAATTAATATTATAAAGCAAGAATAAATAACAATAATATAGAAATTTGGACAATATGAACTTAATAATCCAGATGCTCCAACTATAACAACAGCAAGTCCAACAGAAAATGTATATATAATACCCTAAGAATAATTCTTGATCGAATACGTTGCCATCATTGCTTATATCTTCATTCAAATTCAAAAACACTTAAGAGATTAACACAATTCCCAAAATAATAAAGCAAAAGCAGTTAATTCTGATAAACAATTGAATAAACTTTAGTGGTAAGCACATAAATAAAAATTTATAAATATCTATGATTAGAAGACGTATTCATTATTAACATAATTGTTAAATATATTTTATTTTAAATCATCATTTATGTTTCTTAGCATGATTGTCTACTAAATCATAAGCTTATTGAACGGTTTTGATTTCAGAGATTCTAATAATTTAATATTAATAATGATACCTTTTTCCTTTTCTAACAGCATAAGCAGCATCATATTATTCTTTATATTCTCTAGTTTGGATAAGTAATTATTCAGTTAAACTTAGATCTCTATTAATTATAGTCAATCTTTTCTCTAAAAGAACCTAATAATCATATAATAATTATATACTTTATCATTAGTTCTCTTCTTAATCAATTAAGAAGTGACTTCAAAATCTTTAGAGAACTTCTCTCTCAATTCAGCAATCTCTTGTATTTATGTTTAGAAAGTGATCTTAAATTATTTATATAAATATTATACTTGACTTTAAGTTTCTTATTCATCTTCTTATTACATTAAAGAAATTACTGCATTTCTAATATGTTCCAATTTATCAATGATTCTTTTTACTGTAGGAACATCGAATTTAGTTGTCATAGCAACCATTATTGCAATTGGATGATTGTGTCCTAATTCTCTCTTGATTTTTTCAACAATCTCAAATTGTTCTGTTTATAATAATGATTTTCCTTCTTAATCAAATACAGCAACTTATAATTTTGGAATTATTTCATTTAAGGCTGCTAACACTTTACCATTATTTTCTTATCTAGCTGAATATGATGCAGCTTCTTAAGCTCTTGTTTATCTGAGTTGTTCTTCCTTTCCATTTAATATATTTAATTATTCTGTAAGTGCATCCATTTACAATTATAAACCTACAAGAACTTGATTGAGTTCACTTAATTAATTATTTTTATCTTATCTCTCTTTTGTAAGGTTTCTTAAAACAATAATAAGCCATTCAATATCTAATCCAAGAGTTGTTGTTCTCTAATCAAATATACATTTTCATATACATGAGCATATTCAAGATCATCATTTAATTGATCTCTCTTCATCTATTCTAACAAATCACCAACTAAAGCAACTACTTCTGACACCTTTCCTCCTTAACTGAGTTCTAAATCTAATAGAAAAGTGAATTCAGTATGATCAGTCTTGATTGCTTTGATCTCTTTTAGTAAAATTGGCACTCCTGCTTCTAATTCGACTGCAGAAATTCCAAAAACTAATAATCCTAATATGAGGATAGCTTTCATTATTTTATTAATATTAATAAAAACGGACTTTATACATAAAATTAAAAAAAAATAAAGTTATTAACAAATTCCTTTCTTTGATAGTTTGTATCATTTATTTGTTTTATCAAATTAAGATTCTATGAAATCTATATAAAAATAATTAGAATTCAACTAATTATATAATTAAATTGAAATTTTATCTATTTTTAATTTTACTTACTATCCATAATGTTTATCATCAATTAAATAATATTAATCTAAACTAGAAATTAATTCTAATTCATTCATTCAAATTTATTATGCTATTTTCATTAGATAAATTAAGATATCAATTAAAGTTTATTCATATTTTTACTATCAATATTTCTTTAAAGATATTTTAGTTTAATAACTATGAAAATGTAATCATAATTACTTGTTAATTCAAGTATTATATATATTATGATTAATTTAAAAATAGAAAGTAGACATAATTATATTTATCTATTGTATTAGAGATTAGATTAAACATAATAATAAACTATCTTTTATATCTTATTATTATTATCATTTGTATAAATAATAAAAATATTATGACAAGTGAATGTATTCCATTTTATACTCTAATAATAATGTAAATTCATTTTAGATGCTTTATAAATTAGATTTAATTTATTCTTGTGCTTATCAATATTATTGTAAATTCAAAATTTATCTATTAATATTGATTAAAGATTTGGGATATATAATTTTTTTATAATTGATAATTTTAAATGAAGATAATGAAAAAATGATTTAAATAAATATATATTTTAGAGCCTTGTAAATATTCATTTAATTAATACACAAAATTCAGGACTATAATTAAATTTAAACTTTAGTTAACAAATTGAATAGTGATACAGGGGGTTAATCAATTTTAATATAAAATATTTATTAATCAATGATTGAAAATTAACAAGATGAGTAGATTAGCCCATTAGATTATGGGAAATATAATGCAAAGCCTTAAAAAGATCATCGAGAGTTGAAATACATGGCAACTAAAATTAGTGAACCTAGAGGGAGTATTCAGTATCCTTAACATGTGCAAGTGGCTATTGAAGATGATACCAATTCTTAAAATGATTCTAGATGGTATGCAAAGAATGATGCATACAAATAACTTACTGGAAATGAGAGAACTGGGTTCATAAAAAAAGTATTTATGTTTTATATAATAAGGTTTATGCAATTATGATAATTTAATTGTTTATAACTATGATCATGTGTCTTATATCTTACTTGTCACTTGATTATAGGAGGTTCTAACTCTAACATAATGGATTTGTATATTTGGCTTTAGGAATATCAATATTTGTAGAATTGTTACTTTTTTGCATTCCCAAATTTGCTTGGAGAGTGCCTTATAATTATATTTTACTGTTTATTTTTACTTTCTGTGAAGGATATCTAATATCAAATCTATGCAGTTATGTATTTGATAGATATAGTGAAAATGGAGGTAAATCAATGGTTTCCCTATATAGGATTTATTGTATTGATGGCTGCTAGTTTATCATTAGCTGCTGTAATAGGATTAACCATATATGCTTGTAAAACAAAATCAGATTTTACTACTAAAGGAGCTCTATTGTTTATGTGTATTACTTCTTTACTACTTTTTGGAATAATGGCAGGTATTTACTATCAAAATGTTATAAATCTAATATATTCATTACTTTGTTGCCTAATATTTGGTGCTTACTTAATATATGATACTTAATTAATATTGGGGGGAAGTGTAATATATTTATGAATAATATTTATTAGACTCACAAATTGTCAATTGATGATTATATCATAGGATCTATGATAATTTATATAGATATTGTGTATTTATTTGCACATATCTTAATGGTATTGATAGCATGTCTTAGATGAAGTTAATTTGTTTTAATAATATAAAATAAGTATATCATCTACTCATCTTCTATATGGTGCTAAACTACTCTTCCTTACTTCTTCTACTTCCTTCTCTTTTTCTTAAATTCTAGCTCTTAAACTTTCTATTTCAACTGATTACATCTACATTAAATAATATTAGATACCACAAAATGATAAAGCAAATCTTAAATTTTTCTATTTTGAGTACCTCCATCAGCATATTATAATCTCCATTATCTTAATTCAATTTCATTAACATCAATAATTCCTTATAGTCTATCAATTTCTTAAGATAAAATTCTTATCTAATATGATATATTTAAATTCTCTTACATTTTCTTCATATTATTTTAATTAGATAATTTATTATTCTAATAAATAACATTTCTTTTTTAACTAATCTATTTCATCTTATTTATTAGTAATAATTTAATTTAATCGTTCAATTTCACTTGTTAACATAGAACATCTATTTTCAGATTCTGCATATTTAGTTTTATAAATTTCCAATTAATTTTATTTCTATTTAATTTCATCATATTATCTTTATAATAAATGATATTATGCTTCCCATCTTTCCTTCTCTTTTCTCATTTCATCCTATTCTGCATATATCTTTCTTAATTATTAATTTATCCTCTCTAATTCTTAACTATTTAATTAAATCTTAGATTCATATCTTTAAATTTATGTTTTAAAATCTTCTATTTCCCCATTTCTAAATCTAATTTATTCATTCAATCTTAAATTTTCTGTATTCATATTTGCTATTTTCTATTCCAAAATAACACAACTTTCTTAATACATTTTTAAACCAGCTAATTAAGTTTCTAATCCTAATCTTTTACTTTTTTCTTCATCTTATTATTTTTATAATTAATTAATTTTATCTAATTATTTATATAATTAATCATCTTTTAATTTTATTTAATTAGAATAATGAGTTATCTAATTATTTAATTATTCATTTTCATCACATAACTCAGATTATATTTAAGTTAATCTATCTATTTCTGAACAATGTAAAATTATTCTAATTAATGATTATTTCCATTTCTCTTCAATCTATTTATTAAATTAATTTAAATCAATATAAGATTATTCTAATTTTCTATATTTATTTGACCATTCTTCTGTTTCATTTGTTTTTAATGCTAAATTTTATTTACTTTTTTATATTTCTGAAAACATTTATTTCTTTTATTCTTCAAAATCCTATAACTTACTTTATAATAATAATTTTTATCTCTCTATCTCTTAAGTTAACATAGCAATTGTATTTTCATATTCAATTAATTTTTTATTTTTTACTTAAGATTATTAATATTCTGATTCTAAATCTTAATATCTTCGTTTCCATTCTTCAACTTAATTTTTAATTGTTTAATTAAATGAATCTTAATTAACTAAATCTTTCTACAATTAATTTTTAGTCATTTATAAATTTTATAATTCAACTTATTTCTATTTTAATTATTCTTACATTCTATCAATTTCCTATGTCACACAACTTAATTTATTTATACTATCATTATATTAATTATTTTTATTCTTGAATTCTTCTTCAAAATATATTCCTTTGTGTTTCCAATCTTCTAATTCTTAGATCTTCTATCTTAATATAGTATTTAATCTTTCAACTTCATTTGTTAATACTTAAATTTTATTTATGAAATCTGTATTAGTTTATTCTAAATTATACTTTTATTATAATAATTAATTATTCTTAATTTTCTAATCTTCCAAATTATTAGTCAATTATTAAAACATTTCAAATTAATCTTTTAATTATATTTACAATTAATCCAATTTACCTACTTTTTGTTTCAGTTCTTTACATTAATTTTCAGAATCAAAATATTTTTATCTCCATTCCTCCCCTTATTTTATCTTTTCTCTCAAAACTAGATTAAGTCTATCTACTTCGCCTTAGAGTAGATTAATTTTATTTTACATTTAATCAATAATCTAATCTTAATCTTTATATTTTATTAATTCATTTGATGATAAAACATAAGCCTAATTCAATTAATCATAATCTTTCTATTTTTTGTCTACAAAACTTTATAATTACCTAAATTCAGATTTCTATTTTTCTGATTCTTAATTAAGAATAGAATATTTTTATTTTGATAATTCTAATTCATCCAATTTCTATTTTAATAATGTATTTAATCTTTCAGTTTCACAAACAAGCATACCAATTTTATTTTCTAAATCAATTACTTTATTTCCTTATTATTTATATTATTATAAATCTGATTCTTATTAATTCAATTCAATCTAATAATATTCAATAGCTTATTATTTGCTCTATAATTGTTCTCTTAACTTATATAATTCTCCTTCCTTAAATAATATAAATTAATTTATCTTACATTATTTTATTTCTGATATGCCAATTAAGATTTTAAATCATCAATCTCTTTTTAATGCTACTAATTTCCTGTTATTAATGTTTATTTTAACTATTCATTCACATTTTTGTAGTTCTCTTCAGTTGTATAATATTTTATCTTCCAATTTTCAATCTCTTCAGAATATTAAGTTGTTGTAATTTCAATTTCTTATCTTATAATTATATCATATTTTACCTATACATACTCTCCTAATATTATAATTACATAAGTCTTGCCTATAAATCTTCAATCTACTTCTCATAACTATTTCTATCAAGCAATTTATCATCCATTTCTTTGATTCTATATTTCAATTTATCATTTTCAGCTACAAATCTCTCTATTTCACAAGCCATCAAAAAACACACAATATCAAGACTTTTACACAACTGTTATCTTGCAGGAGGTGGATTATTCATTTATGAACTATAAATATTGTTTCCTGACCTAAACACAACTAAACACAACAATTTACATTGATCTCTTCATTTAAGAAACACTTAAGTTTGTTGTAGATGTACATTATCTAATTGTACTTGATATAATCTTAGATGAAGATTAAGATGTAAAATATTCTTTGTTTTAGTTTACTGGATCTAATGGTGTACGACAATATGTGCTCATTTTAAATTCAAATATTAATTATAATCCAAGATCGTTAATTTCATAATCACATAAATTAGCATAATCATTTAAAAATTCTCTTTGATTTATTTTTTTATTCATTCCTTTATTTTACAGGTTTAATATCAGATTCGCTATCATCATTATCTTATTCATCATCATCATTTTCATCATCTTATTCATCTTCATTATCTTATTTATCTTCATCTTCATTATCCTCATCATCTTCATCATCCTCATCATTCTCATCATCATCATCATTCTCATCATCCTCATAATCTTCACTATCTTCTTCATCTTAATCATCTGATAATACTTCATTTATATCCTCTTCATCATCTTCTTCTTCTTCTCCTTCTTCATTATGTTATTAATCTGCTTTATTTACTACTTTAGTTTTCTTTCTATTCTAAACATTTCTCAAATGTTCCATTACTTTTGATAAATGTTCTACTTTTTTATATGACTTTAACATTTTTTTTTCTTTAGCATTTTTATATTATTTGCTAACACAATCATCATTTTCAATTTCATCTTCATCTTCATCATTTGAATCCTTTTCAATTTCTTTACGATTTTCTTCAATTTTTTTCTTTTTAGCTTCTTCTCTCTTTTATCTCATATAATTAGTTTAATCTTTTTCTGATGATTAAACTGCAGTTTCTATTTGTACCTTAGGATCTGCTTTAAATGTTTCCATCAATTCAAAATAATCTAAACCTTCTTTAGTAGGAGCTTAAGGTTTTGATTATTTAATAGGAAGTATATCTAAAATTTATGGTAATGCTTCATTAAGTTATAAAATCTTTATTTAATTGCCTTCTTTTAATTTCTATTTATCAGCTTTTCTCTACTTACTATTTTATATTATTTCATCATAGATTTCCTTTTTACTCTTTCTTTTATCTTAATTTTAATCAAAACCAACAAAATGATTATTTTTAACAAAACCTTTAGGTAATTCATCATCTGAACTCACTGGTATTTAATCATTATAATCTTCTTATAAATCTTAACCATTATGAGTAAATTTCCAATTCTTAAGAACATTTTATTCTTCTTATTCATTATCACTATCCAATGCAAATAAATTCTTTTTTTTTGGAGCTTCCTCTTATATATTTCGTTTTTGCTATAATTTAGGTACCTATTGTAATTTTTTATCCTTCTTTTATATCTTTTTATCCAGATTTTCAACATGTTACTCAAATTTATTTTGTTTGTGCTCAAATTTTTTTATTTTACCCATATATTAAAAAAATAAATAGTATTGATAATTATAATATTATATTTAATTAAAAAAGGGATATTCAAATATAATTAACATAAATAACTTTTAATGTTAGAGCATATTCATTTTTAATCTATTTTCCATACATTCCTTTAAATCATTCAATTTTATTTTCATTTTGTTTTCTACAATTTTGAAATATAATCCCCAAATCTCATTTCCACCCTTTTAGACAAAATCATCTTTAATATATGCACACATGTCTTTAACCATCATATTTGAATTTATTATATGCTCTATAAAGTAACTCAATAATTTATAAAGATGCTTAACTATTATTATTATTTGGCAATATTCTTAGCTTTTTCAGATCCTATAAGAACAAGTTTATCACTTCATTAATTAATTCAACTATATATTGTAGATCATCAACTTAAAAAAGAACCTTAAGGAGTAAACATAAATAGATATCCTTTTTCAAAAAAGTTTAAATCATTATTTTTCTAAAAGTAGAAAAGAGATTTATAAGAATTTCATAACAATTAAAACATTATTATTATTACCCTTATTCTCTAAAATTAAGATATTTTATATAATGTTGGAATAAAATAACATTATTTATAATTTTTATGAAATTCTATTTATTTATTTTGAGAATAAATTAGTATAAGAAGGATATGTAATAAATATTAATTCATAAATAAAATAAATATTTAAATGCAAAAAAATTCTGTAGATATTTCATTAGATATAATATATAATATAGTATTTGTTAGTGATCTTTATTTTGTTTATATAATTTCTTTACAATTTCTTCAATGACTAATAATTTATCAATTAACATTTCTATACTCAAATTCATCTATGTCTTTTGAAAGCTCTTAATTAGGTTCAACTCTTCTTACTTTGCTTTTTCATATTATTGATGTTGTTAAATTAATTATTATTTAATTCATAATGGAAGAGGAAGGATATAAATAAGTGTAGAACTATATTTTATGTAAATTTATTTGTTCAACAAGAGCGCACATTGGGCTAAGGAACTTTTGGCAAGGTTAAACTAGGTTATCATAATATTGCTGACGAATATGTAAGATTGAACCTAAATTTATTAGGTAGCAATAAAAATACTTGAAAAAAGTAGAATAGAAAATCAATGTGATTTAATAAGAGTTTAAAGAGAAATATCTATACTAAGAAAAGTATGTCATCCTAATGTAATCAAATTGTATGAGGTAATTCTATCATAACAAAAACAAGATCTTAGAATCTGAGTCATGTGTCTATTTAGTAATGGAATATGTAAAAGGTGGAGAATTGTATGAATACATAATAAAGAAGAAATAGTAATCTGAATCCTAAATGAAATTAGCCTACCAGAGAATATAGCAGTTCGCTACTTTTAGTAGTTAGTCTTTGCAACAGAATATTTACATTCATAAAATATAACTCACAGAGATTTGAAACCAGAAAATCTTTTACTAGATGAGAATAGATAACTGAAGATTGCAGATTTTGGACTCAGTTTTATATCTTAAGTTAAAGGTGAATATCTTAAAACTGCTTGTGGATCTCCTTGTTATGCTGCACCAGAAATGCTTGGTATACATTTAAATTAATAAGTTGGTAAAACTTATGAGGGAACTAAAAGTGATATATGGAGTTGTGGAATAATTTTATTTGCTATGTTATGTGGATATCTACCTTTTGAACATGAGAATACATAATAATTATATGAATTAATTAAGAATAGTGATTTTGAAAAACCAGAACACATATCAAAAAATGCCTTGGATTTACTTAATAAAATTCTTGTTAAAGATCCAAATAAACGATATAATTTCGATTAAATAAAATAACATCCATTTTTTTAGTTGCATTTATCAATTCCATAAAAGAATTTAAGTTTGAATGATTAAAATATTATTTAAAAGATGATAGAAATGGGATATTAATAAAATTAAATTATAATCTAATTACAATAAAATAAACATAATACTTTAACTACTATTTATTATCTATTATAAAAAAAATACAATTAACCTCATAGACAAAGCTTTTTTTAAAATATTTAAAATATAGGAAATCTAAAACTTGATATTAATTAAAAAAGATTTACAATAGCAAAATTCTAACCATCTCAATAAGGATCACCTATTTTAGATAAAATTGACAAAATAAAAAAATCAATTAGATCCAGATTAGATAATTCTCCTTATTTAAAAACATAGATCTCATAAAGATTTAAGAAAATTAATTTATCAGTTTAATCTAAAAGAGTTAGTGTTCAAATTGAAAATTAAAGATAAAAGACAAATTCTGTATAAGAAAAACATTATGAGTATCCTTGTATATTCACATCCAATAATTCTGATTAAAAGTAATAATAATAAATTGAATAAACAAAATCTAGAATTTAATCAAGAAAGAATTCCAAAAATTAAGCACCTTACAAAAATATATAAAGAAGAAATATAGAATAAGTAATAAAAACAGATTTTAATGAAGAATACTAAAATAATTAGAAAGTTATTTACGCTTAAGTAAGATAAAGAAATAAAACTTAACCCCATAAAAATGATGATGGCCAAAAATACTTTGATAAAACTTCCAAATTGAATACATCTCATTAAGTATTAAATAATTAAATTAGATGGTGGAAAAGACACCATAACATTCCCCTTACATAAATATGAATTTCAGTAATCATCGACAATTGTTTAAATAGATCTATAATGGAAACTTATATGATTTTATGAAGAAAAAAAAGGATTTGAAAACACAAAAAGTGATTAATGATCAGCCATGATTAGATTGAATACATAGTTAATTACTATTATATAAATTAATTATGTTAGAAGATTGTTAAATTTCTTTTATTGTCTCAAACTAAATTCTACTCCATTTATATTTAATATATTTTATTTGTTTTGTAAAATTATTCCATCGTTTTTATAAATAATAAGACTTTTATACTATCTTTTTCAATTTAAATAGTAATTATAGAATAATTTAAATAACAAAAAATTAACTTAAACAAAGATATTATTCTATGATTATTCTATGAATAAGTCTTAAGTAGTAAATATTTTTATAAATAATTATGTTTTAAATTAAGATACTTTATAATATAACAAAGATAAATCAATTAATAAAATCATTTTATACATGAATATATGTTTGAAGAGATATGTAGTAAACTATTTCTAAACATTTAATAGTAAATATATCATTTTCGAATTAAATTAAGAAATTGAGAAGTCATGAACTTATAACCAGATTAAATATAGAAATAAATAGAATGAAATTAGATAAACCCATCATTATAAATTTCATTTAATAATCATGCATCTTCCACCTTTTCAGTAACTACTTCTTAAGTTGTACCATCATTCATAGTATAAATTTTGGTGGTTATAATATGTTTTTTACCACCTTTCACAACTGTTTTAACCTTTTTTTATACTTTCTTTGCACCTGGAATCATTTTCTCCTTTCCTTCATCTTTATCATCATCATCATCTTTTTATTTATCTACTTATTTCTCTGATTTCTTTTTTTTCTCTTTCTCTTTATCTCCATCTTATTCTTGTTTGCCTCCTTATGAAAATTTTGAGGCAAAATCAAAAACAAAAACAAATTTAAAAGCCTTATGGGGTGCTCCAAATATACCAACTTACTTATAAGCAGGTTCAAAGAAATTAGATCTGTGTCCTCTACTAGGAACACCATCATCAACTATCAATTATATAACAACTAATTATATAAAATCTTATAATTTACTATCTTCAGCAGTGGATTTTCCAAAACTTATATTTTCTCCAATTGTTCCTGGTTTCCATGAACCATGTCTTTCAATTCTTTATTTTGTAGTTGAATGATCACTTCCTTCATGTCCAGTCATCCCATTAGTTCCTATATTCAAATTTGTGTAAATACCTAAATCTTCAGCATGATCCCTAGCTGCTTCTTCCAACCCTTTATCGTATGTCAATGGTCCAACAGGTTTCTGTTTTTTTAGAAAATCAATGCATTCTATATAAAGATATTACATGCATTACCTTAGACTGAATTTGCACCCTCTTTTGTATTAGTAGCTTAAGTTCCAGGTAAGTGTAAGATCTTATCTTTAAAGTATTTAAGTCTATTTTCTAGAACTGGTATCATTAAAGATGGATCTTATCTTACTTTATTCTATAATTCAAAAACTTCCTTAGCCAAAGCAGAATAATTCATTTTTTATTTTTATTTTAATAATTTTATTTTTTTTATTTATTTATATCATTAAAATATCTTTAATAATATATAATATATTATTTAAAAAGATATCTCAGAAATCTTTGCTACTAAATTTGAATTAATTGTGTTAATTTTCTTACTTTTTTTAACATATAAATAATAAGAAATTAATTATAAAAATAATTTGTTAATGTATAATAATTTCCTATAACCTTGATAATAAATGAATAGTATTCAAATGAATTAAATATTTATTAATAGTATTTAAATTAATAATCAATGAGCTCTTTCCCTTATTTTCCATTAATGCATATAATTATTTAATTTATAATTAAAGTCACTTAATTTATCTTTTTAATTGGATTAATTTAAAATTGAATTTGTTATTGAACTTTTAATATAAGTTATTCTATTGTTATCAAATTCAACTGAGCTACGACGTGATTTATTATTCATTTCCATAATTATTGAACCACGTTTTCTTTTATCTTTTGGATTGAACTTTTATTCAAAGTCTTTAAGTTATTTAATGAAACCTGGATTTGGACTAACTAATCTTCTACATTATTAAATATGATGCAAAGTTTAATTAAGACTTAATTAATATTTTTGCATCATATAGACTGCACAAATAGCTGCAGATCTAGAAATTCCATTTTAACAATGAATTAGAACATTAGTTCTTAGAGTTTAAATATCTATGAATTTAATAGATTAATCATAATATTTGTACAAGGGAAAATCATCAGTATCTTCTGCCATTATCCACTATATATATTAGAATTATATACTATTTTTTATACACCTTTGATTTATACTTGATAATCAATAACAGAAAGTACAGCTCCTATTTAATATTTAATTAAATTATCTGGATTTTAAGCAGCATCAATATTTCCTAAGTAAATACCTCCAACTCCATTTAATGGAGCTATTATGCAATTCATACAATTAGACAGATCAGGAGTATTAACGAACATTTTAATTAAAATAATTAAAATCCAGCTCTATATGTGAGTTCTATCATATAAATGAAAAATTTGGTTATATTCTCTAAGTTAATGTTTAAGTTATTAATGATATATAGATATATATGATAATGAAATAGTATAATAAAATTCATTTTTTAGAGATGTATGACTTTTTAATTGAATAGTTATATGTATTAGCATTATATACTAAATTAAGTTTTTGAGGTTACAAATTATATTAACCCTAAGAATGAAATTAAAAAATACTTAGACATGAAAAGATGGTTATTAGATAGAATTTCTTTTTTGTGGAGATTTAGTAATAGATGTAGATTATTATTTTGGTTAATGTTCTAATATATGTTAATGTTGTTATTTAGTATCTTCTTTAACTCCAGGTAATCCAATAATACGATTAATTCTTTTATCTTATTCGGATCCTAATCTACTTTATGGAAGAGTATCATTAAATTTGATTTTAAATGACTAATTGAATGTTTTATGCATTTAAGATTTAGTATCTTCTCCATCTTTTGCAAATTCTGATACATCATCACCAATTCTATAATTATAAACTTATTTCTAATTCAATGTTTAATTTTATATAGTTTATGGAATAGCTTTTTCTAATATTCTCTTTGGTTTTGAATCACCTAAATCAAATTAATTAATTATATTAGGTTTTGAATCATCTCTTTCACAACTAATTCTTCTTTAAAAATTACTTTTTGGTCTAACTTCATTTTCTTTATTCCAAAGATCTTATAGATATTAATGTTCTAAACATTCTATGGCTGTTATTCTTCTATTTGGATCCATTATTAAACAAGATTTTAAAAAATTCAAACCTTTATGACACATTTTCCCTTAATATCTTTTCTCTATTGTTTCATTCTTTATTATATCTGGAAACTTCATTCCTATATATCTTTAATTCTTTTAAAATCTTTCCATTTATTCTTGAGTCAAAGGTCCAATAATTTTTTAAATTAAATACAATTAATCCATTTCATTCTCACCTGGAAATAATGGTTAACCATCTATTAACTCTCCCATTATACATCCTATAGCCCAAATATCCACTTGTTTTCCATAGTTATTTGAAATTAATAGTTCTGGAGATCTATACCATCTTGTTGCCACATAATCAGTTAATTATTCTTAACATTATATTGTCTAAATCATTAAATATTAACATTACTCTTGCAAAACCAAAATCACACAATTTTATATTTAATTCATTATCAACTAATAAATTTTCTGGTTTAATGTCTCTATGTACAATTCCAACTTAATGACATGCATGAATAGCCAAAACTAATTAGAATATTACTCGTTTAATGCTTTCCTACTAATCATGTATTTATATTCTAATACATCTAATTATTTTCTTTCTTCTAATAACTCCAATAGGTTTCTATCTACAAATTGGAATACCAGAAATATTTTGCCCTTTTTTTTAAATGCTTCTTTAAGTTAGATAATATTTGGATGTTTTATCATTCTCAACATTTTCACCTCTCTTTAGATACTTTTCTTAACTGTCTCATCATCTTCTGTCTCTTTGAATTTTTTTATTGCGACTGTAACATATACAAACAAATATAAAACCACATTCATTTGTTTCTTTATTTCTACATTTTAGAACTATTCCATAAGCTCCTTCTCCAACAACTCCTATGATCTCATACTTATTCATTCTCTCTTTATCTATCCTTATATTATTTATATTAATACTTATTATATAATCTTAAACTTAATTAATTTTTGAATTTGTTTCTATTGATTAACAATACAAATAACTAATTTTTATAATATATATATAAACAAACTACTTTATTTTAAACAATAAATTTAATAAGTATCTATCATATGATTTAGATTTATACATTTTCATTTCATATTAAACTTATTTTATATAAAATTATAATTAAATTAAAAATATACTTCATATCTTAGAAAAATTAAGTAAAAATAAATTTAAATAAGTGAAGTTGTAATAAATTAAACTTAAATTGTCATCACATAAAATTTAATATAAAAGAATATAATCAAATACTTTTATCAATGTATTGGAAGATCATTATAAAATGATAAATCATAATTGATAACCAAATTTATGAATTTATTCTATATTATTTTTTATGATATTTGCTATTCTAGATATTTCTTAAATGAATATATTTAATATCATATAATTCTAACAATGTTTCTAAGCAATAATCTTGAATATAAGTTTTATTATCTTTTTCATTTCTCATTTAGATCCTATCATACTTTATTCAATTATATATTTTCTCTTTATCTGAAAAGTTTGAAGAGGAACAACCTTAGCAGAAATTGTAGTAATATCAATTTTGGAAGGATTAAAAGCTAATTTTTGAGTATCACTTAAAGTACTGAAAAAAAGAAAGAAATTATTCTTATAAAATAACAAGATGATCAAATTTAAACTGACTTAGAATCAATAAGAGCTAATTATGAATGTAAAGAGATATGAAGAGAGTGTCATTATTGAATAAATAATTATAATTTTAAAATATAAGTGGCTTCGAATTCAAAATAATTATTAAATATATGGTAAAATGCAATCATAATTGCATCATTAATTTCTAAGCCTTTTTAAAACTATTGAGCATATCTTCTAATTATTCAGGAAATATAACAAATTAGCAACATTCTTGTTTCCCATTATCATGTTAGAATGTAATGTTTGTGTCAATAAATCTATTTCCCTCAATTTATTTTTGAGGTACAACACTTTCTGATACTATGAATTTACTTATTCCATAATGAAACTCTATAGCCTTTCCAACTTTAAGAATCATAATTATTTTTACTTCTTATTATTTAGTTTTCATAAATCTATTGCAATTTGTCTTTGTATTATTTAAAGGTCTTGCTCAATTATTCACAATTTTCTTTTGGTAAACCCAAATCAATTAACTCTTTTATTAATATCTATTCTGAAACATCATATTTAGCAGAGTTTTCAACAATAAATGATACACAAGCGATAGTTGAATTGATTTCTTATTAATTAAAACCAGATCCTTCCAACATCTTAAATATTTTAGCTGAAGTGTCTATACCTTCTACAATATTCTATAATATGTATTATGTCACTAATTTCATCTTCACAGAAGCCTTTATTTATATTATAATTCTATTACAATTTTAGTTAGAAGAGCTGATTCAGCCAAAAACCATTCTGGACAATTACTGTCTCCACAAAATAAAAATCTCATATTTTTAATATTTATTCATAATATAATATTCTTTATTTATAATACAAAAACATATTATTTAATTAAAGAGAATGAAATAATCTATCATTTATAATAATATTTAATAGTATATTTAAATAAATATCTAAAGTATTTATTCTATAATATTATTTAAATAAATCTAATTTGATTATTAATCATTTCCTATAAAAATATATTAAGAATGATGGTTTTTGTGACAATTATTTAAATTGATTTGATTTATTTTTATCAATCATTATTTTTAATAACTTTAGATTCTTTTTTATTATACTATAAATAATGATATATAATATATTTTTTAATTATTAAAATTTATTTAATATATCTTGATTTTTTATATTTGAGATTACAAAAATCATATAAATGAAATTTAAAAATTTAATATTTCTTAATAAACAAAAAGATCATAATCAAAATCATATCATTTATCAGAGATCAATTTTAAAACATTTGAATTCATCTCTTCATTTTTATTTTGATCATTTCTTTTTATTTATCATCTTTTATATTTGATTTTTCATTTTTCAACAAATGCAACCAACTTTTCTAATGCTTTTTAAGCTGATTAGTTATTGAAAGGTCCATCACCATTCAATTTAGAATGAACTACTAAAGAAGTTCCATCATCTTTGGTGACTGTTATTTCCATTTCACCTGTAACTTTTTCGCTTGCTTTGCCAGATGCTTAGACTTTTGGATATAATTATTTTATATAAGAAGCAGCAAGGTTATATTATGGTTTGTATCCTCATCCACCACAATAAGTGATGTGAACTTTGAAGGATAAGTCTTTATTTGTTTGCATAGAAGCTATGTTTTCTGGAATTTTCTACATTATAATTAATAATGATTAGGATTTAAAAAAATTAGATTAAAAATCTCATTTTTTAATTTCTTTTATCATAGTACCCATATTCCAAATTCCTTTCTTATAAAGTTATCCATTTTTATAGACTGCACCATCACCATTCTATCTACTTGATCTCCAATATCCAATGAAAACCTTTCCATCTGGATATGTCATTTATCCTTATCCTTCGAATTCATCTTATAAGAATTCTCCTTTGTACTCCTAACCAGTAGGCCAAATCATTTACCCTTGGCCTTCTTTGACTCCATCTCTCCATTCACCAACATATTTCTTACTATCATTCCAAAAGAATGTTCCCTTATCTTAGATTAAAGGAATTACACATACTGTTAAAAGTGTCTCTAAGAAATTCCCCTTCATAATAAGAGTTATCATTAAAGATCATCTTGCCTTATCCTTCTTTTTAACCTTTTCTAAATTCTCCTTGATATATGATACCATTTGGCCATATTTCTTTACCTTAACCATGTTTTTCTCCATTATTCCATTCGCCTTCATAATAAAAGGTAGAACTATATATACCAGACCCATTAAAAAGATTGTTTTCAAATTCTCCTTCATAATAATCGCCATCATGAAATATTAATCTACCAATGCCATAATATTAATCCTATTTGAAAAATCCTTCATAATAACTTCCATCTAAATTCAAAGCCTTGCCATAACCATGTCTCATATCATCTAGCCAATCTCCAGAGTATAATGTCCCATTTTTTAATCTCTTAAGATGTATATAATTATTACATAACATCCTTTCTTATTTCCATTTATAGAAATTAAGTCTTACATTTTGAAATGAGGAGAATCTTTTACAACAATCTTCTTCAATTTTTCCATAGTAGCCAAGATTAATGGATTCAAAATAATAAATTATTCTTAAGTTTCATATACTCGAGGAGTGATGGCATTAATTAATTATTGAAGACTCTCCTCAACACTTAAATGATCAGGTGTATTATGGTTACTAAGATATGTTGGTGGATTTTAGTATGAGCAGCAATTACCCATTAAATATAAATATATATATTGACAGATATTTTTTTAATGTATATAATAATTTATCAGGCAACAAGTATGCATGCTCCACCAACAGCCTTAATTCTTCTTTCTGCAGTTTTGCTAAAGAATTTAGCCTTAACCACAACTGGTTGATTTGGTAATCTTCCCTTACCTAAGACCTTAAAATAACCTGCCTTAGTAACATCAATCACTGCAGCCTTATCTTTAGATTTAGAATATTTTTCTCTGGTTTCATCAGTAACAAGTGACCATAATTTGTCAATGTTAACAACTGGTTTATGTAGTTAGTTCTTTTTTAAATGAAAATGTCTCATTCCAGTCTATGATTAAAATATTCAGATGTACTTTTTGGAAATATCCTGGATGGTATTTATTGAAATTGATTCTATGATGTGTTAAACCTCCTGAAACACCTCTACCACTTGGATGTTTTCTATGCTTACCAACTCTACCATAACCATGACAAACATGTCCTCTCATTTTTCTACATTTTCTTAATCTGCTAACCATTATTTTATATTTTAAAAAAGATTTTAATATGTGATTAATATACAAACTCAATATCTAAACAAATTATTTTATATCTCTCTCTAAAGATGTGTAAATCTTTATCTTAGTAAAAATTTACATATTTCAAAATGAAAAATAAATAGAAAAAATCAAATACAAATTAATGATCATTGTTCTAAATAGCTTTAGTAAATCAATTTGCTGATATTTCATTATTTTGATTATAAATCAATGATGCTTCATTACTTACACTTGAAGATTTGTCATCTTCAATATTAATCTCTTTCTTTCTTTACTAAAGAAATAGTTAATGTTCTTACATAAGAGAAATAAAAGGTTACAAAATTAATTTGAACTAGAATATTCAAAAATATCTTAAAACAAGGAGTTAAGTTTTAATTTAAATGATCTTAAAAACTATAAAAATAAAATTCTGCAAAGAATAATCCCAATAATTAAACAGGTAGCATAAATAAAAATAAAATAAATTAGATTGCTTCGATTTGTAATTCCTTTAAAATGTACTCTTCAAATAATTTTATCAAAATGTTAATTGTCCAAAACATAATGATTATTATGAGCAATGCTTAAATCTTTAAGGCTTTTATAGAATTCAAATTTTAATGAAGTCTTATTTATAATGAATTAATTGATTTTTGCAAATTATGGTATTAGTACCATCCAAAACTAAATACAATGGTATTTACTATTAATTAAAATATCCACCATATCATTAATAGCCCTTCAACTTCTAAATCTAAATTACAAATATAGAAAATAGTTTCATTACTATATTTTATACCATAATGTTTAAATTTAGCAAAACAAGAACCAAAGTTGCATAGAATTGTTAGAATAACAACTTGAATTAAGTATTTATTTAATTGTTTTTTTATTTAACGTTGTTTTACAATTATTCCATAGATTGCATAACAAGATAAAAAAGATAATAATGAACTAGAAAACCAAGCAACATTATTAGTGATTCCTTAAAATTTACAATCTAATTTATTGATATTGTTTTTTTACATCCATCTGTCATGCATTATTATGGATAATCGATAACAGGATTAGGTAAATTTTAATCAATTTAGCAATATTTTAAGTTTGGATTGAATTTTTCTGAGTAAAAGAAAGGTCCAATAGTTTATGGAATAAAAAACATTAACAAGACCATCACTTAGAAGAAATATAATCTATAAGCTTTGATTAATAAGTATACTTTTATATTAAGTATTTGCTACCATTTCCAACTATGTAAAATAGGATAATCAATAATAAAGAGGTTAGGCTTATTACATTACAGATAAAAATAGTCAATAGGAATCCATTATGATTGTAGTCATAGAACATTTCTTCTTGAATTAGTTCTGTTAATATAAAGATTATTAATTTACATAGTTTAATAATGCATCAGATAATTAATTGGGAAATATTGATGATATCATTATTAATATAATAAGTCTTAAATTTATTATTAGAGTTATTCATCAATTTAATAACACTTTAAAGACTATCATATTTATCTAATATATAAATAAAGACATAAATAAAAAAGATACATTCAATATCTTAATTATTTCAAAATTTATTATTCCAATATCATAATCAATTAAAAAAAATCAAATGTTTTGGTATTCTTCACTTCTAAAATATTGTGCTTTTTATTTGATTATCTAATAAATATAATAAGATATACATCAGATCTAAGAGGATTAAATTATTAAATTTATGAAGATGATTTATTTGAATATTATGATTCTTTAATTCCTGAATTGTAATTAGAGACCTCAGATCTATATTAAGCAGTATTCACTATTGATTTAATTTTTTTAGAGTCTTCTAAATTAAATCCTGAAACTAATCCTGTTGTATTATTTACAACATCACCAGTTCTTTGTACTTCATAATTCTTTGATACAAAATATGCAGTATTTGTATTATTTGAGCTCAATCTCTTTTGTGTTTTAGAAAGTTCATTTCTAAGCATATTAATTTCTGATTCATATTCTGTTGCCTAATAATTTAATAAATTTTATACTCTTTCAATTAATTTATCATGTTTTAGTTAAATTTAATCTTTTAACATCATTTATCTTTATATTTCAGCATTCAAACCTTCAATTCTTGTTTCTAATTCAACAAGTTTTTAATTACTTAATATATATATATAAAATAATTTACTTTTATGTTTCTCTTATGATAATCTATTATTTACTTGATTAATCTAAAATTGCTTCATGTTCTAATTTTAATTATCTAATAGTTGTTGATAATTCTTGAACCATTTCATGTAATTATTCTATATCAAGTTCTTTTTCTTATAATTAATTAAGTAAATCTCTAATTTTTGATTCATTATTTATTGATGTCTTTTTTTCATTTTCTAAAGTTCTGATATGTAATTCTAATTATTAAATAACTTCAACTTTTCTTTTATTTTCTAATTCTAATCTATTAATTTTCTCAAAATCAATAGATTAATATCTATCTTAATAATCTTAATTTTCACGATTTAATTATCTTATTTTTAATTCAAGTTCATTATTTTTTGATTTTTATTATGTTAATTCATTTTAACATTAAAAATACATTTTATTAACTCTATCTAATTCAGCTTTTATAGTATCTCTACTTTATTCTGTTGATTTTAATTACATTTTTATAGATTCAAATTCTCCAGATGTAGTATTAACTTCAGTTGATAAAGCAATATATTTTCTCTTCCATTATTCATTCTCTTCATTTTTACATCTCATTGAATCTATAATTTTTTAATTTTCTTTCTATAATAATTCAATTTATTATTTATATTCTTTTATTTCCCTATTTTTAGAACTCTCTAAATATTATAACTCTTAATTAATATTATTCAATTATTAAGATTAAATATTTGTTATCTCTTTCTTAAATTAACTTTCTTAAATACTTATCCTTTCTTCATATTATTTCTTCTATGATTATATTTCTATTTTAAGTCTTTCCATTAATTTCTCATTTTATAATTACTCCTCCTTATAATAATTCAATTTTCTTTCATATTCAGAATATCTTTCTCTTTCTTACCTTAATTCCTCATTTCTTCTTTCTAACAATTTTATTTATTCTACAAATTCCTATTCCCTTCTTTCAAATTATAATAAAATTTATTTTTATTTCTATCCTTCATCTATTCTTAATTAAATCTAATTCAATTATTCTTAATAATCCTAATTAGATTTTTAAGAATTTCTAAGTTGTATTTTAATATTTTTTAATTCTTATTCTAACTCAAGATAGGAATTCTAATATTCTTTTAACTGTTTTTCATAAATTTAAACTTCATTTTACAATTATAGCATTTATCTTTCTTAACTTTATATCTTAAATAAGTCCTCTTACTTACTCACTTATATTGTTTCTTTTATTATTTAAACCTCTTGCTTTTATTTTTAAATAGTTGCAAGATTATCTCTTAATGTAGATAATTACTATTCCAATTATCTAATACGATATTAATCTGCTTCTGAAGGAACTTCAATCGTTACTGTTTCTTTAATTATTTCTTATTTCTTTTAATTTAACATAAAGTAATCTTATTATAAAGTATTAAGTTATTATTCTAATTATCTAATTCTTATTCGATCAGATTCAACAGGTACTTCTACTACTTCCCTAACAATCTCAGCTTTTCTAGATTATAAAACCTAATATTCACTTCTTAATTATGAAAGCTACATTTCTAATTATTATATTCTAAATTTATCAGCTTAAGATGGAACCTCTATTGTATAAGTTTCTTTGATTACTTCTTATTTACACTTATTTAATGCAATATAATCTTATTATAATTTATGTAAGTCTTATTCTAATTCAATAATTCTTCTTTTATCTGACTCCTTTGATACTTCAATCCTTTCTGTAATCACCTCTCTTATTGTTTCTTACTTCTTTTTTGAAATTATTTATAATTCCATAGTTAAATTACTTAATTAAGATTCTAATTATGCAATTCTTTATTTATCTGCAGGAGATGATACTTCTACCCTTTCTGTAATTATTTCTTTTATCACTTCTTACTTTTTCTTATTAATAATCTCATAATTATTTTGTAAATTCAAATACTCAATTTTCATTTATTGCAATGATTATTCCAATTATTATATTCTATACTTATCAGCTTATGAAGAAACCTCTACTGTTACAGTTTCCCTTATAATTTCTTATTTCTTTAAATTCAATTAATTATAATCTCTTTATAATTAAGAAAACTGATCTTCCAATTACCTTATTCTAATTTTATCCGATTCCATAGGTACTTCCACTCTTTCTGTAATTATTTCCCTAATAACTTCTTGCTTCTATTGTTGAACTATTCTTAAATCTATTTATAATTGTTAAACTTATGATTCTAATTATTATATTCTGAATTTATCTGCTTATGAAGACACTTCTACAGTTACTGTTTCTTTGATAATTTATTATTTCTTTTAATTAAGTTAATAATATTCCTAATTTAATCTTTGCAATTCATCCTCTAATTATTAAATTCTTAATTTATCTTTTTATGATGGTACTTCAACTGTTTCTGTAATTATTTCCCTAATAACTTCTTGTTTCTATTGTTGAACTATTCGTAAATCTATCTATAATTGTTAAACTTATGATTCTAATTATTATATTCTGAATTTATCTGCTTATGAAGACACTTCTACAGTTACTGTTTCCTTGATAATTTATTATTTCTTTTAATTAAGTTAATAATATTCCTAATTTAATCTTTGCAATTCATTCTCTAATTATTAAATTCTTAATTTGTCTTTTTATGATGGTACTTCAACTGTTTCTGTAATTATTTCTCTTATAACTTCTTATTTTTATTATTAAATTGTTTATATATTTTATTTTAATTACAACACTAATGATTCTAACTATTATATTCTTAATTAATCCGATTATTAAGGAACTTCTACTGTAATTGTTTCCTTTATTATTTCTTACTTTTTTTAATTTAATACATAATAATCATTTTACATTTTTTGTAATTAACTTTCCAATTATTTAATTCTTACCCTATCAGATTCTAAAGGTACTTCAACTCTCTCAGTTCTGTATTCAGTAATTATTTCTTATTTTTTAGATGAAACTATTTACAATTCTTTTTTTAATTATAATAATTAAGATTCTAATTGTTAAATTCTTTATTTATCAGCTTAAGAAGGAACTTCGACTGTAATTGTTTCTTTAATAATTTCTTATTTTTTCTATTCTAAATATTAATATTCCTTTTATAAACGTTATAGTTATGCTTATAATTATGAGATTTTTAATTTATCAGATTCTAAAGGGACTTCAATTCTTTCAGTAACTATTTCTCTTATCACCTCCTATTTACTTTAAGTAACAATATCTAATTAAGTCTTTAATTTGAGTATTTAAGATTCTAAAGATTAGATTATTTATTTATCAGCTTAAGATGGTACTTCAACAGTGATTTATTGTGTTATAACCTCTTATTTTCTTTAATTTAATAAATAATTTTCTTATCTTAAGTTATTTAATTGTGTTTCCAACTATTAGATTCTTATTTTATCTTCTTCTGAAGGAACTTCAACAGTCTGTGTGATATATTCTCGAATAATTTCTTATTTTTTTGCTGATGATTATTTAACTTAATGTTCTAATTCTTAAATTCTCATTTTATCAGTTTCTGATGATTATACTTCTCTTATAGTTTCTACGACAACTTAATTCTTTCTTCTATCTAATTCATAGTATTTAGTTTTCCATAATTACAATTCTTCTTCTAAACTAGCAATCAATTTGATATCTTCTTAACTTCTTACTTACACAGTCTCTCTAATAGTTTCTCTAATAACTTCTTATTTAGATGTTGAAACTTATTACTATTATAATTTGAATAAATGTAATTATTATTCCAATTCTTATATTTTTAATTTATCTTATTTTGAAGAAGTTTCAATAACTTCTTTAACAATCTCTGGTTTTCTTTTGAGAAGTACTTCATTTGATGCTTTTAATTCTGCAATTTTTTATTTATCTACTTCCCAATCACTTTTTAATAAATTAAATTCATTTCTTTTATCTAATAATTATTTTTCTAAATCTCTACACTTCAATTTCAAAGATTCAATATCCATTTCTAATTATTTAACCTTTCTAGATTGATCTTGATTTTATTTAACATTTTCTATAGTCATTGTATAAGTTGTAATTTATTCTTTATAATTTTCCTCTCTTATTTTATGAACACGAATTTCTTCTTGTAATTTAATTAATTCTAATTCCATTTATTGAATTTTATGTTTATCTTATTCTGTTTAAGTGAGAACATAAGTATGAGATTCATATTATGTCTTAGTATCAATCAATAATTATCTAACTTCTTAATGTTGTAATTATTCATTATAAAATTTCTCTTTCCATAATTTAACTTAAACTTCCATTTCATGATACAATTATTCAATTTATCTATATTCTCTTCTTAATTTTTCAATCTCCTTTTAATGATTTTCAACTTCATATTAATATTATGTAGTCTATTAAATTTCAATTCGTTTTTCTTATTATTATACAATGTATTATTCTTTTAATTCTTTAATTTCAATTTTATAATTATTTATTTGTTAATTTAATTAACTAATTTACATTTTATATCTTTCAGATTCTTCTATATTTCTATTTTATTTTTCTAATTAAGTAATACTTAATCTATATCCATTATTTTATTCTTAAATTTATTTGAATTCACTTACTAAAATTTCCAATTCTTCTTAAATATGCTATTTTTCTATTCTTAATTAATTATTTTAATCTTCTAATTATTTGATTTTTATCCTATAAGATTCATAATCCTTATTTTTAATTTCTAATTATATGTATTTTTATTTCCAATTTTCTAATTCATTTTAAATTGTATGTATTTACCAACTATCTCTTTATATTTTTTCATTTTATTATTATTCTATTTATTTTTTAGTTTCATTTACTCTAATTTCCATTTAAATAATTCTTCTCTCACTTTCTTCCTTTTATAATTCAAATACTTAACATTTCTCTTACCATTATTTGCATTAAGTTTAATAGAAATTTACTTCTTATCTTAATTGATCAATTTCATATTACATATTACCTTTTGATTCTGCCATTGCAGATTCCAATTTATATTAGTTTTAATTATGTGCTTCTATTAATATTTGAATATCGTTATCCATTTCTTTAATTTTATCTTTTAAAGTTTAAATAGTTCTTTCATATAGTTCCTTATCTGAAGTTCTTACTTAAACCTCAGATTGATATCTTGCTATTTCCTACATCAGTCTAGTAATTTCACTCTAAGTAGTAGAATTCCTTTGTTCTTTAACAGTTCTAATTTCTAATTCCAAAGAAGATGCTCTATTTTTATAAGTCTATATATCCTATTCATATTTGATCTTCATTCTCAAAAATTCATCTACTTATTTTCTCTATTCAGCTAATATGGCATTAAGTTAAGTAATCTCTAAATGTTTAAATATTATATAGAATACCTTATTAAGATCTTATTTATTATTAAGTTAATGTAGAAATGTCTTATTTGTATCTAGTAACTAAACTTGATGATTCAGCATCTTATGAATTTCTCATTAATAATTATGATCGTAATTTTGCCAATTCTTATTAAGCTGCTTCTAATTCAGCTTGATTAATCATATATTTTTGCTTTAAATTATAACTTTCTCCTGACATTTGCTTCAATTATTAATTGTCCTTATCTAATTGTTCAATCACTTCTTTCAATTTTCTATTGTCTTGTAATAATTCTTCATAACGTCTATTAATATGATTAGTTATTTACTTATCTTCATATATTATACTCTTTTTTGTACTTTAATTGATCTCAATCACACGTCTAATTTAAAATACTAAATTTACTTTTCAGCACTCGAAACCACAGCTGAAGTAGTTTAGTACTTATCATTAGTGAATGACTATCTACTTTATGACATAGGAACTTATAGATATTGTTAATTCATAAATTTGAATTTATATTAAAGTTTTGTTTGTTTAAAAAGTTTTTATTAAAGGAATATGTAAAATTATTAAATATAATTGAATATAATTAATTCCAATTTTAAGAATCAAATAAATTCTGAATAGATTTATCATTTATATTCAAATAAATTCTAAAATTTAGTGATCTATTTTTTAGGACTTTCCGAATTCTTTAAGAATTATTTAACTTGTTTTTTGAATTAAGTTAAAAATATTAATAATTGAAATGAAAAAGAATCAATTTGGACTTTTAGAAGATTTAACAGAGCCAGGACTTATTAAAAAAAGTAACGATGTTTCATGGAAGAATGATTAAATTTATAAACAAACAAATTTTGAAAAAAATACAACATATTTCCATATCATGGGTAATTTTTAAAATCAAGATTATTAAGGTCATGAAGAGTCTCATGCAGTCAGAAGAAGAGAAATATTGAAAAAACATCCAGAAATATAAGTCTTATTTGGAAATGACATTAATTCAGCTTGGTTAGGGATCACCTTTGTATTGTTGTAATTCAGTTTCATAAGTCTTTTTAACTAATTAAGTTTGTTTTGGTTTGTGATAACTGCTTATGTTTTTGGTGCAACTTTGAGTCATGCTCTACATGTTTTAGTACATGATTTTACTCATTTTACTTGTTTTGAAAGTATAGCTTTGAATAAGTTGATGGCAATATGGGCAAATTTTGGATAAGGAGTACCCTCAGCCATTACTTTTGGTAGGTATAAAATACATATTTAAATATGTTTAGATATCATGCAGATCATCATACCTTTTTGAATTTGGAAACACTTGATCCAGATCTTCCATCCAGATTAGAATTAAAGTATGTTAAAGGACCAATAATGAAATTTTTATTTGTGGCTTGTCTTCCTTTATTTTACGGTTTGAGACCTGTAATATTAAGACCGTTAAAGCCAAATACTTATGAAATAATTAATATAGTTTCCGTCTTTTTTGTTGATTATTTGATTGTTGAATATATTGGAGTACAAGGACTACTTTGGCTATTACTATCTACTTATTTTGGTTTAAGGTATCAGTACTATTCAAATTTAGTGTTCATCCTTTTGCTGTTCATTTGATAGCAGAACATTATGAGTTCGTTAATAGAATGGAAACATATGATTATATTGGTTGGGCTAATTTCTTTGTTCTTAATATTGGCTATCATACAGAACATCATGATTTTCCTATGATACCCTGGACTAGATTACCTTTACTAAGAAAAATGGTACCAGAGTATTATGAGAATTTGCCTTGTCATACAAATTATGTGCATACATTATTTGCTTACATATTTGATGGATATATGGGACCCTTTTCTAGAATTGTTAGATCTTCACCTGTATATTTCCAAAAATGACTTTTTAAATTAAATTGTACATGGGCAATATATGCCTATTTAATAATAATTTATTTATATATATATATAATCATGTAAAGTAGCACAAATTATTCTTAATTTGAAAAAAAGGAGAATATTGTTTGGCCTATTTTTCAACCAGCTGAGAATATTAACAATCTCCCTTTTTGGAATAAGAGACCTTATTTATCTTTTGAAGAAAATTAAATATTAATAAAAGGATATCTTAAGAGAATTGGAAAGAACAAATAAATACCAAAAGCATATATGTTTATACTATTAAAAACAGGTTAACTCTTATATGCAGATAAAAATTAAAAAGGAAAAATACAGTTGGATTTATCAATTGTTCTCAAGAAAATTGAATTAACAAATGAAGAAAATGAAGATAAGTAAAAGATTTGTGCAATAAGAATAGAAAGATTTTAGAATTGCTCAATTCATATTTGGAATGAAGATAATTTGTATTATTATTAATTAATTTCTAGTTTAGAATTAGCATCAATGTTTGGTATAACAGATTAGCTTAGTTTTGTATTAGTTAAAATTTTGAAGGATTCTTTTAATTATAAGAGAAAATAGATTAAGGTGCCTTTAGTTCTGTATTCTCAGTTACTTCTCAAATTCAACAAGAAGTAGTCAAAAATTAAAAATTTGCTGCTAAGGTTTATTCCAAAAGTTTATTATAAAAAATACCTGCTTAACAAATGAAGGTAAAATAATGAATAAATTAGGATTTTATTAATGCAGAATGTTAAATACTGAAAATTGTAAAATCCTAATACATTGTCTAATTATTTGAAATAATATAATTAGAAGATGTAGTAATTTTAATACTTGAATATGTTACTGGAGGAACTTTGTATCAAGTTATTCAATAAAATGTTTTAAATGAATTGATGTCTTTAGAGATATGTTATTAGATACTGTTAGCAATAAAAGAAGTTCATCAGTATAATATATGAATATTGTAATAGCCATGGCTTTGTACATAGAGATATTAAATTAGAGAATATAATGATTTCATCTTTAAATCCAATAGAAATAAAACTTATAGATTTTGGTTTTGCTGAAAAAATTAATCGTAATAAATTAGTAAATGGTTCTGGAACTGCAGGATATATTGCTCCAGAACTATTTGAATTAGCACCATATACAGAAAGTTGTGATATGTTTAGTTTAGGAGTACTTTTCTATTAGCTTCTATGTGGAAATTCCCCTTTTGGTACTTAGAATAAAGAAAGTAATTATAATTATATATTTCAAAATAGCACTTTTGGAATTAAATAGGACATGTAATCTACAATATTTATAAAAGGAATGGTAGAATATTTCTTCTTCTACTTAAAAAATTGTCTAAAAAATGTTAGATAAAGATCCTAATAAAAGAATTACAATTTTAGAACTTGAACTACTTTTAGAAATACACATAAATAATTTGCGATCTAATTAAGCTAATTCTCGATAAGCGCTTAATCAATTATAAAATTGTAATAATGTAATGATGTAAAACTAAAAAACTGCAATAAGATTAGTTTCGAATAACAAAAAATGTGATGATGATGATATGATGATAGAGGAAAAAAGCATAGATAATACAAACTTAATCAATTTAAAAAATTCCCAATAATATTACAATAAGTCTAAATGGGTATCTTGAATTTGTTAAATATATATTTGCATAATAAATTTATAATTATTGAATTAATTTATTTATATGAAAGATAAATAAAATGCAAAATCTCAGTTTCACTATAATATTATAATATCAAAAATCTAAAGCTTATATATTCAATTTTCTAAAATTAATGGAATGTATTGAATAAATAAATGAAAAAATCTTCTAAAATAGAATAAATAATATTAAAATAATTTTACATAATTTATGACCAAAATCATGAATCTGAAAATACTTTAAGAACTGAAATTAAAAAAGATTTAAATTAACGCATTTTAATCTATTTGTAAATTATATAGCTTTATAAAAACTCTTTTATATGAGTGATTCATAATTAGATTTTTGATTCCTTATTTTTTATGGAATTTTAATTGATAATCTATCATTTTTGAATAATGATAGATTATCAATTGATTTGAATGATTTTTGAAATAAAATCATCTAAATCTGAAAATAATAAGTCAATTTTTATTTCATTAACTTTAATTCAGTTATATTTACAGTTTAAATAGTAATTTTTTATGAATTCTAAGTTTATTTATTTAACTAAGATATTAAATTCAATATATATTGGCTTACCAAAAATTCATGTTTTTTAAAAAGAAATAGATGAATAATAAACAATTTAATTTAATTAATATAGCATCAGATCAAGAAAATATTCAGTAAGTTTTAAACATAAATAATAAATTTAATTTAAATATTATTATTAAGAAAATAGATTACTTATTAATATATAATTCTAAATTAACTTAAATTCATCTGTTAAATTTATAAAGTAAAAGATCTTTGGATAGAACCTATTAAATGTTTACAATTTGATAATAAAGTAAGAAGGATATAATTATTTTTTTCAAATATTAATTTAAAATAGAATGAAGAATTATTGGATAATTAAAATCATTAATTATATGATGCTTTGATAAAGATAATTTTGTTTTAGAATAAATATTCTTGGTTAGAGTATATATTATGATTTAAAGAATATTTTTTGAATTTATGTTCAAAATTAATTAAACTTTAACATTTTAATTTTAAGTATTAAAATAATTCATATTGTTATTGTTAATTTATGACGTATTTTCATAATTTTTTCAGATATTTTCCTCCATTAATCATTTTATAATACGTAAGAAAATAAGATTTTATCATTCCAATACATTATGTTAAAAATATATACAAATAAGCAATCACATTATCAAAACAATTAAGAATCCTCTTTATTTTCAGGTTTTCTTATTAAAATTGGCGAATCAAAATTTGGAACATCATTTATAAATTTTGTTCTGATACCTGTTAAAATTTAACTACTATCACTAGAGTCTTCATCAGATGAGAGTATGTCAGCAAATGGTAATTTTATGGTGAGTTTTTCCTCTATTTTAACTTTTTTTTTAATTGGAATTTCATCGTTTTCTTAATCTTAAAATTTTTCTTTTGTTGTTTCTTTTTAAGAAATCTCTGATAATTTTGTACTACTCATATGTTTAAAATATTAATATAATTTATTCTTATAAATTCACGAATAAATTTCTCATATACTCATATAAATTTTATAAAATTTAATAAAGGCAGTCTAGCATCTTCTATTACTCTATATAATCTCTTGTTAGTAGTATATTATTATTGTAAACTCTTGTTACTCTTAATTAAAGGCAAAGAAAATAAATTTAATTCAGCAAAATAATCTTTACATAAACAATTGTTAATTATATATATATATTATTTCTTTATTTTAAAGTAATATTTATAAAATACTTTATTACTTCAAAATTAGACTGATTTAACTAAAATTACAATAGAATATCAATTATTATAGAAGTACAATAAATTTAAACACACATCATCAATCTTATCTCATATTAAAATGTATTTAAATAATATGATTGTAATAAATTAAAAATATTATATATAAAATAAGAACAAAAAAATAATAATTTTTCATGCCTTTGGTTATCTAATTAATGTCATTTTATCATCAAGATCTTTAATCAATGCTTATATTAAAGTCAAACTTTTGTTAAAGCCAGCAGCATTTGCTCTTAAAGAATCAATTTTAGGCATTTTTACAACTTCTGGAATTGAAGTTGTTATACTAACTCTTGAGTTTTTTGAAGCAAATAATTCATCTTGATTTTCTAAAATTAATTATTTATTTACCTTTTAATGTTTGCTTTAGACGTTCAATTTCTTCTTAGGATTGAAGTTTGTTAGACTCTAAATCAGTTTAAGCCATTGCTAATTACTCAAAGACTTTATCTAATTTGATTTCTAAGTCTTTATTGGTTTCTTCTAGCTATCTATGTTTAATAATATGAATACCTAATCTTATTTTTATTTAGATCTTAATCAACTTCCAAGTCTATGATTTATAATTTCAAGGATTGCACAGTTTTTTAAAACTCTTAAATTTGGGCATCCTTTTTTATTAATTGTTTTTCTAATTGATTTTGAATCTGTTATAGTTCATTCTTAAATAATATTTAAAAATTTAATACTCTTGCTTTTTGTGTTTCTTCTTTTTGTTACAATAACTAATTTTAGGTTTGTGCAAGATGTTTATTTAAAGTATCTATATTTTTCTATTATTGATCTTCTAAAATTTGACTTTCTTCAATGAATTGATTATATTCTTCTTCCATTTACTGATATTTTTGACACATTTCATCATATTATTACTTAAAGTCCATTTATTTGGTATTATAAATATAAAATATTATATTTAATGAAATAATAATATTTACGTCATTCGAATAATCCTCCTTTTTTGATAATTATAATTGATTAAGAATATTAATTTTAACATTATCAATTCTAATAATTAAATAAAATTGTTAAAAATCTTGGTTTAAAATCATTAAAAAAATTTATACAATTTAATTATCTTAAAAACATAAAATATATATTTATTTTATAGAATAAATTTAAATTCTTTGAATTTATTGTTCAGCCTTTTTTTATTTGAAAAGATTGTTTATAATTTTTATAAATTCAACTAATAATTTATATGGAAAAATACTATTTTATTTAGTATTATTTATTATGATAACAAATTGAGAATTTGTTTAAAAATATTGATATATAATATATTAATTAAAAATCAATATAATTGATCAAATCTAATAATAGTTCTGCGATATTCATCTAATTTATCACAAGATGAGAAGTCTAATCTTCTGATCGCATTTCTATATTAATCACGATCTCGCTGATAAAAAGATCTGCTTGCATAGCTTTCATACATTTCTCTTTTGTATTAAACATTATTGCATTCATGTTTTAGTTAATTAACATATTTCTATTCAATTTCTAATTCAACTTCTCTAAGTTTTTCCTTAGTTGAGACTTCTTCTTTGAAATTTGTGCCTACATAATATTTAACCTTTGTTTTATAATAAATTCTTACTTATAGTGTTCTAGTGGTTTAGACAGTAGGGTATTCATATGATCTTTAAAATGAATAAAGAGGAGCTTTCTAAAACAGGGACATAAACCCTGATGAAGATAAAAGTATCAACATTATTACAGGAAGAAACTAAAGAAATTGTATATTGGCTTATCCATTATGATTTTATCTATTTTAATTGCGAGGTCTAGGAGAGCCAAAGAAAGCTCTAAAGATTTCCTAATCTTTATTATTATATTTATACATTTGCGAATTCATCACCATAACATTATTCATAATAATATCCATTTTGATCTTAATATTGATGCTAACGTTGAGTTTCTGGTCTTTCTGATCCATATTAATCATAAACTCTTTTTTTATCAGGATTCGAAAGACAATTATATGCTTATGCTACACGTTTGAATGCTTCTTAAGCTCCTTCATGTTAGTTTTTATCAGGGTGGAATTTCAAAGCTAGTTTTCTATAGGCTTTTTTAAGCTCTTCATCAGTGGCTGATTTTGACACTCCCAATATTTCATAATAATCCTTTTTTTTAAGAAATTCCTTAATTTCTTCAGCCATAATTTTTATGTTTTAAAAAAGAAACTTTTTTTAATTTGAATGAAATATAACCTATTCCAATAGATGCAATAAATAGATTAATTATATATACTGTCATTTTTCCATTTCATTTAGTCTATTATCAAGTGAGTCTATAAATTCTTACATATCTTTTAATTCAACTTCAAAATCATCTAGTTTTTTTTCTATTAGACTAACTTTTCCTTCAAGTATTTTATTGTCTCCACCTTTTCCAGTTCCTGCTCCACCACCAACTGCCTATTTAATAATTCAATTAAAAATTACTGGTTATTGTTTACTAAGTTTTTCAATATCATCATTTATTTTTTAAATTTATTCATCAATTTTATTGAATTCTAATTCTAATTAACCTTAAAATTTCTCATATTCTTCAGATGAAACTATATCAGCTTAACCATCATTTTTATTCTAATTTTTCTTTAGAATTTCTATTTCAGTTCTAATATTTTAAAATTCTTTTTAAACATCTTTATCAAAATCATCAACAAAATTTCGAATTTCTTAAATATCTTTTTATGCATCTGAATCAACAGCTACAGCACCATTAGAAGGCCTAGTTCCTAATTTTGATATTTAATTCTTTATTTTATCTATTTCTTCATCAAGTCTATCAAATTCCTTTGCAAACATATCCATTTGCTATTAATTAGTTTAACTTTTATTATTAGGAGTTTATGATATTGGAGATTAGGCTTATTTATTTGATGATAAATTTTTAATTTAGATTTTCAAAGACTCTATATCTGTTCCATATTATTAAAATTCTTTTTCTAATTCCTATTCAATATCATTTATTCTTAATTCTAAATCTTTAATATTATTATCTGATTATGATTAAGGTTTATCTTAATTTCCTTATTTTTAAAATGCTACATTTTATCCTAAATTATCAATTTATGTTTATAATCTTTTTATTTCAACTTCTAAATCTTTTTTAAGAGATTCTATAGCAATTCCATAAGATGCTATATTTTAATCTAAATCTTTGGATTAAGTTTTACCCTATCCTTATTCTTAATTTAATTAAGAAATTCTTTCATTAAGTTTTTCAAATTCTTAATCAATATCTGATTTCATTTAATTATTTTCCTAAATTATTGTATCAATATTTTATGAAATTAATTTTATATTCTAATTTTATTCTTAATTCTTTCCATCAATCAATAATTTTAGATTTTATTCTTACTTTACTATATTAGCTAAATTAGTCTAATTATTTTTTAAAATTAAATCTAAAGTTTATTAAATTTAATTCTTAACATAATCAGAGAGATTGATTTCCATAGCTCCATTCATAGTTTTAATTAATTATATATTACCAATAATCTATTATGATTAAATAACATTTTATTTTAATTATTCTTCTTAATTTTTTAATTATTCCTCTTAATTTTTTAATTATTCTTCTTGTATTTTTATTTATTCAGCATGAGTTTTCTATTCTAATTCAAGTCTATTATTTGTTTCTTCTTAATCTACTTGTATTTATTCAAGTTGATTATGAATTGTGTTATCAAAATTTGTAAGTTTTTCTTCTAATTCTTAAATTTTTACTTCTGAACCCTTATTAATTTCTATTAATTATGCCTATAATTTATATTCTTATGCTTCATTAATTGTTTATTATAACATCATTTCCATTGTTATTTTTGCATCTAATTCATTTAAGAATTATCCATGTGCTCTTATAGCATCAGTAATATTATTAAAATTATTCTAAACTCCTTTAACAAATTCATTTAAATCTTTTTTAATTTAATTCTTCTTCTACTCCAATCTCTCCATTTCTTTAACTAATAATTCTAATTTACCTATAATACCAGTATGTCTTTCTTTATCTAATTCTTCATTTGCTTAACGAATTTGTTCATTCAAATAAAACTTTGATTAAAAGTAAGCAAAGCTCTAATCAATTTAAGATTTTAATTAATTTCCTGATGTTATCTATTATTCTACAAGTTAAGTAAATCCATTTTATGTATCAAATCTCAATTTAGTAAGTTTTTAAGTAATTTCATCAAATAAATCTTATAAATCTTATTTAATTTTGTCAGTTAATTCTTAAAATTAAGTTTCTACATCATTCCTAAATTAAATCATTTATTAATTAAATTCTTCATTCATTTTATTAATCTACTAATTAATTTTATCTTCTAATATTTAAGCTGCTTCTTTTACTTACTCATGTATATCATTTAATTTTGAATTTAAATCTTCTTCTAGTTTAGTAAATTATTGATTTATTTATTCATTTAATTTTTAGACAGATTATTTAAATTCAGAAGTGACATCTTCTAATTATTATTATAAATTATTTTAAACATTATCAATCTTATTATTTAATGACATATCTAATTAATTAAGTTAATTCTCCATAGTAAATTACCATTATAATCTATCTTATTTCTCTTTATTTATTATATTTATAAGATGATCTTAAAAGTTTTCAAGTGTAGTTAAAGTATACATTCTTTCTAAATACATTTCACTTTAAATTTATATATGAATTTCTCTCATGGCTTAATCCATTTTTTCCATTTATTAAATTGTCCATATTCTTAATTTAAATAGATCATCTTCAATATCTTTCATCATCATTTTTAAATCATGTTTAGTTTAATCTAATTCTTATTAAACATATGATTTAAGATTATTATCTATTTTTTTAATAAATAATTTTATTTAATCCATAGATTTAGAAATTTCTATACTTAAATCATCCAAATTCTTTTGCATTCTATTCTCTGAATTAAGAATTTCCTATTTTAATTATCTATCAATATCTTTCACTTTTTCTTAATAATCTCTTTCAATCTTTAATATTGCTTCATTTAATTTTTCATCATAATCTCTTCTTAAAAGTTATATTTCAAAATCTAAATCTTCCTTTAATTTTCTTACCATATCTCCATATTTTTCAATCAATTCTTAAAGTCTTTATCTTAACTCTTTTTCTTCATCAATCATAGATTACAATCTTTATAAAATATAATCTTCTCTATTTCTAATAAATTCTTTCATTTAAATGGATAAACTATCTAATTTTGCATTAGTTTATTGATCAGCCATTTCAATTTCTCTTGTAATTCTATCATTTATTTATTATGAAGATTCTAAAACTTATTAAATAGTATCTTTTTTTGCAGTTTCAATTGCAAATTGTATTTATTCATGCAATTAAATATTGTATTGTAATTAAATATTTTTAATAATTTCAGAAAGTTCTATTCTTAATGAATCTAATTTGAATTCTTAAGAATTTAATCCTTAAGTAACTTTTTAATCTAAATTTTTCATTAATTAAAGATATTTCTTATCATTATTTTCAAGTTCACGAGATATTATTTTTAAATTTTCTTAATATTCATTTTTATCTTTAAGTTATTCTCCTTTTATATTTTTAAGATTTGTACTAACTTCAGTAAAAATAACTAAATTTTTCTATGCAAATTGTTTTTTCCAATCCTCATTTAATGATCTTTCATCATTTAATAATTTATTCTACATTTCCATTGATTTTTACATTTATTATTCATAATTCTATAATTATTCTTGTTATTTCTAAAATTCTTTTTGAAGACTAGTATTAATTAAATTAGCATGTTCATGCATCATTTATCTAGTTTCTCCTACTCTAAAATTTAATTCTTTTTATGCTTATTCAATTAATGCTACCTTACCTAATGAAGTTTCTCTTATCATCTCAACTGTTTTAGAAATAGATTTAATATTTTCAGTTACAATAGTTTAAGATGAAGCTAAATTTGCTTCTAATTATTCTTTTGTATTTTTAATAATCTAATTTAATGATGAAACACTATCATGCATTTATTTCATAAATTTCTATTCTCCTAATAGAATCTACTTTTCATCATTTCTTATTTCCTCTTTAAATGCTTACATCTTATTCTCCAATTAATTTCTTTAATCAAATTCATTCTTTAAACGTCTTTCAACTTCATCAGCAATTCTAGTTTCTACACTTCCAATTAAATTCTTTATATAATCTTAGTCTTAATTTATTTTAGCCAATTTCATATTATCTAATGCTTTGATACTGATCTTTGTTTTATCATTTTATTCTAAGAATTCCTCTCTCTATTATTTCAATTTATTATAGAAATCAGATTCTTATTTTACCAATCTATAATGTACTTCTTACTATTATCTTTATAGATCTTCTATTATTGCATCTCTATGAGTTTTCTCATTATTAAATGCTTCTCTCAATAATTTAACTTCAAGATTGTCAGATACTGGTTATATTGATGTTGGCTTTGATACATTTAATTTCATTTCAATGCCTTCTTATTAATTGATCAAAGAACTTAATTTAAGTTCTTGATCATTACATCTCTTTTGTAATTCAAAAATCATTTATGAAAGAGTATCTCTATTCTTTTCTCCTTAATTACGTAACTGACTCATTGCATCTTGAAAAATGATCTGTTTATCATTCACTTACCTCCACAATTACATTTCCTAAGATTCTAATTATTTAATTGATTGCATAAACTTTTATGGATTATCTTCTATAGTTTTTTAAATTCTCCTTTCAATATTGGCTTTGAAATCTATCATCATTATTTCCAAATCTCTGACCTTACTATTCAATTCTAACTAATTCATCTCCTTATCCACATCCTTCAATCCTGTTTGAATGCCAACTCTGCTATCCAAACGAGGTAATGTCATTGTATTTTTTGTACCTGAAGGCAATCTAGCAATTTATGTTTATTTTTGATCACTCTATATTAAACTATTAAATTTACTTCTAGAGTTTTTAATTAAGGTTATTATGGTCTAAACCGTAATTTTGGAGTTTGTCGATTATTTAGTTCATCCATAGATATTATAATTATATAATTGTATTAATTTTATACACAAACATATTACTTGATAATTTCAATTATACCTAAAGCAATCCTAGTATACATACAGTTATTCCATTAATAGTTGGGATTATGTAGAAAGCTGATGTTCAATAATTTCTAGATCATTGTAATTAAATAAGTTTCTAGTAGTAGTACTATAATAACTCATGAAAATATAAATAAATGATCATTCATGATAATACTAAAAGAAATAGAGCTATTTATAAATAACAAATTATAATTACTTATATAGACATCAAACCTTTTTTTGAAGCTGTTTTTAATCTATTTTTAAGGATAACTAGTAAATATTTATATAATGGTAATTTGAGATTTAATCAGAGAATGATTATAAAAAAGCCTCGATCTTTTATCCTTCTCAAAATAATTCAAACTAAATTGATATTAATAATTTTAGATAAGACTTTTTAATTTAATTTGTATTATGAATTGTGTTAAAAGAATGATATTTAATGAATAGATTATTATAAGAACATAGATCAATTATGAAGGATATTATAAATAAAGGAATATAATTTATATACTATGAATTGAACTAAATAAATAAGATTAAAATTTAGAATGTAATCTCTTATTTAAATATAGTAAGTATAATATTATTTCTATTATTGTAGTGTTAGTTTATGATTCATTTGGATATGCCAGAATCTCAATTCATTAGAGCAATTTGGAAACTTTTAAACACAGAATTAATATTGTAATTAGATATTATTATTGTAAATAAAGAAATGATAATAATGTTGAAATTACTAAATAATTAATAATTTAATATATTATTTTGTATGTTTTTAATGAAAATTCTAAAAAATTTAACATTGATTCCCAATATTTTGAAAAGATGCAACAAAATATTTATTATAATAATTGATAGTATGTAAAATGAAACAAAAAATAAAATTATATATATCAGTAGTGCGAAAGTTGAGTTCATTTAAAATTATCGTACTCATTAAAATTCATCATTATATATTAATTTATATTAGTGAATTATAAATATATTTGTCGTATCAATTTTGTATATGGGTTAATTTTTTTATAATGCAATCTGTCAATAAATTGTTTGTTAAATGCCAATAAGAACCAGCTAAGGAACAAATCATTTTTAAGACTGAATTCTTTAAATTCACTAATCACAAATCAGTTCTATTACTATTATGTAGTGATGAACACATTTACAAAATAAATGTAAATTCTCAATTACTTAATTTGTAGAGATAAAAGATTTATAAGGTTTCCCTTTAGTATTTACGATTTAGTGTAAAAGCTGAGTAGACTAATAAACAGACTTAAAAATAAATGAAAGGTGATGAATTTCACACTTAAATATACAAATTTACTTTAGAGAGAGATGACACAGATCCTAATGAATTTTATAACTTTAACTTCTAAACCATGTATTGGTTTGATAATTTGAGGAACAAATTAAATATGCTGGATTATTAAGTGAACTATGATATTTCTAAATTAATCGGTAAAGGAACTTTTGCATCTGTTTATGAAGCAAAATCAAAATTTGATAATTAAATGTATGCGGCTAAGGCATTCTATAAGAAAACACTCTATTAAGATCCAAAAGGAAAAGTATTATTTAAAATTTTTAGTTTAGGAACAAGTTGAAAATGAGATTAGAATCATGAGGCAACTCAATCATCCTAACTTAATAAACTTACATGAAGTTTATGAAAACAAAGCATAAATATATCTCATTATAGATTTAGCAAGAGGAGGATCACTTGAATATGCACTCAAAGTATTAAATGGACCAGTGCCTTTCTTATCAGCAAAAGTGATATTCCGTTAGATAGTAGAAGGATTAAATGGATTACATGAGAAGAATTTAATGCATAGAGATTTAAAACCAGATAATATTCTATTCAGAGATTTTGTTCCCTTAAAAAGATATGGATTGATTAATATGGGACCTAATATAATGGTTAGTGATTTTGGTGTTTCTAGTGTAGTCTAAGAAAAATTAAATGTTTATTAATATACTGGAACACCAGGATACATGGCCCCTGAAGTATTTGAAACAGAATAAGATCCTTTAAAAACATATAATGAGAAATGTGATATATTTTCATTAGGTTGTATTCTTTATTATTTATTGATTGGCAAACCACTTTTTGTCAATAAATAAGCTAATATGGAAATGAAAATTGATTGGATGTCTGTTGAATAGGAATTGAATTCAAGTCATTCTCTTACTATGTTATTATAGAAGATGTTATCTCCAAATCCTTAAGATAGACCATCTTGTAAAGAAATAATGGAAAACAAAATATTAGAAGTGGAATATGGTGAAGATGGAGTACCATTATTCAAAGATTTCTAAAGACCTAAAAGTAGTCCTCCAAAAAGATTGATTTAAGAAGATTCCCTTAAAAACAAAGGTAAGAGAGGTAGTGTTTTGATGAACAATAAGGCTATCAATATGATGCCCATTATGGAAGAGAAATAAAGAGATTCTGGTAATCATAAATTCACCAAAAGAAATACTAATATGGATGTGTAAGATATGAAATCGAGTCAAATCATTGTTAATCCATAATCAGTAAAACAGGCACGACGTTCGTCAGCTATCGTTCCTGGAACTGCTAAAAGACCTTCACAACAATGATTAAATTAAATTAAATTTTAATATGTAGCAAATTAGTAAAGAGAAAGAGTAGTAGTATTAGTAGTATATGGATTTGGAGAAGGATGTTATGAGTACTTTGGCTAAAGTCAAACAATATGAAGGTTCAATGACTTAGCTAAAAAGAAATATTCAGAAATGCCAAATTACATTAAAGGAACTTGGTAGTATTAATGAATAGAAGACATATCAACCTGTTGGTAAATGGTAATAGATTTCATTTAATTAACAGCTTCATTCTAAAACCAAAAAAAGATATTGCTGATGAAGTTGTAGAAATCATTAAATCTCATGAAAAAGATATTGATGAATATGAAAAAGTCAGATAACATTTAATTACAAAAGGAAAAGAAAAGGAAACATAATTACAAGAGGCCATGAAAGCATTAAAAATTTGAATTATTCCTTTATTATGTTAAGTATAACAAAAATTTGTTATTCATCTTAATAACTAATAAGAAATAAATTATACTAAACTTTTATTATCAAAATTGTTAATCAGAATAAAGTTGGCTTAGCTATTTCTTTATGTTACTAATAATATATTATAATTTATTACAAAAAAATCAACAGTCTTTCTAGGTATTTAATTTACATCTTTTTTAATCTATAAAACATTAGATTTACTCTACATTAAAAACTTTAAATTTTTGTATAATTAAACAGCTTCTTCTATTTGTGATTCAACACATTAATTTTTTGGTAAATTAACTTAACTATTGTAAGATTCTTTATGTTAATGAAAATCCTATAATTAATAGGATACACTCTTATTTTTAGTGGAATTAGATCCAATAGGTATTGAATTAAATTATACTTTCAACATAGTCTTAATAGGAGTTGATTTTTTCTCAATAAAAGGAGATTATTATTTAGTTTGGCTTCTATTTATTGTTGATCTTGGAGCTTTACGTTCGCTATATGATATCTAATTTGTAGTTGATTCTTTATTTTCTGATTCTATTGTTACTGTTTTATTAATAGATTAATTAATTTTTTTTTCTGATCCATATTTTTATTAAGAAAATTTATATTATTATTATTATTATTATTATTATTAAGGTAGCTTCTTTAAACTTTAACTTCTCATAACTCCTTTAAAACATTCAACCATTTTTATATGTGAAGACTCTGAAATATGTGATTCTTTACTTGATGGTCTTTGCCTTTATTCATTATATAATTTTTTTTGTTATTATTGTTAAGATGAATTCTATTTAGGATTATTCTTTGAAGCACCATTATTAATGCTAGAAGATTAATAAGAAAATTATGATTTATTTGCTTATTTATCTATTTCAAAATCTTTCGTTTCTCTTGTTAATCTTTCTATTTCCAAATCTATATTACCTATATCTTTCAATAATATTTTTTTCAAATGATTACTATCATTTTTAATAATAGAGGGAGGTTATGCAATTGGAATTGGCTCTACAATTTATTGTATTTATTCATCCTCTGATTCTGGAGAAGGAGTGGAATTCTATTGAGGAGATTCTTCTTTAACAAGTTTTAATTAATTTGATTCATTTTATGTATTCTTTAATAATGGTTTCTTTTAGTTAAACACTATGAATTTCTACTAATTTATTTATGATTTTGATATTTGAGATGCCTTTTTATTTTTTTGACTATTCTCGTATTATTCTAGCAAATTACCCATAATTTATTATTTTCTTATGTAAATCACAATCAGTACCTCAACTCAAATTAAGCAGCTGCTTCTTCTTCACTTAATTTACTATACCTGCCTTATTCCTTCATTCAGTTAAATAATTTAATATGAGTATTTATTATGAGCTAATTAATTTTAGAAAGCTTTTGTTTATCATAAAAAGAATTTATCAAATAAATAAGATTTCTATTCTTGAATACAAACTTCTAAAATAAGCTAGAATTACAATATAATTAATTTTATACATATACACACATAGAAATATATATATAAGATTTTGTAAAATAACTAAAAATATATATATATATATGGAATCTTACTTTTATTCAAATAGGTTGGATTATATCATTTAAAAGTTTGATGTAAAAAATAATTACTTTATAATGAAATTGGAATGTGACTTTAACAATTTTGAGATTTGTGATACATATGAAAATAAATTAATTTCATGGCTGAATAATGGTTTTAATGGATTATTCAATTCCTTAAGTGACCTTAGTTAGTTTAACATTCTGTGGTAGTTGCAAACAATAAATTGTTACTGCTACCATGTTAGGATTGGATCTTGGATAAAAAAATGATTAGACTCCACAAGTCTTACAAAAGTAGTGTTTAGCCTAAATTTAAATTAAATATTTACTTGTTTGGTATTAAAAGTGTATAAACTAAGTTCTTCCATACTTGTCAATAATTTGAACTTAGATTAAGGAATTAGAACATGATGGTTTTATTTCATACGGCAAATAGAACAAGCACACTATATTACTTCCATTTCAAGAGGGCCAGAGAATTCAAATTATACTTTGCAACAATGACAACCACCTTAAAATAATTGTTCCATTTTCTTAATTTTTTTATATATAATTAACGTGTAATATATTATTATAAATATATATATATATATAAAGTATAATAGCTTAATAGTATATCAAATAGACTATATGAAGAATTATTCAAATAATAAATTTTAAATATAAATTATTACTAATATTAATTATATATTTAGAATAATTGTTTCATATTAATTACATTTTGTTTGTTTATTAATAAAACATTAGATGTCATTAAGACTCAAAATGTAATAAAATTTGGAAAAAATGCAATAGCTATTTATCAATTTCATAAATATAGTACTCGTAGCCAAGCCTCTATTTATTTTTTAATCATTAATTCAATCTAAAATTGAATATTTATGAGTTGGAATGTAAAATAGATTCCTCCTAATTATTTTCTCAATTTCTTAAACCACCTAAATCTCTGTATGTCTATGTTTTGGTCTTTTTAACTATAATAAAGCTTTCCTCTATATAAATTAAGGAAAAGCATGTTATTCTGACCAGTCTTCTCTTTTTCTCACTGATTCATTGTTTTATAATCTTTTTGTTAATACTCTAGGTGTAATATTATTTAATTTAAGTCTTGGTAATTCATTTCTCCTTTCAGAGTTGATTTAATGAGTAAGATGATGAACATCTTTAATATCACTTATATTTTTATTTAATGAGGTTGTATGTTAATTATTACAACGTGATCTTGGTCTAATTTCATCATTATACCAAGGCCCAATATCTTGATCATATTACATTTTTTATACTAATAATATTTTTAATGCGTAAATTCTTTACTCAAATTCCTAAAGCTGTTGAATTGTTGAAAGCAAATCCAACTCTGCCAGTTAGAGCCCATATTGAATACTGTTCAGGATGAGGATATCGTTCATAAGCTATTTTAGCTGAAGTATGCTTAAAGCATCTCTATCCAAAAAGTGAAGTCACTTTAAATTCACCAGATTCAGTAAGAATATTTGACTATTTATATAGAGAACAGGTAATATTGAAGTGACAATATTTAAATCTGATGGAAAAAAAGAATTAGTCCATTCTAAAAAAAATGGTTAAGGAAATATCACACCTGATAATGTTGCTGAAATCATGTAAAGAGTGATAAGGTTTGTTGAATGAGAACAAAAAATATTGAATATAATAGGTAAATTAAAAAGATTAAATGAATGAAGAATTGGAAAGAAATTTTGGATTCCAATTTTGAAAAAGGAATTTTAATCTGTTTAAATGAAACTATTGTATTCATCACATATAAATTTAAAATATAATTCTTAACAATTTAAGAATATTTAATTACATATTGAATTAGATTTCTCAAAAATAGATAACATACTTTTCAAATTATATCGTTCAAACTCTTCATATTAGATTTACTTCATGTAAATGCTTTTAATTTCCTAATTCTTATTTTATAACTTGTATTTCTAATTCAATAAAGAAATTATTATTAAATAATAATAAGAATTCTAAGATTGTATTGTATATATTCCTTTTAATTTGAATTGATATATCTACTTCTAATTAAACATATGTTTATTTTATTATCATCCCTTTAACTATATATTTTGCTATTTAATCCCTTTTGGGATACATTAAGTAATATATAATCATAAGTGTAAAAAGTTTCTAAATTATCAATTCTTTAAGGAATTATGCAATCTCTTAAATTCATTATACTTAAGATTTTTTATATCACAAATTTTTTAATTGCTGTAATTTAATTAGTGAGAAATATTTGAGTTAAAAATGATGTAATCTTATCAACTGGTAAGGTTTCTCATATCATTATAAATAAGATCTTGTATGATTTATTAAAAGTATAACTCCATCTCTTCAATATATTAATTGAAAAAGGACTTTCTTGCATTAGCATTGAACTCTACATATATACGATTATATTCTCCTTTGTTTACTCATAGATCTTGATTAAATATATATTTTAATATGATATTTCATTAATGTTTTAGAAAAGAATTGTTTTTTAGTTTTAAAATTCAATGATATATATCATATGATTTCTGATAATTTCAGAAAATACGATTGTTAATTTTGTAATTATTTTGGCATGTTCTACAATAGAGGGTATTATTTTGATTATTAATATCAATAGTTTCTATAAAGAGATCTTTTTAATTTAGATTCATTTTTATAACTCTTTAGTAACAAATGAGGAATGCATTAATAATTTATTATTTTTAACATTTATTATCTTTAATTTATAATAAAATAATCAATTTTATTATTATATATATTTTATCTAATTATGTTCTGTAAGAAATTATATCGATCTATAATATTATATTATTATTAGTAATTAGCAGAAATCAAAAATTTAATAATAATATTAATTTTCCGCTATTTTTAATTTAAAATGTGTATAGAAGAAGTCTAAATAGACAAAGGATTGGAAAAGTTTGTGAATGTAGCTATGAAATAGTATATAATATATTTAATATAAGCTATTCTTGTAGATATGGAACAAAACAGGATAATTGGAGAGCAAAAGCAGAGGCTTAATGGAATGGTCTTCCTTTGTATAAAGATAAAATGAAAGTGTTGGAATTTATGCAAAGTAAAATCAAATAATTGGAAGGACCTTCAATAAAAATTACCAAATTCTTTAAGCAAATACCTCATTCAAATGTTTAATAATAATAAGAAATTCAAGTTGCATAGATTTAAGAATAATCAGATATTGAAGAATAAGCAGGAATGTCTACAGTTCAAAAATCTAAGAAATCTAGATATAGTAGGTTCTTTGAGGAAAATTATTGGAAAATGAAATTAGAAAATGAAATTCTAACTCATGAAGAAATACAGTTATTAATAAAGAAATTATGGGAGGAAAATGAAGAAGATAGAGCACATAATATGAGTAAATAAAAATTAAGTTTTTGATACTCTAATTTTTATTTTTATTTTTATAATAAAATTCGTTAAGAATGATGATTTTTTCACTATCAATTATAAATATAGACAAAATATTCATATGATACTTATCAATTGAAATTTAAGAGATAATCAATTGAAATATAAGTGAATTTCTACAAAAATGAACTAATTTTCTAGTTAAGAATGATATATCATATAAAGATTATTAGAAATAATTATTGCATTATTAATAAGCTTTTGAATTTATTAATAAAAGTAGATACATAAATAATAATATTCATTTGATAAATATATAAACTCTATCAAAAGAACTATGTATCTGAATTTATAAAATTTTCATTTATTATAAATAAGCAAGTGAGAAAATACATATTATGATAATATTTATATGTTATAATCTTGTAATAATGTAACCACTAGTTTACAATATAAGTAAGTGGTTGAAAAGTATTAACATTTTTTAGATGAGAGGGCTAAACTAAAGTAAAGATCAGAAGATAAATTAAGCATTGCTGTCAAAAGAATATATTTAAACTCTTTATTACCTTCATTATAATCAGATCATTATTAACAGACAAATAGAATTAGTCAAAGACTGTGTACTTTATAAAAAGAATAGTATTCTTAATTTAAATAGGAATCTATAGATTAAATAACCAATAATATTTAAAAATCAATAGTCACTCCTAATTCAAATTATGTTAGTTAATTTAAGCATCGGAAATCATAATCAAATTTAGATGGTTCTCATTTGTAAGGATTTCTTAATGGACTTTATAAATGTGATAAATTAGAACATCATTCTAGACATATTTCAATAAAAGACTTAAATTAGAAATAAAGAAAATAATCTGATGAATGTTAAGAAAATCATATTCATTTACCATCTTTATAATAACCATAGAATGAATTAAGTAAACATATTAATAAGAAAAATACATCAAAAAAGGTTTCACATGAAGAAATCTTATATACTAATAGATGGGAAAGAGATAGAGGTAATAATGTTGTGAGAATTGATAGATTATAAGTAGATTAATTAACAAATGATATTTTTGATTATATCTTATCTTAAGATATAATCAAAATGTATTTTGAAAACATAAATCTTAATTAATTACAAAATATATTATAAGAATTACTTAAAGGGGTTTATTATGAAAATGTAATTAATTTTGAATAAATGATTTCATATTTTACTACTCTTTAATTCTCTTATTTAGAAATCTTTTATATTAAATATGCAATAGCTTAAGCATTAATTAAAGCCAATTACAACTATCTCTTTATTGAAAGAGCTCTCAATTAATTTGAAGAGTATAGATATTTAATATAAAAACCTATTCCTTTTATTACTAAACTTTTTGATAATATATTCTATTCAAGCATAGCCAAAGATCTAATTTTGAAATTACTTAGAAGTGTTTCCTATAATAAATACTTATAAACTCATAAATTTGAAAGTGAATAATTTATAATTGCAATAAAGAATGGCCTTTTTCCTTATTTGGTAGGAGATTATGTTGCATTACCATTACATGCAAGAATAAAAGATGTTAAAGCTGAATTATTTAGATAATAAATTCTTAAGCCATTTATTAATGATACTTTTGTTATATAAGTTAAAAACCTACTAAAAGAATATAATCTAGAAGATTTATATATTAAAGATGTAGAAAGAAGATTAATTTTTCCAAAGATAGAATTAAATAATATAGAAGATAGTCATTTTCCTATTCATTATATATATTCTTATATTCAATGTAAGAATACTCTCATACCTTCTTATGATATTAAAGCTTTGATTAAAGTTATTAAAATAGATCCAATCATTAAAGAATCTGATTCTACTATTTTTGAAGACAATGTAACTTATCTATCCAAATTTGAATAAATATAAGATGATATATAATTATTTTTATGAAATCTAAATAGATCTCTAAATCTAATTCTGTCCCAAATATAAATTGATTTTATCATTTAATTAAACAACTGAATAAATTAAATTATTTTTATAATTATGAAGAAATTTTTATTAATTGGTGCACTATTCCTTTTGCTTTAAATAACTTATGTGAGTGCAAGTATAAATCAACTTTAAATTAGATTGCATGTAATTGGCTTAAGATTTTAAATGCACATATATGCATTTATAATGTACAGATAATCTTAATGGTGAATGCTCTTGTGAAGATGGTTCTACTTGTAGATGGAAAGATGGTATTGGTGATGATAATTGTCCTTGTGGAGGAGCAAAGCCTAGAAGAAGAAGAAGAAGAGTACACGATGGTCTGTGAATACATCCTGCATAATAATAATCAATCAGATAAGTGTTAATTTATTATGTAATCTCTTTATTTCAATCATTTCATCTAAAAAATTAAAATTAGTTGTAATATCTACCTTGTGATCCCATTAAATTCTCTTTCTTATTCAAGAGATATTCAATAAATTATTTAAACCTATAATATAGATGCCCAAGTTAACAATATGTTTACATATTAATAATAATTTGTTTAAATCCTTAACAATAATTCTTATACTATATTTTTTAAAGTTTTAAGTATTTTCTTTGTAAAAATTCTTTTTCTCTTTATTATTTATACTTTTCAATAAAATATTTATATTGAGTATTAAATAAATGTAAAAATTTTAATAGATCAACAAAAAAACTTTTTATGATCAAGAATCTCTTTGTTATTATAAAATTATCAAATTATGATGTAATAAATCTGAAATTAATATTAAAGTAAATAATTTATTAAAAGATAATTAGATAATAATATTGAATTCATAAAATCAAAAATTAAATGATTAATTAGAAAATTGTTATTAATAAATTGAAGTGTTTAATTTAAATCATTCCTTAATTCAATTAAACAACATATATAATTTATATTTACTCTTGAACCTGAACCTATTATTTAAAACAACAATATATAAATAAATATATTTATTTGTTTTGTTTTATTATTCATCATTTTTATTCTTAAATTAATTATATTCATTATTCTATAATAATTATATGCTTGTAAAATAATATAAAAAGATAAAATGTAATTCTAATTACAATAAATTCAATTAATTGCAAAGAATAATAAATCATGTTTCAATCATAGAAGTGGGCTGAAGAAATAAATTAGAAATAAATTCTTTTTTATTGGAATATCCATTTATAGAACTAGTTTATGTTAGTTGATGTTAATTTATNTTGCATGTAATTGGCTTAAGATTTTAAATGCACATATATGCATTTATAATGTACAGATAATCTTAATGGTGAATGCTCTTGTGAAGATGGTTCTACTTGTAGATGGAAAGATGGTATTGGTGATGATAATTGTCCTTGTGGAGGAGCAAAGCCTAGAAGAAGAAGAAGAAGAGTACACGATGGTCTGTGAATACATCCTGCATAATAATAATCAATCAGATAAGTGTTAATTTATTATGTAATCTCTTTATTTCAATCATTTCATCTAAAAAATTAAAATTAGTTGTAATATCTACCTTGTGATCCCATTAAATTCTCTTTCTTATTCAAGAGATATTCAATAAATTATTTAAACCTATAATATAGATGCCCAAGTTAACAATATGTTTACATATTAATAATAATTTGTTTAAATCCTTAACAATAATTCTTATACTATATTTTTTAAAGTTTTAAGTATTTTCTTTGTAAAAATTCTTTTTCTCTTTATTATTTATACTTTTCAATAAAATATTTATATTGAGTATTAAATAAATGTAAAAATTTTAATAGATCAACAAAAAAACTTTTTATGATCAAGAATCTCTTTGTTATTATAAAATTATCAAATTATGATGTAATAAATCTGAAATTAATATTAAAGTAAATAATTTATTAAAAGATAATTAGATAATAATATTGAATTCATAAAATCAAAAATTAAATGATTAATTAGAAAATTGTTATTAATAAATTGAAGTGTTTAATTTAAATCATTCCTTAATTCAATTAAACAACATATATAATTTATATTTACTCTTGAACCTGAACCTATTATTTAAAACAACAATATATAAATAAATATATTTATTTGTTTTGTTTTATTATTCATCATTTTTATTCTTAAATTAATTATATTCATTATTCTATAATAATTATATGCTTGTAAAATAATATAAAAAGATAAAATGTAATTCTAATTACAATAAATTCAATTAATTGCAAAGAATAATAAATCATGTTTCAATCATAGAAGTGGGCTGAAGAAATAAATTAGAAATAAATTCTTTTTTATTGGAATATCCATTTATAGAACTAGTTTATGTTAGTTGATGTTAATTTATGATATTTATAAAGAAAGAACTACACTTATTCTAAATGATAATTAGAATTTAATTTCAATATTTTTGATAATTAATAAAATGTAAATTCCAACAAATAATGGTAATCCCTACCCTCAATATTATTACCCATAATAAGGTTACGTGTAATATCCATAAGTTTACCCTTAATAATAATATTAATAATATCCTGGATAACAAATTCCATAGTAATAATATGTGTAATAACCAAAATCGAAGCCAGTTATTCCTGCAAAGAAACCTAATCCATATTCTTTTGAACCAGGAAGTAATAAGGAATTAGATGATGCCTTAAATAGTATAGATACAATGTATAATGATATGTTTGACACAGTGGATAATTAAAAACTTAGACAAGAATCAGGTATATTTAAATGTATATATATATATAGAATAGGAGAAGGAAGAAGAATATTGTATAGGTATTCCTATTGATTAGAAAAATAATGGTCAATAGATTTAATTAAATTAAGTACCAAATGCTTTTGGAAATATATAATAAGATCCAGAGAAATGGAATTATTACAATGGAAATCGTAATTCATTCTATTGAAATATAGATATTCATTATATAGAACATTACTTAATATTTAAATATTTTTATAGTTTATAATTCTCATATTAATGTATAAGTTAGATGGAATTTTTATAGTTAATAAAAATAATAAAAATATAATAATCTATGGCTAATGGTGTAACTACAGAATGGGAAGACATTCATGTAAAACATGGAAATTATGTGGAAAGAGAGAAAGTGACAACTCTAGCAGAAACCTATTAATAAGCAATTTAGAAGTTGGATGAAAAATAAGATAGTGATGATGATTTCTTTGAAGATGATGAATTTACAAAATAATATAAAAATTAAAGGTATGCATTATCTATAAAAATAGACTCTAATAAATGATGGAGTAAGCTTAAAAGAAGCTATATGGTGAGGTATATGAGATATCAAGAGATGAATATGTTAAATAAGTGACTGAAGCATCAAAAGATCGATTTGTCGTATTATCTCTTTATTAAGATTACATAATTGAATCTTTAAAACTCAATGAAGTCTTATAAGAGTTAGCCAAACAATATAAAGAAATTAAATTTGTTAAGATGGTAGCAACTAAATGTATTGAAAATTTTCCAGATGATTAATGTCCATGTTTCATTATATATAAAGACACAAAAGCAGTTTCAAATATACCATTCATTCATAAACTTAGAAAAATTACATTTGCCTCTATTGAAGACTTGTTGATTAGTCAAGGTTTGTATTTAAATATTTAATATAGGTGTTATTCCAAAACCAGTAGAAGAAGATGAATAATATGAAGAGATTAAGGATAAACTTAAACATCCATATAAGACTAATAATGTTAAAGATGTTGATGATGAAATAGATGATAGAGAATACTCTCATAAAGTTCAATTCTAGAAACCTAAATGAATTGTAATAAATTTTATAGAATTTATTAATTATATTATAATTATTTATTATTATATAATTAATTTAATATAAAAAAATTTATATTAATAATTTACATGCGAAAGTTTGGACACAACATCAAATTTAAATACAGTCTTTAATAATTATCTTATTAACGTCTTTAATAATGATCGTTAAAATATTTTTAAATACATTTAAGAGCCATTACAAGTATTGTGAATATTTGATAAATTAAAAATGTAAAATTCAAAAAATAAGTAAATATTTTGTGATCAATTTGAATTGTTCAAAGATAAGTAATTTTAGTCTATTTCTTCATTAAAGGTATTTAATATTATTAAATATTTTATAGTAAGTTAAAATTGAGTAGGTTAGTAATTAAGAATAAATAATTAATGAATCAAGTGTTGAAGATATTTTTGAATAAATGGGAAACAAAGGATCTAATCAAGAATAACCAAAATAAATTAATAAAGTAAATAAAATCAATAAAAATGATGATTGGAAATCATATTATAATTTAAGATTGAAAGAAATTAAATTAGAAAGACCTGAACTTAAACATAATTAAATGACATACTTAATATCAGAAGAATGGAAAATAATCAAGAAATAATTTAAAAAAGTTCCTTTATCTTTAAATCAAGATGAAGATTTATTAAATAAGAAGAAATTAAAATAAATTAAAGATAATTCAAAATTTTGTTAAGAAATAATATCATTTGAAAAATAAGAATGCGATAGTGAACTTGATTTTAATCCATTTGAAAGTGCCAAATTTATTGAAAATTTAAGATTAAAGAAATTTAAATTAGTTATTAATGATTTAACTTATGAACTTCCAGGAATTGCTATTATAGAAGCAATCAATAATGATTCAATTCTAATATATTTGAATCAAAATATCAATAATAATAATGTTACAAATATAAGTACTACATAGGGTACTCCAAATAAAAAGGCGAATCCTAATTTAGAAGATATTGGAAGTGATAGTGAATAGAGTATTTGTAGAGGAAATGATGATTTTATTTTGTAAAACAATATTAGATCATTTTTATGATCACGATAACAACTCTATCAAATTATAAACAAAATATTACTATCTTTTACTACTCAAAATTGTAGATGTAAAATATAACTAAATTAATGTATATAATTAATAGTTATCATTTTTTTGCTTTCTTCTTCAATTTATAATTGTTGCAAAACACATCAAAATATTATGAATATTATACAATTTAAACTAAATTGATTTATATATATAAAATGGATTTGTAAATGGAAGAACAACAATTCTTTGCTAATCATTCATTATCAAGTATATTTGTTTTATTTAGATAGTCTCAAGTAGATACACAGAAAGAAATAATCCTTTATAACTTTATCATCCAACTCATTAAATTGGAATTAAACAAATACCTGATATTGAAAATTTAGAAATACCATTTGAAGATGGAAGTATTTAAGAATAAATCTCACAACATAATATGTCTAATCCAATAACATCATCAGAAAGGAAAAGCTAGATTCAACACCAAAACAATGAAATTAAAGAACCTCAATTTCGATAACAGTTAGAAAGATAGAGTTAATTCATTCCTGAAGTTGATGAACAAAAAAACTTTTTGCATCTAATTCGAAGGAAAAAATTGATGTAAAAATTTATAACAAAAACTCGATAAAAATCATACATTTTCTCATAATTATTAGCAGAGTAATTTAAGAAACTATAATTCGAATAATATATTCTTAAGAATAAACAAAATATTTAAAATGTAAACAATAATGAAAAGTTAAAAACAAGTAAGTTAAATTTCATCCCTTTGTTTTAAACTCAACAGCCGTTTCTAATACTTTGGGAATTCTTTATATTTATTCAAACTTTATATGTAACTTGGTGGGGACCCTTTACTGTAGTTTTTGAGAACAATTTTCATAAGAATACGATAAGTGAATATATTGTTATATATTTTGGAATAATTGATATCATAATGACAATGAATAAAAGTATTGTCTATTAAGGATAGATATTAGATGATAGGGGAATAATAATAAAATAGTATTTGAAAACTTAATTTGCACCTGATCTAATTTCTATATTTACTATATGCTCAATTGATAATAGGAATTATGCTTAAGATTAAGAATTCATTTTCATAATTTTTGCAACAATTTTAATATACATAAATTAAAAAAGAATAATGAATATCTTAGACAAAATATAAGAGTCTTTTGATGTTTAATAAGATGCATTGGATTTAATCAAGGTATTATTGATAATTGGATATTTTGCACATATTAGTGCATGTATTTGGGCTAGGATTTCTATGATAAGTGATAAATATGGTTATATGTCATGGATTAAATATTATGAAGTTGATAATCAATCTTCATGGATTTAATATAATTTTTCATTTTATTGGGCTACAATGACAATGGTAACTGTTGGATATGGAGATATTACTCCACAAAATGAATATGAGATGTTGTGTGCTATTCTTATAATGTTTATTGCAAGTATTATATTTGGTTATTCATTAAATTCTATTGGAATAATTTTGAAAAATATAAATGATAGACAATAGAAGTTTAGGTAATAAATTATTAAAGATAGTTAGAAAATCATAATTGTTAATTAATTCTTACATGAACAAAAATTAAGTTAGTCTTTAATTATAATGTAAAGTGAGAAATTATTTAAAATATTATATTGAATAAGATAATGTTTAGAATGATGAAGAAGTATGATAATATTAAAATATGATTAGTTAAATGCTTTGATTTCTAAATTATCTCCAGGTTTGAGAGAGGAATTGTTATATGATATTTAAAAGAAACCTTTAAAGTCAATGGACTTTTTCATAAAGGATATGTCTCCAGAAGTGTAGAAATAAATAGCTTATTAATTGTAAGCGTAACATTTTGCTCCTTTAGATGTAATTTACAATTAAAACAGTTTTGATAATAATTGTTTATATTTAATTGTTGAAGGGAGAGTTCAATTGATTGATGAAAGAAATAATGAAGTTGTATATAAATATGAGAAAGGATAATGTTTTGGTAAATATGAATTTTTTACTGGTTTGAATAGAGAATTATAAGCAAGAAGTGAAACATTTTCACATGTGTATAGTTTGAAAAGAGATGATATGATAAGAATATTAGAAAATTTTATGGATGACAAAGAAAAGTTTGCAAATATCAAAGATTAAATAATAATATTAAATAATTTTTAGATAATTGATTTGAATTGCTATTTTTGTAATGAATTTACTCACACTTATATCTAATGTCCTTATTTATAATACAAACCAGATTTGGAAAGATTAATAAAAAAAGAAGGTTTTTGTAAATAAAATAGATAACGTTTCTTAAGATAAAAATTGAGAACAGGATCTTCATTAAATTTATTGATTGTATTCTATTTAGAATGATTTAATTAGATAAAGAAGGAGTAGCATGACAAATTTCTTAAAGATATTGGGATTGAAATAGATTCCTAATCATCTTCATCTAGTGATGAGAAAGAATAATCATAATAATTATCAAATTAACAAAGTAATTCTATAGAGAAGAATTAAGTAAAAGATGACTTTCCATCTGCCAAGAAAGATTACTTATCAACATTAAATCTAGAAAATAAGTCTTTAAATGTTATGACAGAAAGATTTATGAAGCAAAGAAAAAATTAGAGATAAGGTTCTCATCATACTCATCAAATGTAGACCTAAGCTATTAAAACTATGTAAATGGATTAGGAAATTGAAAATACTAACATTTCTAAAAGAAAAAGATCTTAATCTATAAAGGATATAACACCAAAGAACAATAAAAGAAGGAATAGTTAGGATTCATAAAGTGGAGGTGATACAAGTAGAAATAAGAAAGCAATGTCTATAAACAATACAACAACTAAATTATTGAATAGTAATAATATGAATAGCATAAAGTCTATAATTGAATAATAATAGATGGATTTTATGAAATTAACAGAGGAAATAGATTAATATAGATTATAATTTTTTAATTGCGATATGGAAAAAAGTTAATAATTCAAATATTATTTACCTTAAAATAATTTGAGTCAAATTTTATTACAATATTAACATTAATAGAAAAATAATAAATTCAAAGGTAGATGTGAATCCAATAAATATTCCATATATTTCAATGTGAAAAAATAGACATAAACAAATAGATCTCAAAAATAGACTAGAGGAAGTCGTGTTTGTTCTCCAGGTTCTAAAAAATTGATAAGTAAAACTTAAAAAAAATCATTTATAACCAATCCTTTATAGCAAATGGTTAGAATAGCATAGAATGAAACTTAATGAAATAGTTGTTTCTTCATATATATTTTATTCTATCTTCTATCTTTTCATATTCTTTATATATATATTCATTTTTTTAATTAAGTAATTTACCCGTTTTTTGTGGAAATATATTATTAATTTTATTTAGATGAATAAGTTCATAACCGTAGCTTTGATTGCTTTAGTTAGTGTTCAAGCCTTCGATATTGATTTTGCACTCTTGTTGTAGGTAATAATAAATTACAATCTATTTCAAAGACAGGATCACAATCAAATGATGCTGTACAAGCAGTCTATGATTTATTAAATGATTTAAAGACAAGCAATATAGAAGCATAAGGACTTGCAGATGAAAAAAACATATCAGATGAAGAAATAGGATAATCTAGAATTGCAGCATTATCAAAAGTTAATGAATTGAATCAAAAAGCTTGGGCAAGTGCAAAAGCAAGAAGAGAATAAATTGGAATTGAATATAGAGTAATTCACTTTATATATCATAATTCAGGAAGCAACTGACTATATAGCTTGGGCTACATAAAGATTAGCTGATATTGATAGAAGAGAAGTAGAATTAGAAGAATTAAGATGTTTCTCAAATGGATTGTTTGTAAGAGCCATTAAATAACATAATGATGCTTTAGGAGTCATCAGAATATTAAAAAATGATTTGAGGTATAATATATAAATAGAAAATTCTTAGTGGATATTTAACAGGAGCTCCATCTTCAATGGTTGAATTGAAAGTTGAGAATGTTGCTGACAAACTTAAATAATACAGTCAATTATTTAATTAAGATGCTATGAGTAAATTTGCTTAATTGGCTTCTGAATAAGCTTCAGGAAATGCTGAATTACATGCTTTAGGAGAGAATGAAACTACAAGTGGAGGAGACAGATAACCAGGAGTTAATGTTGGTCAATTAGTTTATAATGCTTTGAGTGATTTAGAAGATCAATTAAAAACAGCTTTGTCTGCTTTAGAATAAAATGAAATTGCTGGATATTATCAATTAGCTGATTGGTTAGCTGATTCTGAAGCTGAAAAGGCTCATTTATAAGATGAAATCCAAAGAAAAACTCAACTCCAAGATAAATTAGTTGTGGTAACTATATATATTATATAATCTTTTTTATAGTAAGAATAAGCTGCCCTCGCTGTTTAAGCCAAAGCCAATTCAGTCTTAAAAGATTCATAAAATGCTATTAATTCTGCTACAGCTAGTTTATAAGAGTTGAGAGATCTCTATGAAACAGAATTGAATAGAAGAAATGGTATTCTTTTTAATTATGAAAATAGAGGAGAATGCCATCATTGATGAAGTAATCCACATCTTCAAATAATAAGTTTTGGAAATGGCTAACTAAACCTCATTTGGAAAGAAATGAAATATTTAGATTATCAATTTAAACTGAATATTTTATAAATTATTAAATATACATCATCCTTTATCAACTAATCCACTTATTAAATTATCCATTATTCCAAATTCCCTCTCTCTCCTTCCCTTATGGATTGTATTGAATTCCCTTTCCATGTTACATCCCATATTACCACTATCCTTTATAAATCCACTAATCTGGCCTAATTCACAATCAAACTGCCATTTACCACATAAACACTCCATCTCCATGTTCTAAGTCATTTTCATATTGTCCTTCATATTTTCTAGAGTCTAACCATAAATAGATTCCTTATCCATTCCTTTTTATCTATCCATCTACTGTAATAACTTATCCATAATATTTGTCTCCATTTTTATACTCAATAGTTGCCTCTCCTTATAGTTAATTATTCTAAAACTCTCCTTGATACTCATTCCCTGTTACTAAATCAATCAGTCTCCCTTGCCCACACTTCACATTATTCTTAAAATCTCCTTTATATTCATACTTCCCTTGTAATATCTCTTACCCTTTCCCTTGCTTTAAATCCTCTTCCCAATCTCCTTCATAGGAATAACCACCTGAACAAAATAATCCTCTTCCATTAGCTTGACCATTTTAAGAGAATCCCTCATAATAATCACCTGATGCCATAATTATTCTACCAAAACCAAATGGTAATCCACCTCTCCAATAGCCCTCATAATAGTCTTATCCTATGATTGCTCTTCCCCAACCAAATCTCTAATTATTCTATATCTGACCTTCATAAATAATCCCATCAGGGAATTAGCAAGGAGGCACAGTTTCTATATTACTCAATAAAGAATCAGCCTATGGAGGTGATAAATGACCTATCTTATTTAATATTGATTAGATAGTTGGACTTAAATGAGGGAACAATTCTAGAGTCTTTACACTCAGAATTTATGATTAACTATTTGATCTGTAGAATCTTTGACTTTGGTTTCCAGTACTTATAAATTAAGATGAACCCAAAGTTCTTTACACTACTTATGATTATTTTAGTGATTGAGAACCATCTAATGATCCAAATTAATACAAACTGCGTTTCATATCTTCAACTGTATGAAAATCTTATGTGAGATCTGTTAATTTTTAGAAGAGACAATTCAAACTTTATATGAAGTCATTTTTGAGAAGATTGAATTATTACTAATGGTTTTGGGTATACTTGTATCGAATTCTATTACTTGTAGGTTATAATGTACTAACAACATTATTTAAGCAATTCAAAATGTCACATCGTAATTAGTTCAGATCTCCATTCCTTCATATTAAAATATTTTATACTTGTTGATAATCTACATCAAAGATTACTCAGATATAGGTAATTCTTTATCTTGGTCTCTAGAAAATATTGTATTGAATAAATAATTGTTATTGTCATTCCTTTTTTATTCATTAGATTGTATTTCTTATAATTGCTATTTAAAATTTATATTTCTTGCTTGTTACTCTATTAAATCTTTTCTAATTATTTCTTAAATCTATTTCTTTGCTCTATCTGAACTTTCATAAAATATCTTAAACAATTGTGCAATATCAGAAACAATCTCTTATGTTTCTTAGTCAATCATAGCATTATATTCTTTCAATCTTTTATCTAATTCTAAAAGTGTATTATTTATATTGGGAATCAAAACCGTTTTTGTTTTCCCATTCTACTAAAAGATAAATTCATTAAGCTAATTCAAATAATTTTTGTGTTCATTTTTATGTTATAGGTTTCCATTTATGCCTTATATTTGAATAATTGCATTTACATTACTAACAAAGAAGATTACCGTAATTGCAATTTACTTTAGTACACACAAAAGTCACTTAATTACCCGGATGCTTGCGGCATTAAAGTCCATATTACATTTTATAAAAATATTAATTTATAATTTATACAGAAATATCTATACAAAAAAGGATTGATATTTAATTAATCACCTTCTTTATTACATGATATTTTTAAGTATATCTTTAAAATTTTTTGTCTAAAAAAGTAGTATCTCAGATATCTCATTTTCTGAATATCTTCCATAAAAATATCCATCACAAAATTATCATGTATGACCCTTATTTCATCTACTTAAAGAAATAAATATAAGATTATTTATTACTTCAAAAATATTAATCTAATTTGAAATAAACTTTTGAAACTTTGGTTTGCAATAATAAAGAATTGATTTAATACATTAAACTTCTTTTAGATATAAACCTAGAATGATCTAACCTTTGGATTAAGAAATATATTCTAAGAATAAAATCAATAAAATTGTTAATATTCTTAAATTATTTATATTTCATTAATTTTGGGCATTAAAAAATAAAAGTAAAGAATGTTATTTCTATTATGATTTGGAAATGCAATTGAACATCAATCAGTTTTCATCATAACTATATATAATGCTTAGAGTTCACTTTGCAAAATAAACAATATATTTTATATCAAAATTACGATATCTATATATATTTAAACATTCGAAACACATATTACAAAATTCAGTATAGAGTGCTTAGGAAGGTCTAAAATTTAGGATTTGACAATCTTTTAGCTCCTATTTCTCTGGAATACTTTTTTTATTGTTAAACAATTTCTTCCATTTTTTTGATTTACATTTGCATTTATAACAATTATGGATTAATTTCTGAAAAATTTAATGTCTTTTTTCTTTCATTTGACTTTTTGAATCTCTAGAAAGATAAGAAATTTCTGGGTAAATTATGCTTAGGAAAATCAGCTGTATTACGATAGATCAATAATTCTTTAGACAATCTGAAATCACAAAATTATTTAACAGGTGTTACTTTTAAGAGTTATCTTTAAGGTTAATCGATGCTTTTGACTCTATTTCTTATACATCTAATTGGAAATTCACTACATGTAGTAGTAACATTTTGTTTATTTAACTTTGTATAGCTAGTTTTGGTTGTTATAAATTTGTTCTTTTCTTCTTTACTAGAATACAGAGTAGGTTATTGCTAGTTAAACTCTACTAAGATTGCTTTATAATTTTGATTGATATCAGACCAAGGACCAACATCGTCAGTATTGAATTAATTGAAAGTGATACTTTGTTACATTATTTATTTTTTATATCATCTTTACATTATATTCTTTTAATTTAAACTTATATGATATATCAATCAAAAATAGAGTAGTTTGTTAATTAGAATCAAAAAGGACTATATGTATAATCAAAATAATAATAAAAATTTAATGTCTAAGCTGCAAAATAAATACTATTTTAAATGATATTTCAAAAAATTAGACATCCAGCATTAAATTCATGTTCGTTTGCCTCATTTTCTACAATGGTATACTCGTCTTCATACTTCCTCAAAGGTTCCCCTAAGTTATTTGTGAAATATTATAACCATAACTGGGTTTGAAATTGATTTCAACAGGTTCTTATCTAAAGAGTTAATCATCAGTCTATTTAGCTATAGATTATTATTATTATTAATATGATTATTATTATTATTATTTTTATTAATATTATTATTATTATTACTAATAAGTCTAAATAGGAGTAGTAGGTCTGTATTCCATCTTTACTGATTCTTCACGTTCAGAGGGTACTTTATAATTGGACTTATATAATATTTGTTCAGATGGTTTCTAATTTTTGATCACAATTTCTTGTTGTTGAAAAGATTCATTGATTTTTTATTTACTCAGACTTATTTATTCAGAAGGCATATTAATACTTGATCTGTTGAATTAAGTATCTAAAGTAATTCTGTCTTAAGGATATGGATTGTTTGATGTTTATCTATATATCAAATTAATAGTGAAACATAATTGAATAATTGGGTTGTGGAATTGATCTCTGTGAAGATTGAACATCCCTTATTCTCTCTGATTATTCATATTTGAGGGGTTCAAATTTATAAGGTTCAAACTTTTCATAGACCTTAGGTTTTTCTTATTTCGAAGATTTGTCAAATTCATACATCTAAAATTTCATGTCAGATTTAGGAACTTCGTAAGTTGTTTTACTTTGAAAGTTATGCACACTGCCTTATGGTTCTTAAACTTAATTGATAATAATATTTAATACATTTGTTGATATATGCTATCATAATTAGTTCAAGTACCTGTCTATATAAATGATCCAGTCTATGGTTTTGAATAATCGACACTTTAGTAATTAAATTATGAAGTCGATTATGCATTCACTTCTATTGGCTTATGAACTTAGCTGGTTCTGTATGTGTCAATCTCTGATGTTTGATAATTTAGTTGTTAAATTGGATATTAATTAACATTAGGGGCTAGATAAATATTTATAAATACAATTCATATCAACAGATGGTAATCCTCCATATTAATATTGCATTTATTTTTATTCAGCTTATTTTTGTTCTGTACTAGTATTTCTTATTGATCTAGTTAGTCTCTTAGTTGGTTCAGGTTCAGGACCTGTTTCAAAAATAGCTCTTGCAGTTCCCATTCTTTGACTTGTTGCTATTGGACTCTAACTTCTTCTATCTAACATTTTATAATAAAAAATTTAATAATCTTAAAATTTTGTGATTGTATTATACAATTAATTCATATTTAGTAAATATCATTTCTAACTAATGGTTAATTTGTATGACAAATATTAAATTAACGAAATAAGAAAAAAATATTATTAATACAATTTGCATATTTCTTTTTATGATTTTGATGAAAAAATCAAATTTATCCAGTACTCTCTATTTAAATTAACAAAAACAATAAATCCAATAAATATTTATGAATAATTAAAGTGATAGAAATATTAGCTCGCGAAGATCCAGTATTGGACCGACTTTCACAAGAAATCCATCATATTTATAATATAGAAAATAAAATTCAGATTGCTCCATCTATTCAGAATCAAAAGATCAAGGAGAGTCAATTAAACAATTAAAACAAGATTGTGAAGAGAGATAATCAAGAGCTCAATCAATTTATAGTTCATTTGCAGTATTATGCTTTCTAAAGTTAGAAAAAACTCTTTTCAAAAAGTGGGGACATTAAAAAATAATTTAGTGAATAAGAAAAAGCAACAAACTTTTTCAAACAAATTAAAAGCAAAGCCATTATCAATAGATTTATCTCAAATCTTTTTAGAAACTCTTACATTTTACCTGAAAAGTTGAAATCATAACTCTAAGATTAGTACTTATCTAAGCACACATCTTTATAAAAATAATAATCAAGTACTTTTTAATTCTAATTTCAATAGACATAGTAGATAATTCTAAATTTATAAAAATATTTCAACCTGGTAGTTAACTCTTAATGTATTGGGATTTGATTGGAATTATTATAAACATGATTTCTTTATGGTTAAGCCCATTTTAAGCAGCTTTTGCATATCAATCTCCACTTATTTTGATTGTCACCATTATTTGGTATTTATTTTTGGAGATATTGGTGAATTTAAATAGATCCACTATTTCTTTTGGAGAAATTATTAACACTAGAAGCTAAATTATTAAACATTATTTATAAGGATAAGGAGCATAAGATTTAATAAGTCTTATAATTTGGATAGCGATATTCAATAAATCTCAAGAGAATCTTGTATTTGAGATTCTTTAAATCATATAAATAATGGTAACTACCAAAAAAGTAATTACAAATTTTGATAAATTTCTTGAATCCCTCTATTCTAAAGGATCTTTATCAAATTTGATTGACTTATTTTCTCTAGTCATATCTATATTCTTTTTTGCACATATAATGGCATGTGTATGGTATTTTGTTGGGGAGAAGAGTGGTATGCTTTTAGATAGATCTTGGTTGAAAAAATATGAAATTGAGAATGAAAGTATAATGATGAAATATAACTATTCAATATATTGGGCTACAACAACTATTGTAACAGTAGGGTATGGAGATTTAACACCCTAGAATTGGATAGAAATAGTATTCACAATAATAATGATGTTTTTATCAAGTTGTGTTTATGCATACTCACTGAATTCTATTGGAATTATTTTAAAGAATATTTAAGATACTAAATATTAATATAAAAAAATGTTATTGAGAATTAATGATTATATGGATAAGAATAATGTTGAAGTTGAATTATAATTGAGAGCAAGAAATTTCATAAAGCATCATTTATTTTAGAATGAAAATCAAGAAAGTTAGGAAGAAATTAGTAATATAATGGAAAAACTACCAGAGGATTTAAGAAATCAAATTACAAAATCAATTCAATTAAAAATCTTAAATTAGATAACTTTTCTCAAAGATTTATTTTCAACATAAGCAGTTACTGATATTTCTCGATATCTTGAAACTTAATATTTAGGACCTAATGATATAGTATTCTAATAGAATGAATCTAGTGATTCTAGTTTGTATTTTTTTTTATAAATAATATAGATATTTTGTACAATCAGGATAGATAGTTTTATTCGAAGAGAAATCTAACAAAATTTTAACAACATTAAATAAAGGTGATAAGTTTGGAGAATACTCATTTTTTACTGGACTTTATCCAAAATATTCTGCTAAATGTATCAGTGATGCAATACTATATAAAATATAGAGAGAGAAATTCTTATACATCATTTAATATTATTAAAAAGATTTTTAAAGGTTTCATAATATTAAAGATTAAATATTACTAAATTCTGATTATTCCAAATGCCTATCAAGTTGTTAGAATTGTCGATTATTTACACATTAAATTATAGATTGTCCATTATTTTAATATAAACCAAATTTAGAAAAAAGAATTAAAGCTGCAGCATATAAAGAAAATGAAAATTTAAGAGTATTCCATAGAAGAACATTACATAAATCTAATTGTCGAAAAATTTGCAGAAATATAGAATTATCAATTAAAGCATTTCAAGATGAAAATGAATCAAAGGTTTAAATTTCTGATTATTAATCTGGTTATTTATATAAAACAACTTTTGAAGAAAGGGATAAATATACATCAGAAGAACCAAAATCTAAGATTGTAATAGCTGATTAAGATTATGTATAACCTACAAATTTTGTTTCATCTAATTATGTTTAATAGAGAAGACATTAAACATAATTTAAACCATCTATTATAGCTTAAATGCCAAAATAAAGAATGTCAGTTGTATAATAAGATTTCAAATCTTAAAACTAATTGTTAAATAATTCTTTTAATTCTTCATCATATAACAAACTTTAATCTGATTTACTATTAGCATCATTTCATCAAACTAGTATACATCTTGATTAGATGATGAATTATAAAGATTATATGCCATAAAATAATATTACAGCAATCATCATCTAGATTGAGAAGAATCCAAAAAGATAATCTAAAAGAAGAAAAAGAGAATTAGATTACTTAAATAAATATACTTTCTTTTACTATGTAAAGACTATGGCAATTAAAATAAGAAGAACTTAACGTAGAATGGCTTAGTAATGGTGATACTAAATATATATAATTAATTTCATTTCATCTTTAATTGCTTAAATTTTATCCTCAATATATCAGGGGAACTTAATTATCTTAAATTAGATTGATTTTAATTCTAAATATCTAAAGAGTTTAATCTAGATTTGGAATTGATTAATTAAGTAGTTTAATTTGAAGTATATAAAGTACTAGTAAAGTTTAAAGGTCTTTTTTTGTACAATCTCCACGCTTTTTATGGAGGAACAAAATAATTAGTTGTTTTTTTTGGTTCATCATTTAAGAATGGAATCTTTCCTAAATTTTTTACTTTATGTTTCATTCCTAATAATTTTAATATATTTTCTGCTATTTCATTTTAAGAAACATTATTTTAAGTGAAATTATCATATGATTTATATCTTTAAGTATAGTTATCAATGATATTTCCATCAAGTTACTATTCATCATTCCAAATATTAAAAGAATCCTGAATATCTTAAGATGTTGTAATTGTAGGAGTTTAATTGTATCCTCTAATTTTTTCTCTAATTTTTTATTAGTGAATTGAAACAACATCTTGTGATTCATCAGCTGCTTTTTAATCTATAGACTACTAAATTTTTTGATATAATTCTTAATATTTAATAAGTTAAATACAACTAATTCTAGGAGACCTTGATGTTTCAATTAAATATGCATATTATTAAATGCTGTTTTAGTTAATTTAATTCTTTAAAATCATTTTAGGAATGTTCAAAGTAATTGGTTTTAGATTTTCTTTGTTGTTTTTCTTAAACATAAAAATGAAGTAAAAAATAGTTAAAAATTACATATATTTTAGAAATTATAATCTGTATTTATTATCCAGAGTGAATTTGAGTATATTTTATTTTGATATCTAAATTATTAATATAATAATTTATATAAGTAAATGATGTGTGTGATGGAGGGTTGTTTTAATAATAAAAATCATTTGATGATAATGAATTATAAATTTAATATTATTCATTTTCTAATAAATTGACAAATGGGTGATTAGGATTAAAAGTAGGATAAATAGAAGATAAAAACAACAAGATTGATTATATTAATCTTATCAGCCCTTTTATTGTTTGGAAACAATTATTCTTTTGACAATCCACAAGCATTATAATCTTAAATAATGGAAGAAGTGCACATTTCATTAACAGAGTTCAATTACCTATACTCTTTTTTCAGCTTTCCAAATATCTTACTCACATTAATTGGAGGATATTTTATAGATAGAATTGGTATTAAATATAATTATATGTAGGTAGTCGAAAGAGCATATTAATATTTGCATCATTAGTTACCGTTTCTTAAACTATAATAGCATTTGGAGGAAAATATTAAAGTTTTCACTTGATGTTATTTGGAAGAGTATTTTTAGGCATAGCAAGTGAAAATTTGATTATTTCATAAAATGTAATCATCACAGCTTGGTTTAAAGGTCATTAATTATCAACAGTATATATATATATATATAAATATAATAGGCAAGTGGTTGTATAGTTACATTGCCAGAAATAGCAGCAGCATTAAACTCTTACTTTTCACCTATGATTTATGATTATACAGGAAGCATTACATATCCTTTATTCACAAGTGTATTTGTTTGTATTTTTTCACTATTATGTGCAATTTTACTATTATTCTTTGATAAAACAAGAGAATAGATTTTACAATAAGAAAAATTAGAGAAATCTAATATTTCTAGTAATGATGAATCACATGACACTTTAAATGATAGTTAATAAATCACATAAAATACTTTACATACAGAAAGAGCTAGATTACAAGAAATTAGAGAATTCCCAGCATTATATTGGTATCTAACTGCTATTTGTTCATTATGTCTTGGAATATACATTTCTTTTATGGATGATGTCAGTGATTATTATTAGAAGAAATTCTAATTTAAACCTGTTGAAGCTGGAAAATTTATTACAATTCCATATATATTTAGTGCTCTATTATGTCCATTTATTGGATATTACATTGATAAAGTAGGTCATCGTAGATTTTTCTTAATGATTACTTCCTTCCTATTTATTATAGCTTAAATATTATTTGGATCTGTTCATGTTGCTAGCAATGAAAAATGGATAGCTGCTATACCATTAATTATTTAGGGTTTAGCATTTACATGTTATTCTTGTGTTATGATACCTTGTGTATAATATATTGTAGACTAAAAATATATGGGAACTGCTTTTGGAATTCTTGGTATGTTTGAATCTATTGCTTTATGTTTTTTCCCTATTATTGCTAGTAAAATTGTTGAATCTGCAGATGACCTTCAAACTGGATATAAAAATATGTCCCTTTTCTATTCCATTTTAGGTATACATTTACTATAATTTAAGGTCTATTTTCATTGTTTCTATGTATTACCTTATATCATTATGAATCCTCAAATAAGTTAGATTTTATAGATCCTAATAATCCTTTACCAGAAGAAATACGCAAACTGAATGAATATAGCATGATAACTGAAGAAAAGTGTTCTATCTCAGAAGAAAAATGATCGTGGCTTTATTCTCATATTTTATTGATATTTGAATTGTATATATAAATTATATTAATTATTAATTCCTTCTTAAAGAAGAGGATTACTCTTAAGAAAACTAATAATTAATATAGAAAACAATTGAATAACTTTAGCTCTATTATTTATTTCATTTTATGATAGAGAAAGCATTATTCAAACATATTTGTACAAAATAAAATAATCACATAAAAATCCAATCTCATTTCTTTAAAATACCATACTTTTTAAATCTAGCTCTCAAAGTCTTATTCTAATGCAAAATACTATTTGGATAGTTGTAATAATAAAACAATCTAAATTTTCTGTATTAAGAATCCATCAAGTTATGAAAATAACCTTCAATTATTAAATAGTAAAGTAAACATGTTAAAAAAATGAAGACTGTTCTATTGATTAATTATATTTAATATTTTACACTAATGCTTTCTCTACAGAAATGTAATCACTTAATTTAGAATTGATTTCTTTATTAAATTCAAATACTGCTTATTTTTGTAAAGAAAATACTAAACCTTACATCTATTTCTATAAATCTAATTATTTACTTCACTAAACTCCATTAATCTTTCTAATGATACCTTTTCAAATCTAGTATCACTTGAATTAGTCAAAGATATCGATATCTAATATAAATAATCATAATAAAAAATTAATCCTTTGGTTAATGCTCCATTTAACTAATATTGACATTATTATTTTTCAAATGATGATAAATCTATATTTAAATTGAAATATACTTAAATATTCATTTAAACATTGATCTCCATAAAATAAAGATTGTACAGATTATAAATTGTTATCATAAACTAATTTGCTAATTTACATTGATTAAAATTGATTAATTAGTTCAAGATATTAACTTAAATTAATTTCATTTTAATATTGTTATTAAAAACAATAAGTATCCTTTATTGCAACAATTGCCCAATATGGAATCAAATTTTAAGTAAAAGCATTAGTCTCAATAAATAATGATATTCCATCAATAATTGATTATAAATAAAAATTATAATATATTCCCATTAATAAAAGCATTGTCATTATGCTAATATAAGTAAGTAAAACTTTTATTGATAATCTTATCCAATGTTAAGATTCAGTATATTTATTAAAAGAAGTATCTTTAGCCTGTTCAACTTCTAAATTCTCTCTTTATATTAGATTTTCTATATGTCTTTATGAGGCTAATTTATTTTAATCAATATTACCATTTAGATTACTTATGTTTAAGAATTTTAATTATTATCTCAAAGATAACTAATACTTATATATTTAAACAAATTGTTATTTGTTTATCAATTAAAATGAACTTAGTAATAACTTAAATAATAATATATCAACTTTATTACTTTAATTTTTTTGATCATTTAAAACAAAAACATTATATTAGAAAAAATAATAGTTCCATTAAATAAGGAAATAAAGAGTAGGAAAGCCTAGAAAATACCTTTAATATATTATAAGTTAATTAGTAATGCTTAATTAATATTTTCCATTGATTTATTCAAAGTCACATAAAAGTAAGGTATTAAATTACTTCTATAAAAGGAGATTGTATCATTTAAAGTATTAGAATCAATATTTTATACTACTTGTAAAAATTAATTAATATTTGCTCTAAAAGTTCCCATTAAATCAAGAGTGGAGATTTCTTCATTAAAGTCAGTATTTTAAGTGAAAATTGATATGAAATCTTAAGTTTCTAGAGTCAATTAATTAAGTTATAAGACAGAACTTTATGCAAGTTAATTAATTTATATAAGATTAGCAATATAAATATCTTTTTAAGATAGATCTAAATCAATAATTGAATTATAAGTCTAAGATATGATTTAAACATATGATGTAACTAATTCGACTTTATTAATTGAATTCTCAATAATTGAACTTATATAAAGTTAAGGTCCAAAAACAAATTCTGTAATTATTAAAATTAGTAAACTGATTAATAAAAAACGATTCAATAATTTAATATAAGTTAATTCTTCTAACATTTTTGGAATCTTATTTAAATCATCTTTAACAAATTCATTTTTAATTAACCAATGTTTTTTAGAAAATCCTTCATCTGAAATAGCTTTTTAGTTTGAAAAATCAGTTTACAATTCATTTTCAGTAATTAATGTTTTAGTAATATTATCTCTTATGGAATCATAATCATTTTCTTAAGGTAAAGTCTAAAAATTAATAGATTGATTTTAAAAGAAGTTTTAAAAATATATATCTGAATTCCTTCTTAAAATGAATTAAGTAGATTATGAAGATGTAGTTCTCTTTCTTTCAGATTAACTTGAACTCTAAATAATAAATATTATATATTACAGTATATTTCTTTGCTTCCTACTCATAAAATTCAAATCTATTAACTTTGATAATAATAGTTTTATCAAATGATGATTTGGTAGTAAAATGAATAGAACCTTCAATTTTAAGTACTTTATTTAGATTATTTGTATTGGAACAGTATTCTTCAAAAAGCTTTTCTTTATAATATGAAATTGTACTTATTTATTAATAATATTTCTTTTAAGACAATAATCTATATTTTAATATTCTTCTCAATAATTCAAATTTATTAAATCTCAATAATCCATATTAATTTCTAATTAATATCTTACTTAATCTCTATATTCTCATAGATTTTGTTAATTAATCCCGACTCTAATTGAGAGATCTCTTAAATTCAGAATAATCTTCAATTAATTATTTTTCATCTAATGGTATTCTTATATGTAATGTGATATTATTTTCATCTATTATTTTATGAAATTTCATATTATTCTTACTTATTTCAAATCCATTATTTATATTTTCATCAACAAGTGCTTAATCTAATAAATATTTAAAATTATCTCCTCTTCTATTAAAAAATCTTCTTGTTTAATGTGAATCTGTGTTTATATTTTATTAACTTTACATATATTAAGTTAATTCTTAAATATATTATGTTTATGTTTTTGATATTCTTAATTAAAAGAAATCCTAATCATTATCCCTCATTAATACTTAATAATGAGAATATTTTAATAATTTAGGACATTATATTAATAAACAACTTTATTTTGAGAATAATTAGTCTAATTATATTGTTGTAGAATCAATTTCCCAATTTTCATTCAATAATATAAAATTACTAGGAGCCATTTTAATTATTGGTCTAATCATACATACATATTCAATTGACATTTTTTAATTTAGAATACATTTTAAATATTTATTAGCCTAAACTATATTTTATGTTTCATTAATATAAAATATCTTTAATTTTTTGAATAAACTACCTCTCTTTCCATTCTCTATAAATTATCTCATAGCTAATTGATGATTCCTTTTCATTGAATGAGGAATCAATTCAAATATAGAATTTAATTATAACTATCCATATAAAGTTTGACAATTCTAACTAAACTTTAGAATTTCCCCATTTGTATTACAATGAAGTATTCCAGATAATAAATTAAATATTTTTTATTGATCATAAAAGTGATCATTCTCACTATTTGAATCTGATTCTTCTTAAATAAATTCATCATTCTCTCCAACTTATATAGATTGTTTAACTCTCTTCTTTAATATATTCTACCTAAACCAATTATAAAGTATCACAAATTCTTTTTTCCTATGTAAAAAGGATTTAAATTCTACTTTATCATTCTATATCATTTGTCTTCTAGTTATATCTTTCCAATTAGTTTTTATTTCTTAAATTTTATTCAACATTTAATTAAAATCTTATATCAATAATTATTCATTAATATCATGATATTTAATTATTTATTTAAACATTTTTATTTGCATGTCCATTATATATATTAATGATTTTTATATCCTTTTTATACATTCTTCTATTGCCACTACAACTTCAAAATCAAATTTTTATTTATAACTCTACGTACATAATATGTCTATTTTTTATTTTATTTTTACAGACAAATTACAATATTATAATTTATCACTAAAAGATTTTAATTATGTATTCATTTTATTTAATTCAATTAATGATTAGGCATATAAATCTATTTTATAAAATAAATATTATGAGTATTGTAATCTAATATAATAATTGCTTAAATGTTCATTTATATATTCTTCATACCAAGATTTAATTACAAATTTTGAGAAGATATTGATATGTTTAATAATTGATGAAGATAGATTTCTAATATCATTTTATTTTTTAGGATCATAAATCATTTTCATTGTACAATAACATCTTTTAAGATCTTATTTAATTAAATTATTCTTGCAATTAGAATTTTAATGTGATCTAATAATTCCCAAGACTAATACAATATTTGAGTATTTGTCCCTTGTTGAAATCATTTATTCAAATGAATAAATTTTAGTCAGTAAAGTTTATTCACTGTTTATGTTCTAAAATAAACGGGATCTCATTAGAACTTAGGATATTTTTAATTAAGTAAAAAATAACATTATTAAGATCCATAGAAAATGATACAATCCATATTCTTTTGAGTTACTTTATTCAAAGATAGTTTCTAAAATAAATGAAAGATATAAGGAAATATTGATATTAATAATTAAAATGAACCAGTACTATATAAATAGTTAATTAAATGTCGGCCATTTTGTAATTGCTATTATCCATATTACGAAGTGAAATACACTATGAAAAATTAACAAGCTTAGCTATAATAATTAACAATTACAAATTACATATTCTAAAGAATTGTTAGGTTCATATAAACAAGCAAAGAAATTTTACAGCAATTAATTTATAATTACATATATTTATCCATTCTTAAAGTATAATGAGGAATAATCATTTTTTTAGAACTTGTCATTTCTTATAAATGCAATTATCATAAATTAAATAATGATTGTTACAATTAAGATTGTTGTAGATAAAACAATAATTGCAAAATCATCAAATGAAGAAAAGCTGCATAAATATTTAAAATTAGATTCATCAAAATATTTACAAGAGATTATTAAAGTGTGAATTTAGATTGTTGGATAAAAAAATATCCATTCTTATATTGTAAGCAACCTAATAAACAACTAAGTTATTTAATTATTATATTACCTTTTCTAATGTATTTTCTTCTTATCTACGTCTAGGGTGACGATTATAATTAAAATAAAGCACAAAATATAAAAATAATATGAGAATAGGGATTATGGATGTTATAATAAATATTCCTAAATTGATGATTTAATTGGATTTTGTCAATTCTATTATGTCTATGTATTTGATCATTTCTTGATTCCATTAACTACTTGGAATGTTGCGAGTATGTCTAATGAATTTATCTGTTTTACATTCCAATGTGAATGAATTGAATAATACTGCAATTGAGAATTAATGATAGTACAGTAGATGTTGGGGTTTTGATAAACTGGTGCTAAAACTTATTAAACAAAATAAAGTGAGGGTTCATAATTAATTATAATTTTATATTCAAATTATTATTATATTTTTTTTTAAGTTTGAGTCATCATTATTCTTCTCTATTTTTATTTTCTTAAGTCTAATTAATATAAATATATATGAATTTTGATAATTTTTTGATAACAATTCATTATTTGCTAAAAATAAAGAAAGCCTCCTATACTAAAGCTTTTTCTTTTATATGCATAGGGTCATTGCTATTTTATTTCAATTTGCTGTTTAAGTAATTTAAAAGTTCAAATTTATAGGGTTGAAGCAACATTTGAGTATTTTGAGGATTTACATACAGATGTCGTAGAAAGATTGTTAACTCCATTCATTTTTTTAAGCATTGAAGCATTAATTACACAATCATTATAGAGTTACATCATTCTACTTATATTAAGCGTATCTATACCAATTTTGATCATTATTTTATTTTTAATATTGTGGTTCTAGATTTAAACTAAAGGTGATCGCACTACATTCCTAATGAAATTAGCATAAGTAAATTTACTAATCTAAATAGATATTTGTACATATTCAAGAAGCTTATTAATGGATTTTAATATTTCCTATAGTTTATATATAGTCTACATATCTGTTCAATTTTGAATAGATAGATTAAAAATTATAGATATCTATTAACCTCAATTCCTATTTTATAATAATATTAGAAATCTGTTCAATTTTAGGATTTATACTGAATATTATCATAATAATATTCCAATAAACAGTGTTCTACAATTACAAACTTAAATTGGATTTCTTAAGTTTTAATAATAATGATTCTTTAACTTACTTTAGATTATAACATATAGTAATGGGAATAGTGTATAATATTAAATTCTAGTTTGTTAATAATAATGTACTTATATAATTATTGAATTTAGGTTATATTCTTTATTGCATAGGTTCTTTTCAGTCTTTTGACTTTGTAATAATTATATTCTGGTGATTTATTTCTTATTTTATTTTAAGCTAAGATTTAAAGACTTTATGTTTTAACATCACTTTTATATGTAAGTATTACAATATCTATGATATATACTTACTTAGCATATTTTATGAATTTAAGTAATCAAGAATACACACTTATTATAACTTTAATTGTATAAGCCTTTTTCATTTTAACTTACAAAAAGGTTGTCTTAACTAAATTATCAAATTTGATAATCAAAAATAGTCATGATACAAAAGATATAGTGAGAAAAGTCTTTTTTTTATAAGAATTGATAAATGATATGAATGAAATGAAAGAACTTTTCTATTTTGGAGTAATAGTTCATCATTTGAACAGATCTCATAATCATAGTGATTGGAAAAATATTGGAATGAGATGTTATTGTCAATAGAAAGTAATATATAATGCCAAAAAAGATAATGATGTTACAAAATCATTACATTCTGTTAAGAAACATAAGAAACTTTATACTAAATTAGAAATTAAGAGTCTATATGAATAATATTTGATTTCTTAATCAAATGATATTGAAATACACATTTTATATATTAGATTTCTAGTATTCAATATGAATCTTAAATCTTTAGCTATTTCTTAAATTAATAACTTATTAAAAAACTAATACAAAATTAATTATTTATAAAAGTTTAGATTACGTTTAATAATTTATTAAATAAAAATTATGATTCAAGATTAGAATACATCATCATATAATGGATAATTAGATTTTGAAAGAACTTTAGAAATGGAAAGTACTGTTTAATAGATTAAAGTTTATATTTAAGATATTTTAAATTTAAAAATTTAATTCTGGAAACATCTTCTAAGAAATCAAATTAATTAAGATATATTAATTCAATATGATGATCTAATCAATAATAATATATCTTAATGTAATTCTTTATGGGATTTAATTATTAATAGTGAAACTAGAATTAGAGACAAAATAATTAAAATATCTTATTTAGATAGAAGAATAAAATGGCAATTATATTATTCCTGGTATTGTATACATATATTAAATTAAAAAGTCAAATCAAATTAATTTTTTGAGAGTACTTCTTATGAAGAATTTGTTTATGAAGATTCAGAATCAGATGATGATAAATATGTATTTAATAAGTATTCTAAAGATAAATCATTCAATAAATCTTCAATAATTTTACATACTGATCTTAATGGAAATATTTTAAAATAAAGTTAATCCTGTTAAGAATTGACAGGTTATTATACTTTGAATAATGTTTATTAACTCATTCCTTAATCTATGATTCGTAATCATTAAATATAATTATTGATATTTAAGTCTTAAAGTAGAAGTAATACTTTATATAAAAGAAAAAAAGTTTATTTTTAGCATTAATAAAACTATATTATACCTGCTAATAAATATTTAAAACTAGAATGCAATAGATTTAATTAATTAGAATTTATTTGTATGATAAGACCTTTAATAAGATTATAATAATAAAATTATTTAATATTAAATGAAGATTGGGAAATAGATTCAATGACTTTATAATTAATGCCATTATTATTGCCAAAAATTTGTGTTTTTATAATTTGTCCATAATTATTAAATTTTACTAAATATCAAAGATATATAAATGAAGAGGATTTGTCTATTTTTAATTTATCATTTAAAAATGTACCTTAATAAAAAGATGAAGAATCATTAAAATAGAAAGAGAGAGAAAAAATAAAGGAAGAATTAGAAGATATTTGTGTATTAAATAGTCAAAATTATTTTGAATTTAAAGATTTCTTCAATAAAACAGCAGATCAAGGTTAATTTACTTCTAATTTATAAATTATTGATGATGAATTAATTAGAATTGAACATTCTAATTTTTAGAAAATTGTAAATGTAGAACATACATAAATTTTATTAAGAATTCCTAAGAATATTGAGGATTTAGTAGAAGAATATCACAAATCAAAATTAGAAATTTTATCAGATTTTTAATTGAAAAAATCAATGATGTATTTAAATTTATAAAGACATTTAATTGTAAAAGATAAGTTCGGTTAATTAAAAATTAATTAACCTGAATTATTAAAAAGAATTTACAGTTTATAGGAAGAATATCATCAATCTTAATATCAAATACTAAGTAAAACTTAAGTTATTACTTAGAAAAACTCTATATAAAATATTGTTATCGTAAAAGAAATCTCAATAAAATAATTAAAGTTGATGGATCAATTAAATTTAGTAGGAGAACATTAATGGACAAAAATGTTGTAATAAAGTTTAATAGATTTGAAATCTATGAAGATAATTTTAGATCAAATATCTATGTAAATTAAACATTTAATATAATTTAGAATTCATTAGCCTTAAAATAAAGAGCATCAATCAAATAAGTATAAAATAATGTAAATACTATGAATTAAATATAAATGTAATTGAATTAATCATACAGTTAATATATAGATGAATCATTTAGAATTAATTAAAGTAAATCATTGATAACTTATGAATAAATAACTGGAGACTTTTATAATTAGAATTAATAAATAAATTTGAGTCTTAATGTTGAAGAGAATATTTTCTTAAAAGATGATTAAAATAAATGTTCTGTAGTTAGTTTAAATGAATTTGTTTAATTCAAATTATATAGCAGACTTCTTTTATTACAGATTCTATTATCTTATATAATGATATGTATATTTGCAGATTCAGAAAATTCTAAGTTATTATTTGATTAAAATATATCCCAATTAAACCTTTTTTTCACTATATAATTATCTATATTAAAAGTCTATAATGCATTTATAGATGTGTCATTATTTAATAATTATTAGATAAAAGATTTAGATCTAGAATTTGTTAATTTGAATAATAATCAATTTTATGATCATTATAAATTAGTTGTAAAGGAATAATTAAATTTAATAAAAAATACTTATCAATCTTAAAGTTATATTCATTGCTTTTATAATATAGATATTCATTAAAGTAATAACTAATCAATAATTGACATCTATAATTCATATATTGTTAATTTAATATTATTCTAACAAGAATAATTTACAGAAACTAATTCAAGTTTGAAATAATTAAATCAATTTAGAGAAATTGTGTATCCATATTTAATTGAATCTTTATCATAAATAATTTTAGAAATTACAAAAAACTTAGAATTACTTTAAGTTCAATAATATTTTTTCAGAATAATAACAATTACTTATCATACTGTATTTAGTATTATAATTGTAATCATAAATATTTTAATTGTGTTTAAATTAATAAATAAATAAAATGTAAAAATACTCCTATTAATTTAGTTTGTTTAATAATAGATATTTGAAATTGAAAAAGATACTGTATCTAAAGTTAATTAGTATTATAGCGGTTTGAGATATTAGTTCATTCATTGTTTTGAAACTAAGAATTTGCCTTTAAGTAAAATTTTTAATCTATCTATTAGAACCTTTATCTAATTCAATTAATCATTAAATATTTCATCAATCAGATACTGAAACAAGTAAGACTAATAACAAGTCAACAAAACACTAAAGATCATTATTGAACTCTAAAATCTAATAAAGATTGAAAGTACTAATTACAATTTTTATATAGTATGTTCTCACTGGCTAATATTTAATGCTATAACCAGTATTAGTGTTATAATTAATAATAATTAATATTATAGCACTTATAGAATTGTCTGAGATGAAGGATAGATTTGATAATTAAAATTTCTTTTTAAATTCTTAAATGTTTTAATCAATGACATTAATTAAGGAGATTTACATTGTTGATAATGAAATCCTTTCAGAAAATTTTATTAATACTGAATATTTTTAGAATAGATTATCTTTCATATATGATTAATTAGAAGAAAAAGACATTGAGTTTACTAATTATGTTGAAGAAAATACTATATTAAAAGGTAATATTTGTTAGAATGAGATATTCATATCATAAGAATAATTATGCTCAGATTATTTAAATGGTGCTTTAAGACATGGATTAAACTTTTATTTTAAATTAGTATCTTAAATGATTTTAGTTACTTTAAATACAAAAGAAACTAGATTTAATAAATTAAATCTCCAAGATATTAATTATTATTAATTGGTATAAAATTATAATTAATAGGGTTACAGTTTCAAAATGAAATTTTTGATTCCTCTACTTTAGCAGTGAATACTTGGAATTAAAGTATAATCTAGGAATATTTTGAATTTTTAGATTTAGAAATCATTGTCATGTAATAATTATATTATATTTATAAAAGGATATGCTTTCTCTCAATAATAGGATTTTATCATTTTTTATTTTTTGAGTTATAATATTTTCAAAAATTGAAAATACAATTCTCCAAAATAAATTAATTTTATAATCGTTACATACCCAATGAAACTTTATTAAAATAAAAAATTATGCGTTCTTAATTTTTAAGAAGAGGAATAATCAAAAAATGAAGTAAATGTACTTTTATTTGTGTTTTTATTATAAATTATTTAATTTAACTATTAAAAAATATAGATCATCAAAAATTACATTTATTATTCAATTACTAAACTTACTTTTAGGTCAGACACTATTATCAAACTTTAAGAAATCCTTAAAGTATTTATACTTTCAAAAATGACTTTGAATATATAATATATATAATCATAGTTTATCAAATAAGTGAATATCAGCCTATTACTCTCTTGGAATTTTAAAGACTCTTCCTTAAAATTATTTAAAAGCTTATTAGAAATTTATATTGACAAGAATTTTCAAGAAAGAGTATAAAAAATGGAAAATTTATTATATTAACAATAAAAGAATAAGTTAATTAATATATTATTTGTAAATAATTTTAATATATATTTTGGTGAAGACTCAATCTAAATATACATTTTTGGTTTTTCACAATAAAACTTGTGTTTTTTTGATGAACTTTTTTTTAGGATATTTTAATAAATTTATCAATTCTCATATTTACAAATTATTAATATCCATATATTTAAGAGCATAATAGATAAATATCCTTATTAAATGTTAAAGATCAACAACAAATTTAAAAACAATAAATGATTAAATTATTTCATATTTATACAATAAATGTAATAGATAGTTTTATATAATCTAATTGATTATCACTATAGTTATTTGATTTAAATAGATATATAATGAAATTTCATTATTCTTTAATTTTATTTTCGATTATTTCTTATGGATTCAATTAGTTTTAACTTATAGTTTCAACATCTGTTTATTATTCTAATTATTATTATGGACTTTATTGATTTTATTACTAATCTTTTTTACTATTGTTTTCGAATTTCATTTTGGCTTACAAACTAAATTGTTCTTTAATTCCCAATTTTGGTTCAACATATGAGAATATGGGCTTCTTGTTTTAACTAATTTATTTAGGAATGGTTTCATTCAATTATTAAAGTAATTCATTGTAGGTGGCTCTTTATTTTTCATCATGTTCAAGCATTCTTGTTAGAATATACTTAATTTTTTGATTTTAGACATTTCTCAATAACTCTTAAGTTATTTACTAACCTTGTTCACCCTGAATCAATTATGTAAATTTACAGAATTTAATTTTTAAATCTCTGAATTCAACAATAGAGTTGTCTATAACAAAGTTACACCCAATGAATAAACATCAGATTTTTCAACATTGTGAGTTATTTTATTAATTTTTGAAATTTAGAATTGACCCTCTTCAAAAGCTTTCCATAATATTGGAGACAAATAAGCAGGTGTACCAACTAATGTTCCATTTATTGTAGGTAATTTCTCTTTCATTAATTTTCGAGAAACCCCAAAATCAGTAATAATTATTTACTATTCTTTATTTAGAAGAATATTTTCTGGTTTTATATCTCTATTTAAATATCAATTAAATACCTATGATAAATATTTGAATGCAATTTAATATCATTTAATGTTTATATACATTATAAAAATATTTATTGCAATTAATCATCCGAAAAATATTTATTAGCTAATCTTCTCTCTTCAATCTCTTTCATTAAACTTTTATCAGCTAGTTCCATAACTAATACTAATGTGTAATTTTTTGTTATTTGATTAGCCCATGCATAACTCTATATATTTTATTTAAATATTACTTTGTAAAGTTTAATGATATTTGGATGTTAATTTGGCAGACTTTTTAATATAAGAAATTCTTTCTATATAGTTGTAAATGACTTTTCTGTTTTAGCATTCATCATTTTTACTGCATAATACTATCCATTATAACCATCTTATCCTTCCTATACTTTTTCTAATTCAGGATTAATGCATCTTTTCGTTTTCATTTTATAAACTTCACCATATGTCCCTTTTCCTAATAAATCATTCTATTTTTCAAAGTCTTCTAAAAATTCTTAAATATTAGGATAACTCATATTAAAAATATTTTAATTATATATTTATATATAATATTTAAATAATAATTAAAAGAGGACAGATTTTATAAATTATTTTAATAACATCTATAAGTATAAATGATTTTAATCTAATAATGCTATTTCAAAATGCCATTTAATTTTATCAGAATTATTGCAATAATATAATAAATTTAATTAATAATAGATATCTGTAACGTTTCAATAAGATTTTGAGAATATTATTGTAATTTAGTATTAGTTTTAGAATAAATGAAAATTAATATCTTGATATTGTTCAATTTATAAATAAAAGACAATCTTACTAAAATATATATGTATATTAATAATCAATAAACTTTATTTGTTAATTTTTATAATTTATGATAAACTACTTATGTAATTATTTATCTGTAATTAGAACAAAGTGACTCTTCTTCATTCCCATTTACTGAAAGAAGAATAAGCCATCTAATTTTAAATTAAAGTAACTTCGAAACAAAATCAAAAACAATAATAGGAGATAATTTCAGAAGAACAATCAAAAAGAATTCACTATTGCATTCCATGAGACTCCTGAAAGAACGTGAAATAGATGAACCTACACCTATAGCTACAGAGAAGTAATTATAAACTAAGAAATTTATAAATTTAAAACCTTTAAAAAAGGCTATAGAAAAAATAACTCTAATGAGATAAGAACAATTGAGTAGAAGAAAATCTGCATATGGTGAATAATTTGGTGAAATGACAGCAAAATAATTTCAAAATCTTCCAACATCTATTGAATAACATAAACAAATTGATGGATAAAGATTTGCATTAACAAGTTTTGCTGATATTTTAGAGAGAAAAAAAAGAAAAAGAACAACTAAAAAGTAAAGTATTTTAAGATAATTATCAAAATAAGAATCTTTAGTTGGTATAAATAATCTTTATTATCATCATAGAATATGATCATTTGGAAAGACCACCATCTTGTAAGACTCCTCCAAAACAAATTATCATTAAATAATAACTTAAATCTCAATTGGAATTAACAAAAGAAAAACAATTCAAATAATTAGATTAGAAGATGATAAGCTTTTTATCTGGAAAACCAGCAGAAGTTAAAGAATTTGTACAAAGAAAAAAAGCATATACAATTAATTATTAAGTGACAACTCCTTAATCTTCTTCAATAACAGGTAATCATAGAAACTCAACACTTTTCCCAAGTTTACATATAAACAAATTAGATAGATGTTAAACTAATTATTATGAGTCAAAATATGCACCTTAACTTAGTAATCGTTAAATTTAGAGTAGAGTTAGACCATATATTACATATAATAGAACGTTAATAAAATTTATAAAGTCAGAGATAAAAAATTATTCATAAACTATCTAGAAGTCAATTTATAATTTATGATTATATTGTGATGTTAATTAATTTTACTTTATTGAATTTACATAATCAATATTAATTGCCCTATTTTATTTAAGCAGTAGATTATTATATAATTTTTATAATAATTATTGATTTCATACTCCGTAATAATTAAAAAAATATTTAATTAATTAAATGAAAGCATTCGTCATCTCAAAATATGGTACTAAACCACTTTGGTAATAAGTTCTTAAACCTTCTCTATTGTCACACTAAGTTATGATTAAAGTGAGATATGCTCCTGTAAACCCAGCAGACATCTACTACTCTTTAGGCATCTATGGAATCAAAAAGGCTCTTCCCACTTAATTAGGAATGGAAGGAGTTGGTGAAGTAGTTGAAGGAAAACATAAGGGGAAATTAGTAGCATTTCTACCTGCTAGATAAGTTGGAAGTTGGGCAGAATATGTTGCAGCTAATGAAAATGATATTTATGAAGTGGAAAATGATATATAAGGTAGTATGGCTATAATTAATCCTTTTACTGTTCTTGGATTCTAAGAAAGGGCCAAATAATTTAAGAGTATCTTATTTTCTTCTGCTCGATCATCCACTGCAATTTAAGGAATCAAGCTTTTTAAAGAATTAGGAAAGGATGTTTGGGCAGTTGCTAAGGAGAATAAAGATTATGTTAATACATTGGTGGATGATGAGAATCTCTTATAAAACATTCAAAAGAACATCAAAGAAAAAACAATCTTTTTTGATTCAACTTCTGGAGATAAGGCTGGAACTATTTTAACATAATTACCAGGAAATAGTGTTCTTGTAAATTATGGATCATCAACTGCTACATATATAGGAAAGATCAATCCTAATTAATTGATATTTAATGGAAAATCTATTGAAGGTTTTTGGATGCACAATTACTATAATTCATTAACTAGATAATAAAAAGAGGTTGCCTTTAAATATATCAATTCTAAACTTGATAATATTTTTAAATCTGATATTTATCAAATAGTTAAACCATAAGATATTTCAGGTGAAGAATTGTTCAAAATATAGAGTTAGACTCGTGGATAAGGTAAGATTATTTTAGAATTTAAATGATATATCATAAATAAAATTATTATTATTATTTTCTACATTGATTTAATTAATATGAAATATTATTAATTTATTTATAATATTTAAAATTATATATTTTAATATCACATATAAAATCAACCTAATATTATAGCATGTTATGTGTTATGTTCTTCAAATTATTATTCAGATTCAAAATATCTAATATTAATGAATAAATTCTACTTAAAACAAGTATCAAGATCACAAGAATAAAATTTCTCTGTATCATCTAATCTTTTGACTGAGCATACAATATCATTGCAGAATTTGCAAAATGTTTAACCATCAATATAATAGCATTCATAACACATAAAATGTCTGCAAGGATTTATAACAACTCTTACACTTGCTGGAAAATCACAAATTGGACAAAATTTAGCTTTCTTCTAAATTGATTTAGGATTTAAAAATGTTGCTGCAGTGCGTGGATCATATCTAACTTAATTTTCTGGAGGTGGATAATTTGGGTATTAAGGTATTTGTTGTTGTTAGGGTTATTGAATTTGAGGTTGTTGTGGCTATAATGTATTCATTTGATATTAATTAAGAAATATATATATTAATTTAATTTATTTCAAAAGAGAGTATATTAATGACATTCTAATCAATCAGATTTCTTTTCTATTGTCATTTTTCTCTTACCATGTTTTTCTTAATGAATTCTAAGTTCTTTGATCTTTTTATCAAAAATACTTAATTAACGCATCTATCTTTCTTTCTCTGCCTCTTCTTCTTATCTTATCAAATATGAATGTAATATTTTAGGTTGAAATTCTTTAGATTATTCTGTTTTCTTTTAAACATTCATTTTTTCTAAACTTACTTAAATGCTCTTATTCTCAGTCCTTAATTTACTTTATTCTGATACATTATAATTGTAATTCTTATTAAAACTATTTATATAGGATCTGTTAGTGTCTTAATTGCTTTTATCTAATTTTGAGCTATCTTAGCTCCTGGAAGAAAGTTATTTTTCTAAATTCAATGATTTAAAAATCTTTTTATATTATTCTCTAATTGCTGGAAATGATAATGGTTTCTTATCAGAATGGACTCCTTCAATAAGAATTTAGTTCTTATTAAGAAGATGTTAGAATGATTCAAAAATCCCTTACTTTTTTTTGAATCCTTTTCTTTAATATTCTTCCATATAACGAGGATGATAAATTTCTTTTTATTTGATAATATATTCTGGTCTATATACTTAGTCTGTTAATTAGACTAAGGGATTATAAATAGAAACAGGAGGCAATTTTTTCGTTACATAATTTTGAGGTTTATCATGATGAATAAGTACATCTTAATGAAGAGGACTATTAAATTATTTATTATTAGGAAGATGACTATTGCTTTCAAAACGCATAAAATCCTAACCTCTTTTAAATCTAGGAGGATCTCTATTATCAAGAAATTTTAACATTAATAAATTAATTATTAAATAGCAGTTCCTATTTTGATTTTGAAGATATATAATAATTTCCAATATTTAAAGAGTATTAGGTGTTTTAGTATTAAATTATACCTTATTATGTAATTATTACTTATAAATAAGATTATATTTTAATATTAAGACTGATATAGTAGATTAGAATTAAAATGAGAAATCTAAAGACTTAATTTTAAGATTTGTGAAGAGATTATAATGAGAAAATTAAAGGGATTGAGTAATAATTATAAATAATCAACAAAGTTTAGTTTTTTTAATTTTCTTAGGTTAAAGTTCAGTAGATTCTTGCTATTCAATTGTTTGTACGACTTTTTCTTTGACTTCTTTAGCTTATGACATAATTTTTTTGATATAATGATTTTTTGTAAATTATGTTTTGTGTATTTTTGATTTAATATGCTAATTTTCAAGTGAAATAATACATCTAAATAATCTTCATAATGTTATTTACAAACATTACAATATTTTGACTAACTTTTGGGTTTTGGGAAGTGCTGAATCTATAAAAATAATTACAAGCACTTTATTTTTTGAGGTCAACTCTTGATACTTTTTTTAGTATTGGTTTTGATATTAATCATTATGTTATAGATGCAGTGGCTATTTTAATATAATTAATACTTAATCAATAAGAGGTATAAATCCTGGTTATGCTGGATCTCTGTCATTATTAAATATTGGTATTGTTTCCATCATGCATTTCATGATTCTTATAAAATTGAGTGAAATCTATACTCACTAAATGAAGGCGAATAATTAATTTCAACATACTTATACTTAGCATCTCGATTGAATGGATAGGGATATAAGATAAACAAATTTGGACGTTCCTCTAAATTCATTATATATTTAAAAGTTATTTATTTTTTCAATAAATATTTACATTTTTTTCTTAAATAAGAATAGTGAATTTTTAATTATTATTATGTAATAAAAACATTCTCATGATTTAGTAATTAGCAAAGATAATAGGAGTACATAGAGTGCTCATAAGTGTAGAGGTAGGGATTCACCTCATAAATTATATCAAAATCTAACACATAAGAATTCTAACCAATCCAAAGACATTAATCTCCTTCAAAGTTTTTCATCAATTCTTAATTATAGACTATTAGATAAAACCAAATCATTATTTATAAACATCTATTGATGTTAATGAGTTGAATAGGTCTTAAAAGACTCAAAATTCTCATTAAAGAATAAAAACAGAAGTTGACAGATCAATAGATTTGAATAAGAGAATCTAACCAAAAGTAATATCTGTAATATTAAGTAAATTAAATTAATCTTAATATAGATAAGATTGATATCCATAGAAATAATTAGAATACTCTAGATAAGATTTCAACAAGTAAGGCTAATAGACTCAGAACAATTAAATTGAATTAAGGAAGGTTTTTTATTTAAATATTATATAGTGTAAAGAGATATCTAGGATAATCACAATAAATACTTCTTTAGACCTGATATCAAACCATAAATATCAATTAAAGCTAATAATTATCTAAGTATTTTTAATCTAACTTATTTATAGAAATTAATGCTTAAACTAATTATTAAGACTCTACTCTAGATGATTAATCTTAATTAGATTATTAGTAAAGTAAAATAAATGAATTAAGAAGGAATACTAATCCTAACTAATTAAAGAAATCAATATTTTAATAAATATAAGATTTTAATTTAATCAAATTTGAGTATTAAAAATCTAATTTAATATAATAGTTAAATTCATTTAGCTAAAGAAGAAGATTATATGAAGTTTTCATTTGGTTTTCAATATAATCAAGTAAAATCTACTAAAAGGTTTCCAAAAGATGTATTTTATAATGATGTAAGAAAAGCCAAAAAAAATTTATCAATGTAATGAAACTAATTTATATATATATATATATTTCATTTATCAATTTTTCTAAATATTTTAATTCTATTTAAATTTTATGTAAAATATAATTTATTGATTTAAATAATATAAAAATGAAGTCATAAAAAGGGATTTATAATTCAATATTATTATAATATATTGATTAACTTATTTTCAGTGTAATGAAATTTGATTCATAATTAATGAAATAATTAATTCATACAATTTAAAGCTATAGATGAGTATTTTATTAAATTATTAATAAATTTATTGTTAAAACATTTTAGAGATGGACTGTCCTATTAAGCTTAGCTAATTAAAATCAAGCACAGAATAAAAAGAAATCTTTGATAAATTATTCAAAGTGCCTACTTAACATGTTTAAAGATCTTAATAAAAACATTAATCTAAATCTGATTTAATAAATGAATTGCGCCAAGAGAATGATGACTTAAAAAATACTATTATTGAATTAAAGGATAGAATCTAAGAATTAGAATCACTCTTAAAAGGACCACAAACCCTATAAACAGAGGAAGAAAATCAAGAAATTATTTCAGTTGAAATACCATAATAAGAATTAAAAGAAGAAATGAGTGAAGAAGAGAAATCTCTTCATTTTGCCTTAATGCTTTAATAACAAGAAGAAATGGAATTTTAAAATCGATTAATTTAGTAAAATATACATTTATATTTTATAGAATGTAAAATAATGTTGACTTAGATGAAATGAGTTATGAGTAATTATAAGAACTATAAGAGAAAATGGGTTTTGTTAGTAGAGGGTTAGTAGAACATTAAATCTAAGTGCTTCTTAAGTAATGCACAATTAAAAATTAAACAAATGATTGGTATGATCATAATAGTCTAATATTGTAGTTGCACAATATGTTTAGAAGATAGTGGAAGTCCTGTAGAAATTTAATTAGAATGTGGACATGTGTTTCATAAGGAATGTATTTCAGAATGGTTATCAAGAGAAAAACATTGTCCAGTTTGCAAGAGAGATATTGAATTCGGAAAACTTAAGTGAAGTGATTTGTTATTTATTTTTTGTTTATTGCATATTATTATTCAAGTTATTAAAAAATAATAAAATTGTATTTTTTGTATTGGGATTATGTTTATGAACTCTTCAATTTCGATTTTTGTGAGAATCCTGTTGAAAGTTGATGATCTAAGTACAATTTAAATAAAAATTAGTAACTGGTGAAGTATATAATTTCAGTTTTTTTATCATTATGTATTTAATTAAAAATAGTCTGAGGAGTGATTTTGTAATTGCATTAAGATTTTAAAAAACTGATAATATTTGGAGAGCGAGAAAAAGTAGGAAATATGGATGTAATGAATAATTTGGATTGAAAACTTTATTAATAAATAATAATATATTATATTACAAAAACGAATAATGGATGATAATTATCGAGATGAATATCAAGGATCAGAGTCTGAAATTGTTAGAAGGTCTGATGAGATGTAATTTAAGTGTATACGCATATCTATAGCATTTTCAATATATTTAATATTGCAAATGCTGGCTCTCAAGATAGAGTACTAGATATAATGGATTTATATTGCAATAATTTTCATTATTTGCGATACTATTATATGGATCTTGACTACTATATGGTTATGTACTGAATATTTATTTTACTAGCTTAATAGTAATACCCAAGAATAGCCAAAGTGTTCTTAGGAATAGCCTAACACTCTACATTTGGACTCCTACCAATTTTTGTTCTACTAATATGTTTGCAATTGGATGAAATTATTAATTAGAATTCTATTCTGATTGCATTTCCATTGTTTGCATGGGAAATAATGCTGTTATCATTTTTGATTTTTATCATTCCTGGATTATGTGATGATAATTAAGGATCTAAGAAATGGGTAGCTGTAGTTATTCTATACTATATTGCTATTATTTACACAGAGGTTGCTACACTAATTCAATTACAATTCAATTTTAATTGGTTTTGGGTAACATCTTTACTTATCTTTACATTGTTTTACAATATTATTATACTAATAACCGACTGTAATATAACTGTGATTTGGCCATGCATTATTTTAGTTATTTGTATCTTCAGTTTAACTTAAATGACACTTGTTTTGAATGATCCAAATAAAGATCAAAATAAATAAATGCAATATCTGGCAATCATACCAATATGTGTGATTAGTATTATTAATTTCATTAAATAAATCATAATGTGAATATATTAAATGTTTATTTTTATATAGTAAGTTAAAAATATATTAAAAAAACTTTAAATTTTTGATTTAAGATCTTCTTATTTTAATGAATACTTCTAAATTCATCTAAGTAGAAGTAGATTGTCAAATTATTAAATAATATTAAAAGAATCCAAATAGTTAATTATTATTTTATAAATATACACAAAATTGTAAATTATGAAAAGGCAATTGTCTAATGGTAGAATGAAATCTGATGTCAATTTATTTAAATAAGCAATTGAAGAAGTAGAAAGAAAAAGACCTGGTTCTGGACAACCTCTATCAACTGTCAAATCACCTTTACCTCCAAGAAAGCCACTTTTTTCTGGCACTCAAAAATAAAGATTGATAATCAATGCAAATAATATTGAACATTAACATCAGGAACAGAAGTTAATTAAAACAAGTTAGAATTCATCTAAAGCATCATTAAACCTCACATAGAATTAATAATAATTGCATTAAATTGTAACAATCATTTTAGATTTATTTTTTTAGAAAAGTCCTTAAAAATAAGCTAAACCTCCTATTCATATTGATAAAAAGATCATAATTGCAAGATAAGAACAAATTGGAAGTTCTGGAAAACCTACAATAACAGGAGAAATGTAATCAAGAAATAGTAGCAAATAAAAAGTATCAAGTGCAGGTACAAACACTAAATAATTTAATTGGGCTGATGCTATTGAATAACCATAACAATAAAGGGAATCTTCTTTAAATGTAATTTTTATATTATAGCAAGAAAAGAAGGGTAGTATCTAGAGAGAAATTAAAAGCACTTCCAGGATAATATTAAATTCATTAACACTAATAAATTACATAATCCTGTAAACCAGAATAAAATTAGTTTCATGAATTTGATTAGAAATTAACAAAATCAGTTGAAAATAAATAACCTATATGTTATACTGATTTTAGTATGACCTCAGGAAGGAATGATTTATCAAAGGCTTTTGCATCAATCCAAATGGAAATCAAATAAGCCTCATAAGAAGCAAAACAAAACTCAGTGAATTCATATATGAATGGTAATCATTTAAAAATATTATTTAATAGCCATACCAGAGTAAGAGGATGATGGATGTTCATCATTAGCATAGAGTACACTCTATTAATTTTAATGATGATTACTCTAATTAATTAATCGATTTACAATTAGTATCAAATATATTATAAATTAATTATTGTTTTTTTTATGGGGGGATGTGGATCAAGAGAAAAAGAAATTAAAGAGAAAATTGGCTTCTCATAGAATGATTACGATTATGCAATCAAACGGTTTTCTAAAATGACCCAATAAAAACCAGGGTATTTGCAAAATTTATTAAAGGAAAACAGATCAATATTTTAGTTTTGAAGGTTTCAAGACATACTTTACTGAAAACCCTGTTTTCGCGTAAAAATTATACATCTTTATGAGAAATTATGGGGGTTAAAATTATGTTGACTTAAATACATTCCTAACAGTAGGTAATTTATATTCTTTAGAGTATAGTTGACTTATTTACAAGAACCTCTATGAAATTATAGAGTTAATTAAAGAACTTAGATATCTATATTTTATTTATTTTGGTATCTCTTTCTAATTCTGAGATTATGCATAAGGAAACTTTCAATTTTAATAATATTTATAAAATATCTATTAGTTATTCTAATGGTGTAAAATTATTCAAAGTAAAACCATAAAATAAAATAGGAACTAATAAATATGTAAAGTGATAAAGGTGATATTTTATGTCATGATGATGATTAAGCTCCTATATTATTAGTCAATAATATTTTTGAAGGTAATTATTTTTATATTGTTAGACCATTCTATTCTTAATTATAAAATCTTTAATGATAAAATTAAATAAGAAACTCCACAAATTTCCAAAATTGTTAAGAATTATATAGCAGGTAAGTTTATTAATAAGACACTTAAGAATAAATTACCTAATATGGAATCTAGTGAATTAATGAATAAATAATTGATTGGTATGATATTTTAATAAATTCTAATAAAGCCCTTCTTAATCTAAGTGTTCCTTGGTTCTATAAATGTGTAGCTATTAATCAAGTATATAAATATGAATCTGAAAGTGGATAAACTTATAATTTCAATATTCTTGGAAACAGTCTCCTATAAACAAAAGGACCTAATGTTATACTATTTCGACATCACTAAAAAGATAAAGATACAGATAAAATAGAGAAATACACTTTTGGTTATTTTTCATCTTCTCAATGGAAAGTTTCACCTGATATCTCAGGGAATAAGGGTTCTTTTATATTTTCTGTTCATCCAAAATTTAAAATATTCTCAACTAATGACTAACAATAAAGTAAATTTGCTTTATTAATACCCATCATAACTAAAAAATAGAGTCAAACTCTTCATAATCAATTTAAATAAGGACCAAAATAGCCAGGTTTAGGAATTGGTGGTAGTGGATATGATCATCACAGAATTTGGATAGATGGAAAGTAATTGTAGGCAAGTAGATTGATAGAAGATGATAAGACTTTTTAGAGTGGACCAATAATACCAAATGATATTCATTTACTGAATGTATATTTTAATTATATTTATAGATAGATATGATTGAGATTTTGGATTTACAATTAAATGCTGCAGCACAAAGCACTTCTTATTTTAAGTCAACTTCTCATAAACCTTATAGTAGCTAAGATGAATAAAGAATCAATCAAAACCAATTGAGAGATGTTCTCATCACTTTAAATTAATAAGGCAGTAATGATTATGTAATTTTATGGATGGATTAATTTTTTAGAGAAGAGGAAAATACGAAATTTAGATATCAAATCCTTTGCTCCCAATTAGTGAGGAGGAGGAGGAAAAATAGTAAGGAAAATGATATTTAATATATTTATTATGATAAGAAAATTCTTTATCTATCATGCATTATTAAAATAGAAATAATCTTATGGTTTTACAATTTTATTTAAGATATCTCCTATTGCAGATAAATATCTAATTTTATCTTAGAGATTGGATCTCAAAATCTGAGCATAAGCATGATTTTAGTAAAACTCAATTGATAATGTTTGAAAAAGTTATTTAAAAATATCCTAAATTTTTTTTGTATTTGAAGGGTTTGTGTAACACAAAATTAACATTTCTTCTAAACCTTTTAAGTCAATAGATTTAATCCACTTCCAGAAATGAGGTAATAAATTTTCATTTTCAGCAAAATAGAGTTGCACTCTTTCCTTAGATACAAAATCTTCAATTATAAATTTCATTTAACTTTTTATCAAAAACATTTTAATTTGTGTATCTTCTAATTATAAGCATAGGCATTACCATCTTGATGTTTAATATTTTCTAATTTTTAATATTATATTTATGTAATGAGGTTATTAACAGCTTCTGATTATTCTTGTTTTACAAGTGGTATTTTGGGTTCTATCAATTGATTTAATATCTTATTCGACTAGGCTTATTAAATGAGTTGTTGCAAAAAGCTTAATGGAATCGTAACAGCAGGAGTAAATTATTTATAATTTGTGCATCTGTTTTGAAATGGGAATTATAAATTAAGTTGAGGATATGTGGGATTCTGATTTTAAGAGACATTCATCTCATTTTAATTTTACACTATTTTAATTGGTGCAACTTTAACATTCTTTTTCGTTTCTTAATAAGGTTCAAAACTCATAAAACTAGATTTTATAAATTTTGTGTATTTACTATTAAATTATGAATTGCATAAAGAAAACCATACTAATTTCTTATTAAACTCATACACTTAACAAAAATTGATCATAACCTCAATCATTACAACAAATTAATAGTAAAAGAATAAAAAATTTATAACTATTATTTTATGCTCTTAGATGATATCATTAGTAATAATATTTGTATTTAAAGAAATAGAAAAATTAGCTTAATTATTTTACATTAAGATTTGATGTTAATAATGTAGAAAGAATTATATTAGATTTTTCATAAATTCTCTTTAATTTTACTAATCTACATATGTTCCACTAATTTTACATAATAATATAAAAAATTGTGAAATTATAAAAAGGAATAATGTGCAAAATATTGTTAGTAATATCTCAAAAATGATAACTCTCTAATATTAGAACAATCGAATGATGATAGAGGAATCAATATATATATAATAAATAAAATGATTGCTTTAATTAATTGATGCTTTTTATATATTTTCATCTATGATACAAGTCCATAATATTTATGGGTTCGTTTTATTTATATTATTATTATTATTATTATTATTATTATTATTATTATTAAATGAAATTAGGTGTTTGCTATTGAAATAAATTTTGTTAAAATTATTATTATTATTATTATTGTTAATTAAAATATACATTGTTATTTTAGAATTACTGATAATTATATTATTATTATTACTATCCTAAGTTCTGCAAGTAAGCATAATTAGCATTCTTTTGAGGAATTGTTTATTATGATTGCATTTATTATTTTTATTATTAATCTGGCTTATATAGATTTAATATATCTAAGGATGGTAATGAATGCATAACATGATTTGCTTGTTATTTTGTTTAAGGAAAGTCTGTCTAATCTTTTTCTGGTGATAGAGAATGAGTAGTTCCATATTAAGTATTATTTCCATGAACGATTTCAATTTTAGTTTCCTTAACACCAAAATTGTCATATTACTCATTAAAATCAATTAAATCACCTAGTTTCACCTTAGGTTCTTCTTATTTGGTTTCAACTCGAAAGTAGAATGGTTTAACTGTACTAAATTCTTAGAAAATTTGAATACGTTTTAGTTAACATATATTGTTATTTCGGATCCAAACATTATTATTAAGGTATAAATTTCTTTTTGACATATTTCTCTTAAACAAAACGAATTAATGAATCTAATCCTGTATTAATAGTGGGTTTACTAAAATAATTTAATAAAAACTTTTACACATAGTTCTTAGGCATAGTATTTTCCCAATAAGAATTTGCTGTTGCATTTCCAATAGATTCCATAATATCAATATTTTCCTAATACCATCCATCAATATTGGTTGATCTTACTCTTGTGACACTGGGACCTAAAGTTCTGTGAGCACCTAAAATATATAAATATTAATTATTTACCTGCACAATCCATACAAATAAATACACCATAATCCAAGCTAACCCATCTAGGACCTTTAGTTGCACAATCAGCACAGACTAAATTTTCTGGTCGTTTCAGTATCAAAGCAAATATTTTTTCTTATGCTTTTGCTGGAATATGTTATTTATTCATTATATTTCAAATTATTTTTTTTATGAAATCAATTATCTCTATTACGTTTTAAAAATCAAAATTTTCATATCTATGTAGTCTTCTAATTTTATTTATATATGAATTCACCTTTCCAATCTTACTTATTTAATCATAATTTAAAAGTAAGAAATATTCTTTTGCTAAAAACAAATAGAATTTATTTTAGTTAAAATATGTAAGAATGATTTAAATATTAATATATAACTGATATTTAAATCATTCTTATATAGATGAATCTATCTTAATTAATATTTAGATAAATAATAAATCATATATTAAATTAAATAAAATTATACATGCTAACATGTTCAAAAAATCTGAAATTAAAATTATATACTGTTCCTGATGATTAGTTTCCTAAAAAGAGACATACTACTTCAAGATCATTGAAGCTAAGTTCAAGAAGAAAAAGTATCATCATTAAATATTTTAAAGAATTGCAAGATGACTATGATATATTTTAGTACTTAAAAAACGAGAATACATCAGACAATTATATGACATCATTAACTGATAGAAAGGAAACTAGCTAACTTAATTATAATAATATTTCAGAAGTAAAGGCCAGTAACTTGTTTGAGAAAGATAAAGGGTTCTTAAAAAAGTTTAATGAGGTACAATCAAAAAGAAAATAAGAATAACTTTTGAAGGCTGATTATTTATTAAAGAAAGATTTAGCAGACTTGAATAAAATTGCTTAAAATAGTGTTTAATCATTTTCAAGTCATTTTTCTCTTTATAATCATTTCCACTTCGAACATTTATTAGAACCTCAAACAGCTAGACATGATTTGTAATTACCACCTAAATAAACTTTTACAATTTTAAGTAATCCGAATAAAAAGGATAGAACATATAAGGTTCCCTTGCACTAACCATTTATTTCATAAGATAAGATAATAAATGAATAATCTTTAGATAAAGTAAGATTTTTGAATAATAAAATGAATCGAATGAGCTTGAATGTATAGTAGTTAATAAATGAAGTTAATAACAAAATTAGATCCTTTGAGTGAATAGTATTTTCAAATGATCTAAGATGGAAATGTAGATGAACTCAAATAAATGATAAAGAAATATCCTCATTTATTATAATAAAGAACTAGAGTAATGATTATGATTTAATAGGATAGTTACAAGAGACAGGTCTACATGTGGCTGTAAAGAGAAATAAGATCTAGATAGTGGAATTACTATTAAATAATTAGATTGATGAATTCGCAAGAAATATTGTAAATTTATTGTATATAAATATAAGTGGGGATAAACATCAAGATAATTGGCATTCAAATTATAATATCGTAACATTTTAAAAGTATTATATAATGGATTATAAAGATGCTTACTTATGATTAGAATTAGTGATTATAGATTAAAATTTTATATAATTAATTAATTAGCATATAATGGTAAAGATTTCAATTCCACATTTTATAGGCATCTCTTTTGAATATGGTTTAAGGTCAACCTCTAATTGAAGTGACTTTGGATGGTATTGAGACACGTAAACACACTAGATTTTAGGATAAATAATTAGGGGCTTTAAGATTACCTGTCTATTCTGTAATTGATATTGAATTAATTATATATAATAGGGTGATGATGATATCTCTGGAGTTATTGAAGTAAAAATGAACAAATAAAAAAAAATAGAACATATGGGAATTCGGGTTGAGTTGATTGGACGAATTGGTAAGAATTATACATTTTATGAATAAAAGAAATTCTTAATGATCAAAAATAAAGTTCAGATTTTATGTCAATGTCAAGAGAATTAGAACCATAAGGTTTAATGTTTGAGGATAAAACATATAAATTTTAATTTTAGAAGTTTGAGAAACAATATGAAAGTTATTATGGAAACACAGTTAGATTAAGATATTATTTGAAAGTGTATATGACTAGAAGTTATGGAAAAGTATAGAAAGAAATAGACTTTGCTGTTTTGATTCCACAACCAGAATTAGAGGATTAACCATAAACTTCATTAAAATTGGAAGTATTGAATAAACATTAATTAACTTAATAGGTTGGTATTGAAGAATGTTTACATATTGATTTTGAATATTTTAAGAGTAGATATCATTTAAGAGATGTTGTTACAGGAAAAGTGAATTTCTATTTAGTGAAAATCAAAATCAAATATATGGAATTGGCAGTGATCAGAAAAGAATAATATGGATAAGGACCTTAATAATAGACAGATAATGAGACATTAGTCAAATATGAATTAATGGATGGATGTCCTTAGAAAGGAGAAGTGATTCCAATTAGATTATATTTAAGTGGTGTAGATATAACACCATCTGTTAAAAATGTAAGTGGTAAATTTAGTGTTAAATACATATTAAATTTGATATTAGTAGATGAAGATGATAGGAGATATTTTAAATAATAAGAAATAACAATTTATAGAAAGAAATGATAAAGTGATTAAGTGATTTAATATTAAATCATCATATATATAATAATTATTTGTAAGAGAAATAAATATATCATAATTACTAAAAATAATTATATTTTTAAAGTCCTATGTGTTGATAATCTATTATATCACTTACAGATCTAAATCTTTATTCTTTTTTTTCTTAACAATTCTATTACTATTCTTATAATTATTCTATCTTTTCTTACAATCCACAATAAATTAATTCAGCTAAACTTAATAAGAACTTTTTTGAATCCTCTAAATTAATAGGTGTATAATATGTATAGAAATTTTATTATTATATTTATTATTATTATTATTATTGTTATTATTGTAACATTTATTATTAGACATATTTTTATTCTTGAATTTCATTTGAAATTATTGCTTCATTTGCATCAATAAAAGAAGTATCTAAAATCATTTCTTAAGAGAATTCTGTAGGACTTTAAGAAAATCTTCTATTATGACTTTGAGTTGTAGTTATTTAATCTTTATTATTAATGTAAAATTATTATAGAAAATAATATTGTTTATTGATTTTCTATAATTTTTCTTGATGTCTTAAATTTGAATTTATAAGTATTTATATTTAACTCTAAATTAAAATATATAAAAATACTTCTAAATCTTCACAATTTCTTTATAATTCATTATTTGCTGTCTCAAGAGTCTTATTTAATAACATTTCTCTTTAATAGTTCTTTCTTAATTCTTCTATCATTCTCTCATATTTATTAATTTTTTCAACAATATTAGGATCTATTTACTTTTTAATATCTTGCATTTATTAAATTTATCTTTTAGCATTGATCTCTTATATTTATTTTGCCTTTGTGAGATCTAATTTAGGAATTTCCTTCATTTATTTTACTATTTAATTCTCTTATTTTAATGGTAAAGGAGACATTAAAGGTGAACTACCAACTGAAGAATTGTTATCATTTTATGATGAATTATCATTTTCTTCTTTGTTCATAACATTTAACAAATTATTTTAAACTAAGATATATAATATTTTTAATTACATTTAATCAATTATTCAGGTCCTTATTGAACTTATTATTATTAAATAATTAGTTTATTACCATGATATGTCATAGCTGTATTTTTCATTTGAACTAGGTTACTCATTAATTTCTAGATAAATAGTGAAAATATAATACTAAATTAAATCCTTATAGTTTTTATTTTTCAGCTTCTATAATTTTATTCTTTTTGATTTATTATATTAATTGAGATGTTAACATTTCAATTTGATTATGAAATTTGATAGCAATTTTATCAGGTTCACATATTTCTTTGTATTTAATAACAATACCTGAAATTTCATCATATTCAGGTTTTAATTATTCCATTTTACTTAATTGTTATTCAGCTTTATTGAGATTATTTTATAATGTTTAGATTTTATTCTATAATGATAAAATTAATTCTTTTTCATGTCTTTAAGCTTCTTCAGTGATTTATTAATTTATTAATACTTAATTTTATGCTTGATTCCTTTCTTCAATAAGTTTATCAATTTGATTATGCAATTTAGCATTTTCTTCTTACAAATTTTTCAATACCATTAATATAGCTTTATTTTATTCATCATTATTTTGAGGTGTCATAATTCTTAATGCCTTTTTATTTAATTAAAGTAAACCCTTTAATTCATTCAATTATTCAGTTAATTGTTTATTTTCTTATTTGAGATAATCAATTAATTCTGTATGTTAATTATTAGCAATATATAGACTGCTTGTTAGATTCTTTTTAGAATGAGATTATTTCATAATTATATTTATTATTATTAAACCTAAATCATTTTCTTTTATTAAATGTGAATTGTAGCCAACCCCCATGACAATTGCACTTTAATAGATTTAATAAGATCCCAGCTACTCTAAGGTTCAAGTGTTTTAGTAACAGTAATGAAGTAAGATCCTTCCTTCAAATCTGCAGCTTTTTTACTTAGCTGCTTCATTAGATCTGGATCAAAACAAGTTGTTGAAGCAAATAAGAAGGTACCATCAGTCCAATCTAACTTGATTTCGTAAATTAAATAATACTTCTCGTACATCTCCATTTATAAATTCAATTTTAGGTAATTAATAATCATAAATACCAATTTATTCCATTTCTTATTCAATAATACATTTCTATTTTTCAACTTCTTCTTTTAATTTACAAGCCTATTCATGTAAAGAATGTAAAAATTCAATTCCTTTACAAATATTAAATTGATGCATTAATGATGCAGCTATCACACTCTTACCAATACCGCTACCTAGATCATAAAAGACTCCACCTTTTTTAGGTGATACACATTGGAACACCAGTGATAAAGATATAAAATCCTTTACAATTTAACAAATTACTTACAATTTCACCATATGATAGAGAATTTGATGTCAAATGATTCGCCAACCTTTCTTCTCTACTTAAAGTCTAATATATTTAATTTTATCATTATATTACTCGTGCTCTTTATAATGAATAATCTTTTGTGATTTTCTCATATAAGCTCTTCAATGATTCCTAAGAAGATTGTGTATTATCAATCTATTAAGTACTATCTTAATTCTATAAAGAGTTTAGAAAATTCAGAATCCGTGCATGGTCCATTATATAATAAAATAATTTAGTTTCATAAATAATTTAAGTCTTTAATTAATAAATTAAATACATGAATCGAGAAATCTGGTCCTAAATTACACATAATGTAGTTGACTCCATAAAATCCTTTCCAAATGGTGGTTTAATGATATTAACATCAGGATTATCAATTGCCAATTTGACATCTTTGTTTCTAACATACTTTCTTGAAAAAAGCAAATCTGTAATCATTCTCCTCAATTACTCTAATTAAGAAATAGATTTTATTGATACATAGCTTAACTATTTTGTCACCTAAAATTAACTAAATAATAACAAAGAATATGCTCTCTCTGTTGTTGTCTTGACTAAATTACCATCTGATAAAAGAGCTACTTTTTATAAATAAGGTGGAATTTTTTCAATTACTCCTTAAATCTTAATGTAAGATTTACTAACCAACACATTATCACCCTTCATTATTACTCATTTAATTATACAATAAGTTCATCAAATCAAATCAAAATATGATTATGAAAGTTGGATCACTAATTTTATCAAAATAGTTAAACCTGAATTATTTCTTCTTGCTTTTACTAATCAACCTTCAATATTACAATTACAATAAAACACACCTATTATTCTCAAGAATTTCTATCTAAATAATATAATTCCTTGGCCTATGAATAGAGCTGAAATTGTTAACTGTTTAAAGTAACATCCATTTAAATGGAGTGAAATCAAAATTAATTTAAATAAAACTATTAAAGATATTTAAGAAATTATTATTTCCCTTATTAAATAATGTATTTAAGCAGTTAATGGATAATGTGGTACATCCTATTTAACAAGTGATATGGTAATACAATAGAATTGGAGAAAACTCAAGGCTCTTATTTAAAGACAATCATTTAAAATAGATCTTATTTAATAATAAATATTTTTAGATATTTTTTAACTCAGAAAATTATTATTTGCATTAATTAATTAATCAGCATATTAATTCTATTTTACATTAACATAAATAATCAATGATGCTCCAATTGATTCAATTTGGTATATATCTTAACCTGAAATTGAAGGATTAGTAATAAAATTATAAAAATTAGCACAAGAGAGAGTATATTAATTTGTAAACATATAGGATCCTATTAAATATAAATTTATTAAATAGAATGGAGAAGAAGTTATTAAAGAAATCAACACTAAAATTGATTTTAAAATTGAAATATAATCTAAATATTTATAACTCACTAAAATAATAGATAAAATTTCATAATAAAATTAGTCTCAAAATGAAAATTTAAGAATTTGGATTTGGGTTTAAAATAATGAAAATGTAACTTAGATTTAACAATTTCTTGTTTCTACATACAGAATGAAAGATAAAAATAATTATGTCAATCAATTTAATTTTTTAAGAAGAATTTTAGAATAGAAATCATGTAAATCAATTGATAAATTTTTAAATAATAATTCTGATTAATAATAATCTTAATAAATTGTATAAGAGAGAAAATCTAAAATAATATTAAAGCATAATAATAAATTAATTAAATAAACAAAACAAATTAAATAAGAAGAGGAAACTTTATTGAATTATTTACTATATTAAGAATTAGAATAATTATTTGAACATGTTTTAAAATAAGAAGAATAAGTATTACTTTAAAAATCTTAAGTTTTAAAATAATAAACATATTAATTATTACCATAAGAATTGTTATAATTTGATTTATATTAAAGTGGACATAAGGTCAATAAAGATGGAATTGTTATTTAATTTGAAGAAGATACAATAATACCAAAAATGACAATTGTAGTTAATAATATGAATGATGATTGTCAGAGATATACATTTAAATAAACTTATAAACCAGATTATATTATAATGATGGAACCAAATCATTCTTTTTTAAAGGAACTTTTAATTAATCAAAATTATGTTGAAACTATTTTATTAATGTAAAATGAATGTGTTGAATTTTGGTAATATTATAAAGAGAAAATGGATGAAGAATTTGCATTTGAATAAATAATTGAACATTCTAAAGACTTTTCTAGATCTTTTGAAAAACCTGAAGATGCAATACATAAATTAGATATGCAATAGTAACATCAAAATTCTAGATAAGGAAAAGGAGAAGAGTTTTTTTAATTAAAAGATATTCAACCTAGTATATTTGTAGATTATAGAGAATTTAGATGTGATGTTCCACCTAAATTATATTTTCATGGATTTTAATTGACTCCTGTTATGTTAAAAGTAGGAGATATTATTTTAAGCAATAATTGTGCTATAGAAAGAAAATCAGTTGAAACAGGAGATCTTATTGAATCAATAAATCAAAATAGATTGGATTAATAATTATAAAAAATGAATTCATTTGATAATCCATTTTTATTAATAGAATATTCTGATAATATTCCTTTTTGTTTAGGATCATTATCAAGACAATCATAACATTTTAGTTCTAATACAAGAGTGATGGTTAGATTATTAGAATTAATAACTAAGTTTTCTAAAATTTAAATTTTATGGTCTAATAACTCAGATGATACAATTAAAATTATTTGTAAATTAAAGTAAACTCTAGCTAGAAATTCTCCAGATATAAAAATATTCAAAACTAACATTCAATAATAAAATGGATTATTATAGAATGAAAAAATTACTGATTATTTTACTTAAATAGAAAAAGAAATATAATGAGATAATGTATTTAAATATAATTTATTATCTATCAAACTATTGTAACAGTATAAAATGGTAAATATCTTGCAATTTTTTATCCAGTAATTTCTAAATACATTAATCCTTTTTTATTTAATCTATGATGCATAACATCAATTTCAAAATGAACTCCATTATGATTTGAATTCTCAGCAAAGAATTTTGATAGTTCCTTTTATTATTATTTAAAGAATAATACCTTTCTTCTAATTGATGCAGCATCTATATGATTAACATATGCTTAAAATATTTCAGTAGCTCCACCTTCATGAAATGTAGTTGTTGTTGGTCCTTAAGGAACACTTGCTAAAGTAATTCTTCTTTTTGGTCTCAAAAGTGGTGCCATATTTTATCTTATACAAGCTTCATTTATTCTAACTTCAAGAAATGCTCTCTCTTCATGTCTACCTGCCATAACTTCAAGTATCAATTTATGATGTAAAGGATTACTCTTATTCCATAATATTGTGAAATAACTTCTAAGAAAATATCTCACTAAATCTGGTCTCATATCATAACTTTCAGGATTCTTTAAAATACTCTTTAAATGCATACAACCTGTATTTTCTGGTTTTAAAAGTGATGTTAAAAGATCATCTTTAAACTAACATATTAAATAATAAATACTGAATTAGGAGGATCAATTAAGGCATCAACTGTCAAAGTCATACCTAATTCTTTTTCCAAATGTCTTATAGCATCATCATCTGTACACATATAAAATCCATCTTATTTCATATACTATAAGTAATTGCTTAAAATGCTATCAACAGTATCTTAAGTCAATGGTGTATTAATTGTTTATTCATATACTTATAAAGCTAACAAGAATTCACCAGAATCACCTCCAGGTGTTCCTAATACACCTTATTCATTTCTTCCATCTAAACATGAAAAATGATAGCTGTTAGGATCTCCAAATTACAATTCATTAAGAGGTCCAATTAAATGTCTAATTTATTCAAAAGAGGCTGTTTTGCCATCATCTCCTGCAAAGTCTTAATGTAATTAAACTTTAGTAGGATCACAAAAGGTTTCACCAACATGAAGTTATGTAGTAGTAGATTCACATTAACATGATGTTTCATATTCCTATGCTATATTACTAATTAAATTTTTAAATCTTACCATCAAATTCAGCTCTTCCATTTATTCTCCTTATATCTTTAGGTGATGATTCCACTTTCAACTTTACTTCAGCACAAAATATAGCACTAATCAATACTATTATTATCATATATTCGTTTTTTAATTATATATATTATATTTTTTTCTATTCTTTCTATTTCTAATTAATTTAATTAAATTCGTGTAATATTATATTAATTTAAATTGTCATCATATAAATATAGATCAAAAAGTATCATTTAAATTTGTTAGTTTAAACTTCATGTTTCTCTATTTAAATATAAATGTTTATTCATCTTTGCATATAACATACAACAACTATTTGTTCTATTTTCCTGTTATTAGTATTTCATTATTCTATTTTTGTATTTAACTATTAGATTTCTCAAATATCTTTAAATATCCATCAGAAGTTAGTAGATATGCATCACCTATTGAATATAATTTCCAATTAACATTGTGAGTCTAAATAATATCAAATATAATACTTGTTTTTGTTTAATTAAATTTATAGGATTACAATATGTGCTTAATTTAGTACTTAATAATTCATCAATTGATTAATCCAATAAATTTACAATAGGTTTAGATTATAATTATTCAATTATTTCAGAAATGAATTTAGAGTTAAAATTATCACCATTATTAATGGTTTAAATGTTCTAAAAAAAGTTTTTGAATGCATTATCTTTATCATATTTTGTACTTTCTATATCAAGTATTACAAGTGCAAAACAAAACATATGTAAAGAATCTTCAGATTTAAAGGGAAATGATTAACTTTTAGAATTGAAATTCAATTCATAATATCTTCTACTAAATTCTTTCACTAAAATATCAAGTAAATATGGATCATTTTAAATTAATAATTTATTAAATAAATTATGTAAGGAATTAATTAAATTTTGATTTATAACAACTCTATCCACAAACAATTTTAAAATTTAATATTATTCTTACAAATTCAAATTTGTCAATAATCTATAAATCATTAAATAAAGATTTACTTAGATATTTAGATCTTATTTTTTTATTCAATATTATTAAATAACCAATTGATAATTGATTAAGGAGTAGGTCTAATAATTTAAGTAGAAATCATATATGATATTCCCATAAAGTATGAATGATTAAATAAATCTATAGCAAGATTCTCTGTATTATAATCATGTTTAATGAATTTTACCTAATCAGTGAAAGTAGTTCTCTCTCTAGATTTATTTTACCATAAAACTAATTAACCTAACGAAACCTTAATAATCTATAATAATTAAGTACCATATCATCAAAGAATCGAGGAATTGAATTGCAAGGAGAAATTAAATTCCTATTTATTTTTGATCCAAGTTCTTTATTAAAATCAATTACTTCTTTTTATTCTTACTCTGAGATATTAGATTTTGATAAAGATTCTTAAATGCCTAAGTTTTCTTTCTCACTCAATTTAGACTTTTTTGGAGTAGAATTAGGACTAACCATTTTACTTTGTGATACTTTTTCACAGAAACTGCTGCATTCATTATTTTTTCTATTTTTAATAATTTTCTTATATACTATCGTTTTAATTTAAGTAATTAAAAGTATTCTTCATATTGACGTTAAGCTGGATCATATTTCTTAGCTTATCTTTCACTATTATGTTATAATTAATCTTATGATTGTTTGAATATTTCTGATGTCATTTTATCTCTCACTAAATCTTAAGCTAAATTCCCATCACGATTTCTTGTTCTAAAATCAGCTCCTGATTTCAATAGTAATTAACAAACTTAAGCTCTTTAATAAAATGCTGCCACATGTAATGCTTAAATTAATTGATATATAACATACGAGTCCAGCCTGCCATATCAGTAATGTCTAAATTAGCATTGTTATTAATGAGTTCTTCAACAACCTATATTGAACCATATCTACAAGCTATGTGTCTATTAAGATTATGTCAATATCTACAATGGTGATGTTCGATCCTCATCCAATATGTTTATGTTGATTCCTTTACTGAGGTAAAAGCGTATCAAACCTAAATTTCTACCTGATGCTGCTTTAAAAAAGTTCTTTTCATTTTCAGTCAAGTAAGCAGTTGATTGTTAGGTGATTCTACCTAAATATTATATACTCCAAAAAACCTCTAGCCTTATCTACATCTAGTCCTATTTGAAGTTCATTCAAATCAAAACCCTCATTATCTTATCCCATACAACCTAAACAATTTGCTGGATTTCTTCTTTTGTGCTGAACAGAATTACCCATATTTTTATATTATATAAATTATTAATAATTGGAAGTCAATTACTTATTGACATTGATTTTTTAAAACTATTTTTTATATTCATTTTAATGACTTATTAAGTATATGAATTTATGCTTGCATCTACTTGTATTTATTGTTTTGCTGTGATTTATTTTCATAAATTAAAGATATAAATTTTTTTCAAATTAAATCATGGGAAGAGTTAGAAATAAGACAGTTAAGAAGGCAGCCAAAGTTCTCATCGAAAAATATTATATGAAACTCACCTCAGATTTTCACTTCAACAAAAAAATTCTATCTGAAGTGGGATAAGTGCCATCAAAAAAATTGAGAAATAAAATTGCTGGATTCGCAACACATCTTTTAAAGAGAATTTAGACTGGATCTGTTAAGGGTATCTCCCTCAAAGTAATCATTCACCTAAAACTTAGATTCAAGAAGAGGAAAGAGAAAGAAGATTGGATTATGTTCCTGAGAAATCCTCAATTGATATCGATAATCTTAGAGGAGATTAAGATGTCAAAAAAATGCTTGAAAAGGCTGGATTAGAAATTGATATTCCTATTGATGAACCTGTTGTTGAAGAAAAATAATAAAAATAACCAAGAAGAGGATAAAGAAGACAATAATGAATATGATCATCTAGTACATATATATATAACATTAAAGTAATTAGGCATAATAAATTTTAATCTAAAATTGTTTTTATATTTAAAAATTAATCATGCAGATTTCCTCTTTTATTCATTCTCAGTTTATAATCTTAATTAATTTAATAGGAAAATTTTTTATTCGTTTACATAATTCGATATATCATCGTCATATGTATTGAATCTTTTTGTTTTTTATCTCTAAGTTCCTGATTATTCCTCTAATAATTTGGTACTTAAATTAGTACCTCTTGTGCTTTCTGCACAGTTTGTTTCTTTAGGATTGTAATAGAAATTTTTTAGTATTGTTTCTTTGGGGAAATTCTCCATTATGTTCTATTGGAGAGGTCTAATCTACTATAAAAATTCAGCCTCCCCTTAACCAAATTCTTCTTCATCAAAATTGAATGAGAAACAATCTGGTTTCAAAGGAGGATCTATCCTTTTTGATAATAGTTCTTTATATAAATTTTTATCTCCCCATTATGTCATCCAAGGGTGTCTCAATAGAGTTTCTATCTTATCGATTCTATTCTTAGGATTTTTAGCTAATAATCCATTCAATAAATCTTTTAGAAGTGAAGACATCTATAATTATGGTGGATAACTCAATTTTTGATTTAATATTCTCTAGTAGATTTCTTCAGTATTCCTTGAATAGAAAGGAGGTAATCCTGTTATTAATTCATAAAGCAAAGCTCCTAGACAATATAAATCTAATTGTAGATTATGTCCCTATTTTAATAACATTTCAGGTGCCATATATTCTGGAGATCCACAAAATGAAAAGGCAATATCTTAATCTAATTATTTTGAGAGTCCAAAATCTGCAATTCTTACATGACCATCAAAATCAATTAAAATATTTTCAGGTTTTATATCTCTATAAATAATATTTCTATCATGTAAGTGTTTCATACCCAAACATATTTCTGCAAAATAAAAAAATGCTTATTCTTCACTCATCCTCTTCACCTATTAAATTTAAAGAAGTGATTACTTTTCTTAACAAGAAAAACAATTCTCCTCCAGAACAATATTCTAACACAAATACCAAATATTTTCTTGATTCAAAAGCATATTAAATTTTTACAATAAATGGATGATTTAAATTACACATTAAATCTCTTTCATTTTATATGATAATTTATTTGTTCTATGATATTATAGAACTTTTTTCTATTAATTTCATTGCATAAAATATTCCTGTTCTCTTCTCCCTAACCATATATACTTTAGAAAATCCACCCATACCAATACATCTGATAAATTCAAAATCTTTTAAACAAACTTTTGATTATTTATTTTCTTATTCTGTTTATAATATAGGTTCTATGATTAAAGGTTGATTAGGACAATTGGAAAGTAAAGACAAAGGTCTATCAATTGAAGAAAGTATATAATCAATAGGTATAGATATATTGTAAGTTTTAATTCCAATTATTGAAAGAGAATCATAGTCAGTGAGTTTTTTATTGAGTTCTTATTTGATTAATTCTAATAAATGTTATATTTTGTTAGTCGAGATATCAATAGTCATTTTCTATTTCAAGCTTTTAAATTATAATATAATTTGAATGAAATCTTATTAACATTTTCTATATACAATATAAATTTGTACCTAGTAGTAATGGTTTTATTTTTTTCAGTTTGTAATTGAATTAAAGGTTATGATGATGTTTGAGTAGGTAATTTTTGAGTCTCTATAAATTACGCACTATTTGATTTCTGATGATTTTAAAGTTAATATATTTATGTTCCTAAAAACTGTGTATTTTAATGTTTGGCACTTGATACTATCAAAGACTTTTAGAAATTTAATCTAGCTAACATATCAGATGATTGTTTCTATTTTGATTCAGATGTCTGCTACTTAAAGAGTTGTTCTGCTTTGGCTAATGTTGAGTATTATTGACTTTTAAATAATTGTTTTGGAGCTAAGTTTAGGATAACTAAATTTACAGTCGTCTTATACACTTTCCATGGATTTCATTTTAGTTTAGGAATTTTGATTGGAATGAGGTTGGGTTTTCATATGATTGCCACGAGATTTTGTTTATGTCTTTTAATTCACTCTTTCCTGACTAGTAATCTTTGGAGACATGAATCCTTTCGATTTTAGTAAATCTGATTGTTATATTTTTCGTAAGGTTTATCTACGTCTATAGCCATATGTACTATTATTAAGTGATTTTGAGAGTAGGCTATGAAGCATTCGATTTAAACATGGTGGATTAGTAAGGACCAATTTATTTGCTCTTAGGTGAACATAAAATTATACTTTATAGTCTATCTAGAATGTTGGTGAATTAGACATTCTTGCATGCAATGCTTCTCGATTAGATAGATAATTCATAAGGGCCTAATTTGATATTTCTGATGATTATGTTTTAAGATGTTACTGTTTGGGAGGCATTCTCGTTAATAATAATTATTTATTATATAACTAGTTTATACTATTATTATAAATTAAATATGTCTATTCACTATTTTATTTATATACTTTAAAAGAGACAATTCATAAAATTAATTACTACCTTTTCAAATTTAATTACTTAAACATTCTGTATTATTTTTATGTGTCAATAACATAATTAGATTTAGAATTTTTGTTTTTAATTTAATACTAATGAGATATAATTTTATTTCTTATTAAATTTCATAAAATAGAACTTTAAAATTTAAGAATTAGATAGATAATATGATTCTATATTGATATTTTAATTCAAAATTTGGTAATAAAATGATATTCATCATCTTAATTATATTATATACTATATATATATATATATATTTTATCTTACTCTAACTATTAATAAATGGATAATAATTGTAAATATGTTTGCAATTATTATATATGAAATATTCATAAAATAATTTTTTTCAGTATTATAAGTCTATTTTTAAATAAAAATGTATATTTTTATTGTGATGAAAAAAGAAACCATATAATTGATTTTAACAGATAACCAATTTAATTTTAATTTTAACATTGTTATATTTGTAACTGTCTTTGATAGAATATTTAAAATGTTTAGACAAATTAAGATCTGTTTTAAATTCTAATAAAGATTAAAGTACTTTAATTTTAATTTGTCTTATTTGTATTTTATATGTTAATTTATTTTTATTAGTTTTTTTGTTATAAATTATCAATCTTTTATTTTTATTATTAATTACTTTATATTTTTAAGTTATTTTATATTTATTTTGAACAATATTGCACTCATTAGTGTAATTTAATGAAATAAATAATTTTATTTCTATTAATAAATTTATATATAATATTTCTATTGAATATACTTTTAATTTTAATATATATAGAGATGGTTATTTTTAGTTCTTTAACAATCATTGCTAAAATGATACATTGTGAATAAATGATTTAATTTTTATATTAGTTAATTATAAAATTTGACTATGAAATGCTATAATGCAGAATCTGAACTTCAAACAACAATTAACTCAAAATAATATCCATCAGAAGTTAATAGTCCATAAACTGAAACCTAACCAATTCAAAAGGAAAGGAGAAAATGGAATAGTGATGAAATGACTAAATATTGTCCGATTGATATTCCAAATGCATTCTAATATGATAAAGTTAATGGATAGAAGTTTCAATTATTTTTAGATGGAAAGTACTCTGCTAATAAGTTAGTAAAAGATATGAATGTAGTGATAAAGAGGAAAAGATTAACTTAATTAGAGTAAGAATTCCATAAACAAAAGGAATAATAATAATTAAGAAAGGAATTAGTGGAAAGAAGATTCACAAAGGTAAGAACATTGATTAACTCAAACATTAAATTAAGAGAAGTAAATAGTTTTATATATCTTTAATTTAGTCTTTAAAACTAGAATCTAACTTGAAAGGAAGCAGAATGTTCTCTTAATTAAATAATCATATAGTTGATCATATAGCTAAAATTAAATCAAAGGATTTGTTGACTGATCGAATCGATGGAGTCAGATAATATGAACCAACCAAACTTTATGATTATAGTAAATCTGGAATTAAGTTAAAATTTAACAAGAACTAAAAACTCATCAAATCTTAGACTTAATACTGTTTGAAGTAAGCAGCCACCTTAGAAGTCTAAGATCACATTGAACAATACTTTAAATAATAACATGAAGCTTTATAATAAATGGAATTAAAATAAAAACGAAAGGCTAAACTTAAAATAATTTCAGATAGAAAACATCGTAAATATTTTACAGAATTTGATATTAATTTATAAAATAAGAAAGCTCCTCCTTCTATTAAAGATGTACAACTATTTAAATACATTCATGGTTAGATGTTGATAGAAAAATTTTAATAAAAACAAGAAGACTAAAAAGAATATTTTGGAAACATTATGAGAAGCAGAAAAAGTTATCATATACTTTCAAACTTTGATAAGCCTTCAGAATTATATGCTTTTGATGATTGTGATTAATCTTTCGAATCTATGAAAGAAATGAAGCTTTCTAATCTTTATGCTCAAAGCATTGAATTACAATAGAAATTATTGACAGAAAGAAGAATAGTTAATTAAGTCCAATAATCTAAGTAAATAGATCAAACTACAAATTTGATTTAGATTGTTAACAAATAAAAACTAAAATGATTATTATTATATATATATATATACTATGTAAATATGCCTTATTCCATTTTTATAATGAATTTAGAATATTAAATATTTTAATATATGATTTTATTATAAGAATCATGCTAGTGTAATAAAAGTTTAATGCATAAATCGTTTAGCCAACATAGAGTTTATTTCTTCCCAATTACCACTCAATACTGAATATCTTGAATATAAATAGATAATGATACTTTTCAACCGAATCCAATGGACCATTATCAAAACCTCCAAATACATAAATATATTAATTATCTGGAGTTGGTAATGCTGATAATGTGCATCTTGGATGAATCATAGACTCTATTAAGGTCCATCGACCATCCTCATACTTTTCTACACTATTCAAATATTAAGTTCCATCAAATCCTCCTATTGCATAAATACCATCAGGTAAGGAAACACCTGCTAAAGCTCTTCTTGGTATATTTAATGGAGCACAATGACCCCATTTTCCTGAAGTAAACACTTCAACAGTTTTAAGACAAGTATTGACTAATTGATATTATATTAATATTTTACATGAACCTCCAAATCCTCCTATAGCAAAAATAGCATTATCATACATACAGATAGCCAATTCATCTCTAGCTTCAATCATGGTTGGAAATTTAATCCAATTATTGTCAATCTAATTAAAACAGTCGAAATCTTTTAAATTTTCTAAAAAATTAGATAATCCTACTTACCTTGACCATCATTTCCACCAATTATATAAATAAATTGATTAACATTTAATGTTCCAAATCCACTTCTAGATGATGGTAACTTTATTTTTGATGGTACAATTTTTTTATCTTTATAATTATATTCTTCACAAGTATCAATACGAACACCATCAACTTTACCACCCATTAATAATATATTTCCATTTATTAAATGTGCTATTCCAAATTTACATCTATTATTTTTTAATTAATCTTTTTCACTAGCATAATCAGTTTTAATATCATATTTTTCAACTATTTATTTTAAACTATCAACAAAACCACCAATTGTAATATATTGATAATCCATTGACATATGACTTACATTAGTCAATTCAGGTTCAAAATCATGAATTGAATTTAGAAATATATTAAATTCTTATTTTGAATCATCCTAATGTAAAAAAGGTGATTATGGATCTTAACTAACTTTTGATTAATTTTTAAATAATCTTCTAGGAGTACTATGATCTCTATCTTTTCTTCTTTCTACACTTTTTTCATAATTTCTTTCTTTCATTTGATTTCTAGCTTCTTAAAAGTTGGTTAATCTTACTTAATTAATTTATTTTTCTTCAACTTTCTTTTTAAGATTAATTTGAACAGCACAAGGCCCATTAGTTTCACATAATGGAACCTTTTTTGATTGATTCATTTTTTTTTATTATTATTATTGAGATTATTATTACTAAAGTATTTAATTCTATTATTATTGATATTAAGCATTATAAGACTATTACTACTAATTGTTACTTTATTTTTTAATAGATTAAACAATTTTTTATTAAGTGGATGCAGTCTATTAAGTAGGTGGAGGAGGTAAAACTTACTGTGAAATAACCTTTTTAGACAAAACTTTAATAATGTTTTAATTTTCTTGTTCTTTATTTAATTCTGGAAATTTGATGGTTTAATCTATTGTAACTATTGATTTAGGTAATTTATTAATGAGTTTAGTTCTATTTTATGTTGTTTATAGAAATTTTATAGGATCTTAAGATTTTTCGTCTAACTCTTATAATTCTTGCAAATAATCATTAATATCTTATAGTTGTATTTGTAGCTTTTATTAGTTTTGAGATATTTGTTATTTCTAGTTGATAAGTGACTGATTTAACTAAGAGATAGATGGGTAAGTGGTTTACTTATTCTTGCAGTTTGGATTCTCGCTCTTGAATAGATTAGCGAATTGAATTAAAAAATTTGGAGATTTCTATGTTAACTCTCTAATACTCAATGTCAAGTTAGTCGTTCATCTATGCTAACTATTGAAATTGTTTAATGGCTTTCTAATGATTTAATTGAACATTTTCAGAGATTGAGTAAAATCTATTTAATTCCATTCGTAAACTCTAAATAGAGAATAAGAATACATCTTCAAGAGATTAAAATTAATGGCCTTTGTGACCATCATACAGGATGCAATTAATACATAACAAAGAACAATCATCCGAACAGAATGCTAACTATTATATTCATAAGTTACCTTCTATGTGTTTAATGTGTTTCTAACAAATGGTTGACAACGTATTCATAAATGAAGAATAAGGTTTATATACTAAAATTCAAATATTTAATTAATAATATAGTTAACATATACATTTTCTTTTTTTGTTTTATTGATTATAAATTAATCCATTTAACAAGAGGACTGATGCTTAAATTGCATATTTGGAGATATAATAATTTAATAATTAATTTTTAACAGAAACATTAATGTCACTTCAAATAGTTAATTTGCCAGAGTTTAGTTATAAGTCAAATACACATCGATCATTAGATCTAGAAAACTTCTTTAAAGAGTTTGAAATGAAGTAATTTTTGGAGGAATGCAATTACTCAGAACAAGAATTATATGTTGAATGTAGAAAAATGAAATAATTCCAACAGAAACGCAAATTAAAACTCAACCATTATATAAATAGTTATTTAGAGTCACCCTCAGTAATTAGCCCAGTTTAATTATTGCTATGAAGTGCAATTACTATTATATATATTCTACTTATTTATTAAATCATTCCAAACTGATTCCTTGTTTTCTTAATGAATCCAAAACCAATTATTCATAATCTTCTAAAGTCACCTTACCATCTCCATCTGTATCAGTCATCTAAATCCAAATAGTTACATCCTCCTTTGTTGGTTAATAATCATTCATTCCCATATGTTTATAAGTTTCTTTCAATAACTCTGGTACCTTTAATTCATAAATAAAATTTAGTTACTTCTTCCTCAGTTAAAAATCCTGATCCATCTTTATCCACAAATTTAAAGATACGTCTAGCCACCTCCAATCTTTCTTGTGCTATTCTTGACAACTTCTCTGGTACTCTCTTTACTGGTTATGCTGGTGGTTGTCCAGAAAAGTATTTCTAAACCAATTATTCAATATCCTCTGTATGAACACGTCCAGTCGATTTCCCTTAAAATATATATATAAACTTACTATCTAAAATGGCCTAACAATTAGAAACATCCTAAGAAGTTGGATTGAATCCTTTATTCATAGCTCTATATGCATCAGATAACATCATAGCAATTTCATTTTATTCAATATATCCATCCTTGTTTGAATCATACAATTCCATCACTTGTTTTGCTATCTGTTTACATTTCTCTGGCTCGAAGACTCCACCAAATTAAACTCTATCTGATAATTAATAACCTGAACTTCTTAACTTATTAGTATCCATTTATATATATATATATATTAATATCAATCTTTTTATTTATTAGAATTTTATTTAATAATCATATATATGCAATATTTATTCCAAATCATTAATAATCTATAAAGAAACCAAAAAAAAAATAATATTAAAATACTATTTCTTAAGAATGAATAAACATTACTAATATTTATATATATATTTTTTTTATTTAAAAAGATATTAAATGGTATTAAATGTATTGATATTCTAAGCCAAAAGCAGCTAAAACATCAAAAGCAAAGAAATTATAAAAAAGAGTTGCAGATAGAAAAAAGAATCCATTATTTGTTAAAGAAGCTAAAAATTTCAGAATTGGCAACGATGTTTAACCTAAAAGAGATTTATCTAGATATGTTAGATGGCCAAGATATATTTTACTTCATAGATAGAAGAAAATCTTACTTTAAAGAATTAAAGTCCCTGCTGCAATTCATTAATTCAGCAAAACATTACATAAAAATTAATGTAAAATACTATCATTTAATGTTATTAGCTTCAAAAGTATTGAATTTATTGAAAAAATACCAACCAGAAACAAAAACTGAAAAGAAACAAAGATTAACAAAATTAGCTGAATAAAAAGCATAAGCTTAAAAAGGTGAATCAAAAAAAGTACAAGTGTTGAAATTTGGACTTAATCATGTTACTACATTGGTTGAAACCAAAAAAGCAAAATTAGTATTAATAGCTTATGATGTTGATCCAATTGAATTAGTAGTATGGTTACCATAATTATGTAGAAGATAAGAAGTTCCATTTTGTTTCATTAAAAGTATTAAATTTAATCATTTACTTTATAGATAAGGCTAGATTGGGAGCATTAGTACATTAGAAAACAGCTACTTGTGTTGCTTTGACTGAAGTCAGAAAAGAAGATCAAGCAGAATTCGATAATTTAGTAATAATTTAAATATAATTGTTAAGGCTCGTGATTTAAGATAACATTATAATGAAAACCATGAATTATTAAGAACTATTGGAGGTGGATAAGTAGGAATAAAATCAAGACATTAATAAGAAGCTTTAAAGAAAGCTTTAGAATTGGAAGAATTAAAAAAGACATCATAATGAACATTCTTACATTACAAAGTATATTAATATAGTTCATTATTCAATAAAGAATTGTTAATCTGTTTTTAATGGTGATTCATTAATTGTTTCCTCTTTCTAAACACTTTATTAACTTGTAACAATTCTTGATAATGGATTGTAATCATCAAAAAAGATTTTATATCTTACTATTTTAATATAATATATTTGGATACATTTATTTATGTCAACCTAAGAGAATACAAGTTTACGTCTTTATTATTATTTTGTTTAATTTTGAATTCCAAAAAATAATGGTTTAGCTAGTTTCTTTTCTTTATCCTTGTCTTCATTTAGTAAATATCTTCCCTTTTTATAAAATGGACTCTTTATTTCTGCAATCATTTCAGTAATCTAATGTTAAAACTTCTCTTTTTTTTAATCCTTTGCAGTATTTTTAATTTGAGGACCATGACTTGTTTTCTTTGGATCATCATCAAATTATTGTGTTTACAATGATTCACATTTTTGTTATTATTTTGTTTATTAAATTAAGTTTTTAGACAGTTTTCTGTTTTCTTCTAATTTCTTAATATAAGCATTAAAATTTTTATCAGATTTTAACCCTTTATTTTCTGAGTTTCTAATAAATAAGGCATAATTATGTATTCCCATTTATGTATATTGATTGCTGGCCACATTTTATTATTATACTAATTAAACAGAACTTTATCTATTAGGTTAATGAGCTGTTTGGCTTCTTGAAGAATACAATCTATATGTTTTAATAGGATTGAATGGATTGAAAGGCAGTTCTTCATTATTTTGAGTCATTATATATATATATATATATATTATTATTATTAAATATAAATCAAAAATGTAATTTATGATATTTCCTAAAATGCTATAATAGATATATTATAAAAATAAGTGATAAAAAATACTATAAATAATATTACTAATGATATGATTTTAAGTAATAAATTATAAATCAACTAGATTGGAATAAATCATTAGAATTAGTTATTGAAATTATAAAGTTTGAAAAATAGAATATAAATCATACATACATTTTTATTTAATATAATTAGACCAATAATTATCAAAAAAAGATATGATAAATATAGAGAATAAATATGAATTTATATTTAATATTAAATTATTTCACATTTATTTAATATAATTTAATTATTTACTATAGATAAAAAGTATGAATATATAGATAATGGATTATGTGAATAGATTAATAAATAAATATTCATAAAATTAATGATCAATATTTATCATATAATTATTCTTAAATGTTAAAAAATGAAATATTGTGTTGATTTATTCATATACATTTTATATTAATATAATTAATGGTAATTAAAAAGACAGCAAAAAAATAAAGAGTGTTACGTACATCTTAAGGAGTTCTAAAATAATCAAATAAGAAAGTTGGTTTTATTAGTGCCACTGCATTAACATAATAACCAGGAAAGCTTTTGAGAAGACTAGGTGAAAAAAAGAAAGGAATGAGAGAATTAAGAAGAATCAAAAGAGAAACTCAAAAATAAACAAGAAAACCAAAAAATAAGTAAGAAGAATAACTTGAAGAATAAGATGATGTACTTGAATTACCAAATACATTTATAATTGATTCATTAAAAATATCACCTGAAGATGAATAAATCTTATCATAATTTATGGTTGGAAATGATACTAAAACTAATTAAATTTTAGATGACTTCTAAAAAGGATTGTAAGATGATGAAAATAAAAAACATCATGAAAACATTATGAATAATCCAAAAGTAGTATGTGTATATGAAAAGTATAAAATTATAATTAAATATAGTGTTGCAGAATTAATGAAAACATATAGATCAGGCAAATTACCATAACCATTCCATCTCATTCCAAAATTGGAACATTGGAAATAAGTGTTTGAATTAACCAAACCTTAAGAATGGTCTCCTTAAGCAATCTTTGCAGCTACTAAAATCTTTTCATCTGCCTTAGATAGATAACAAACTGAATATTTATATTCAACTATAATCTTACCAGCAGTTAGATTAAGTATTAAAGAAGACAAAAGATTGAATGTTCATTTATATAATGCATTAATTAAAGCAATGTATAAACCATAAGCATGGTTCAGATCAATATTGTTTCCATTGTGTTTGGAGAAGGATTTTACATTAAAAGAAGCATAAATTATAGGTAGTGTAATACATAAAGTAATAATTATTAATTTGATATTCTAGTTACATATTCCACCAATTCATGGTTCAATAGCTATTTTTAAAGTTGCCTAGTTAGATTTTACAGGTCCAGTTGCTGTTATTTTAAAAGTGTTAATTGAAAAGAAGTTTTCTTTACCAGAGAGAGTATTAATTATATATAAAAATGTTAGGCATTAGATGAAGTGATTAAATATTTTATAAGATATGAGAATGATCCAAGAGAAATGCCAGTTATATGGCATCAAATGATTTTGAGAGTCTGTGAATTGTATTAACTTAAATAAGATCATAAAGATTAATTAAAAAAATTAATTAATAAAAAGAAACATCATTTAATTACCAAAGAAATATAAAAACAATTAATAAAAGGCACTAAAATGGATGTAGAAAAATGATTATAAAACTAATGTTCATATATTTTTTTAAATAAGATGGACCTTAATTTTTACAATAATTCATTCTTCTATTAATGTTTACGAGGACCATAGTCTAATAGAAGAAATTCAACTCCTAGAAAAAGACATAAATTACTTCAACCAACTTTATAATTAGATTTAAGTCTATTGCATCATAATAGCAATTTGGCTGATTCTGCAATCGTTACTGTAACTAGAAATCGTCAATCTCAGGATGTTCCTAATGTTTAAGCAAATGATGTTTCAAAAAAAGAATCTACACATAAAAAATCAATGATAATGAATAAAAGTTCCAATATTCATAGATTATATACCTAAATCAATGACATTAATAGATAGCCAATTTTACTAGATCATACAAAGGATCAGCCAGATGTTATATTATAATATCTTCCATAAGGCTAGGAATTTATTAACAAAAACAATAAATCTATTTTATAGGCATGGATACCAACCTTGTCTTAGGAAGAAAGGAAATAGATAGAAAAAAACAAAAAAAACTTTCCAATTCCTAGAAACATTACTTATAATGAAATTATGGATGGATTAAATAAATTGTATGGAAAAGGGAAAAATAGAAGATTATGGCCTGGAGAAGAAGCCTTATTGATGGAAACTATTAGATTATACATTGATAAGGTACTCTAAAATCCTAGATTATTGATGCAGAGTGTTGCATTCACTTTATTATAAATCATTACAATATCAGGATTGACTGAAATAGCAAATTATAAATTGTGTATGCTTTAATTGGAATGTCATTGGAAGATGATGATTACAAGATTCAGATATAGTGGCAATAAAGAATTAAATAAGAAACATTGGCAACACTGGCTTGAATTAGCCTAACTTAGAGGACATTTCTTAAATTTACATACCGATAACGTTTTAACTCAGTATCTATTAAAGCATCAAAAAATAGATTGACTTATTTATTCAAAATTAATCTTTATGAAATAATACGTTAATTGATTTTATATTTGTTATAAGATATATTTCATATATATAAAGTAGATGAAATTTGATAATTTAAGAATTAAGGAATTCTTTTTTATAAATCAATTTTCAGATGAATATTATATTATTGATTAATCTAAATTGTGAAAACATTTAAATATAATAATTAAATTAATATATTAAATGTTTGGATATTACGTTTAACCAAGCTCACGAGAAATTATAGAAAATCTCTAGACTAACATACATAGTCCACATTTAGAATTAGCATCAACTGTTAATAGATAAATGGCAATGTCAACTTATGAGAGACCAAAAAAAATAAAGAGAAACACAACCATTTCAATCTTTACGTACGCGAATCGTCTAAAGTAGTTAAAATATTGAAGGGGATACTCCAGAGCATAAGTAGTAATAGAAATATGTATCCATATTAAAAAGGTATTTTACAACTATAAAGATTACTATAAGTTTTATAAATTCATTAAAAGAATATTCAAAAAAGGAACATTTTCAAAGAATGGATTCAATTTAATTTAATAGGGTTTCAATGATTCCATTTTATCCTGATGATATTATTGTTATAAAATGGAAATATTTTGTTGAATTTGTAACTTTTTTGAGTGTAATAATTTATCCAATTTATATTTGCTTTAATTTATTTGAGTAATTAGAGTTTACAGTTTTAATTTTTGATATTGTATTTATAATAGATATTTTAATGAATTTTAATACTGGATATATTGATGAAAACAATAATTTGATTTTAAATTACTAATAAATCTGTTAGAATTATATAAAAACATGGTTTATATTTGATTTGATATCTGCAATACCTATTATAAGACATGAAGAAGGTAAAATGAAATTTTTTAAAATGATAAGAGTATTAAAATACTTTATATTCAAGAGATAAATCACATACAAGGGGTAAAAGAATTATGTTAAAGTGATTGAAACACTTGATCCTCATTATGAATTTTAATTGAAAACAGGCACAAAATATTTAATAAATGTTTTAATAACATCATGTTTATTAGTACATATATTTGGATGTTGGTAACACTATTTTGATTAAGGTGATTATATAACAAATATATATTGGGCATCTTAGACTATTACAACTGTAGGATATGGAGATATATAAACTTAACATGAATTTTTTATTTTTTGGATGATAATAGGAGTGGCATTTTATTCATTTACAATTGGTGATTTTGCTTTGTTAATGGAAAAATCAAAAGCAAATTAAGAATAAGAGATTCTATTTTTAGTTGAATAATTAGGTAATGCTAGAAAATTACCTGACAAATTAAAATACAAATTCTTATAATTCATAAAAAATAATATGATTCATAATCCTTTTTGGTCAGAGGAATATAGATTAATGACAAAACAATTGCCACATAATTTAAAATTATATATGTCTATTAGTGCAATGTTAGATTTTTGTAAATAAATTCCATTTTTTCTTTATGATATCAACAATACCTTTTAGTTATTGATAAATATTAGATATATGATTGTAGAGGAAGGAAGTATTATCTATAGAGAAGGCCAAAATTCTAGTGAAATTTTCTTCCTATTAGATGGAGATATTAGAATAATGACAAAAGACAAGGGATTATTATTGAATATATTGGAAGGTACAATGTTTGGAGAATTTGAAGCAATTGAAGAGAAATTGAGAGGTACTTATTGTATAGCATAAAAAAAATCGATTTGCTTAGTTATTCCATACAGAATATTAAGAAGATCTATGGAATAGAGTTCAAAATTGGATTTTGAAATTAAATAGTTACATCAAAGAAGAAGAAGACTCATTATAAATAATTTTCATGAAGAAAAAAGTAAATTATTAGAAATAAATAAGGAAAGAAAACATCATATAAAAGATAAGATGTTAAAATTTTTACATAATCTTTTTTATAAATGACTAGAGAAGAGTATTTATTGGAAAAGAAGAAATGCTAATTATAAAATATGGAAGAGTATAATAAAATGATGTTAAGTAAAGTCATTGGATAAAGAATACAAAAAGCATAAAATTGTTTAGTAAAATTTAAGAGATCTGTACATAGAATTATAGAGATGAATCATTTACTTGATGATAATATGCCAGATTAATGGAAAGAATTGAATAATTACCAAATTATCAAAAGAGTTTTTCCAAAGAAATATTTAAAATAAAAATATGAAATAATCTCTTTATCTAGAAAATCATCATCAGTTCATTCTCATTTAAGTAGATATGCTAATTTAAGTTAATAATGTTTTTTTCAAAAATTACCAGAAATTAGAATCAAACATTTAGTTCTTTAACATGTTAGATAAACAAGGAATAAATTTATTCCTTTGCATTAATCTCTCAATCATTATATTTAAGAATATTAAGAACAAAGTCAATAATTATAATAATCTAAAAGGAAAGAAAATATAGAAAGATCTATTTGGAATAAAAAGTTTACAAAAATTTCATAAACAGTTATTCTTAGAATTGATGAAATACAAGAAAGTGGAAATAAATACTTTTTATTAATGCAAAATTTAAAAAAGATTGAAAAACTTTGGTTAAAAGGTTCTATGTACAAATTTGAATTATTTTAATTAACTCATGGAAAAGAAAAGACATTTTAAATATGAATAAAATTTTGTAAATAATTTTGATTAAATGATTACGATGTTTTTTATATATTAATGTACTTAAAAAGAACAATCATCTTGCACCTTTTCCTCTTCTTGCAGTGTGACTGACATATGGCTTAGCATGTGATCCTGGTAATCCTGCAGCTCTACCAAAATGCTTCAATTCTTCTCTTACTCTTGGTCCTCTTAATAAGATTGTTCCAGTGCCTTTAAATATTAAATTATTTATATACCAGTTGGGTTTTATTGTGCTAATTGATCAAAAGTTAAGACCTTTCCACCGGCGGCAAGAATTCTCTTTCTTGCTGTCTCAGTGAATCTCAAAGCACACACATTGATCTTTGGAACAGTGAGAAGACGTACACTAAATGCTATTTAATAAATAATTACTCATCTGTGACAGTGCCTACAACAACAAGTGTTCTTGTCTTGTCTTTGGCTGTATTAATTTATTTAACAAGTCTGCTAACACTGATTGGATATCTGGCTGTTCTTGTTTATTAAAGTCTTCTTAAAATTGTTGCATTGAAATTTGAATCTGTTCTTCTGGCTAAGAATTTATATAGCTAAGATTTAATTCAATTATTAAAATACCTTGATTAACAATTTCAAATAAAGGTTTGTTGAGGTCACCTTTCTTTAAACATTTCTTTATACTCTTGTCTTCTTATATGCATCAACTCCCTAACATGATTATTAGTGATATTTGTTACCATTTTAAAAATAAATATATCTTTATTTAATTTATGTCATATATAACTACATTAAAATTATTCATCAATTCACAGAATACAACAAACTTTAAACCTATTATTCATTTAATTAATATACTTCTTATTAAATCATTCCATTTATTCTAATAAGAATCAATATACCAATCATATATTCTATATTTTTGTTTTTGTATTAATGATTCTCAAAAAAAATGAAAATATATCAATAAAAAGTCAAAGATTATTTAGATTAAATAGAATATAATAATTAATTTAATATTATTCCAATATGGAAATGATGATTGATTACATAAATTTCAATCATACATTATTTAAGAATATGAATAATTTTTAAAATATTTATTTTATAATAGATAAATTATTCATCTAGTATAAAATACTCCACCGAAATTTCTTGAGTATCCATTATTTGTACTCTTCGTATGATAATCATTATAAACAAAACTTGATTTTCCTACTCCTGGAAGACGATTCCTATTTTGATAATTCAATTTTACACTGCGAATTCCTTGTTTTTTAATAGATTCAGTTATTTCAATTTATATATAGATGTCATTAACTCTCTTCTTTAAAGTAATAAATCAGCATCACTAACAATACTGTCAATAATTTAATTTCTTATAGTTGATTTTGGTACTTTATTTATTCTTTCATCAAAATACAAACTATCTTTAAATTATTAAAGGGTCCTTTATTTTTAAATGCTTTAAGAAGGAGTAGAACTGTAAAATTTATGTTATTACTTACCTTGAGCTGTCTTAGGAGTTTGATTTGATAATCTGTATCTATTTTAAGTTACATTTCTTTGATTTTATGTTTCGACTCTTGGTTGATTCCTTTAAGACTATTATTATTCCTATTCAAATTGCTATTACTCAATCTAATTTTAGAGATTACGATTTTCTTATTCATCTTGAAATTCAACTTTCAATTATTTTTATTGTGATTGTAATTATTGTGAATTAGAATACATTTATTAAGTTTCATATTATTTAGGTATTTCTTACTTTGGTACATACACGGCAAATTTTTAATTGGTTGAATAGGGTTCATCTTGAAATTCGACATTTTTATATATTGATTTACTGTTGCTATTCATTAAGGATTTTGGATTATTTTATTTATTTAATAAATAAATAATTTAATATTAATTATATTCCCCTATGAAATAAGATAAAAAAAAGTAAACTCTTCTTCAAAACCCTAAAAATTAAAGCAAAGGTCCTAAACAACAAGTCACATAAAAACTACCTGATGATATGGTATATCATTATAAAATTATGATAGGAATCAGAAATTAGAGACTGTTTCAATTTTTATGATCCTTCAAGAACAGGATTCATTAATCGTTAAAATATGAGATCAATATTGGGTAATTTTGGTTTCATAAATAAAACTGTAAAAGATATAGAAGAAGAAATTAGAGATGTTGTAGAAGAGTATTATATCCTTTTATTATTAGAACTCGTGATAGTTTTTCATTAAAAGATGTTATATAATTGATTTCTAAAAAGTGGTTTGAAAATAAAGGAAGAGATGAAGAAATTGATGAAATTTATGAATTATTTGTAAGAAAGTAAAAGTAATAAATAAATAAAGGGATCGTAAAGTAGGTTTACCTGAAATAAAGAATGTATTTGCTCAATATCTTGATATTCAAATTAGTGATGCTGACATTCTTGAATTCATTTAAGATGCAAGTAAAGATAAGGATGGTTTGACAAAAGAAGACATTGCAGCTAAAATGGGTTATATTTGATATTAATTTTATTAAATGAACTAAAGATAATTAACTTTATAAACATTTCTTTAAAAACAACCTACAATCAATTTAGAATATTAATTACCAACTGCTGTAACAACTAACTCTGTCCCAATATCATAATTATGGAGTGAAAAATATTGTTAAAAAGTTTTGAGAGTTAGCAATCTCAAAACATTTTAATAATCATAAGAAAAACAAAAAAGAATTACAGCACATATAAAAGTCTAAAAATTCTTTTAAAAACCTAAATTTGAGAAAGTTAATCAAAAATATTAAGCTGCAGAAATATATGGATTCAATTAAATTATAGAAGAACTTGATAAAGAAAGGAGTGATATTAAAGATCTATCATTAAGAATAACTAGAAGTGTATCAAGAGAAGATAAAGAAGTTAAATTTAAAAAAAATAGAGAAAATAGAAAATAAGATGAATTTGTAGCATTCTTACATAAGAAGTTTTCATTGAAACCACTTATAAAGCTAAGAAATAAGAAAAATAATAATATTGATATTACTATATGAATTCTTTTTATATAAATATTTTATTCATAGTATATATATCTCTAAATCATATCTTTACTCAAAATCATAATTTTTTTTTCAATTATTTACTAAATTAATTTAAGTCTGCAATAATATTCATTATTTCTTTCACTTTTGGATTTTAATAATTATTAACACTCTTCCTATTTTTTTATGTTATTTTTGTTTTAGATTTCTCACTTGTTTTGGTCTCATTTAATTTTGGTCTAAAAGTACAATCTTTCAATTCTTTTTCACTCTTTCTTTTTTACTCAAAATTAATTTTTTCTTATAGTCTTTATTTCCATTCTTGATTTCGTTTTGCAATATCAGGAGAGGATTTTGGCTTATCTTATTTAATAATTTCTATCTTTGGAGATGATGGAGATTTACGCAAATGTATTTTTGCATAACTTCCATAATGTTCAGAAAGCGTTGACTATTAAGATTAATTAATAGGAGGTTAGGTAAAGTTTTAAGACGAGTTTCGTCTAAATACAAAATTACTATTATTTTATTATTTGATAGGACTGATGTCTTCTGTTGGGAATAGATCTTCTTTAACTTTAAAACTTGATAATCTCAATTCAGATCGTTCTAATGGTAGAGATTATCTTCTTAATTCTTAAGAACTTGCATATCTATTATATTGACTAAGTAGACCTTAGTCATCATCTTTTTGTATTTTTGTCTCTTCAATTAAATGAGGTTTCATAATTGATGGAGTACTTGTAATTGTATTAGGAATTTTGTTATGTGTATGTATAAGTTTTAAGAATTCATCATACTTTTTGATTGTTAATTAAACATCTTTGTGAACATCTTTTATTAAAGAACAAGATTTTTTTGCTACTATGTTAGCATTAAATAGAGATTCATTTAATTTGATATGAGATTTATCAGGAGTTATAGGATGGGATACTTTTTAGGCATATGATTGTTCATGAATCCTCTTTTTTGATTCTGAAAGTGATTACATATTCAATAACAATATAATGATTGTTTTTTTATTTAATTTTATTTATAGACTTTTAAGTAATACAAAATACAAATAAAACATGCTAGTTGTCTAATTAATTAGTATATAATTGATATAATAAACTTAAAGTATTATATAAATGTAGTAAAAACTTGTGATAAATTAATTGCAGAAATAAATTTTATTATGGATTAATTGGAATTATTGAAAATTTGGAGAGGGATCATAGTAGCATTACAAAAGAAATACAGTGATATCAATAGTGCATATTCTGATTTGGATGTTAATAACTCAGGAGAAATTGAAATTGATGACTTGTCATCAGAGTTAAAGAGAAATCACAATATTCAATCTGATGAGTATATTTGATAAAAGTATCAATAGAACCATTAAACAACTTTTTGATTATTTAAACACTTCAAAGTCAGGTGCCATAGATTTAGATGAATTTGAGAATCATTGGACATAAGTTGATTAAAATATAAAGTAAGCAACAAATCAGTAAAAGTTCTAATAATAAAAATAAGAAAATGAACAATAACTTTTAATATCATCTGGATAGAAATCAGCTTAATAGTTTTCTGATTTATTTAAAAGTTATGCATCAGGAAATTCACCTACTAAATACATTAATATTTAAGGTGATTTTTAAATTAATCATTTCACATAAACTACTATAACACCTCCTAAATAAAGACCTCTTAATTTTTTGGATAATTTCAATTATAATAAAAAAATATCACCACCAAAACATTCCTATTTATTAAAAAGTAGAGCTGAAATTCAGTAGGATAGACTTAGAGATATGTAAAAAAGAATTACAAATATATTTAATGGAAAATAAGAACATAAAAATTCATCTCCAAGATTAAAAAAGGATTTTGATAGCTATCTCAATAATAAATTAGGCAAACCAACTACAACTAGAAGATAACCTTCATATCCTTAATTTACATTTGATTTTCAGAATATCTATCCATAAAGAAAAACTTAAAAAAATTTTGAATAAAGATTTTCATTTAATACAAGAACAGATCCTTCTCCTAATAGATCTTAAGATAGAATTTCATTATAACAATATGCATATTAATTTTTTGATAGAGTTTATGATCATAAACAAAGTTCATCTCTTTTGGGATTGTAAAAGAAATAATAGATATAACCTAAAACAACATTTATGTTCAGATTATGACAATTAAATTATATAATTAATTATCTATAAGTATTCAATTAAAATATATATATAAATAATGGCAGAAATCAAAATTAGTAATAAAACCAAAGATAAAGTTAATGCTTGCAAAGCCTATATAGAAAGAAAATATAAAATGTTTATAACTTAAGAAAAGGAAAAAATATAAGATTGGTAGCAATTGGAATTAATTCTAAAAAGCCTTAATTTTACACCTATAGAATAAGAGTTGATAAAAAAGGAAATATAACATAAGGAAGCAATGCGATTAAGAAAGAAGTTAATATGATTTAATCTTTAGGAGATAAAAGGTTACGGTTGAAGATTATGAATCCCTTGCCATAATTGGTAGAGGAGCTTTTGGAGAAGTAAGAGTTTGTAGACATAAGAGTACAAATGAAATTGTAGCAATTAAAAAAATGAAGAAATCTGAAATGATTTTTAAAAATCAATTAGGACATATTAGAGCTGAAAGAGATTTATTAGTATAATCTAAATGTAAATGGATTGTTGAATTAAAATAATCATTTCAAGATGATGATAATTTATATTTAGTAATGGAATTTTTAAGTGGTGGAGATTTGATGACTTTATTAATTAAAAAGGATATAATTCCAGAAAGAGATGCAAAATTTTATATAGCAGAACTTGTTTTGGCAGTTGAAGAAATTCATAGTATGAATTATATTCATAGAGATCTTAAACCTGATAATATTTTAATAGATGCAGATGGTCATCTTAAAATATCAGATTTTGGTTTATGTAAACATTTAGGTGTACATTATGATATGGCTATCCCATATAAAAATAATACTTAAGAAATATAGTCTAAAAATAATAATTCACGTCGTTAATTAGCATATTCTACTGTTGGTACACCTGATTATATTGCACCAGAAATATTCTCTTAAAAAGGTTATGATTAATTGGTAGATTGGTGGAGTGTAGGTGTTATTTTATTTGAAATGGTAATAGGTTATCCACCTTTTTATAGTGACACACCATAAAAAACCTGTTAAAAAATATTATCTTGGAAACATCATTTTAAAATACCTAAAGAACCAAAAATATCTTCTTAATGTTAAGATTTAATTCTCAAATTGATTTCTGATTCTAGTGAAAGATTAGGAGATTCAAATAAAATAAAAAAACATCCTTTCTTTTGTGGTATTGATTGGATTAATATACGAAATCAAAAACCTCCTTATATACCAGATAAAAAGAAATTAACATCTAATTTTGATAAATTTGAAGAAAAAGAACCATGGATTAATAATGTATAAAATGAAAAAGATATAGATTAAAATAAAAATATGAATGATAATAAAAAATACTTTTATGGATATACTTATAAAAGAAATTGTGATATAGAGAAAAGTCCTATAAAAAGGGCTATAGAAGAATTAGAAAATATTAAACCATCAGGAATCAAAGCTGATTTCGATAAAAAACAAAGATCTTAGTCTCCAAAACCTATTAATATACCTCCTGAGATTAATAAATCTTAACGATCTCAATCACCAACTATAAAGGATTAACTAAAAAATACTTATATGTAATATATTGGATAATTTTTATCACCAATAAATAAATTAAAACAAAAATAAAATTGAAAAAACCATATGAGTATGATATTTTTTTATAAATATAATTAATATTTTCTCTATATAATAATATATCTAATATAATATGAATAATTAACTATTATATTGAATGAATAAATGATTAACATATTTTAATCAATATTTTTACATAAATATTAAATCAACACATTTCAAATAAATTTGGATTAATTTACTTTTTTACTTTAGATACTGGTTTACATAATTTTGATTTTAATATTTTGAATTACTATAAAACATCTACTATTAAACAACCTATTAAATTAACACTAAATAAAATTATATTAACCCATCCAATTTATATCCTATATTAATAAAAATAATCCATATTATGACATAAAAATAAGATACAATTTAAATAAATTGAAGTTTCAAAAATTATAATTTTAAAATTTTCATAACTCTAATACATTGGTTTAGATAATATAATATATAAAGTAAATATAACAGATTGAAAAGAAATAAATAAAGTTTAACATATTGGTATAACTTAGAGTAGAATTAATGCACAAATAAAAGTTATCTTCTTTATTAATAGGATAGTTTAATATTAAGCATTCCATTTATTGGATTTTGTATTAATACCTTGAAAAAACATTTTTAATTTTATTATTTTATGAGAAATCAATGATTAAGAATAAAATCCAAGAATTGATATAAAATTAAATGCAAAAATTACTATTGATAAGGCTGAACATATCTATAAGAGTTTACTTTATTATGAGAATGTTACTATTTATAATAAAGAAGAAAATGTTAAATCATAATAGCTTGATAGATATATTCTAATTAATCCTTTATAAAAAAAGGATTTAATGTATAATAATGCCAATGATTGTAAAGAATACAAAAATGTTACTAATTTTTAAATTGCACATTTAATAAAACCATCAAAATGATTGATTAAATTTGAATATTTTGATTTAATTAATAATTTAATGAATAATTTAGATATCCAATAATTAATTATACTAGTTAACAAGATAATTATAAAACTTTATAAATTAGTTCCAAAAAAACATTCAGTTTCAAAGAATTCAAATTTACCAATATTATATTAAATTGTAGGTGGATCTTATTACATAACTTAACCAAAAATTTAATCTAATTAAAGATAATTTTGTAAAGGTTATAATGAAACCAAATCAAAAATAGCAAGAAAAACTTAAAAGTTAATGGGATAATTGATATTTATGTATTTGATGTATGATAATTATTATAGATTATCTAATAAATTCCAAAAGATCTCAAAATTACCTAAAAATATTGATAAGATTGCTATTCCAATGATAATATAAATAACAATTGAATTAAATTAAGTAGCTTTATCTGTAATTATTTTTTATAGATTAGTTAATTATTCAATATTGGACAATTTAATAGTGACATTAGATGATGGATTATTCCCTAATTCATTGATTACTAGATAAGAATCAAATGATAAATTTAATATTGGATTTTTTATAGAAACTTAAAATTAAAGATCTATTGTATATTAAATATCCATTAATTCTTTTGATAGTTCTATTATTGGTATTAAAGTAAAGTTGAATTACTTTTTATCTATTTTTAATATAGATATTGAAATTGATTTAATAAAATCATCAGAACTATATATTGATTAAGATAGCATAATAGGTTAAGTGAAGGCTAATAATAAATGATTTGGTTTATTATTAATCATTTATAGAAGTGGAATAGGATAATCTTATTAAAAACAAAGGCTTAATTGATCTTAGATGATACATTTCCAATTATTTTCAATTTAACATTTGTTATTACAACCATCATAATTATAAAGATTGGAATCATCACATTCTTCCTTTTCTATAATAACTATACCATCTCCACATTAAGTATTACAATTAGAATTATGTGGATAGAATCCAAAAGGGCATTCTTAACATATTCCTTGATAACAATTTAGACATTCAATAGAACATTGATAATCACATTCATAACAACCATCATATTATATAAAATTACCATCATCACATTTTTCTAAGATAGTTATAATTCCATCTCCACAAATTGAATCACATTATTATGTATTTTAGTTGTAAATCCATCCATAAGGATTGCATTTCAAACAGACTTTACTTTCACATATTAAACATCCTAAAGAACATTAAATTTTGCATTCATAACATCCATCATATGGTAGATTATTAGTATCATCACATTCTTCATATGGATAAGTTACTATACCATCTCCACAAAGATTTTAACACATATCAGAGAAACATTATTATAAAGATTGTTCCCAAATACAATTATATCCATTTAAATCAATCAAGCATTCAGATTCATCTTTATAGAAATTACAATTAGTTTTTAGTTAACATCCTCCTTATGATTTAATTGTACATTCTATTTAAACAGCAACACATTCATCATATGTAAATGGTATTATGGGTATAGAATTACAATTTCTATCATAACATTATCCAGAAATCCAAATACAATCATTTAAATTTCTATCAAAATTACAACAAATTTAATAATGACAATCTTAACAATTTAATCTTTATAAACAAGTTTGACCATCACTAATACAATGTTTATCTGTAAATATTTATTAACATTAATTTTCATTATCATATTAAAAGTCTTCACATTCAATAGTTTTACATGATTCATTAATACAATATTTTGTATAGTCTAAACATGAATGATTTTAATCAAGAATAATATTATTACAATCTAAAACTATACATTTAAGATTGATATGATCCCATATACATTTAGTATTTAATGTAGAATTTTCACAAATAGATTCACTTAAATAATAGTTACATTAAATAGTTATACATTTATCAATATCCCATATACAAGGATCATAATTTCTATTAAAATAGCATTAATAAGAATTATAATATTAATGACAATCCTTTAATTCTATACAACCATTCTATGAATCATTGACTGTACAAGTACTTAATAAAGTGTTACATTTTATATGAGTATTATTACTTGTATCAATGATACCACAAGAATTTAATTCAAAACATTGTTAGAAAACAGTATTCCAATAACATTTCTTTTTATTTGCATCAAAATAACATTAACTCTATTATGCTTGTGAACAATATTATACAAAACTACCACATTTAGGTTCATCTCCTATAGTACATACTTTATTAGGTCGATATTACTCACATTATGTAATTGATACAGAAGAAAATGAAGCTAATTGACAAGCATCAATACATTTATTTCCAATGAATACACAATTATCTAACCAATTATCACAATCAGATTGATTATTAGGTATTCTACTTGTACCATTTTTATAATTTTAGCATATTCTTTATACACACTAAGCAGATGTATCAATAGTACATTTTGTACCACTTCTAGTTATTGCAGTATCACAATCAGCAAGTAAGTAATCTGAACAATTTATTAGATGTGATGTGCAAAGACTACTTATCCATTAACAATATTTAGAATTAGCTTAACAACTTATTTAAGATGAAAAACTTGAACATAAATCATTACATATTCCTGTTGTTGGAAGTGAAGAACCACCTATTGACCATTAAAAAATACATTTAGTTCTATTTAATGAGTATTTACAAGAAGAATATGCTGAATAATTAACACATCCAGATTAGGCACTAGCACATGTTTAAATTTATGCCACTGTATTTAATTAATTTTTATTATTACATTCTTTATGATAATCCATTATTACTTCTTAACAATAATTACTATTAATACATCTATTATCACACCAATAACATTTAATATTATATTCTTCATATTATTCAATACAAATTGAATTTATTGTATAAAATGAACAAGAATTTGTTTAACATAAATTCCCAGATGAATTCCAACTACAACTAGTTCCTTTTGGTTTCTAAAGAATACAAATACTGCTATTTGTAATCAAATTACATTATGAAGCAGTACAACCTATTCCATCTCTATAATTCAATTCACATATATCATTTATTTATTTACATTCATAATTTGAAGTTGCTGAAATATTTAAATGACAATTTTAATTATTGTTTTAATGAACTTCTTAACAAACTCCACTTATAAATTTACAAGAAACCTAATTTCTTGAAACAGATTAATCACATTTTTATTAACTAATAATAGAAGAACAATAATCCATTATCTCACAACCTTATTCTCTCATTCCATCAGCTTTTATTTTTTATTAACAATTTTTAGAACTATTAAAATAGTTAAAACAATCACTATCATTATTAGCTGTTGTTTATGATTAACATTAAATACTTAAACAATTAGTACCATTCCATACACAAGGCTCATAGTACGAATTGATTTTACATTGCATTTCAAATACATACAATGAACAATCTGTTTTTAATAATTCACAAGCAATATTTTAATTAACACATGAAATAGATATTTATTCACACATCTAATTTGTAATTGCTAAATTTAATACCATAGGACAACTAGAAGGAATATAATTAAAACATTAATTAGTACTTATATTCCATTAACATTTTACTCCATAATAATCTTCTGAACATTTTTATTGAGTAGTATAACCTAAACAAGAGTATTATTTTCTTTAACATCCAATTGCTCCAGCAGTATTTACAGTACATGAATTATTCCAAGCATTACACTCTTAATGGTTTTAAATGGTAAATGTAACAGTCATACCACAAGTATCAAAAACATCTCGTTCTTTGCATTAAGAAGTAGAAATATCATAATTACAAATTTGATTCCATTAGTTACATTAATAATTAGTTGATTATCCACTAGATAAATTACAAGCTTTAAAAATACATGATGTACCATTCCACAAACAATTAGTACCATCTATTAAACCTAAACTACATTATGATAGATCTGAAAATCCTGAACATATTGTTGGCCATTGTATACATGCAGTATTAGATGAATTAATAATACATTTCATACCAACAACTTTTAGATTTTAACAAAAAGTTGAAGATGAATTAATATAATCAGAACATACTTTAGGAATACATATACCAGAATTCCATTTACATTAATAATCATCAATAGTTGAATAACATTATTATTAATGATAATCATTACAACTTAATTTTTTTAATGTACATCCATGTATTTATTAGATATTAGATAATTAATAAACATTAACAGTACAATTATTAAGCCATAATTAACAATCTGTATGAGTAATTAATGATATAGGTGCATCAGAACATTATTTTAATTTGCATTTCTTTGGTAATTTACATAATTAATTTGTTAAACAATCATTTTAATGAAGTGTTTCACAAGTATAATCTAGACATATTCCATTATAATAATCATATGAACATTTATTATTAATTATATTACATTATAAATGACTTGAAAATTGAGGGAATATGAAATTAGAACATATATTTTCTACACATATATTTGTATTCCAATAACATTTCCTATTATAATAATCAACATCACAAAATTAACTATAATTAATTAAATTACATGATTAAGGTCTATCTTAACAACCACCATTAATATTACCCATACATTTTCCAATTATTTTACATTAATTATGATTTAATGATAATAATTGACTTTCACATCCTTATTTCTTACATTAATTATTATTATTCATCCAAAAACATTATTAATTTTTTATTGATAAACAATCTTCTTCACCATCATAATCCTCACAATTTATTGGTCTATTTTTACAACCTCCTCCATTTTTAAATACACAATCTAAATAAATATCAAATTATTAACATTAATTATAATTTGAATAGATATTTACATCTTCAGCTAAAGAACATTCCTTCTTTTTGCATTCATTATTAATAAATATACATTTATTACCATAGATATCAGTAACACAACCTTCAATTACTAAATTGTCTTTACAATCCTAACGTAATATACATTATTATCCATTTGTTGTACATTCTTATAATAAACTCCTACATTCTTAATCACTTTTAAATCTCAAATTGTTACATACTAAATCTACACATTATGATAATACTTAATCCCAATAACATTATTATGATTTATCTTTATTATAAAAGCATTACTCTTAATATTTAATCATTCTGCATTATTCTTTACTTTCCACACAACCACCATTTACAGATACTGTACAAATTGATATCTATTCTCTACACTCTAAATCACTTATAAGATACATTGGTAATTCATTACACTCTCTACTAATTCGACATTTAGGATTTTCACTAATAGACCAAAAACAATAACGGTTTGCTTTATTCTTATTTTAACATGTAATCCAATTTTCATATTCCTCACATTGACCAATATTTATACATTTCATACCATCACTTATACAATTTTTAGATGATTCCCAACACTCTTCTCTTTTAAATACTTAACACTCTTTAAAATCTATACATTCACCTAAATAAAATCCACATTTATCCTATAATCTGCAATCCTCTTAAGAGTATTCCTTACAATACACTCCTACACTCCCTTTATCCAAATATCTTTCACCATTTTTTATTATACACTTATTTTAGATCCATTAACAAATACTTGATCTATCACATTATTCATTATCCTATATTTGATTACACACACAAAAACTACTATATTCACCTCTTATTTGTTATGATAACACAATTAATATGAAAATCTTTCTTAAAATTTTCATCATAAATTAAAACAATATTATCTTATTTTTTTAAATATACTGACTACTTATTATAATTGTATAAAAAATCAATGATTTCCATATTGATACATTATTTTCCACATTAAATTAGACAATCTTTATAACAATTTTACATTTAAATTCATTTTATATAATAATTTAATATATATGTATTTAAATATAATTATTTTCATATATATGTATTATAAAATACTTTGGTTTAAGATAAATATACAAATACTAAATATCTTCTAATATATAAGATATTGAGATTACTAATAATAAGGATATATTATAAATATTATTAATTATAGTTATAAAAGTAAAGCATAACTTAATTATAATTAATTATTGTTTATAATAAAGAGGTATGAATTTATACCAAATTGATAAATTTACTCAAATAACCTTACCATAGTCACTCTAATCCAATTCTACATCTAATATTTATATTGATAATGAATGGCTTGATCAATAATTAAAATAAATTCAATAGGTGGATTTCCAAAATTATAACCTACCCAGTAATACAGATATTTCATAATTTGTATTGTAATAATCATATGGGGAAACACCATCTTTATAATAAAATAAAAAAGAGGAATTTGAATTTTCTATACTCAATTTAGATAACCTTGAAGATGATGAATAAAATAAATATTCTCAAAACAAAAAATATTAATTAGAATAAAAGAAAAAGAATTTTAAAAAAAGTAAAACAACAACCAATGGATTTGCATTAGATGAAACTGATTTATTTTAAACAGAATAAGAATCATTAAGAAAATGGAAGAGTTCATAAATTTAAAAAAAATCAGAATTTACAAAATAATTTAATGACTATAAATAGAATTGTTAGATAGAAATAGTTGTTAAGTATTTTGGATCAAAATATTAATAAACACTATTAGTAAATGATTAAATTATAGCAGCAGAATTAATAGTCTTAGCACTTAAGACATTTTAATAAGATTAATTTAGTGATAAATCAAAATATGAATATCCTAATTTCACTTTAGCTTATAAATTAATTGGAACAGAGATTACTCCAGCTAAATTTGCATTTACAAATGATGAAAATTTTGATAATGATAGTTTTAAATTTGATGATGAATCTTTAGAAAATCCAGAAATTGATTTAGAATCTCAAGTATTTTATAAAACTGTTGAATTATTACCAGGTTTAAACTCTTTTGGATTAGATTTCTAATTCATAAAATAAACATATCTAACAAATCCAGAATTTCTTATTTTATTAATAGAAGATCCAAAATCATAAACATTTTATCATATAAAAGTAAATAAAAATGGAAATCTTAAAGATTGTTAAAATGAATTAAATAGAAAATTGACTAGAAAATATTTAAAAAATGATTATTATTTAAGTTTGAAATATCCATGTGTAAATTATGATTGTGGAGATCTTGGATAACAATTTCCAATTAATTAATTACCTCTTCATTGGTTAGTAATCTAATCAAAATCTTCAAATTTATTATAAGAATCTATAGATGAAGCTAATGTTGTTTCAAATAAAAATAATATTAATAATCTTCAAGAAAATAATAATCAAACAAATTCATGTAGATTTTTATCATTAGATTTTATGTAATTAGCAACTGTTGAAAAAATGCCATTATTATATGGATACTAAGAATTTAATCTATTAAAATATGATAAAGGATGTTTTAATGAGATTATCTTTGGAATAGATTATTTTGATATCTATTATTAATATAATGAAAAATAAAGCAAAAAGATTGGGATAATCAATTTTATATATAAGTTAGCAAAATAAATATTCTTAGAGAAAAGTGAAAAAAAACAATATAAAAGAATTCCATTAAATGTGATAACAGATTTAAAATAAAAGAAAGAGAAATACTTTGAGATACATTATGAATTATTTGATGGATTTAAAAAGAAATTATTATTTTGTTCAAGAAATGATGATAAAAATGTAATAAGAGAAGTTTATAGTAAATTAGAATATTTAGTATCAATTTAATAATTTAATGAATGAAATTTTGTGTTTTTAATATTTCTCCATTATTTATAATTATTAATTCATATATCTTACTTAGAATTATAACATATAAATATATATAGAAAATATAAATATATAATATAAAAATTATTAAAATATGTCAAATAAAGTTCCACCATTAATAACTCTAGGAGTAGATAGATAGGGTCTCTAAAAATTTGATGATAAAATCTAATTAGGAAATGAGGAATTCAAAATTTCAGGTGTCAAAATTAGTTTAGATGATAATCAAATTTGTGGAATCTCTTTTACTTACTAAAATATATAAAATGGAAGAAAAATAATATGCAATGATACTTGCATAACTGGGAAAAACATTTCCCAATATGAATTTGAAATAGGTTAAAGTAATAATAAAATTTAAATTAAGATGATTTCATTTAGGTTCTTTTTGGATATTATGAATCTGGGATTACTTAATTAGGAATTATAACTTATAAAGGATAACAAGTTATCTTTGGAAAAGATTAAGGTTACAAGTTTAATTATATGTTTATGGGATATACATTTACAGGATGTTCTGGTTCATATAAAAAAGGAAGTATAGAATCTCTAACTTTTAAAGTAGCCAAGTTGCCAAAATAATTTATTATTCAGCAAGTATTTATTTTTGATAATATTCATTATAGTTCAATCCTTTACTTGGAATCCTTTATCCAGAGAATCCATATGAAAGCATAATTCTTACTAATTTTGATCAGGAATAAAAATAACAATATGAATAACAACCTTAACCTGTAATGTAACCTGTTGTTACATCTGAAATTATTTATTCAATGATACCAAATTAGTCACCATAAACATAATAAGGTTATCCTATATAGAATCAATAAGTACCTCCAAATTAGATACCTCCTTATGGAAATCCTTATTAACAACCAAATTAATATCAGACATACTAATAATATCCAAATAATTAATAATACTATTCAACACCTTAATAAGGAACTAATCAAGTTATCATAGTAAATGATTAATAATAACCATAATAATAATAATATTAAAAATAAGGACCTGGATTTGCTGGTACTATGGCTAGAACTGCTATAGGAACTTTTGCAGCTATAGAAACTGTTAGAATGATTGAAAATATAGGTCATCATCATCATCATTAAGCAAATGTAGTTGTTGTTGGTATAATTTTAATTTATATTATAATTAGGTAATAAACATCATGGACATCATCATAGAAGATGAATTATATAATTGTGATTATATTATTTATTAATATTATGAATAATTTCTTAAAATAACATATTAAATTAAGAAAATTAAATATTGAATGCAATAAAGTGAATAAGGACCTATATGGTAAACAATACCTAAAGATTTTGTGTAATCCAAAGTTAAGTTTGAGGCAACAGTAACCAAATTAGGAAAGAAGTAACATCAAAGACATCTTGTTATTACTGATAAACATATTTTATTATTCAAAGTAATTGAAACTATATTCAAAAGGAAAATGGAAAATATGCACATAAATTATTACCTTTAGATTTTTCAACTAGATTTGAAATATTTCGTGATGCTCCTACATTAAAACCAAATGTCTAAACTAAAAAATCAACACCAAACACTCCTCATTCTAATAATAGACCTGACATTGTTAAACCTGAGGATGTTTAAACATTAGGAGATATATTACATATAAGATTATAGATTGAATCATCAGATAAACATTGGGATTTTACTAGTGATTAAGAAACACTCAAAACATTTAGAAAACTATTTGGTTAAAAAATAAATCAAATGGGATTTCATCATATGTTTAAAGTGTTTAAAAAGATTGGCAAAGGCAATTTTGCAAGTGTATATCTAGCAGAGAGAATAGAAGATGGTTAATAAATGGCAATTAAAGCATTTTCAAAAAGTGCAGTCTATGCAGAAGAAAATGGAAAAGTAAGATTATACATAATAAAATAAGGAAGGACTCATAAATGAAATAACAATAATGAGAGAATTAGATCATCCAAATATCATGAAACTATATGAAGTCTTTGAAACATAGAATTCATTATATATGGGTTTAGAATTATTATAAGGAGGTTAACTCTATGATATAATGAAAAAGAAAGTGATATTAAATAATAAATAAATACAATCCATTATGAAAGGATTATTAGATGGATTAGCACATATGCATTCCAAAAATATAATGCATAGAGATTTGAAGTTAGAGAATATATTATTCAAAGAATAAAAGTTAATTTAAACATTATTATAATAGTGATATCAATTCTGTAGTTATAGCTGATTTTGGTTTAGCAACATTTGTAAATCTTCCAATCTATTTATATTGTAGATGTGGAACACCTGGTTTTGTAGCACCAGAAGTGATAAATATTACAGATATGTCAACTACATATGATAGTGTTTGTGATATTTACTCTTTAGGATTGGTATTCCACATACTTTTGACAGGAAAACCAGGATTCCCAGGAAGAAGTTATAACACAATTGTTCAATAGAATAAGGATGCTAAAATCAATTTTAAGAGTCCTGTATTTGATATTGTACCACCATAAGCATTTGAATTATTAAAACAAATGTTAGAACCTAATCCAAAAAAAAGAATTACAGCTAAATAAGCTATGCAATTTGAATATATTTAATTATGTGAAGGAAATCAATAAAATAATTAACCAGATGATGATGGAAATATAGGTGAAATTGATGATAAACCTGGATTAAATGCAAGAATATAATAAATTAATGAACAGTATATTCTTATATTATTTAATAGAGCAGCTAAATTTGATATGCTTAGAATTAATTAATTGACTAATTCACCTTTAAAATCACCAGTCATGTAAGCAACCAACAAAATGAAAGAAGTTTAAAATAAAGATTAATAAATGATTATGAGAACTCCTGTTATTACAGGTAGAACTGTTGGATGTGAAGGTAAAACTATATATTTAATTAACTTTTAGACTCTCCAAATATGAATTAATTTGTTTCACCTAGTGTACAATTCAAAAAACTATAATAAAAGTAAGTATTTTATTAATATCTAGTTAATAATAAGCCCCAACTGGCAATGTTTTATTAAAGTATACCTAAAAACCTTAATAATAATAACCAAAGGACAATGAAGATGAAAAAAAAGAATAGTCTAATATTGCAAAATCAGTAAAGGCTGCTCTTAGTAAACATGTTTGATATAAATCAAAAATAATTATTTATTATTGTAAATAATACTATAAATATTTAATTTAAAAGAAGAGGTTTACGAATTATTAAATAATTACCTATAATTTTTCATCATTCTTACCCTTCTTCCTTTGGTTTCTCTTAAGACTCCTCACTTTCAGATTGTGAACTTTCTTGCTCCTGTTCAATAGGTTATTCCTTTATTTTCTGACTTTGAAAATCTATAAATTATTAGTATGCTCTCTATAACTTCTCCTTTAGATCCTTTTCCATTTCCTAATTATAAATATTATCATACATTGAATCGTTCATTACTATATTCCTTAAGAGGATTCATGCCTTCATTAGTTTTAACTGGTTGCCATAATAAATGTGGGGCTGTTCTAAGAAACTTCTTTAATATTATATACTTTGTGATAAAGAATTCTCTCATAGTTTTTAATTAGAGTTCCAATAATAATTACTATATATAGTTTATTATAATATTTACTTGTCTTCTAAATTCATCAGCAGCCAATTCTCTTTCTAATTACTTTCTCTCTGTTACTAATTTTTCCTTTCTTTTCTATCATATAATTTATTATAATACATCCTAATTCTCTTTATATGCCATTAAATCTTATCTTTCTTTATCTTCCAATCTTTTATTTATCTCTATTTATTTATCCAACTATATTGAAATGATCATTAAATTTACTTTCTATTTCTCCCCATCTAAATCCTGCTTTGCTCTTTGTAAATGGTTTCCAAATAAACTTTTTACTATTCTTCTATCTTTTTCTTTCAAGGCAATAGGTACTTTTTGATCAAGCTACTTTTACTTTTCAGCACGTTCTTCTTTTGCCCCTTCAAGATTTATTACAAAAGTCTTCAATACATTCGTATTCTATATATTACCTTATCATTTTCATCTCTTGCTTTCTTATTTTTATGATTATTCTTTCTATTATCATATTTTATGAAAATACTAAAAAGGCATGCTTTTAATTTCTTTAATCAAACTTTTTCTTTTTATTAAACTCTCCTATTATTTTTTATGTAATTCTTTCAATTTATTTTTTATGTCATCTACATTCATTTTCATTCAATTATATTTATGAATAAATTTTATATTATTAAAAATATATATGTGTATTACATTAAATATATTACTCATACTACCATTTTATCAATATTATATTTTAACGAATAATTAATAATTATTAGTCATTTTTATATCTTATACCTATTGTAAAATTTAAATTAGATTCTTTGAGAGTAACAATATTTTATATATCAAAAATGAAATCCAAGAAGGAGTTTCACTATTTAATTATACTAATAAATATATGTTATTTATATTGATATAAATCAAATTGGGATAGGGTTATTCTGTGTGTAAGATTTAGATTAAATTGAAATGTTTTGACTTAATTGAATAGAAATGAGATACATCATAATGGAATTTGAGATATTTATTATAATATAAGGATTTTTATAATAATAAAAATGGAAATTATTATAATATTAAAATATGTATGACGTATCTATTAATACTCATCATAATTCATGTTCATATTAATGAAATCTTTCTAAATTGGCTTGAAATTATTATAAAATAACTAAGAATGTCAGAATTACCATCCATTTAAAATTAAGATGTCTCAGGTCCAAGGAATGAATAGAAAGAATTAATACCTTAAGAAAAAGAGACTACTAAAAATATCTCTGAATAATCACTCATAAAATAAGAGTTATACAACGACGATGAAATGAAAGCAATTATGATATCAGGAATAAAATCAATGGTAGGGGGATTATTATTACATCTGGAACTTGGTACTTTTTATGTTTGGGGATCAATAAGTATAATTAAATCATATTCTAATTATAGGTCCATATGTGTGTGCTTGGATGAGAGAGAAGGACTTAAGTGTAACATTGAATTATATGGCTATTATATTTCCTATTCTTGGTTTAATAACAATGTCATGTTTGTCATTTGGAATAAAGATAGCTGAAAAAATTGGATTTAAACTTACAATAGGAATATGTTCAACATCAATAGCCTTGGCATTTTTGATAATATCATTTGTTCAAGATATTGGTGGTTTCATAGCTATCTATTGTATAATGGTTGGAATATCAGGAGGATTAGCATATATGTTACCAATAATTTGTGGATGGAGACATTTCCCAGATAAAAGAGGATTAGTATCTGGAATAACTATAGGTGGATATGGATTTGGGTCATTCATCTTCAATTTTGTTTGTAAAGCAATAGCAAATCCAGACAATGAAAAACCAAGTCTTATATTTGAAGAAGATGGTGAAAATGTGAAATATTTTGATAATAAAGTTGGAGATCGAGTTCCTTTAATGTTATAGATTATGGCAGCATGTTATTTAGGATTAGCCATTCTATCAACTTTATTAGTAAGATTCCCATAGGAAATAGATGTAGAAAAATTGATAGCTACAATTGAAGCTAAAAAAAAGAAAAATGCTGCTGAAAATCCTAATCAATAAATTCATGTACCATCATCTTATTTACCCCCAGAAAAGGAATGTTAAACAATGTAATATAATTATATTTAATTTTAGATCAAAAGGAGTTAAACATATAGTTTTCCCAATACTGGTTTTGATTGTTTTAATGTCATGTACTTTAGGAATGTTGATATCTAATTGCTATAAGTTTTATGGATAAGAATTAGGAATAGATGATGCCACACTTACAGCTACTGGATCTGTTGCTGGTGTAATGAATGGATGTTCTCGTTTCTTCTGGGCTACTTTATCTGATAAAACCTCATTTAAATTTACATTCACATTAATATCAATTCTGAATTTAATTACTTCAGCAATATTACCTTATAATTCTGATGGGATTGGATATCTTTTGTTGATTGCTATTGTTTATTTAGCTGAAGGAGGATTGTTAGCAACATATCCTTTGATATGTGCCACAGTTTATGGCAAAAAGATTGGAGGGTTAATGTATGGATTTCTATTCTTTATGATTGGTGTCTGTAATATGCTTGGTTACATATTCTATAGATTTGCAAGATTAAAGATTGGATGGGAAGGTGTTTATTGGATTTGTTTTGGAATGAATGTTGTTGGAATCATACTGGGTATTATTTTAAAGGAAAAAGGATATGATTGGAGAGATGTTTAAGTTTAAGCATCAGATTAATTAAGAAACGAAAATTCAGAACATTAACAATTACAGTAATAACAATGATTTTGATACTCAATGTTTTTATATTATCAATCAAAAATATTATGATTATTCTTGATATTTCTAATATTAAATTTCTAATAGAATCATATTAAAATATTAAAAGGAATTTATTGACTTTAAACTATATATCCTTATTTAACAATAGATTAATATATTTAATGTTTATTTATTAATATATTTGTAAACACTAAGTCAACAAGAACAAGTTTATTCTTTCGCTTCTTCCTTTGAGGAATGTGTAGCCAATAGAATTGGTTTTAAATCGTTTTTCTCTATTAATCCATTATCTATCCTTTAAACTAATTTTCCTGATAATGTTAAAAACATATTCTCTATTTATTCACCTGTTACTGCACTTGTTTCAAAATAAGAATCAATTGAATACTCTTTTACTAATTTTTAAACCTAGCTCTCTGTAATTCTTCTTTATTCCTTTTTTAATATAAATTACATACGATTAAATCTATCTTATTCCCACATGCTATAATACATATATCAGGTCTTGCAAAATCTCTAGCATCTTTAATCCATTACTGCATATTTTAAAAGGATTCCACGTTTGTCAAATCAAAAACGCAAATTGCACCTAAAGCTCCTCTGTAATACGTTCTTGCAATTGATCTATATCGTTCTTGACCTGCAGTATCCCATAACTGCAATTTTATCGATTTTCCTTTTATTTAAATCATCTTTGATGAAAATTCCACTCCTACTGTCTAAGCAACATTCTTCGGTTCTAATTTCTTTCATAACATCTCTTTACATTTCCCATTTAAATAATTATATAATATGCTAGTTTTCCCACAACTTCCATTTCCAATAATAATTATTTTAAAAATATAATCATATGGTTCTTTGTCCATTTCCATTTTCTTTTTAATAATTTATTTAATATTCTTAATATAATTTATAAAGATGCTATTTCATTCAAATTTATTCATATATACTTAATTCAATTAATTCAAGTAGAAATAGATTCATACAGAGCTTAACCATTTTATTTAGATGAATATCTTAAATTATTTTCAATGATTCATTGTTATAAATCATTCAGAATGTTAAGTGGGAAATTATATATGATCATAATGCTCTTCTCCGAACTTGGTTATAATGTAAAGAACTTAATTTGATAGTTAAGTCAAGAATGAAACCCTTCCCATTTATATGAGAAAATAGGAATAAATTAAATAAACTTAAACATTTGATATAAATTAAATCATAATAGATAATAAGTGTATTCTTTTTCAAATAATTTTCCATCTTTAAATGTTATTCTCATTTCAAATACTCTATTGTATTTTAGAATTGGATAAAAAATGATTGATTCCTAATACTGAAATTTTAAAATTTAATTGGAAAATCATTTTTTTCTGAAAAAGGAATGTATCATTTTTTGAATTAGAATGCACATATCATTGAAATTAATAAGGTGATAGATTGAGATTAACTTTTGATTTCCTAACTATCCGCAATCTTTCTTTTTATAAAGCCTTGTCATTATAGCAAGTGAGATTGTTTCTAAAACACAATTCAATGTCGACCTGTCCACATGTCAATATATAAAGTGACAAAGATTGTGTTATAATTCTTGAATTTGAAATATTCTTTATAATCTTAATTCGTCCCCTTTTTCTCATAAATGGGGGGATTAGAAAGATTTTCTAAAGTAGTAAAATCAAAATTTAATTTATTAATAATTCTAAGTATTTTTATTTTTAGACATATATTATATATCAATATATAATGTTATATATAAATATATAATTATA